TTTTGGCCAAAAAATGAAATTTCTTGAAACTTGCTAGGAAGATACCTCAGGGTCCCTAGAACACGTTTCCACTCCTACATCGGACAGATAGGCTTTTAAAAAGAAATATTACGTCCACAATTTGAGGTAAAATAGGTCAAATACATGTATATGAAATTTTACCCAATAATGTCACAATTTTGGCCAAAATTTAGCGAATTTTGCCGGTCTGAATATTAAATCATGCTCCCAAAGCATCCTTAAGCATTTCTGAGTAATTTGGAGAAAATTCATTTTTTGGCCAAAATCGAAAAAAAATATCAGGCTAACCCCTTACATTTTTTTCAATTTTGGCCAAAAAATGAAATTTCTTGAAACTTGCTAGGAAGATACCTCAGGGTCCCTAGAACACGTTTCCACTCCTACATCGGACAGATAGGCTTTTAAAAAGAAATATAACGTCCACAATTTGAGGTAAAATAGGTCAAATACATGTATATGAAATTTTACCAAATAATGTCACAATTTTGGCCAAAATTTAGCGAATTTTTCCGGTCTGAATATTAAATCATGCTCCCAAAGCATCCTTAAGCATTTCTGAGTAATTTGGAGAAAATTCATTTTTTGGCCAAAATCGAAAAAAAAGTAAGGCTAACTAACCCCTTACATTTTTTTCAATTTTGGCCAAAAAATGAAATTTCATGAAACTTGCTAGGAAGATACCTCAGGGTCCCTAGAACACGTTTCCACTCCTACATTGGACAGATATGCCTTTAAAAAGGAAATATAACGTCCACAATTTGAGGTAAAATAGGTCAAATATATGAAATTTTACCCAATAATGTCACAGTTTTGGCCAAAATTTAGTCAATTTTGCCGGTCTGAATATTAAATCATGCTCCAAAAGCATCCTTAAGCATTTCTGAGTAATTTGGAGAAAATTCATTTTTTGGCAAAAATCGAAAAAAAGTAAGGCTAACCCCTTACCTTTTTTTTCAATTTTGGCCAAAAAATGAAATTTCTTGAAACTTGCTAGGAAGATACCTCAGGGTCCCTAGAACACGTTTCCACTCCTACATCGGACAGATAGGCTTTTAAAAAGAAATATTACGTCCACAATTTGAGGTAAAATAGGTCAAATACATGTATATGAAATTTTACCCAATAATGTCACAATTTTGGCCAAAATTTAGCGAATTTTGCCGGTCTGAATATTAAATCATGCTCCCAAAGCATCCTTAAGCATTTCTGAGTAATTTGGAGAAAATTCATTTTTTGGCCAAAATCGAAAAAAAATATCAGGCTAACCCCTTACATTTTTTTCAATTTTGGCCAAAAAATGAAATTTCTTGAAACTTGCTAGGAAGATACCTCAGGGTCCCTAGAACACGTTTCCACTCCTACATCGGACAGATAGGCTTTTAAAAAGAAATATAACGTCCACAATTTGAGGTAAAATAGGTCAAATACATGTATATGAAATTTTACCCAATAATGTCACAATTTTGGCCAAAAATTTAGCGAATTTTGCCGGTCTGAATATTAAATCATGCTCCCAAAGCATCCTTAAGCATTTCTGAGTAATTTGGAGAAAATTCATTTTTTGGCCAAAATCGAAAAAAAATATCAGGCTAACCCCTTACATTTTTTTCAATTTTGGCCAAAAAATGAAATTTCTTGAAACTTGCTAGGAAGATACCTCAGGGTCCCTAGAACACGTTTCCACTCCTACATCGGACAGATAGGCTTTTAAAAAGAAATATAACGTCCACAATTTGAGGTAAAATAGGTCAAATACATGTATATGAAATTTTACCCAATAATGTCACAATTTTGGCCAAAAATTTAGGGAATTTTGCCGGTCTGAATATTAAATCATGCTCCCAAAGCATCCTTAAGCATTTCTGAGTAATTTGGAGAAAATTCATTTTTTGGCCAAAATCGAAAAAAAAGTAAGGCTAACCCCTTACTTTTTTTCGATTTTGGCCAAAAAATGAAATTTCATGAAACTTGCTAGGAAGATACCTCAGGGTCCCAAGAACACGTTTCCACTCCGACATTGGACAGATAGGCCTTTAAAAAGGAAATATAACGTCCACAATTTGAGGTAAAATAGGTCAAATATATGAAATTTTACCCAATAATGTCACAGTTTTGGCCAAAATTTAGTCAATTTTGCCGGTCTGAATATTAAATCATGCTCCCAAAGCATCCTTAAGCATTTCTGAGTAATTTGGAGAAAATTCATTTTTTGGCCAAAATCGAAAAAAAAGTAAGGCTAACCCCTTACATTTTTTTCAATTTTGGCCAAAAAATGATTTTCATGAAACTTGCTAGGAAGATACCTCAGGGTCCCTAGAACACGTTTCCACTCCTACATCGGACAGATAGGCTTTTAAAAAGAAATATAACGTCCACAATTTGAGGTAAAATAGGTCAAATACATGTATATGAAATTTTACCCAATAATGTCACAATTTTGGCCAAAAATTAAGCGAATTTTGCCGGTCTGAATATTAAATCATGCTCCCAAAGCATCCTTAAGCATTTCTGAGTAATTTGGAGAAAATTCATTTTTTGGCCAAAATCGAAAAAAAAGTAAGGCTAACCCCTTACATTTTTTCAATTTTGGCCAAAAAAATGAAATTTCTTGAAACTTGCTAGGAAGATACCTCAGGGTCCCTAGAACACGTTTCCACTCCTACATTGGACAGATAGGCCTTTAAAAAGGAAATATAACGTCCACAATTTGAGGTAAAATAGGTCAAATATATGAAATTTTACCCAATAATGTCACAGTTTTGGCCTAAATTTAGTCAATTTTGCCGGTCTGAATATTAAATCATGCTCCCAAAGCATCCTTAAGCATTTCTGAGTAATTTGGAGAAAATTCATTTTTTGGCCAAAATCGAAAAAAAAGTAAGGCTAACCCCTTACATTTTTTTCAATTTTGGACAAAAAATGAAATTTCTTGAAACTTGCTAGGAAGATACCTCAGGGTCCCTAGAACACGTTTCCACTCCTACATCGGACAGATAGGCTTTTAAAAAGAAATATTACGTCCACAATTTGAGGTAAAATAGGTCAAATACATGTATATGAAATTTTACCCAATAATGTCACAAATTTGTCCAAAATTTAGCGAATTTTTCCGGTCTGAATATTAAATCATGCTCCCAAAGCATCCTTAAGCATTTCTGAGTAATTTGGAGAAAATTCATTTTTTGGCCAAAATCGAAAATAAATATAAGGCTAACCCCTTACATTTTTTTCAATTTTGGCCAAAAAATGAAATTTCATGAAACTTGCTAGGAAGATACCTTAGGGTCCCTAGAACACGTTTCCACTCCTACATTGGACAGATAGGCCTTTAAAAAGGAAATATAACGTCCACAATTTGAGGTAAAATAGGTCAAATATATGAAATTTTACCCACTAATGTCACAGTTTTGGCCAAAATTTAGTCAATTTTGCCGGTCTGAATATTAAATCATGCTCCAAAAGCATCCTTAAGCATTTCTGAGTAATTTGGAGACAATTCATTTTTTGGCCAAAATCGAAAAAAAAGTAAGGCTAACCCCTTACATTTTTTTCAATTTTGGCCAAAAAATGAAATTTCTTGAAACTTGCTAGGAAGATACCTCAGGGTCCCTAGAACACGTTTCCACTCCTACATTGGACAAGAAAGGCCTTTAAAAAGAAATATTACGTCCACAATTTGAGGTAAAATAGGTCAAATACATGTATATGAAATTTTACCCAATAATGTCACAATTTTGGCCAAAATTTAGCGAATTTTGCCGGTCTGAATATTAAATCATGCTCCAAAACCATCCTTAAGCATTTCTGAGTAATTTGGAGAAAATTCATTTTTTGGCCAAAATCGAAAAAAAAGTAAGGCTAACCCCTTACTTTTTTTTCGATTTTGGCCAAAAAATGAATTTTCTCCAAATTACTCAGAAATGCTTAAGGATGCTTTTAATATATTATTAATATTCGTGGAGATTTAAGGAATTTGGAGCAAATTTAAATTTTGGCCTAATTTTCATAAAAATGCAAGGCTAACCCCTTGTAAATTAATATTTGTGAAGATTCAAGAAATTTGGAACAAATTCAAATTTTGGCCTAATTTTCATAAAAATGCAAGGCTAACCCCTTGTAAATTAATATTTTTTGGAGATTTGAGAAATTTGGAGCAAATAAAAATTTAGGCCTGTCATAAAAATGCAAGGCTAACCCCTTGTAAATTAATATTTGTGGAGATTTGAGAAATTTGGAACAAATTCAAATTTTGGCCTGATATTTATCAAAATGAAAGGCTAACCCCTTGTAAATTAATATTTGTGGAGATTTGAGAATTTTGGAGCAAATTCAAATTTTGGCCTTATTTTCATAAAAATGCAAGGCTAACACCGTTGTAAATTAACCCCTTGTAAATTAATATTTGTGGAGATTTGAGAATTTTGGAGCAAATTCAAATTTTGGCCTTATGTTCATAAAAATGCAAGGCTAACCCCTTGTAAATTAATATTTGTGGAGATTTGAGAAATTTGGAACAAATTCAAATTTTGGCCTGATATTTATAAAAATGGAAGACTAACCCCTTGTAAATTAATAATTGTGGAGATTTGAGAAATTTGGAGCAAATTCAAATTTTGGCCTCATTTTCATAAAAATGCAAGGCTAACCCCTTGCAAATTAATTTGTAGATTTTCAAAATTTGAACACATTGAAATTTCGGCCAACCCTTAATTAAAATGCAAGGTTAACCCCTAGTAAATTAATTTTTGTAGAAGTTTAAGAAATTTTGAACTCATTCAAATTCAATTTCAGAAATTGTGACAAAAATCTTATTGGTTGGCAGGATTTGCACAAATAAACTAACTGTTCTGGAAATTAAGTTTGAGACATTCTTTGCAAAATTTTGATTAAAATCAAAGAAATTGGGAAATTTGGAGATAGCATGCACAAACATGAAGTTCTGTAACAAACAAATGAAATGACTGAAAATAAGACTTCAATCTGATAGAAACAAAAAGTTCTTTTTACAAAATTGATGAGTCAACTTTAATTAAATGCTGTTCCATGACCACACATTCCAATTTCAGTTTTACCCTATTTCAGAATTTAAATGTCCTCTGTCGTCTAATCTAAACTGAAGACATTGAGACTTTTTTTTTTCATTTTTAAAGATAAATTATGATCGTTACAAAATATCAGGGCTGGCATGGTTGGCAAAGAACAAAGCAATAAAATGATTAATAATCATACAGAGCACAATCTCCTATAATGTGTCCCTATAAGTATACAATTAAAAAAAATCACAGTAACAAACTTATTTTTAATATCAGAACAAAAGAAGTCGCAAAAAATCACTTTGCTGTTGTACATTATTTCAGTATCCTCAATGAAGTGTACAGAAACCTTGCTTAAACACTTCAAATATTTTACAATAAACATTTTTTTTACATCTCTTTGTAAATCTCTTTGAAAGAGTTTTCTAAATGGAAATCAAAACTTACATCACTTGGTCATGCTCTGGAATTGCTGAACTTAAATTCGTCATCGCCTTTATCAAAACCTCATCATGAATACAATCAATTCTTCTTTACTGTCCTGGCCCTCCAGTCAATCACAGGTAAATCATCCAATAAGGGCCTTTGAAAATGCAGTCTGTACCAGCACCCTTGAATCTTGGGTGCGTGAGTACAAGCTAATATGAGGAGACTTAAAAATGAAAGTAAACCACTCTCTCTCTCTGAGCCCCCTGGAGTCATTACTAACCAATTATCCAATGAGAAGAGCTGAAAATTTAGCCTGTACCAACAGCCATGGTTTCTGTGTGTCTAAGTACAAGCTAATACTGGGAGACTAAGAAATGATAGTAAACCACTTTCCTGAGCCCCCTGGAGTCATTACTAACCAATTATCCAATGAGAAGAGCTTAAAATTTAGCCTGTGCTAACGGCCTTGGTTTCTGTGTGTCTAAGTACAAGCTAATACTGGAAGACTTGGACATGAAAGTAGACCACTCTCTTCCTGAGCCCCCTGGAGCCATTACTAACCAATTATCCAATGAGAAGAGCTTAAAATTTAGCCTGTGCTAACGCCCTTGGTTTCTGTGTGTCTAAGTACAAGCTAATATTGGGCGACTTAGAAATCAAAGTAGACCACCCTCTCCCTGTACATCTTGCCGTGGGTTTCCCTGGAGCCTTTGGGTTGGAGGGCAAGGTAGACTGGCGTATCAGCCCCTTCATCGATAGAAATCTCGCCTGTATGACTGGACATGTCCGTGCGCACGTAGCCAGGACAACACTAAAAGATGCATGGAAAATAGAAGTAAATGTGTAATTATAAAGTTCCCATATCCGCAAATATTGGCAGTTAAGGTGCTACATTATTATTACCCTCGCTCATTGGGCTTAAATGTCAACTCTCTGGGGAATATGCAAATCCATGCTGTCATTTTTGCATAAATGGTAAATTCGAACACAACAATGCTCTCAAGGGTACTTTACTCTTAATTGGAGAGAAGCAATATAGTAGCAAAGTGCCTTGCCCAAGGACACACGCATCGCAACCCAAAAAGCTGGTTGAAACTCACAATCTACAGCCCCCCTTGCACGGCACGCCCAAAAAATAAACATTTCCTGCATTTTTTTTTAAGGTAAACTCTTACAGCCATGATAAGGATGTCTTCTCTAGTCTTGTCTTTCAGAATATCAGCCGCCTGTATTTTGCTCAGCGCAATCAGACCCATCTTGGAGGTACCATAGGTGGATGCCGGCCAACCTTTGCTAGCTGGGTCGCCACCTTCGGCAATTCTGAGAGGCAGAAATTTAAGAACACAAGAAAAAGCTCGGTTTGGGGACTTCATCAATGATGGACATTTCTCAAATAACCCTGTTTGGTTCTGAGCTTGTATTAGCCTTATCTTTGGCCTCTGTTGACCTTTAACTTACCTCTGATGACCTTTAACTTAACTCTGACATTGAAGTGGCTTCTGATGACCTTGATGTGACCTCAAATGACCTTTCTCTGACCTGACCATAACGTAACCTCAAATGACCTTTAAGTGACCTCTGAGTGTAACTAATCTGACCTCTGATGACATTTATCTTGAGCTCAGATGACCTTTGATATGATGACCTATGATAACCTTAATTAACCTCTGATAGCCTTTAATTATCCCTTAAATCTTTGCAATTCTAACAACTAGGGCAAGCATGCAGTGGAGAAAAACTGTACTTACTCAATGTAATCTTTCATGAGTTGTTCAACATCTTGCTCAGTTTTGGCGGCCAGAAAGCGACCTTGGACCTCAGAACTCATGGCTTCAAATGCATACTTCCCTCGTCGGCTTGCAACGTTGACAACTCTTCCAAAACAGATTGACAAGGATTCAACATTCATGTCAGTACACAGTATCGACAGTGCCAAATTTTTTGTAGAAATATAGGCAATGCAGTAAAGGGGTTTCCTCTAGAAAAATCCTGGCGACGCCCATGCTCTATCCTAAAACCTGCAAACCAACTATTTCGACCCTTGCCCAATTCTGTCTCGGTTTGCCAAGACGCCTCGCATATATCATAGTTTTCACAGATGATGACACCCAACAATCAGGGGTAATAATGGGACAAATATGTACCTTCCGTGAGACCGTATCAGGGGGATCAGAGCTCGACAGTTAGCCAGAGTCCCAAAGAAGTTGGTTCCTATGGTAGCTTTGGCCTGAACACCAATGGATTCTGTAGCATTTTCCTGTGAATAATTAGGAGAATGTGAAAAGAAGAGAATAAAAAAGGAAAAGCCCAGAAGAATATTCGGGGGAAACCCATGGAATCAGGTAGGGACTGAAAACCCAATCCACATGTTGGCCTAGGCGGGATTCAAACCCGAGTCACAGCAGTCGAAGGCGAGGAAAGTACCGCTACTCCAACCTGACTCTCCGTACCATATCCTAACGAAATTTGAAATGTTTCTCAGTCCCAGATTCATGTCTTTTCAATTTTTTTTTTGCAATGACTGACCTTTATTGAGATGATATATGAAGGAAAAAGTGTCGTCAGGTTGCAACAATCTTTCCTCAAATTGTACGGATTCAAACAAACCTTGAAGGCAATGCCAGCGTTGTTGATGAGAATATCCAGACCTCCGTGCTCCTTCTGCAAGTGTGTCCGCATCCCGTCAATACTGGCCTGATCCAAGATATCAAGCTGGTGGAAGGCTGGTTTCAACCCTTCCTGATTCAGTTTGGCCACGGCCTCTCTCCCTTCCTCCTCTATCATGGAGGTCAGGTACACCGTCCAGTCGCTGTCTAGTTTCTTGCAGAGGGACCGGACTATGCCAAAACCGATACCTTTGTTGGAACCTGTAACCTGATGAGTTTTGTAATATTTTGCATCGTGAAATAATTCAATTTCAAAAAAATTCATAAACAATTTCTAGTGAGTAGTGTAAATGTTTGTGTTGTGTAGGTCCCAAGTTAGTCTGAGTAGCACCAGTTGTCCTACGCAGCCCTCTGTCTCCCGTCCAACGTCTGATCTTAGCATGCTAAGCATGCAAAGATATTTGTGACGTCAATTGCAATGCCACTTTTGTGTAATATAACAACAAACTGCTGCTAGCCGTGGGCATGATGATTACATGCGCGAGGAGTTTGCATTAAGCGCCAAAAGAAAGCCTAAATGTGAAAATCACATTTTGACAAAGTTCGACATGTTTTTGTCAGGGGGAAGTGTGGCCTTTATCCACGGAGGTAGTCCAGTAAATTGGCCACATTTATGGGGCTAATCAGAAGGCTGCTCGTCCATTTGTCGTCAGCTCGTCACAATATTGTAAGACGTCAGCCTTCGCTTCTGATTCCAGAAGACTCACTTAGCTCCTGTGCACCAAGTTTTCTTGTATTTGCCATAAACAAATGAACACACTTACCAAAGCAGCCCTGGCCATTTTTGATTGTCGTCACTATTCGATTTTCTTCTCAAAAAGGCCGCAAAACTCCAAAATATTGCTTCAATTGTACTGCACGCTAGGATCAGTCTGTTTCCACGTTTACATTAGCGTCTTCTGTACTCTTGAGGGCGCTCGCTTAATTCTAAATACAGGTATTGCTCCAAACCTACCACGTGGGCTGCCAGTTTTGAGATTTAAAGGGAATATTCATTTGCAAAAAAAAACAAAAAAAAAACAAAACCAACTACCAAGTTATTATGAAATACCTTACTGGACTGTTGAATGACAGTTTCAAGCATCCTGAAAATCATGGCACCTGGTGTGCGGTCATTTTCAAGAAAAGTGATATCTTTGTATCAATTTCCAACGCTGGTTGGCCGACCAGCGTTGGAAAAAACTGGCTTTTTCAGATACTGCCCCCAATTTATCACATTTAGTTAGTCTGCATTTTGTTTGCAATGGATTACACACCTATGAACGGGTTCAAGCCAGCTAGACTGGTTCCCTGACCTTACAATTCCCCCCATCTATAAATTGCTCCGTTTCATCTGAAGTGGAGTCAGGGAACCACTCTACAGGAACACAATTGTTTTTCTTGGTTTTCCCAGCATTTATGAACACAAAACTTCAAACAAGTCCGAGTAACAATATTTGCTATAGCAAACTTACCTCCATATCCATTCATTTCTGAAAATTACAGCAAAAGCAAATGTTCTATATTCCCTTTAAAAAATTTCATTCAAGGATTCGATGTCAAAAAGTACATGAGAAAATACTAAACCACCCTTTTAATAAATCACAAGAAATAGTTAACTCCTCCCTCCCCCCCTTTTTTTTTAAATAAAATATTTTGTACTGGCCCCAAACAAATTTAGTTAGGAAAGGAAGTACAACACGTTTACATTCGGAGTTCAAATATTTATTGACTGGTCATCACATTTTGTATAAAAAAGATTCATTACAATATAATGTAAATTCGTAAAATAATCAGAACACAGTTTGTTTCACGCCCGTTTGTGCAATTCAATACTTCAGCTGTGACAGTATTTTCCAAGATAAATAAAATTGCCAGATAAAATTTGTTGAATATTCTTTATTGAGATTTGATAATCTGAGTTGGATGATCCATCTTTCTTTTGTCTTCGCAAACTATAATCACATTGTTTATTGCACTTGATCTGGTGATAACAAATTCTCTTTCTTGATCAAATCCCCGCAGAATCCAACAATATCCAACAGTTCAACATCCTTAATGAAACATCTTAAAACTTTGACATTTCTGTACTGTCAGTCAACAGATGCTTTCTCAATCTGTCAGACTACCGCTATAGGTTCCTGAAGATTATTTAATGCCGCACAAACACAGACCACATCGTCTATGAGAGGCAAGAGATTGCTCTCAAACATGTTGGCAAGAATACTGAAGGATCTCAATCGCTGGGCCATCTTCCCGGCAAAGATACCACTGGCAGTAGTGTTTACAGTTCCTTGAGGCTGAGGGCAAGATGAAGGACCTGCAGTAGAGGATGGTGCTTCTGCTACTACTGGAAGGCCATCAACTGACTCTAGAAGGCCATCAACTGACTCTAGAACGCCATCAACAGATTCTAGAAAGCCATCAACAGTTTCAGGATCTGTGCCAGCTGGAAGTTCTGACGGCTCAAGAAGCTTCGACAACTCATTCACGGTTTCTGTATGTCGTTGAGGAACTTCCTTAAAATCAGAGCACGTGCTTGGATCTTTCTGCCCATGAACGGGCCGGGAAGAAAAAGGAGGAGCTAGCACCCTGAAACCCTTAGCTGTAAGAATTTGCTGCAGACCCCTATCATGCTGAAGGAGAAGCACATGACTGTCTTTTTCTAAAGAATCTGGCATTCTCAAGTGGATCAACATATCACTATTAGTGGCACAACCACTGTAGGCATTGGACACAGAGCCTACACTGCCATTGGGGTGCAGTCCTACCAGGATTTTGACGGCAAACGTGCCTATTTCCTGTGATATCAGCTCAAGTTGGTTCAATTCTGTTTGAATAATCAAGCAGTCGATAATGAGGCTAACTTTAGGAATACAAGTCCGGAGGCTTTCTTGAGGCAGTGGATCTTTACAGGTGTCTGATGGCCACTGAATCAAATCTGAGAGATATGTGACCATAACGGACAAGACATGAGTAAAGATGTTTAAGGCAGTGGCAGCAGTGATGCCAAACACATTGGCAAGGAACTCAAATGGCACATTCAGTTTCAGTTTCATCAGAAATAAGAGCAGTGAGTTGTGGGCAGGTAGTCCGGGCATGACCTCTGGGAGATGACCTAGCAGAAGGTCAAAGACTTCAGGGCTCACCCCTGCGACACTCAAAACGGTGGTCCTTGAGAAGCAGATATCATTCCATCCATGGAATCCAACACACCTGCTGTTGGTCTGTGCTGATAAACTGTTCCATTCAGCTTGGCTAGCCACGCTCAGAACAGTCTGTACTTCTTTAGGCCGACTGTTTGTCAACAAGTTAGACAGTATACAGTTGCGAGGCTGGACACTTGTCGCATTTCGCTCTGACGAAGCAATGGACAAGTCTGTGGCTCTGGTCCTGTTCAAGTCAACACTCCCTGCTGCTCTTGAAAAGTGTCTCATCTGTGAATTCCTGGGATTCTTAGCGACACTGAGATTCCCTGTGAACTTGCGGTTTGTCGACTGAAACTTCTGCAAGCGTACTGGAGTCTGTTGCTTATGATGTGGTAGAAGCAACCTTCTCCGTTTGGATGCTGGCTCATGGCCATCACGAGTCAGATTCATTGCACCCCCAACAGGCCTGGACTGGTTGATGTAGACCCATCCAGGATTACCACTGGTGGAAAATGGACCATCCCTGGGGAGCCGATTGCCTGTAGTAAGTTGACAACTAGATGTCATCGGACCACCAATGCTTAAATTACTACCAGTTGTGGGCTCAGCTGTAGTCGTAACTCTTGGCAAAGCTTCTGATTTTACAGTCTCTTTGCTGCCATTGACGAGTTGCTCAGCGTCTGATATCAAGACACCTGGCTCAGATTTCACAACCTGGGTGAAGTCCTCACTGGCTTCTGTGGACAGATCTAATGCGGTCGACACAAATGTCATGAAGTCATTGTTGTCGTTTGTCTGGCTGCTTGCAGGTTGAAAAGGTAGGTCAAAGTTCATGTCAATTGTGGCATGTCCCTCTTGTGCCTATAAAAAAAAAAAAAAAATGGTGGTTAAATGGGAAAAGTGTGAAAAAAGTCCAGAAGAATACCAACACCACATTTTGTTTATATTCCCAACAATGCTGAGATCTTTTTGACAACCTAACCAAATATGTAACTTGGCATCTGTCACCTGTTGACCTTGCATTAGTGATAAGCAATTAGTTGGGTACATTTGGAATCCGTTCTCAATGAAATTGTGATTTCGGGTTGGAATTAGAATCCATTCCCCCAAAGTTGTAATCGCCTACGCTGACTACTTAGGCGAACCATGCAAAACCACATTTTGATATAACCTTTACATTTGTAGCCTATCTTTCGTAACAAGACTATAACTTGATCAAAGTTAAACTATGCCGTGAACGTGTGGTGTTTGATACTAGAACGAAGAACTGTGTTGCAGTGCAGTGGCTTGTTCAGGTTATTACTGGTGACCAAACATAATTTCTTTGTTGCACCTGAAAAAACAAACAAAATTAATTGTTATAACCAACGTACCTTCCGTCTACACATCTCTTCCATCAGTGTCTTCCGGACCCGCCTGTCCAATTCCGGCATCGGGGGGAATATGCTGGGGTTGTAGGCGGGGTCGTTGGGGTCATCGACCTTGTAACCCCCGGAGAAGTGACAGCTGCAGACCCGACTGTTCTTTGTGGGTATCCAATGGCTGCGGAGTAAAAGCAACATATAAAAAAAAAAAAATGAAAGAGGCAACATTTCAATGCACTTTAATAGAAAAATTAAATTACAAAATGACTTGTTCAATGAGCAAGCACTTATTCTATTCTCTCACTAGTCTCAGGACTAATGCTAATTGCTAGGTTGAACCACCGCACGGACATTGGTGGCGCTATTTTCATGCCCAAAATGACCTAATTTTTGTGACCGCCTTTTTTGAAAAGGTTTGACAGCGTGAATCACATACAATTACAGGGATACTTTCGCATAGCTCCAGCTCCAAACATCAATAAAAGAGAATCGCAGGGTGTAGTTGACCTTAGAAAGTTTGGTTTGTTATTATTACTATATTACATTGCAAAAAAAGTTGTTGATTCCCCAAAACAGTGATGCCATTATTTGTTTGTAAACTTCCCATACGTGTGTACACATTTTGACATAATCAACTAACGAGGTCACATTTATTTCAGCCAAATCGAGCGTCATTTTAAGAGGAAAAAAAACAACTTCAAAATTGCAATAATGTCAGAACTGCTTGCCCTATGAAGTTAGGACTAGGAGACCATTTGTTTAGTTGCATTTTGAAAGCTCTTTAAGATAAAGTAAATTCTACAAGTACAACTATCAAATCAACTTTGAAATTTGTTGATATGATCGAAAGACAAATGACGAAATATTTTTCACCTTCCACGCTGAACGAGCTTGACCCATAACGCTCTTCTCTCCGGCTGCCGGTCTTCGTTCGGGAAACCCACGAATCTCCCTTTGGGACACGTCTTCTGGGTGTGAGAACACCCACCTACAGCGCAGTTGCGGTTGCTTTTCGGCATTTTGAAACCAATTTTACTGCGAAGAAATTCACCGCATTGCTCGATGACAGGAGGCGGACATGTTTTTTTCGTTCCTGTCTTTGTAAACTAGCGCCCTCTGTAGTCTCCAAGTCGAAAGGTGTTTTTCAAATTTCGGCTTCGTTTCGAACTCGGCTACATGTTTGGTCCGTTTTAAATAAAAAAAAAATATACTAGATGTAATATCATAACTTTTAGTTAAAACTAGGGCAAACATGTAAATTTGAAGTTTTGGGAAATACTACCCCCTCTCGTTTGCCCAACATTTTCCCTCAAACAACAGGCAAAAATTAAAGTCCATAAGACCTGCTAATTTTGTTATCAATACTGAAGTTTTATTAATGCCAAACATTAATATTTTTCTGTAATACTACTATAGCACATAAGTACTGTATTGTTCAAGGACTCACAACCAAGCCAGTCTCATTCTGTAGCCATAGAGTAAACACTGAACAGTTTTTTTTTTCGCTTTTTCTATGTACATTGTTACAAGCACATATTATCCATGTCTGTTAAATTAAACAAACCCGTTTATTGCAATTATTGAAAATATCATCACATGCAATTGGCAGAATAACTTCCTTAGAGAAATAATTCTTAAAAAAAAAAAAGATCTCAAAACAAAATATACAATAACGAATGTTAAATTCATTTGAATCTCACACTTTCTTAAAATCCACTCAGTGACAATGAGTTGACATGAACTTTGGTTTTTTTATGAAACAGTTATACCACGAACTGCAACATTGTACCCTGCATATTCTTTTATCAATACAATATCATAGCAGAACATGCAAATATATTCAGTTAAGATCATAATTATCTCTGTTTACTAAATTTTCTGATTTTCACACCTTCCGAAGTCGAGACAGTAGATGGATTTTGTAAAACTCTGGTACATTTTGTTTCCACAGTCAATATCGGAAGGATTTTTGGGAGCCAGGGTACATTTTGGGGATTCATCAGATACTATTTTGTTTGTTAACCTGTTAAACAAGTCTGTGTGCTTAAAGGTAATATACAACATTTGCAAACATCAAAAAACAAAACTACTAAATTATTATGAAAATATAAAGGCTCACTTGACTGTAAGTGAATAATAGTCTCAAGCATCCTGTGAAATCATGGCACCTGGTGTGCTGCCATTTTCAAGCAAAGTGGAACTTTTGTATCAATTTCCAACGACGGTTGGCCGACCAACACTGGAGGAAAAAACATACTTTTTTTCAAATACACTGAGCCCCAATTTAGCAAAGTTACTCAGTCCACATTTTGTTTGCAATATCAATTTCACATCCATGAACGGGTGCAAGCCAGCTAGTCTGGTTCCCTGACCTGGCAATTCCCTGACATCTACTGCTCTGTTTCGTCTGAAGTAGGGTCAGGAAAACCAGACTTCAACAACAGCATTTGTTTTCTTGGTTTTTCTAGCATCTATGAACAAAACACTTTAAACAGAATAGTGTAAACAATATTTACTATAAAATACTAACCCCCAAATCCATCCATTTCTGAACATATAGCACAAGCAAATGTTGAATATTACCTAATTAAACTAAACGAAATTGAGAACCAACTAATATGCTCATCATAATACTCTGACTAGGGATAGCAGGGAAACTTCTTACGCAAAAAAAATACCCAGGGAGATAAAATTGACGTCCATGTATATTGTTGTTTTATTTCAGTTCTTTAAAATGCTGGAAATGAGCTTGCTGTCTGGCGGTGCACTGGTGAAGATGGTCCCCACGAACGTGTGCGTGCCCCACTCCGAGTGCCGGATGCACTTGCAGCATCCCAAGTCTTCAATCTCGAAACCCAGAGAGCGAAACCTCTCGTCCGTCTCCAGGAGGGTGGTGTTTGGGTTCGGGTCTCCGAGAAACTAGAAAATCAGGAGGAAAAAAGAAAAGAAAAAGTAGAGTAGAAATGTAATAAAGACAGGTGTTAGCTGATTTGTATTAGAAATCAGGGTCAAAGGTCACGGAGCTGCTAAGCACATGAAACATTTGCTTAGCGAAAAAAAAAACGGTTACCTGCCAAAATATAATGTGAAGTCTATAGCTTGTGACTGGTTCCCAGCTCATTTCTGCTAAGCGTGTAAATATGCTAAGTAATATTTTCTGTGTTACAACTCCATGCAATTGGGCTCACAAAGTTTTCTGTCAAAATAAAGGTGTGGTTTCACTTTGTGTGTGATACATTTATTCTGATGTTGCCAATTTTTTTCTAAGTCTATCTGTATGAGTTTTCTCGCTGCTGTCTTGTGCAGGATTTAATAACTTGCCGCTACGATTATTTTTGGCAAAAAAACCACCATTTTTTAAAAAGACAAGATACATTGTACATGTACATGTATATTGGCCAAATTTTAAAATTAAGACTAGTTAGAGTCATTTGTATACTATTTGTATGATACTTCTGACTGTAACTTCATATTTTGCAACACCCCGAGGCCCCCCATGGAGTGACATTTGCTACGACAGGCCGTGTTCAGCGGTCAAGTTCAAGTTCAAAACACTGTGTGTACAAAACCAAAGGGAACCACTGACGTGCATTCTGTCCATCACTGGAGACTCAGGGAAAGCTTGACGATTTAACCCGTCACATCCCCCACCCATACCCTGCGAATGCACATAGCCAGATAGCGTTTACAACTGGTTACTATCAATCCTGAGCACAAAAGTTAGTGCATTTATGCATGCATACGCAACATCCTGTTGTGTCAATGACCGAAGCTGTCCTGTATTTTTTTTTCCTTCATCAAAAATTGGTCACCAAGGTCATGGGATATGGCTACATAAGAGGACGTGACATCCATGTCAAGTTTAAGTACACTGTTGAACAAACTCAGGATAAATAGTTCCGACAATCTGACCTACAAATTACAGGCTTGCAACAGGAATTTAGAAGGAAAAAAAACGAGCAAATTCCAAACTGAACACAAGACTTTGTACAGTGTTTTTCAATTTGTAATGGCATTCATGAGAAGTAAAAAAAAACGGGGAAATCAGCGGGTCTGAGGAAAAGTTACATGCCGGAAATTGAGACCTAATCCCCAATCTTGAGAGGAAACGACTGTAGGAATTTTCATGGATTGTCCATTAAACTTAGGGTAAAAGTTGTTTACAACATCAGAGTTTACGATGTACAGACTTTAGGGTTTTTTTTTACTCTTGAGGCTCAGGTTTTTAAAACTCCATTTTCTTCCTTTTTTAATGTTCCACCATCTGCTTGTTCAGTTGTTTCACTAGAGTTTCCCATAACTTCTATGGTTTCCATGGGTTTTAAAAACATGCCAGCAAGTGGTCGATAACAGCCCACGCAGCTAGACCGCCGACCCACTGTGTCACCACGGTGCAGTTGACTTGTCTTGCGATGGGACACTGCACTGAGGTCAAAGTCATGGGGATACCAAACTGAACAAAACTAGTTTCTCCATATCCATTTGGGGTTTCCGTTTATATTAACACCAAACTGACAAAACTCAAAGTGAAAAGAGAGTTTAGATGCTTGATAACTTTTTGAGAATATCAAGTTTCAAAATTCTGTACTTGAATTTGGACCAAGATCTTTTCAAAGTTTATTACCGGTTTCACATTTGGCATAATTTGTTTTGTAAAGGTCTACGGGTGTGGTCTGTGACTCATATCCTTAATTGAGAATGTGGATCAAACGGACAACCATTTCAATGGTACGGAAATCAACTCGGTGGACATGGACTATCAAGGGATTTTCAATATTACAAGCAATCAACCATGACGTTTGCTGAAGTTGTGTATTTACCGTTCAGGCAAAGAATTCTCAATGAAACTCAAGTGAATTATCAGCAACAGAGAACAAACAATGTCAACGTTCCAGGAAAGGAAAAAAAAATTTAAGTGGATAAGTCCGACCGGAAATTTACACAAAGGAAATAGGCTATAAATTTGACAATACCAAAACTAAATACTGATACGTAAGCTAAGGATTGGAGATCAAGTTTTTCCAAATCACCAATCAGGCCAATGAACCACCAATATTTCTGCTTCTGGTTACGCTACCTACCCTATTTTGACAGGGTCTGGGCCCCGACCCTAATTTTTTGGGGGAAAAATGAGAGAAACCCCCCAAACCATAAATTACTAGCTTTTACCCTTGACTACACGCAAATACAGTACCTACATAATGATCAACACACAAAAAAATTGCCAAAAAATCGTAAGCACTTCTTGTTTTTTGGCTTCTGTAAGCCATTTTGGTGATACAAAATGTCACAATGAAAAAAATCTTGGAAAAAAAAATCAACAGCCATTTTGGGAAAAAGTATAAGAATACTTTCCCTGTCATTAAAAAAAAAGAAAAGGCGATTGCTAAAACAAAATAATTTTTATTTGGCAGGTTATAACTACCAGAGATATTCAAAACAGAAAAAAAGAACAGAAATTTCTTTCAACTTATCATTCAATTTGTCCATTGAACTTTGAACATTATTTACTCACAATACAAATTTACTAAGTACATACATGTATGTATGCAACACACTGACTCTGGCCCCTGGCAAATGAAACCAAAATTTTCCATCAAAGGAAATTAATTTGTAAACACATGCGTTTATTGAATCTTTAATTTTTAATCACCTATGTTTTTTCTAGTTTTCATTCAACAAGTAATAATTGGTATTATTGGTATACAAAGGCAAACAAAACTAGGAAACAGTGGTAAAAAAAAATCTAAATCAGAAATGGGAATTCCCTTTAAAGATCAATATTCATATTCTTCAATAGATGGTATTCACACCAGGGATTATTGGTAATAATCTGCAGATGTCATATCTGGATAAATATGGAAAGAATGTACCCAGTGTGTAGCAAGATCCAGATAGCCAATCAAATGGCTAGCATTGGCAGGCCTTAACAAATACCCATAGGGAGGGGCCTTGACTGCTGACTGTGCAAGTGTAGTGTGCGGTGATAAGGGCCCTGTCATGTGGACATTGTGTGTGGTTTACTTGTACTACAGGATGACAACTGACTGTGTTTAGTCACCAAGGACAGAATGAATAGGATTGAAGCAAGCAGAAAATATACTTCAGATTTCCAAAAGGAGTCTACTTGTTCGTCTAAACTTGCAGCCAATTTATGAATTGATTCCAATTTGAGCACCACACAATGAGCACTGTTCATCTTTGGGGTGTTAACTGCTTCTTCTTTGGATTTATGCAAGAAAACGTCGTTAAATAAGGTAAGGAAATTTACATCACTTAATTTGTATTCCATGTGTTTAGCTATTGCTGACAGCACATGATTTTTTCAAACGAAAACACAGTGGCGTTTCGGCATGTTTCTAGCCAAACTTAAGTTTGATCTGGGAGGTAACATGCCCAAACTCCCCCCCCCCCCCATCACCCCCAAGAAAAGGCTTTTCATCTGGGTCTATTTCCCCTAAAACCAACACCCAAACTACTCCCCCCCATTAACAAATTAATTAGCTTATCATACTACTTACTATAACATTTAGAACCACAGCAATATTACAAAATGTAGTTGTTGAATTATAGATTTATAGATTTGTACATTCGAGATTCTGTTTTGGATACCTACGATTGTTTCACTGACTGAAACAGAGTTTGAAATATGATTTTTTTTGTCAATCAGAACGGAAACTGGTACTGCCTTTACAAAAACTGTGCATATTGCCTTTAAACAAACAAACAATACAATACAAAGGAAGTTAAGTCGCCTACGTGGATTTTTACATAACCACACATGTGTGACATGACTCGGAATATGCTCAACGGCACGTCACCAAAAAAGGCATTCAAGAGACAATTACGGGGCATTCCATTCACAATGTTGGGGTCAGTAAGTTGCCTCTCATACTGTGCCAACAGGAACGTTCAGCAAAATATTAACATGGTAAACTGCAAACACTATCAAAAAGATTGAGTTATGAGCATGAGGATTGGCATGCGACAGTGGTGACACTAAGGGTGGGGGGGGGGGGGAGTTGAGGAGGGGGGGGGGAGTTTCCCCCTCCACCACATTATCTGCATGGAGATTAATTCTGTTTCTTCCCTTCGTTGTTCAGAATCAGAACTATTGCATTACTTGCGCCTTGGCTTTGGAATTCAAATATTATTTTTATTTCCCCCAGAAAATATTTCTTGCCCCCCCCCCCCATTAAATTGTAGAATCTGGCTTCACCACTGGGGATCATTTGAATCCTGGGTTTTACCTTTCACTGAGGTTATTTTATAAAACACTGTATATTTAGTATCGTGATAAATTTGGTTACGAATGTACCAAAGCAAGTGCTGATATAAAATTTATGAATTTTTTTTTTTTTTTTTTTTTATAACTTTCCTCCTTTTTTTCCTTTCCTTTTCCGATTTCTTTTCCGAAGTTTGTCAAATTTGTCTTGGCCCTCAAGTTTGAAATCTTCTTGAATATTCCAAACTCCTATGTGCAGTAACAATTGAACATTCTTGAAAACATTGCAGACATCAACTCAAGTCCGACACTCTTTAAAATACTCCACGATCTACGAGATTTATTGTGTACATTTTCTCGATTGAGCTATTTAATACTTAAAGTCTTGTAATTTTACTACATGTGCCCCCCCCCCCCAAAAAAAAGTGAAAGCCAAAAAATAGAGTAATGTTGGAATTTCCAATCCCTATAAATTGCTTATTTCAAAACACAAATACAATTTCCCATTAATCAGTTGAAAGGCACACAAAAACCACACAGAAGGTTCTGATGTAAAACGAAACCAAAAAAAAAAAAAAAAAAACCCCAAGTCACCGTTTCTGATTTTAAACAAACACTCCACATTAATGCCAATGTTTGCTCACTCCAAAAATCATATCCAAAGTTCCACTTGCAATGACCTTTGGACTGTAATTTAGAGTAGAAAAAAAACAACTCTGATTCTGCCAGGCGAGGCTATGTTAAGCCACACAAGGGTGGGTCTGCATAGAATGCGTGTTAAGCCATCTTTAATAATAGGACCATCCCATTCATTGCTAATTGCTTATGACAGGTAGCTTGGGAACGCAAAGGTACGTACAGTACATCGTACATGCAGATCTAATGCAGCGTTCACGGATGTCCACGCACAGCGTCCGCAGCTGTGAGGGAGTTGTTCGGAATATTGGTCTTCACACTTTGACACATGTTCCCTGAATCCTCAATTCACTTATCGAATTGGACTAAGAAAAGTATACATACATCTACATGTATTCAGATATTAGATAAGCACGGGTAAGTGTGGACATTAGCGAGTAAAAAATTATGAGTCTCCAGAGGATTTGCAACAAACCTGAGTTCAGTTAATTTGAACTGATACATGAACATGAGCTGTAAACAACTTGTAGACTTATATACAACATTGTATGTAGTTGCATAATTCAGTTTTTGCTATCTTTTTATTTTTTTCCAGTGAGGCAAAAAATGGATGGGAAGACAGAAATTGCGGAGACAACCATCTCAGTTTGTCAAGACACTGACTTGAAAGAGCAAGTCTTGGTGAGTAATGCCACCAAACTATCATCCGAGATGGGAGAGGATGTGAAAGGAGAGGCCAAGGAAGCCTTGAGGAACTTGGAGCAGCTCCACGAGGAGATAGGGAGACGGGAGCGTCAGCTGGAGAGCAACGTGGAGGCGACTCGGCAGGAGGTGATGGCCTGCTTCCAACGCTGCCAGAGGAAGCTCAAGGAACGAGAGGAGGTTCTGCTCTCCAAGTTGCATCAGGAGCATCGGAGGCTGAAACGCTCACTTCTGGCTCCAAAACGGATGGCCCTGAACATGAACCATGCCAGTCTAAACGGTGGCATGAGGACGATCTCCGAGGGCGAGCATGGTGATGAGGGTAATGCAAAGATTGGAGAGAATGGGGTTGACGCGGTCGCCCAGGCAACCTCACAAAGCAACCAGAACAACAACGGCGCAACAGACCTTGACAAAATGCTCCCAGCTTTACACAAAGCTCTTGAGCTGGCCAACACTCCGTTCCACCTTTCACGTTTTGATGAACGTGTTCTGCAGCAATTTGATGATTTTGTCGATCACCTTGGAACGGTGTATCTTGGAGATGCAGACCCATCTCGGACCATCATCAATGCGCATCCAGCCCTGGTCCTAGCAGAGAGCACTGCTAAAGTCAAAGGCTTGAACCAGAAGGGAGAAGAATGTACGGGCGGCGGGGCTGACATCTGCGCTTCGCTGGAGGACCCAGAGGGGGCTGTAACACCCTGCAGAGTAGAAGACTGCATGAACGGCATTTACAAAATCATCTACACTCCGCAGAAGGTTGGCCTTCATTTCCTGAGAGTCACAATAAGTGGGGATCCAATCAGCAATAGTCCACTAGAGGTGGAGGTGAAACCAATTCGCCTTCTCCCCAACAAGGCCTTCATTGGTGGAAACTGCACTGTTGCAGTGGAAATGCCACGTGAGTACAACCTCCCCTGCGTGGGGAAAGATGGCAAGGACCTCGGGAAGACACAGAAGCTCTCCCTTCAGAATCTCAAGATTGCCATTCTGGATCCTGAAGGGGAGGACGTGGAAGGATCCGTCGTGGGATCCATGAAGCGGCGCGGCGTCATCTGCACCTACACCCTGAAGTACAAACCGAAACAGCCTGGGTTCTACGAGATCAAAGTCAACCGGCTCGGTCAGGACAATGTCCTGTTGGCTCATGTCGTGATGCCAGTCAGTGAGAAAGAGCAAATCGGCCGGAGGGGCCACGGGAAGGGCCAATTCGACAACCCAACAGATGTCCTCATGACTTGTGAGGGGGACCTGATCATTGCAGACACGGTCGAAAATGAGCGTGTGCAGTGCCTCAATTCCGAAGGCCAGTACAAGTACGATTTCCCCTTCCCTGGGCAAGAGCCTGTACTCCTTGCAGCCAGCACCACCTGCCTAGTTGCTCTCTTACTCAACGCAAAGCGGGTCCAAATCCTTACCCTCAAAGGAGAACAAGTCCTGGAGTTCGGCCATGACGAGTTCAAGCAGCCGTATGGCATTGCCATCAACTCAGACAACAAAGTCTACGTCAGTGATCGCGGGGCACATTGCATCTTTGTCTTCACCCCGGAGGGCAAATTCTGGAGGCAGATCGGGAAGCACGGATCAGGTCCCGGCGAGTTTGACTTCCCGAACTACATCTTCATCGATCCCAGCGACAATGTCTTTGTGACCGAGGCCAAGAACTGTCGCGTCCAGATGTTCAAGGGGACGGGGGAGTACACAAAGGAGATACGATCCCCGGACAAGCTGCCTCAGCCTGGTGCCATGGTGGCCACAGCTAGTGGCTATCTCCTAGTACACAACGAGTCCGATAACCGGGTCCAAATGTTGAATCTTGACACCGGGCGGTTCGTGGGGAGCATCCTGGTGGATCTCATCGCGCCGTATACCCGACGGATTGCCGTGACGAAGACTGGATTTCTGGTGGCTCTGGATATGAGCAGCCACTGCTTATGGAGATATCCCATCCCATTTGAATGAGCAAGACCTGGCTTACATTGTGTTTAGTTGATTTGGATCCTAAAGTTTGACAGCTGGTCAGGTGGACAGTTGCAGCTTGACCATTTCAGACATCAGTGATATAACCCACTGACTTTTTGGGCAGAAGGTGTCAACAATGGAACATCATAATAGTAATTTACATTTACATAGTGTTACATACTTTGCTGTGAAATAGGGCTGTCCATTTCCAAATAATTTAGTATTTGATACCCGAAATTGCCTTTGACCAAATATTCGCATATTCGAAACTGCTAGCTGCATCTACGTGCTGCGCTGGTAAAAAGTACACGAAGAGCGCACCAGTAAAAATTGGCGAGCGGCAAACGATATTGGGCGCTGGAGTGTGTCACAGCATCTACAAAGGGCTTTGACCTTCTTAAAGGATGTGAAAGATGAACCGCCGTCGGCCAAAAAAAAGGTTACCGTTGATAAACAAGTTGACCAAAAAAAAGGTTACCGTTGATAAACAAGTTGACCAAAAAAGGTTACCGTTGATAAACACGTTGACCAAAAAAAGGCTACCGTTGATAAACAAGTTGACCAAAAAAGGTTACCGTTGACAAAAAGTAGCACCTGACAATAAAGTGCCGATAAAAGATATTCGAATATTCCGTTGATGATAGAATATTCGAGTATTCGGTATCTTCAGGGCAGCCCTACTACGGAAAATCCAAACTGTACATTTGAGGCATTTGTGTGCACAAACATATATAGTTGAATGATTTAGGCCTACTTTTAGTGCTGTCTTGTATTCCATTGGTTTTACACTCTAACACAATTTAAAAAGCTCAGGAAAAAATATGAAAAAAAAATGTATATACTGCAAATTCACCAGCAGGGATATTATATACTGCAGAAACCATATTGTACCATAGAAGTCCACCCTGTATAGCAGCTGATGTTTTGAAACATAATGTATACCACAAAATTTTACAACTGCTTCTGGCATTCAGTTTGACTTTTGACTAGAAACTATTATTTTATTTCATTCAGTTTTCTTTTTTTGTTTGGAATTCGCCCAAGAAGCAAACCACAATTGTTTTCCGTGAAAATTTTATGTGCTATGAAGTTATCCCTCAGCACCAATGTTTTTCGGAGTTAAATTTCAACATGTTTCGAGGAGTGTGTCCTCCCCCACCCTATCCCAACAAAAGTATTCAATTTATACCCTGCGCTTTATACAGGAAAATTAACTTTTATTCCCTTGGATCCAAAAACCTTGAAACAAACATGCAAACATATACTAGACCGGCCCAAAATTTTAACAAGGCACCGTTCTCTAGCCATAGTAAGCAATAATGGCACACCTTGCAAATAATTTCCCTATAATCTGCTTTGGTATCTAAGCAATTCTCAATAACCCCAGCCATCTGTACTTATGAGCGTGCTTCTCATTATAATCTCGTATCACGCAAGAGCTCTGCCAAGCACTCCCATTGCAGGGCTACTGATATTTGCTTATCATTTTATGAGGCTTTGCCTAACATCAATATCCAGAAAGGATTGATTGGATTTTAAAGGGGACAACTAAAACCCTTTTGTTTTTTTAAATTTTTTTTTTTTTTTTTTACAATATCCACTGTATCACTTTTGGACGATTCTTTAAAATTTGAACCTAAATAAAAATATTTTGGCAAAAAAGTGTTTTATGTGATGTAATAAAAATGATTAGGCCAAAAAAATAAAAATAGTACTGCTTCCATTTCCCTACCTACCCTATTCTGACAGCCCCTACCCTAATTTTTTTTATTGGAAAAATGAGGGGAAAAAACCCAAAACCATCACTTTATACCTTTTACCCTTGACTACACGCAGACGCCTCCATATGATCGTACACAAAACAAATTGGCCAAAAAAAAGTCACTACTTTCCTACCCTATTTTTGAATGCCATGTAATCAGAAGCAATTTTTTTTTTTTTTGGCCTTATTGTTCACTAAGGTGTTGCTAGTAAGTAAAGATGCAAATTTCTTAAGAAGTTTCATAAGTTGGTCTTTCCGTGCACAAATTAGCATCATTTTAATTACAAAATGTCACACACGTGACTGATCAAAATGTCACACACGTGACCACAGAACAATTCCCATTTAGTAAAACTAAAGCAGAGGGTGAACATTGTTAAATGCATTCTGTAAATCACAAAAGACCAATGTCCTTTTTGTCTTCAATTATCATGCACTTTCAATCTTTGTATTGCCATTATAAATTGTTTTAATTCTTTATTTTTATGCCAATTAAAGTTTCCATATTCATGAACAAAACAGAGATGTTATCTGAAAGTAGAGACTTTAGTGTTACAGCTGTTAAAGATAAAAGGCTTAAAGCTCTGTTATTTTTCAAGTTAATTTGTGGTTTTGTTGTGTTTTTTCCATTAAAAAATGCATGCCATTTTTGGAAAAATTTGCGAATATACCGGGGTTTAGTAACAATTTCTAAAAGAGTGGTTTTTCTGAACTGATATCACAGCAACAGCGCCCTCTATCATCAAGAAATAGTTAATGAGGAAACTTAATCAGGTTGCAGACCAGTAAAAAAACTGCCATAGACCCCAGTGATAAACACGCCCACACTTCCGAAATTCAGGAAAAATTCTCGCAACTCTCCAAGCTGTTTGAGACACACATCAAATTGAAGCTTATTTTGTCATCTTTCCTTTTCTGTTCAATGTTTTGGGGGGTTTAACCAATGACTTTTGGGAGAAACTTCCATCCAAAGATAATCACCCCTAAAGGTAGTTCTGTAACCCATCGCCATTTTGAAAAAAATGATGCCTGCGCTCCGGGCAAAACAGAGCAATTGTAGGGCCCAATTTCATCAACATTTCACAGAAATACGAGCTTGCAGTCCTGCGCATGGCTTACACCCTTCTTTTCTACAAACTCTAAAGTTCATGGCCCACAAAATGCTTCAATATTGGAGCATTTGATGGCGGACAATGATTTGGCCGGCCTAGGCAAATTCGAGCCTATTTACTGGCCTACACCCATCTTCAAACAAAATAGCTGTGCTACATTGTAGGGTCATAAATTGACTTAACATCCCAGCAATAGCGCCCTCTGTTGTCAGGAAAAAGCATAGACATTGTAAACAGCACTTGACAGTTTCACATCGGAAACTTTTAAATTAAATTTAAAAGTTCAGGAAAGAGTAGTGTACTTACAGCTTGGCCCGATAAGGGATCGATAAAGTCAGCCCAGTAACCGGCGTCAGAAAGGACCCTGCACATCTCCTTGGCACTCTCGAAAAACTGCAATCAAGCAAAACAATAAAATTAAAATATACTTGTATTTTAAAATATAGTAAAATGAAAGTGATGAAAGGAAGTGGAAACCAACGTTGCCAAAGTAGCACAAAAGACGTAAAAACCACACATTATGACAGATGGATTTTTGAGGCCTAGCAAGGACTTGTGAGGACTTGTGAGGGTTTGTGAAGAATTGTGATGGACTTGTGAGGACTTATGAAGTCTAGCAAGGACTTGTGAGGACTTGTGTGACTTTGTGAGGACTTGTGATGAAATTGTGAGGACGTATGAAGTCTAGCAAGGACCTGTGAGGAATTGTGATGGATTTGTGAGGACTTATGAAGTCTAGCAAGAACTTGTAAGGACTTATGATAGACTTGTGAGGACTTGAGGGTTTGTGAAGAATTGTGATGGACTTGTGAGGACTTAAGAAGTCTAGCAAGAACTTGTAAGGACTTATGATAGACTTGTGAGGACTTGAGGGTTTGTGAAGAATTGTGATGGACTTGTGAGGACTTATGAGAACTTATGAGGACTTAAGAAGTCTAGCAAGGACTTGAGAGGACTTGTGAAGATTTGTGAGGACTTGTGATGGACTTGTGATGAAATTGGGAGGACGTATGAAGTCTACCAAGGACTTTTGAGGAATTGTGATGGACGTGTGATGGATTTGTGAGGACTTGTGAGGGCTTTGGAGAACATGTGAGGACCTGTGAGGACCTGTGAAGTCTTCAAAGGACTTGGGATGGACTCAATAACAATGCTGCGAGACCGAGCATCAGTCTTACATTGTCCATGAGTTCGTTTCTTTCCTCCTCCACTTCATTGCTCCAACCCGTCATGTTGTTCTTTGTCCTCTGGCAGAGAGTCACCACGGTCAACTTGTCGGAACTCCCCATCTGTACCCCCGGAAACAAGCCCAGGAATTCTGCAAAAGAATCAGGGTTATAAAGTCTGTTAAAAAAAAATGTCTCCCCCTACAGCCAGCCATTAGAGTAGCATTAAAGTTCCTTAACCGTGAACATTCCAAACTCCTCAACAAATCCATTACAAGTTTGGTCGGAATTTTGGAAGTTGATTGCAACAAAAACAAGCAAAACACTACAGGAGATTTTTCTTACCTTTCCTGAGGTTTTCTGGGCAGTCTTGGGCGATGCATTCAAGGGCCTGAGGATGGTTCTTGAAGGACTCCTTGTCTGTCTTCGCTCCTGGGAGGTCATGCTCCTGTAGAGTAGTACAACAACCAGAGAAATAGCAAAATGAAACTGAGCCACAAATATTGAAAACAGTTATTTTGTTAACCCTAACTCCCTAGGCATTTTTGCCAGGATGCAACCTCAATCCTTCAAAATCCTCCAACTGCCTCCATGTAAAAATTGCATACAGACTCAATCCTCCAAAATCTTCCGTTATTTCTTGAATGTGGTCCTTGGAGGGTGACCACTGCCTCAATCCTGCAAAAGCCTCCGGCAATCACTGTCAATATGTTGAGGCAGAGCCAGTGACACCCTGGAGCAGTGCGGAGGATTTCAAGTATAATCTAGGCCTGAATTTATGCATGGCAGAGTATAAACAACACAAGGTCTGGCCCAAGACCTTGACACAGTGCATCCTCCAAAATCAGCCACAATTTTTGCCATATAGCCTCAATCCTGCAAAATCCTCCACTTTGAAACAAGAATTTTGGAGGATTTGGGAAGGTTAGCGTTAACAATAGTTTCTTGATTAGGGCTGTGCATCGGAACCGGATATTCGAGTACCCGACAATGTCAGGAATCAGTTCCATTTTTACGGATCGGGTATACGGAAAGACCTTTAAAAGTTACTTGGCAACTTCTCAGACAATGAAAAAGAAAGGTTTTGAATGTCATTTTTCGGGAATGTTTAAACTGAAAACCAGGCTACATGGAATTTACAAAACAGATGTCAAATTTACGACTCTTGTGAAAGTTGCAGTTTTCACCATAACGCTATAAAGCTCACACTGTCACAGTGACTGTACACACATGAATTGCTGCATTGCGCCAATGTGGTAGTATTATTGCGCGGACCTTTATGCACAATCTGAACAGAAACTTCCGAGATCTGAATTTTGGGGTTGGATTTCTTTAACGGATATCCGGGTACCCGGGTACCCAAGTCTTTTATCAATCGGGTACCCGGTTTCCGTACTACCCGGCAATGCACACCCCTATTCTTGACCCTACACTAATAACGAAAATGCTTCATAACCCACCTCAGAAACAGTGTTCACAAACTGAGCAAGAATGCTGGCATGGCGGTCCTGCGGAAGAGCTTTGGTGAGGATGTCGGGAACCGCCTCGCGGGCTACCGGGACAAACGAGGCATTAGCCTGTGATGCCAACCCCGTGTTGCCGGGCAGAGGGAACTGGTGGTTGGGTGGGCCCAGTGGTCCCAGATCGGCATCGGAAATGCCCGACGAACGCGCCTCAAACTGGACATCTGCAGAATGAAAATAAAAGAGCTGCTTATTGGGATTTGGAATTATTCTGAGCAAATTTATCTGCTAGGTAAATTCCTTGGGGAAAAAAAAATCAGTCACATTTTAGTATTAATGGGGTACAAAAGCTATGCTTCACCCTATACTAACGTTGTTCGAGTACAATGTATGTATTTATTGTGTTGATTTATGATAAATGTTGGTTTGAATTTAATTTATATCCAATATAATACATATAATTATAACATTAATTTATATATGAAGAACAACGTTGAATAAATGTCTAGTAATGCATAATGCATGATACATTGGCTGGTAAGCGCTTTGTTTTCAGCAAATCTGTGATACTTAGCAAATATAAGATACCATGCACCCTCAATCAGGTCAAAGGCTCAGTATTAGGTTGTTTTGCCCTTCACTGGCATGATGCCATAAAGGCTGAATACTCAACATTGTCCGAGGAGTTGCGAGAAAAAAATCACGACCTCCTGCTTACTAGTCTAGATGTCTTACCACTCGATCACCGGGTTTGCTGACGTTTGGCTGGCTAGTTTTACCCTTAAGGTTAAGGAGATTTTGGGAATTTTGCGAAGAGGATTTGGGAAGGTTAGGGTTAATTAACCACAACATAACAAGTCGTGATATGATGTTTTTGGTATATTAACAAATTAAGGTTTATGGACAAATCAAAATAACTCTGACTTATAAATGCTTAATAAAGCTGTGAAACAGAGAGCTCTTTGAGGGTTCAGCGAGGTTTTTTTTGGGGGGGGGGCAGCCTGTATTTAGTGATGCCAAGCACTACAAACCTTCAGCGTTAGGTTCGTTTCCGGCACTGCTGCATGAGAAGCCTGCTCTGGGTGCGCAGACGAGAGCCGCTCGCTGCTGAAGTGACTTCAGACCCGGCAGGTAGCTAACAAGGCGAGTGCGGCTTAACAACTACAGGAAAGAGAACAGAAAGTTGAGATAAGGATGTAACCGATGTTTACTAAATAACAGGTATTCTTCTGATGCACGTTGGTAAAGTTGACGAACGCGCAGTGGAAACCACGAGTATCATGACCCTTTCAAGCACGCTACGTGATTTCTATTCTGCCCAAAAGCCGTCTGACTTTTGCCCAAAAACCGTCCGACTTTTGCCCGAACTTACAGGATAACTGGACCTCTGAAGGTACAAAATTCAACATTTTTTTTAAATAAGCAGTTCACGATTGGTTTTGGTGATTATAAAGAGACGAAATAGATTTTTATTTGATTTTAAGCTACCCTAGCAACGGACCTTTTCCACACATTTTGGTTTATCGGTTTGTGTGGCTTAGTAGTACTGAGTACGTCCAGTATTTAACCCACATTTATGGGGCTAGGCTTCACTGAGATGATGAAAAAAAGTAAAGTGGAATCACAATGCAATATTCTTTCCTTAAAACTTAAAACTAAAAGCACTTACTTTGGCCATTCTGGCAGTTGGCCTATGTGTCATCGGCAGTGAAGATTGGGAATCCACAACAATGTCAGTTAGTTTCTGAAATACGATTACAAATGAGAATGAATGTTGAAATAAAGATTAGAAAATTAAACTTAATTTTAATTTAAGTTAAAGGTCGAGAAACGTCATAAAATTAAAAAATACCAGCGTTGCTGTTGAAATCCCGCTCAGCCAGGGTAAAGTTATCATCCGGAATGTACCAAAAGTTATAAATATGATGAAGAAACACTATAAGTATTAGTCCGAGTAACTTGGACCCAACTTATCGCCTTTTTAAAAATTTGGACATGGTCTGGCGATAGTAGGGTCCAAGCCCATTCCTCGACCTAGACAACACAGTCACTGACAGTCCCAAAAACCAACATTTTCCAACAAAAAACATCAGATTTCACCTTCAAAACGGCCTCCAAATTACTAGATATGTCACCTGAGGTACAAGTAGACATAGATGATTAAGATGGTTGTACTTAACTTTACTTACGATCCGGAAAAAAAGTGAAATTTTCCGTTCAATTCTGGAGACCCCCTCTGCCTAGGTTGTCGTTGTTGTGCTCACGTTCAAAACTGCATGATAATGGCGTCTGACCTCGACCTCATGCAAATGTGGTGCGGTGCGCTTGCGCATAATGCACTGCATGCATACACGGCAGATTCCCCTGCGCCGCGCCGACGACTGTTTCCTGATGTAGAGCGCTGTGTAAGTTCGCGGTACGCCTGGGAGTACACCTCTATGTTCCGACACCCCTATGTTCCGACTGCACATATTCCTATTCCTATTCCTAACCCTAACCCTAACCGGGGGTAACACAATCTAGGTTGTCGGAACATAGGGGTGTCGGAACATAGAGCAGTCACCGGCCCATTGACTTCGTGCAGGAGGTCTGACTACATTGATGATGATAGTATAGATTGTGTACACAACCGCTGAATCGGCGTTAGGTTGCAACATTTTTTTTCAATAAAGCAGAAACCACTTACGTCTGCTCCTACTTTACAGGTTTCGGTAAATACAGTCGGGTTTTTACTCATTTAATGCCTAAGTTATACGAGGCCAACTTGCAACAAATATTTTCACGTACAACTAAAAGTAAGTAAATTTTATAATGTCAGATTCTCGGACTTCCTCTGCAGTGCGATATACGTATTGGGGCCGCTTACAAAGGAACCAGTCTAAGAGGAAAATGCACGTACGGTATAAAGAGCGCCCTCTTGGGACGGTAACAAACTGAAATTCGGTCATGACCAAAATCCTCAAATTGCCCGGCCGTGGCAATTCGAAAAGCGGGGGAAGGGGGGGGGGGGGGGGCTGGCTGGACACCACACTATACTAGGGGCGCTCTTCACGATAAAAATGTCATGATGTATACTCGCACTTACATTTTTAAAGCTTTTGTACTTTGTTTTTGTCTCATCACAAACAAGTGGGAGGGGCGGGGGGGGGGGGGGGGACGTGATTCAAGTGCCCATCCCCCTGGTCAAAAAGTGGGGGCAAGGGGACATATCCCCCCATCCCGGGCCCCGGGATTTAGCCCCTGATTCCACGTGTCGGCCTGTGTAGTCATGGCCAAATCGAAGCACACTCTTTCGATTCAAGACAGCAAACTGATCAAAATACTGGTTAACATAAACAAAATCCTAAATGCTTGAAGGCTTTTAGGTTTCGTTTTTGTTGTTGTAACAACTCCTTGTGAAAACATCACAGCTGAAAATACTTATGTCCCCTTCCCAAATAGCGGGCCTTCCTCCATGGGGTGACTGACTGTCCGACGTCATGAGACATGAAATGTTTATTTTTATTGTGAAGGTTCTCTAAACATTATACCAGTCGTTTTTGGGGAGCCTTCATCTGTCAACAATCCTATAGATTATGTTCAACACAAATATACTTCTTCGTAAGTTTTTCAATGCCACTGTATGCAGCCTTCAAACGGGCTGTAGACAATCTTGACAGAAAAAAAAAGGCATTTAATTTAAAATAGCTAATAATGGAGCAGAATGATCACGGTAGCCAGCATCGAACCTCTCGTTTTTGTAAAGTAATTAATTTGCTACATTTAGATGACAAATTGCCGCTTGTCAAAATTGAGTAGTTCAAATATGGTAACACAAATGAATTCAATACAATGTTTATAAAATCGTAACTTGGTTTTCAATTACCACCGGTGCGTTCATATAAACTTGTTCTCAACTGGCAACTCTGTTGAGAACCTGGCAGAAAGGATCTTGGTAAGTTTATATTATACGAATAACCAATACCCGTAATGTTGACAGCCTAGGCTGTCCATCACCACCCTCACTGACTGGATTCGTGTGCCAGGGAATGTCAAATGAAATACAATCCAAGCCTAAATAAATAAAATTAAAACGCAGCAAGCAAAATATCCTCGCGGTAAAACTGCACCTTGAGTATTATGTGAAGGTTATCGAATGTTTGGGCGTTTAGGAATGTAACATGACGACTATAAAAAATCGAGTAAATCTGGTCACGCCTGACTAAAATCCTGACAGCTTACTTGAGGTTTTTTCTTACATTGTCTGCCTGTCAGTGAATGAATAAAGTGGGACTGACGGGGATAAAACCACACAAAGCGGGGCTCATCGCGCTACTCCGCCTCGACCCATTCATCGCCGTCAACAATACCGTTAACGAGCGTCTGGGCACGGGTGATTGACAGTCGCGAGCCCCGCTGACTGGGGCTGATCCCTCGTAAAAACTGACTTACCTTGTGTTTTTTTGTGTAAGGGCCTGGTTTATACTGGGAGTCTGGGCCAGCCGTCTCACGCCAGTCAAAATGAATTCAATCAAGCTCGCTCTAGTTGTTTGTTTCACCAATTGATTTTTTGGGGTATTATCTTTACGGGGCCCAGGGAATTTGGTTTATGGGCACGAAGCAGTCAAAACTGTTGGCAGAGGTTAATTCAGATCATTCTGAAGAGGAACTTCGACAGAGCAACATCGCATTATAAAATCCAAATTCCAAGTCTGGCAAAGTTGAGAACATAACAGCTTCCAATTAGTTTTAATTTTTTTCAAGAAATCAAAATAATCTTGCTCTATCGCCACCATGATGGTTCCATCACTGAACAGCATCATTGCTTTTGGCCTCCTCATCTTGCTGACCGTATTACCAGCCGTCGAAGGGTACCTCTTGGCCTGGGCGTACGGCAGACAGCTTGCCAGTGGCTCGGTAGAGGACGATGCCGCCTTAAATCACCCGAGAAACGTCTACGGCCGGGACACATCGTCAGCCTCAAGAACGAGGGATGAAAATGGAACTTCAGAAGACGAGGTAGCCTAAATTGTGATTTTTTATTTAATTTTTTAAATTCCAAAGAATCTTTAGTACAATAATTGACAGAATAGGGAAGCAAGATACATCAGGTGGGGATTTTGTTTCAACTGAGAAAGACACTACGAGAGCAAAATCGCACTAAGTAATGCTGATTTTTGGTTTTATTTTGACGAAAATAGCTCAGGGTGTGCAAGAGCGACAAAGCCTGTGGAAGGGGATTCTTTTGCGATCGTCACTACGGGGAATGCCTCCCTCACCACCAGGAGCTGGAGCCGTGTCGACGGGACGGACACTGCGATCGCGGGCTAGAGTGTCGCTTCGGTACCTGCCAGGAGGCCATCAAATCCGGAAATGTCGGTGAGTTAAAAAAACACACCTAGTATAGCGAGACCAGAAAGCTTTTTATTTTGCATATTGCTTTTTAAGCGTATCTAAGGCAAGGGAAAGTGGTTTTAGCCTACTTCGTTAAAAAAACGTTCTCCTGCTGTCTTAATTTTATTAAACTCTGAACATGTTGATTGCTTAATTTGATTGACGGATTCAGAGAAGTGATTTTCTCTGTCGGTCAACTTCCAACTTATGTGAACAGACTTCATCTCATTATCAATAATTCTGGGAAGTAAATAACAATTTCAATTATTTGCACCTTGTTTGGTTCCTTCGAGACACGTGCAAATCATCACCAATTAGAAATGTCCTTGTGCACCCTCGCACACATAATCGCAAAGATCTTGGAAAAACTCTTCTTATTTTTCAAGTACTGCTTGGTATAGGCATGGATGGCTGCATCCCTTTGGCCTCCTTGCTATAAACATCCCCTCCCCTCCATTGTTGCATGGATTGGTGGGGGTATTGTTAGGGGGTGGGGAGGTGTGGCACCCTGTTGATATTCTCACTATAAGTCTCTCCATCTCTCTTCTCTGCAATTAAGATGTTCTTGTCATGCTTGTCTCCTGTCACGGCGTTGTCTTGATTAGGATCTAATCCGGGACACCAGCACCCCTCCCCTGTCCCTCAAAACATATGAGGAAAACTGTCTAGATTTTGTTTGTCTTCTCATAACGGCCACTTGTATGGTGTCTCCCTGCACATTTCCCTAGAAAAACACATACACCAAGTGTTACGGGGAGCTAGCTCGACCTGGTTAATTTTATTGCCAGTTTTCAAACTAATGACTGGTGCGCGCTTTCACGTGGACGCTCAGCACTGAATACCGACACATAAATCAAACTGGTCAAAACGCAAATTTGCATATACAGCGTAGAATGGGAGAAAAAGCTAGGTTTCCGTCCTTCTTGCATTAACCAGCAACAAGATATCACGTCACTGTTTCAAGAGGAGAGGACACATTTCTCGATCTGCAAAATTGAACTTTAATAATGTCCCCTTAAAATTATCTTGCCTTTTCTTCCCTATAATGGCTAGTCTAGGGTCCCATTCCCAGCGTTCTATACACAAAACATCAACAGTGTCGGGGTACTGTGGTCTAAACCATTCTTCCAAAAAGATAACATCCAAAACCCAAGGGTAGTATTTTGGAGACGACAAAGAAAAACCTGCACAAAAAAAATATCCGAGCAAATAATCGGAACACACAGCGAGTTTTTCCGGGGAACACACACCGTGACGACTGTCACCACTTATTGTCATGTTTTTGTCTGTGGAGATGCCTGGCACGCAGCTACCCGCTGCGTTCATTGTATGGGGTCCCCCGGGGTGTGCTGTCATTAAATTTGACTGGCAGCTACCGGACGACTTAAAGTATGTCCCTCCAGTCAAAAAAACATCCCTGGTCCCAAAAATCTAAACTTGTATGGCTTCAAAGCTGGGACACTGGGGACCTCCAGCATTATTTTTGATTCTTCGAAAACGTTTATATTTGAATCGTTCCAAAACTTGCGCATACAAAGCTTTTTTTTTTAAAATAGACCAGATTTTAAATATTCTTGGATAAGTTGTCATAACTAAGTGTTGTAGGATGTCAGTTTCGCGTTGTTAATTTCAACTGCATAAAATTACTGGTAAAGATAAGTACAAAAAAACACAAATCTCTCTCCATTATACCACCCATGTTGCATTTGGGTTAGGTCCAATCACATTTGCCTTATTTGGATATCATCCAATAGCAGTTGTCGTATCATTTTTACGGTGTATCCAATGACGGTGGTCGTACCAATTGAAATTCATCCAATAGAAGTGGTCGTATTACAGAATCATTCGCGTCAGTCCCAATTAGACTAATCACCGCAAACCTGACAAACTTATCCTTGAAATCCCTTCATTCCGCTCAGAAATCTCCACTGGGAAAAGATTTAGACTGACAGGCCCTGTTGTTCGTTCCCCCCACAAAAGGAAAACACCAACCTGACAAGTTGAGCCACTAGTAATTTGTCAGTCTTTAGACAAACACGAACAATTGAGCTCCTTTTTTTGACGGGGTGGCGCGATTTCTGCAATTGTATAACTAAGAGCACTAGCTGTTTGTAAAAAGTATCGGACAGTTCAGGAAGAACACATGCGACTGTGAACCAGTTGGTTCACTGCATCTGCAGGAGTGTAGAAGTAAGATGGAATGTGACAGCCTATGTCAAATGGATGCAATAAGAGAACATTTTGAAACAGTTTAAAGGACGTTTGTTTAAAAACATGGCCTCCAGTATTTGGCCCATTTTGTTCGCCCCATTAGTTTCTTAACGCTACATTTCTCATTCGACGGACAAACGCTACTCAATCTGATGTAAAGAATCCATTTCAGAAGACATGAGCTGCACGAAAGCAGTTCGTATTTAGTTAAGCCACTGAAGCAGAAAACAATTCGGCCATCTTGCCAGTAAAGTTTTCTGACGTCATGCTCATTATACTGGACTCTTCCATTTTTATCACTGCAGGGGCTCGCTGCAAGAATGACAAGGACTGTGGCGACACCATGTGCTGCGCCAAGCAACACGGCGAGTCCGTCTGCAAGGCCCGGCTACCCCTCGACGCCAAATGCTACGTGCCGGCTGGGGGCGTGGAATACACGATTGACAGTATCTGCCCGTGCATGGACGGACTGACATGTAGGAGGACGCGTGAGAGGAGAGAGTAAGTCAGACAAACAAACAAACAAACAAGCAAACAAAACCCATCAAACCAACCGACGAACGAAAGACAAACAAACCTGCCAACAAACCAAAACCCATGAGCCAAATTACCAAAGTATTCAGAAAGTCAACAAAGAACCCTTGAAATGACATGTAAATCACGCTCACTAAAGTCTGAGGAAGTTTATTCTGATAAATTGCATTCCTCTGTTTCCGACCAAAATGACCTTTGTTTGACCCTAAAAATAAATCCCCAATCGACATTTTTCAAAACAGTGTTACAACAAGAAGCAACAGCGATATATGTATTATGTGCCTACCGTATATGATGTCTGTTATTATATAATTAATTTCATGCTAATTTATGGTAATTTATGGTAATTTTCTTTCAGGGAGGAGCTTGTGTGGCAGTTCTGGACCGACTACGACCACATGAGATGTTCGCCTATCCACCTCTCGCCGCATGACCAATGATGACGTCATTCTGACGTCGCAGGATACGATCAGTCTGTGTATGTCCAATTGAAGATAGTCTTTTAAAAAAAGTTTTTTGTAAATACCCATCTATGTATGTGTATATCTAGCTTCCAAAGTTTTTGGACAGAGAATTAACTTCAAAAGTTAAATATTGTATTAAGTCCCTTTCTCGCATTTGCTTGTCACAAAACACACACATTGACTATAGGGGAAGTGTGATTAATCATTTAAAAAAAACGGTCGAATTGTTCCCCTTTTATACAAGCTTCTAAAATCTTAACTAAAAATATGCTTGAAGCTGGAGTAATATTATTTATTAATGATTCTTTTGTACCAATCATTGAAAACAAAAATCTCATAGGAAATCGATGTATGCAGATCTTAGTTTCTCAACCAAAACATTGAAGTCAACTTACCATGGCGTAAGCCCATCACGGAAAGAACTGAGATATACGCATACATATGCATTTTACTTATAGGGGAATCGAACCCAAGACCACACAGGCGTTGGCACTTATATAAAATGTGAATTCCATTTGGAGGACGAAATTAAGGAACATTTTGGACTACTTCGAAAATTTCAAATGTGAATAACTTTTGAGAAGGGCTTACTAAATTTATAATTTAACATTATTGTATATAGCTGTATTATAACAACCATGCCATCCATTTTGATGTCCATACTTATACATTGACATTATATGCCAAAAATAAAATGGTTAAACACAAAAAAAATACAAATTGGTCTCGTTTTGAAATGAATGGTCGTTTGTTGTCGAATTGACGGTTTATTCAATTTATGGTGTTAAAGACACCCCCTCCCCCACCGAGTTTCAAAATGTTTGAAATGGGTACACTTATTAAGGAAGTACATGTACTTGAAATGGTAAATCTCCTTATTTTTTACGCATCGCCATTACTCGACCCAGTTTGAAGTGGGTCGACAACCGCATTTCCTAAAAATACACCTATAACATCGGTGTGGTTTTGCCCAAAAATAAAATGGCGGCGTCCACACTGGCAAATCTGGAAGTAAAAATCCAGCATATTTTCTCTACTGTCCAAATCTCCTGCAGAACAAAAGAAGTTAGACATGTTTGCCATACTCACCTATGGTGAAATACAAATTCAGTTCGTATTCTTGTTCGTAACTTTCGGTACTATAGGAAAGAAATTATCCCATGTTATGGGTTGCAGGTGTGAAAATATTTTCCAGCAAGCAACGTCGACTCTTTAGTACGGAACGGCAGTGCAGTGGGATAGGTACCAACCCTCCTCGAATGCATGAATGACCGGGTCACGGTTCCCAAAAATTGCTCAAATTCAACTGAGCCGTGACCAAAATACAAAGAAAAGTGACAAGCTAGATCCTATGAAGTATTTGTTTTGCATGAGACTGTTTGAGACTATTATTAAAGAAACTTCAGACCAACAAGTGTGGGCTGTGTGCCAAAAAAAAAAAAATTCTGCCAAAAGTCCCTTCTGCTGCGCTTGTGATGTCCGACTCTGCTGCGGCGTACTCACGACAAAATCGGGCCCACGTATGACCAAATTTTCTGAATGTTTGACTTCACGATGAAACCACCCTTCGGTCCCAACTTTTAGTTGTAATTTTTTTTCAGTACAAATACTTTCCCAACATCAGTCTCTGCGGGAATTTATCAAAACACGTCATTAAGCGCGCACTTGAATTTCAAACGCAAATATTGACTGGTTCCCTCCCCCTATAATTACATGCAAATCAGAAAAATTGAGGGGGCCGGGAGCCAGTCTAGACGCAGGCAGCGATTTGAATGTCGTAAAATCGCAACAGTAAAGTTGAGAAGAAAATAAACTTCAAATCTATCACCACAATTTTTTTTTATTATTATTTTGCCACAGGAGATTGGCCTACTACAATTTCAAATATTGGTTTTATATAAAAATCCGTTCCAAAATATAAAAAACTGAACTCATATCAGCGTGCAAACATAGTACAGATGCATACTTAGAGTGGATACAAAACTCACATTTCTTTTGGAAAGATCAATAAAAACAAATTTATGTAAACATATTTTTAAGGCAAAAAGTAGCAATATGGATCAAATTGGTTGCAGAAATTCAAATGTAGGTTTCTAAATCCTAAGCGTTTAGCCATATCTTTAGCATATTGTTTTATATTGCGTTATCATTTCAACAATAGTACGTCACATTCTTTCGTTAATGTTTTTAATCTGGTTTCATACTCATTTGCCACCTAAATCGTACAATAAAGGATAGACCACAACCTTAATTCTGAAAACAAAAAATACACTGCCAACAAGTTCTAAAAGTGCTACTACATCCGAATAAGTGCATAATAATGCCAAACCCATTATCGGGTTTTGCCCTTTAACGATCATTTGGCACTCCATACTCTGTTCCTTCCAAGAGTGTTTTGAAACATTCACAGGCCTGCATGGGTGGGACTCGAACTCGCGACCTCCTGCTTACTACAAGGGCGGATCCAGAACACAATTTTGGGGGGGGCCAAAAAAAAATGTGGTCCCCCCCAAAAAAGTGGGTCTCAAAAATTACGGCGTGGGGTTCGGGGCCCGTGAGGGCCCCGAAAAATTTTTGGATTCTAGATGCTCTGTGGTGCGATCTGAGGCAATTTCTGACCACTTTAACCAATTTTTTTTGAGGAAAAGATGGTGGTGTACTCATTGCCTGCCTTTATTGCGATGTCACATTAAAAAAAAAAAAATTGGTTTCGTTTTGGGGGGGCCATGGCCCCCTTTGGCCCCCCCCTGGATCCGCCCTTGGCTTACTAGTGCAGATGTCTTATCACTCCAAGATGTGGTCGTTAGAGGGCAAAGCCCAATGCTAAAAATTCAAATACCAAAAAGCAAAATTCAACCACCAATGTGTTTCAACAATTTCGACTTGCTGTGAGCAATTACCAACCGAAGTGTCACAAGTTTGTATAGACCTTGTGTGTGTAGGCGGGATTACAGGGCAATGGGTCTGTATCGCTAGGATAGGCATGAGGAAACCTTTTTTGTGCATTTATTATAAATTGTACATGAAAATAACGCAGAGTATCCTTTGAGAAACCTGCAATGCATAAAGGTCTTGCTGGAAATCGGTTCTCTTAGAAAAGCATGACTTCACAGGGTTCAATTTGCTTACAGGTGCCGGTGTGCGAAAAAAGCTTCTCAAAACAAATTGCACATGAAGTTGTTAACCACTGTGTTACTGTGCAAGCTATTTTTAAGTTCAGAAACTCTTAAGAAACTACTGAGTTGAAGAAGCCCAACAATTGACCGATCCGTTAGGTTTCACATACTGTGCCTGTCCAAGGCTGCACTTCACGATCAAGCTGGGTGTGTTATGCTAGCGTGAATGCATGTTGGACTTCTGTGGATGCATATCAGACGACCCTCCTCTTCAAACCTACATTCTGTGCAAAGTTGTCCTTGCAGTCAAACGCAATCAAGTGACTGTTTTGAACTTCCCAGATAAAACAGGATTGGCTGGCTGTGACTGTTTGTGTAACTTGATATAGCTATGCTTTGACTGTAGGTGATTGATAAGCCAGCTGTGCCTACTTCTTGCCTGCTTTTTGTCTGTTGACTGAATTTGACTAGTCACAGTGCTTGCTGGAAATATGATCGGACCGTTGGTGACTAGCCCGTGTAAAAGGCATGGCAGGGGAACATACTTGATTTTTTTTGACTGTCTGTGACTGTTTAGATAGCAGGAGGGGTCATGGATATAATTGGTGAAACAAAGGGTCTCTATATTTCTGACTCTTTCAGACACCTAATGTTTGTTTTGAATACATCACCTGGGACTGGGCCAACGCTTATTTCAATCAACTCAAAAGAAGTCAAGGTGCACTAAAAGTAAAGTATGTTTTGTTGGAAAAATCCTTTTTTTTCTCTCTATATTTTCCGCAATTACATCAAGCGTGTATATTTTATTTGATTGTCAAAACAGAAAAACAAAATCAAAAATTAAACAACACATAATTCCGATTATATGACAGTATTAAACTACAAGCTCAGTTTATATGTTCTCCTGGTTTAATTTTCGACGTGCCGTAGCTTGCGGTCTTGCGATTTATCGCACGCATCGGCCAGTGCCAGTTTGGCAAGTGTATCCACTGGGGCAACAGTGCAAGCCATCTGAACAACACACAGCCTGTGGAAATAATATAAAAATACAAGGGGTCGTCAAAGGAAATATACAATTAACATTTGCTGTAATTTTCAGAAATGGATGGATTTGGGGGGTTAGTATTGTGTAGCAAATATTGTCACACTGACTTGTTTGAAGTTTTGTGTTCGTAAATGCTGGAAAACCAAGAAAAACAATCATGTTCCAGTAGTCTGGTTCCCTGGTTAAGATGAGACGGAGCAATTTGTAGACGTCGAGGTCAGGGAACCAGTGTCGCTGGCTTGTACCCGTTCGTAGGTGTGTAATTGATTGCAAACGAAATGTGGACCAACTAAATATGGTAAGTTGGGGGCACCATTTAAAAAAAAAAGCCATTTTTTTCTTAACGCTTAGACAAGATAAGTTTGCGACGGGCTTATGATAGGCTTATGATGGGCTTATGATGGGCTTGTGATGGGCTTATGTTGAGAAGACTCTTACCTTGGGTACTGGGCAGCATCCCCATTGTCCGCTGGCCAGCCGGCAGCAGGTGTTACCGCTGGGGCAATAATGGGTGGCATCACACTGCACGTCACCCTCTTTGCTCCCCCACGGTAGGGCCAGAGTCTTGGTCATCCAAGGCACGTGCTTCGGCTACAGAGACGGAAAGGTCGCAAGGAATGACTTACAAATCTAAGCTTACAGAATCTTGGTTTGAAGTGTTCACTAAACACTTGAAGTATTTTTCAAAGGACCATCAAGTTTAGGCTGTTTCGTACTTCATGCAAATGCAAATGAGATGAATGGGACATCAAAAAACAACAGTAAAAATCTCCAAGCTGAAAGCGGTTCAATTGTTTTTTCAAATTCACATTGCGAAAACTAGCGTAGCAAGATCCAACAGGTCATGAGGTCTAAGGTCAAACTGCCTCAGAGTCCGTGGTTGCCAACTGCGACAGGAAAACAACGGCGGTATTGTTCCATGGGACTAGCACCCATTGTATTAATTAGCCCATTATGTTAATTAGCCCAATGCAGCAATGTCCCGCAGACGTTTACAACCACTGCACCATGTTGCATCTGGCTGGGTTAACCCTTCTCTGCAAATATGCATTATTTGCAAAGTTGTCCTTTTAGTCAAAACCTATCAAGTGACTGTCTTTAACAGGTAAGAGCTCCCAGCCTACATACAGCAGGATTAACGCCTCGTGACTTTTAGTGTACATTGTAACTTGATACAGCTGTGTTTTGACTGTAGGTGATTGATAAGACAGCTGTGCCCCAACTGCCTACTATTGCCCGTTGACTGAATTTGATTAGTCAGAGTGCTTGCTTGAGATACGATCTGACTGTTTGTGATTAATCTGTGTAAAAGGCATGACAGGGGAAGAGGATGGAATTTCTGACTGTCTGTGACTGTTTAAACAGCAGGAGGGTTAAAAGGGTTAATGAAACATACAAACCTTGGGTGCGATTTCTTTGGCTTGGGTCTTGGTTACCATTGGCGTGGACCCAAAGGTACCGACACAAGTGTTCTTAGCTGTGCATTTGGTGTTTTTAGGACAGCAGTGAAGTTTGTCTGAACAGCAGACAGCCTAGGCGAAATCAAAAACACCACAAGTTGTTAACCATGAAGGTGATTATCTAACAGATTTGTTAACTAGAAAATCACCAAAAGAAGAGAAAGGCCGGACCTGTGTGAGACTTGGGTGCAGAAGTGTGATTAATTGTTAATAACTCACATCGGCTGTTTAACAAGGTGCAGGAGTGCGAATAAGTGTAATTATTATTAACAATTAGTATTCCGACAGGAAACCATGGCCGATGCTGTGCCCACTTTACCGTAACACGGTTCTTTCCAACAAGCTGAAAATGATCCCGACCATTGTATTCAAACATGATGCGACTGTTGTAGTACGGCAGATAGGTGATGGGATTGTGCCTTTGACGATCCAAACATGGCATTCGGCCAAGTCAGAGTATGTTATGAGAAAGATATCTGGCTATAGGGCCATTGCTGATTTGTACTTTCAAATAAAATATCGGTCAAATAGCAAGCAATGGCAGCCATTTTGAAAATTTTGAAAATTACTTATTATTCTACTGATACTGTTTTTCAAAGGACAAAACTCAACTTTAGAAACTGTTTTTGAAAATGACTTATTATTCTACCGATATTTTTTTTGAAAGGACAAAACTCAACTATAGAAACTGTTTTTGAAAATGACTTATTATTCTACCGATATTTTTTTCAAAGGACAGAAACTGTGACATCCTTTGGATCAGAAATGTGGACTAAGCTGTTGATTGGCCAATTTGGCTACCATGTTTTTGGCATACAACTGGCTATGGAAGACCGGATAGAAGACACCCGCTGAATGGTCAGAGTCTGGAGGTCAAGACGCAGTCTTGTTTTGCATAATTAATCGCCGAATCTGCTCGCATATCATTGACCCTCGCTGTGCAAAGGGATATACCATAGGCAACCCCCAGCCACCCCCCCCCCAAAAAAAACCCAAACCTGGCAGACTTACTTGCACTAGAGGGCAGCACCCCCAGCTGCCACTTTTCAGCTTGCAGCAAGTCTCGGAGCTCTTGCAGATGGATGTGCTGTTGGGACACACAATACCTTCAAAGTTCTGCATTGACGAGAAAACCACGTGAAAGCTGTCAACCGATGAAAAACAGACTTACCCCTCTCTAGGACATCTCATATAGCTGCGAAGCGCAGACTTTTGCTTAGCAGAGAACAAAATAGGCATAGCACAAGAACAGGGGTTACCAGCTTAAGTGTGATGCAAAGTACATCATGTGACTGGCTCCCAACTCAATTTTGCTTAAGCTTAAAGGGCCCATGCAATGTAATATTTTTAATGCAATCCTTGAAAATGCATCTTTGTGTCTCATTCAACCTTTTTTTGAAATTTTCGTTGTGCCATTTCGAATGGTATTTCGGTGTCTTTTTTGTTTTTATGCCTGTGCAAATTTCATATTCATGAGCAAAACTGTGATGCCATTCCGGGCAGAAACCTCAATGTCACAGCCTTTTAAGCAGAAAACTGTTGCTAGAATTTTTGATATTTTGCTGTCATCAATTTCCTTTTCTTTGGTGATTCGTTGTTGTGTCAGTACATGGCAGCAAGCCAAATGAGCAACCCTTTCACACAATTTTTTTCAAAGAGCAAATTTTTGGGCTCACAATTTGAACGGAAAACCCCTAAACTAAACAGCGTCTTCCTGAAATGACATCACAGCAATAGCACCCACAGTAGTTTGAAATAAAAAAAACCCAGAAAATTTAACATGTTGTAAGAAGTGCACTTTTTAATAAAATTCACCAAAAGGGGATGTCAAACAGTTTTTATCCATGTAAGAGTAGAAAGTTGCACAAAATGTGTTCCGAAGAAAAAATCATTGCATGAGCCCCTTGCTTTTGCTTTAAATTGCTATGGACTCCTGTGTACAATGGGAAAATGTATTGGCAGTATGAGCAACTTATCCTTAGTATGGAATGGTTCTTGGCACAAAATTAAAAGTGAACAGTTCTCAATTTCAGACTGGCTCCTGTCCTCATATGGAGGTCTAAAATATAATTCGAGGGACGGGGAACCAGTCTGCATAGGTGTGGTCGCTAGGCAAAAACTTTTTCACCTGGTGTCCATGGAATGAATTTCAAATGTTCATGAACGGTACACGAGGACCAGTGAAATGAAAGTTCCCTAGCTCCTGCTGCTGGGGGAAAGAGCGCCCTCTGTGGTCTGCAAATGGAGTTCATAATGAACATCATACAATCTACAAAGATAGCTTAGTGATTTAAGCTTTAAGCAAAACGACAGGAAAAGAATGGTGAATCTTGCATGAGAATCTAGCGATGGGTTGAGGCCGGTGGAGTGACCAATCTAACAGCCTCTTGGTGACCTAAAAAGCCGATTTAAGCTGCAAGTTTAATGAGCGCTGTGGATTGAACGGTCATTTTTCAAGCAAAAAACAAACAAACAGGAAAACGTATCAAGCAGAAATCTGAAAATTTAAGAGTACAAACAGTACGAGAAAATAAGTAACAGTGCCTGATAATAGTTGAGTCCTTGTTACATAAAACTGTGGATGAAGAGATTGACAGCATAAGCATGACAGCGAAATAACACGTTCTTGAGATCTTTGCTGTGGATGAAAACGCAGGATGGTTACGATCACAAACAAATAAACATGGTTATGGGTCTTATTAAGACCAGCTCCTAAACAGCTTCAATGATCAACAGTGTATTATAACATGGTGAACATATCACAGTTTAAAAAAAAATGCTGAAATGTGACGAACACAAGTTGAACAGTATGTGCAATTTATGTCATGAGAGTACAACACACAAGCTTTACATCTAAACACAATGACATGCAATACGTATACAATGTATACAAAATGTATACAACTTGTATACAACTTGTACAAACGTGTATACCACAAAGACTTCAATAACAAATCAAATTTTGTGAATAGGACATAATTATGAAAACAGCAATGGGATGATATCATATGGAGTGGATGTGTTGTCAGATGCGTTGGAAAGCAGAAGCTGTTGAACATTTTGCAGCAGGAAGTCCGTATTTACAAGAAGGGTGTCCGTCTTCTCAAACCACGGTAGAACTGAATTTCCAAGTGAACAGGTTCCCTGAGAGACATCACAGGTGTATCCGTGAGGACAGCAGTGGACATGGTCACTGCAACACACAGCCTGTAAGAGAGATACAAAAAAAAAAGATTCAGTTTTAAGGTTCTTTTGGAGACAAAATGAAAATGATGCAAATGTAATTAAATCAAAATAGAAGTTCTCACCTGAGGCAGTGGGCAGCAGCCCCACTGTCCGGAGGCCAGCATGCAGCAGGTGTTACCAGATGGACATTGGGCTGAACCACCAGGGCATACGACATTCGGCTCTGGTACTAGAGGTTTGGCCTCTGTCTTCTCATACCACGTTAGAACCATGTCTCCAAGTGAACAGGTTCCTTGAGAGACATCACAGGTGTATCCGTGAGGACAGCAGTGGACATGATCACTGCAGCACACAGCCTGAAAGAAAGATATCAACTCATTTTAGGTCATAGGACTGTTGGGTAAAAAGCTATTCACATGATGAATCTCATTAGGTTATTAACAATTAGATATTCTTTGCTTACACTAGGGAGTGGACAGCAGCCCCACTGTCCAGAGGCAAGCATGCAGCAGGTGTTACCAGATGGACATTGGGCTGAACCACCAGGGCATACGACATTCGGCTCTGGTACTAAAGGTTTGGCTTCAGTCTTCTCATACCATGACTGTACCATATCTCCAAGTGAACATGTTCCCTGAGAGACATCACAGGTGTATCCGTGAGGACAGCAGTGGACATGATCACTGCAGCACACAGCCTGAAAGAAAGATATCAACTCATTTTAGGTCATAGAACTGTTGGGTGAAAAGCTATTCACGTGATCAATCTCATTAGGTTATTAACAATTAGATGTTCTTTGCTTACAGTAGGGAGTGGACAGCAGCCCCATTGTCCAGAGGCCAGCATGCAGCAGGTGTTTCCAGATGGGCATTGGGCTGAACCACCAGGGCATACAACATTCGGCTCTGGAACCAGAGGGCTCGCCTTTGTCTTCTCAAACCATGACTGTACCATATCTCCAAGTGAACATGTTCCCTGAGAGACATCACAGGTGTATCCGTGAGGACAGCAGTGGACATGATCACTGCAGCATACGGCCTGAAAGAAAGATATCAACTCATTTTAGGTCATAGGACTGTTGGGTAAAAAGCTATTCACATGATGAATCTCATTAGGTTATTAACAATTAGATATTCTTTGCTTACACTAGGGAGTGGACAGCAGCCCCACTGTCCGGAGGCAAGCATGCAGCAGGTGTTACCAGATGGACACTGAGCTGAACCACCAGGGCATACAACATTCGGCTCTGGTACTAGAGGTTTGGCTTCAGTCTTCTCATACCATGACTGTACCATATCTCCAAGTGAACAGGTTCCCTGAGAGACATCACAGGTGTATCCGTGAGGACAGCAGTGGACATGATCACTGCAGCACACAGCCTGAAAGAAGGATATCAACTCATTTTAGGTCATAGGACTGTTGGGTGAAAAGCTATTCACGTGATCAATCTCATTAGGTTATTAACAATTAGATGTTCTTTGCTTACACTAGGGAGTGGACAGCAGCCCCATTGTCCAAAGGCCAGCATGCAGCAGGTGTGACCAGATGGGCATTGGGCTGAACCACCAGGGCATACAACATTCGGCTCTGGAACCAGAGGGCTCGCCTTTGTCTTCTCAAACCATGACTGTACCATATCTCCAAGTGAACAGGTTCCCTGAGAGACATCACAGGTGTATCCGTGAGGACAGCAGTGGACATGATCACTGCAGCATACGGCCTGAAAGAAAGATATCAACTCATTTTAGGTCATAGGACTGTTGGGTAAAAAGCTATTCATGTGATTAATCTCATTAGGTTATTAACAATTAGATGTTCTTTGCTTACACTAGGGAGTGGACAGCAGCCCCACTGTCCAGAGGCCAGCATGCAGCAGGTGTTACCAGATGGACATTGGGCTGAACCACCAGGGCATACGACATTCGGCTCGGGTACTAGAGGTTTGGCTTCAGTCTTCTCATACCATGACTGTACCATATCTCCAAGTGAACAGGTTCCCTGAGAGACATCACAGGTGTATCCGTGAGGACAGCAGTGGACATGATCACTGCAGCACACAGCCTGAAAGAAAGATATCAACTCATTTAGGTAAAAGGACTGTTGGGTGAAAAGCTATTGATGTGATGAAACTCATTAGGTTATTAACAATAAGATGTTCTTTGCTTACACTAGGGAGTGGACAGCAGCCCCATTGTCCAGAGGCCAGCATGCAGCAGGTGTTACCAGATGGACATTGGGCTGAACCACCAGGGCATACAACATTCGGCTCTGGTACTAGAGGTTTGGCTTCTGTCTTCTCATACCACGTAAGAACCATATCTCCAAGTGAACAGGTTCCCTGAGAGACATCACAGGTGTATCCGTGAGGACAGCAGTGGACATGGTCACTGCAGCACACAGCCTGAAAGAAAGATATCGACTCATTTTAGGTAATAGGACTGTTGGGTGAAAAGGTATTCATGTGATCAATCTCATTAGGTTATTAACAATAAGATGTTCTTTGCTTACACTAGGGAGTGGACAGCAGCCCCATTGTCCAGAGGCCAGCATGCAGCAGGTGTTACCAGATGGACATTGGGCTGAACCACCAGGGCATACGACATTCGGCTCTGGTACTACAGGTTTGGCTTCTGACTTCTCATACCATGCCAGAACCATGTTTCCAAGTGAACATGTTCCCTGAGAGACATCACAGGTGTATCCGTGAGGACAGCAATGGACATGATCGCTGCAGCACACAGCCTGAAAGAAAGATATCAACTTATTTAAGATCATAGGACTGTTGGGTGAAAAGCTAGTCACGTGATGAAACTCATTAAGTTATTAACAATAAGATGTTCTTTGCTTACACTAGGGAGTGGACAGCAGCCCCACTGTCCAGAGGCCAGCATGCAGCAGGTGTTACCAGATGGGCATTGGGCTGAACCACCAGGGCATACGACATTCGGCTCTGGTACTAAAGGTTTGGCTTCAGTCTTCTCATACCATGACTGTACCATATCTCCAAGAGAACATGTTCCCTGAGAGACATCACAGGTGTATCCGTGAGGACAGCAGTGGACATGATCACTGCAGCACACAGCCTGAAAGAAAGAAATCAACTCAATTTAGGTCATAGGACGGTTGGGTGAAAAGCTATTCATGTGATAAGTCTCATTAGGTTATTAACAATTAGATGTTCTTTGCTTACACTAGGTAGTGGACAGCAGCCCCATTGTCCAGAGGCCAGCATGCAGCAGGTGTTACCAGATGGACATTGGGCTGAACCACCAGGGCATACAACATTCGGCTCTGGTACTAGAGGTTTGGCTTCAGTCTTCTCATACCATGATTGTACCATATCTCCAAGTGAACAGGTTCCCTGAGAGACATCACAGGTGTATCCGTGAGGACAGCAGTGGACATGATCACTGCAGCACACAGCCTGAAAGAAAGATATCAACTCATTTTAGGTCATAGGACTGTTGGGTGAAAAGGTATTCATGTGATCAATCTCTTTAGGTTATTAACAATAACATGTTCTTTGCTTACACTAGGGAGTGGACAGCAGCCCCACTGTCCAGAGGCAAGCATGCAGCAGGTGTTACCAGATGGACATTGGGCTGAACCACCAGGGCATACGACATTCGGCTCTGGTACTAGAGGTTTGGCTTCTGTCTTCTCATACCATGACTGTACCATATCTCCAAGTGAACAGGTTCCCTGAGAGACATCACAGGTGTATCCGTGAGGACAGCAGTGGACATGATCACTGCAGCACACAGCCTGAAAGAACGATATCAACTCATTTTAGGTAATAGGACTGTTGGGTGAAAAGGTATTCATGTGATCAATCTCTTTAGGTTATTAACAATAACATGTTCTTTGCTTACACTAGGGAGTGGACAGCAGCCCCACTGTCCAGAGGCAAGCATGCAGCAGGTGTTACCAGATGGACATTGGGCTGAACCACCAGGGCATACGACATTCGGCTCTGGTACTAGAGGTTTGGCTTCTGTCTTCTCATACCATGACTGTACCATATCTCCAAGTGAACAGGTTCCCTGAGAGACATCACAGGTGTATCCGTGAGGACAGCAGTGGACATGATCACTGCAGCACACAGCCTGAAAGAAAGATATCAACTCATGTTAGGTAATAGGACTGTTGGGTGAAAAGCTATTCACGTGATCAATCTCATTAGGTTATTAACAATGAGATATTCTTTGCTTACACTAGGGAGTGGACAGCAGCCCCACTGTCCAGAGGCCAGCATGCAGCAGGTGTTACCAGATGGACATTGGGCTGAACCACCAGGGCATACAACATTCGGCTCTGGTACTAGAGGTTTGGCTTCTGTCTTCTTATACCACGTTAGAACCATATCTCCAAGTGAACAGGTTCCTTGAGAGACATCACAGGTGTATCCGTGAGGACAGCAGTGGACATGATCACTGCAGCACACAGCCTGAAAGAACGATATCAACTCATTTTAGGTCAAAGGACTGTTGGGTGAAAAGCTATTGATGTGATGAATCTCATTAGGTTATTAACAATAAGATGTTCTTTGCTTACACTAGGGAGTGGACAGCAGCCCCATTGTCCAGAGGCCAGCATGCAGCAGGTGTTACCAGATGGACATTGGGCTGAACCACCAGGGCATACCACATTCGGCTCTGGTACAACAGGTTTGGCTTCTGACTTCTCATACCACGTTAGAACCATATTTCCAAGTGAACAGGTTCCCTGAGAGACATCACAGGTGTATCCGTGAGGACAGCAGTGGACATGGTCACTGCAGCACACAGCCTGAAAGAAAGATATCAACTCATTTTAGGTAATAGGACTGTTGGGTGAAAAGGTATTCATGTGATGAATCTCATTAGGTTATTAACAATAAGATGTTCTTTGCTTACACTAGGGAGTGGACAGCAGCCCCATTGTCCAGAGGCCAGCATGCAGCAGGTGTTACCAGATGGACATTGGGCTGAACCACCAGGGCATACCACATTCGGCTCTGGTACAACAGGTTTGGCTTCTGACTTCTCATACCATGCCAGAACCATGTTTCCAAGTGAACATGTTCCCTGAGAGACATCACAGGTATATCCGTGAGGACAGCAGTGGACATGATCGCTGCAGCACACAGCCTGAAAGAAAGATATCAACTCATTTTAGGTCATAGGACTGTTGGGTGAAAAGCTAGTCACGTGATGAAACTCATTAAGTTATTAACAATAAGATGTTCTTTGCTTACACTAGGTAGTGGACAGCAGCCCCATTGTCCAGAGGCCAGCATGCAGCAGGTGTTACCAGATGGACATTGGGCTGAACCACCAGGGCATACGACATTCGGCTCTGGTACTAGAGGTTTGGCTTCTGTCTTCTCATACCATGACTGTACCATATCTCCAAGAGAACACGTTCCCTGAGAGACATCACAGGTGTATCCGTGAGGACAGCAGTGGACATGATCACTGCAGCACACAGCCTGAAAGAAAGATATCAACTCATTTTAGGTCATAGGACAGTACGGTAAAAACCTCTTCACATGATGAATCTCATTAGGTTATTAACAATTAGATGTTCTTTGCTTACACTAGGGAGTGGACAGCAGCCCCACTGTCCAGAGGCCAGCATGCAGCAGGTGTTACCAGATGGACACTGTGCTGAACCACCAGGGCAAACGACATTCGGCTCTGGTACAACAGGTTTGGCTTCAGTCTTCTCATACCATGACTGTACCATATCTCCAAGAGAACATGTTCCCTGAGAGACATCACAGGTGTATCCGTGAGGACAGCAGTGGACATGATCACTGCAGCACACAGCCTGAAAGAAAGAAATCAACTCATTTTAGGTCATAGGACTGTTGGGTGAAAAGCTATTCATGTGATAAGTCTCATTAGGTTATTAACAATTAGATGTTCTTTGCTTACACTAGGTAGTGGACAGCAGCCCCACTGTCCAGAGGCCAGCATGCAGCAGGTGTTACCAGATGGACATTGGGCTGAACCACCTGGGCATACGACATTCGGCTCTGGTACTAGAGGTTTGGCCTCTGACTTCTCATACCATGCCAGAACCATGTTTCCAAGTGAACATGTTCCCTGAGAGACATCACAGGTGTATCCGTGAGGACAGCATTGGACATGATCACTGCAGCACACAGCCTGAAAGAAAGATATCAACTCATTTTAGGAAATAGGACTGTTGGGTGAAAAGCTCTTCACATGATGAATCTCATTAAGTTATTAACAATTAGATGTTCTTTGCTTACACTAGGGAGTGGACAGCAGCCCCACTGTCCAGAGGCCAGCATGCAGCAGGTGTTACCAGATGGACATTGGGCTGAACCACCAGGGCATACGACATTCGGCTCTGGTACTAGAGGTTTGGCTTCTGTCTTCTCATACCATGTGAGAACCATATCTCCAAGAGAACATGTTCCCTGAGAGACATCACAGGTGTATCCGTGAGGACAGCAGTGGACATGATCGCTGCAGCACACAGCCTGAAAGAAAGATATCAACTCATTTTAGGTAATAGGACTGTTGGGTGAAAAGCCACTCATGTGAAGAATCTCATTAGGTTATTCAGAATTAGATGTTCTTTGCTTACACTAGGGAGTGGACAGCACCCCCACTGTCCAGAAGCCAGCATGCAGCAGGTGTTACCAGACGGACATTGGGCTGAACCACCAGGGCATACCACATTCGGCTCTGGTACAACAGGTTTGGCTTCTGACTTCTCATACCATGCCAGAACCATGTCTCCAAGTGAACAGGTTCCCTGAGAGACATCACAGGTGTATCCGTGAGGACAGCAGTGGACATGATCACTGCAGCACACAGCCTGAAAGAAAGATATCAACTCATTTAAGGAAATAGGACTGTTGGGTGAAAAGCTATTCACGTGATGTAACTCATTAGGTTATTAACAATTAGATGTTCTTTGCTTACACTAGGGAGTGGACAGCAGCCCCATTGTCCAGAGGCCAGCATGCAGCAGGTGTTACCAGATGGACATTGGGCTGAACCACCAGGGCATACAACGTTTGGTTCTGGCATCGCTGGATCACTCAGCGATACAGCTTCTTTGTTTGATTCCCACGGTAGAGAAAGGCCATTTAGGTGGCACGTTGCCGTTGAAAGCTCACAAATATAGCCATATGGACAGCAGTGTATGTAGTCAGCACAGCAAACAGCCTGTTAACATAACAAGAGGAAAAGCATTTATTTCTATAATAAAAATGAACTTATATTGTAAAATATTGGAGGTTCGAAAGTCAGACTTCTCGAGCCTACAAACCTGTGGATATGGGCAGCAGTTATAAGCACCGGTGTTCGACTTGCAACACGTAGTTCCTGTTGGACATTGATATCTGCCTCCAGGACATATGATGTTCGGGGATGGTGAATTATTAGTACTAAGGGAGGTGGCCTCTGTCTTGTCGAACCATGGTAGAACCATCTTGCCAAGTGAACAGGTTCCCTGAGAGACATCACAGGTGTATCCATTGGGACAGCAGTGGACATGGTCACTACAGCACACAGCCTGAAAAATACCCAGATAACAACTCAGTTTAGGTAACAGGTCCGTTTGGCGGGAAAACTCTCAAAATAAGAATCATCGAAACTTAATAATATGCAAGTGGTTCTTTGCTTACACTAGGGAGTGGACAGCAGCCCCACTGTCCGGAGGCAAGCATGCAGCAGGTGTTACCAGATGGACATTGGGCTGAACCACCAGGGCATACGACATTCGGCTCTGGTACTAGAGGTTTGGCTTCAGTCTTCTCATACCATGTTAGAACCATGTCTCCAAGTGAACAGGTTTCCTGAGAGACATCACAGGTGTATCCATGGGGACAACAGTGGACGTGGTCACTGCAGCACACAGCCTGAAAAATACCCAGATAACAACTCAGTTTAGGTAATTGGTCCATCTGTCAGACAGCTCAAGAGATATTGTATCAACTAATGTTCATCCAAGTACATGTTTTTACCTGAGGAAGTGGGCAGCAGCCCCACTGTCCAGATGAAAGCATGCAGCAGGTGTTTCCAGTTGGGCATTGAGCTGAACCACCTGGACATACGACGTCAGGTCCTGGAAGAACAGCAGTGCTTAGGGATGTGGCTTCTGTCTTCTTATACATTTGCAGAACTGAATTTCCAAGTGAACATGTTCCTTGAGAGACATCACAGGTGTATCCATGAGGACAGCAGTGGACATGATCACTGCAGCACACAGCCTGAAAGGAAGATGCCAACTCAGTTGAATAGGTCTGTTCAGGGGAAAGTCAGCCAAGGTTAAAACTGCAAGTGGCTCTTTGCTAATTACCTGAGGGAGTGGACAGCAGCCCCATTGTCCAGAGGACAGCATGCAGCAGGTGTTACCAGATGGACATTGGGCTGAACCACCAGGGCATACAACGTTTGGTTCTTGTACCAGAGGTTTGGCTTCTGTCTTCTCATACCATGTAAGAACCATGTCTCCAAGTGAACAGGTTCCCTGAGAGACATCACAGGTGTATCCGTGAGGACAGCAGTGGACATGGTCATTGCAGCACACAGCCTGAAAGAAAGATATCAACTCATTTTAGGTTATAGGACTGTTGGGTGAAAAGCTATTCATGTGATGAATCTCATTAGGTTATTAACAATTAGATGTTCTTTGCTTACACTAGGGAGTGGACAGCAGCCCCACTGTCCAGAGGCCAGCATGCAGCAGGTGTTACCAGATGGACATTGGGCTGAACCACCAGGGCATACGACATTCGACTCTGGTACTAGAGGTTTGGCTTCAGTCTTCTCATACCATGCCAGAACCATGTTTCCAAGTGAACATGTTCCCTGAGAGACATCACAGGTGTATCCGTGAGGACAGCAATGGACATGATCGCTGCAGCACACAGCCTGAAAGAAAGATATCAACTCATGTTAGGTAACAGGACTGTACGGTGAAAAGCTCTTCACGTGATGAATCTCATTAAGTTATTAACAATAAAGTGGGCTTTGCTTACACTAGGGAGTGGACAGCAGCCCCACTGTCCAGAGGCCAGCATGCAGCAGGTGTTACCAGATGGACATTGGGCTGAACCACCAGGGCATACAACGTTTGGTTCTGGCATCGCTGGATCACTCAGCGATACAGCTTCTTTGTTCGATTCCCACGGTAGAGAAAGGCCATTTAGGTGGCACGTTGCTGTTGAAAGCTCACAAATATAGCCATATGGACAGCAGTGTATGTAGTCAGCACAGCAAACAGCCTGTTAACATAACAAGAGGAAAAGCATTTACTTCTATTATAAAAATAAACGTATATTGAAAAATATTGGAGGTTCGAAAGTCAGACTTCACTTGTCTACAAACCTGTGGATATGGGCAGCAGTTATAAGCACCAGTGTTCGACTTGCAACATGTAGTTCCTGTGGGACACTGATATCTGCCTCCAGGACATATGATGTTCGGGGATGGTGAATTATTAGTACTAAGGGATGTGGCCTCTGTCTTGTCGAACCATGGTAGAACCATCTTGCCAAGTGAACAGGTTCCCTGAGAGACATCACAGGTGTATCCATTGGGACAGCAGTGGACATGGTCACTACAGCACACAGCCTGAAAAATACCCAGATAACAACTCAGTTTAGGTAACAGGTCCGTTTGGCGGGAAAACTCTAAAAATAAGAATCATCAAACATTAATAATATGTAAGTGGTTTTTTGCTTACACTAGGGAGTGGGCAGCAGCCCCACTGTCCAGAGGCCAGCATGCAGCAGGTGTTACCAGATGGACATTGGGCTGAACCACCAGGGCATACAACATTCGGCTCTGGTACTAGAGGTTTGGCTTCTGACTTCTCATACCATGTAAGAACCATGTCTCCAAGTGAACAGGTTCCCTGAGAGACATCACAGGTGTATCCGTGAGGACAGCAGTGGACGTGGTCACTGCAGCACACAGCCTGAAAAAAACCAGATAACAACTCAGTTTAGGTAATCGGTCCATCTGCCAGACAGCTCAAGAGATATTGTATCAACTAAAGTTTATCCAAGTACATGTTTTTACCTGAGGGAGTGGGCAGCAGCCCCACTGTCCAGATGAAAGCATGCAGCAGGTGTTTCCAGTTGGGCATTGAGCTGAACCACCTGGACATACGACGTCAGGTCCTGGAAGAACAGCAGTGCTTAGGGATGTGGCTTCTGTCTTCTTATACATTTGCAGAACTGAATTTCCAAGTGAACATGTTCCTTGAGAGACATCACAGGTGTATCCATGAGGACAGCAGTGGACATGGTCACTGCAGCACACAGCCTGAAAGGAAGATGCCAACTCAGTTGAATAGGTCTGTTCAGGGGAAAGTCAGCCAAGGTTAAAACTGCAAGTGGCTCTTTGCTAATTACCTGAGGGAGTGGACAGCAGCCCCATTGTCCAGAGGCCAGCATGCAGCAGGTGTTACCAGATGGACATTGGGCTGAACCACCAGGGCATACAACGTTTGGTTCTGGTACCAGAGGTTTGGCTTCTGTCTTCTCATACCATGTAAGAACCATATCTCCAAGTGAACAGGTTCCCTGAGAGACATCACAGGTGTATCCGTGAGGACAGCAGTGGACATGGTCATTGCAGCACACAGCCTGAAAGAAAGATATCAACTCATTTTAGGTCATAGGACTGTTGGGTGAAAAGCTATTCATGTGATAAAATCTCATTAGGTTATTAACAATTAGATGTTCTTTGCTTACACTAGGGAGTGGACAGCAGCCCCATTGTCCAGAGGCCAGCATGCAGCAGGTGTTACCAGATGGACATTGGGCTGAACCACCAGGGCATACGACATTCGGCTCTGGTACAATCTATGGAATACAATTGGTTTAAAGATATATAAATCTGATGTTTGAGTTTTCATGTTTACACAAACATCTTGAGATATTCAAACTGTCTTATTTTTCTTGGTGATCTATTATGACCATTTGACGTTAATCCCTATGCTTCAATTAGTACTTTCTCTCAACTTGAAAGGCTTTTTTTTCTGTCATGCTTTTTGATGGACTGCAAGACAGAGAGTGCAGCAATTTCAAAGTGTGGTTCTGAAGGAACAATGCTACAAAGCTGTGCACAGCAGTATGACAAGCATTGATTTATAAAGAAAATCTTAAGCAAGGACTGCATGAAGATATCTATGAAATGAGAGAAAAATGTAAGGATGAAAGAACATATGAGACCTCTCTGGTAACGGTTGGCCGCCTTGAATTTAGAATGTATATTGTGGCTCATCGTAATTGGCCTTCCAGACTATTAAGAGGTTTTGTTAAATCTACATTCTATTATTAAATCCCTTTTTTTCAATGAATAAAATATCGCAAAATGATGATTTGGTTGCTAGGTACTGTAGTTTGCTCACTAGTCAATGCCCACTTTCTCCATATTTTCTAAATGCTTTCATATAACAAAAAAAGCAAACTGATAAACAGTATGTTCTTTGGAAGTTCAAATCATCTGAATGAAAACTACCGTGAGTAGAAACAACTTTGTGACTTTTTGTGAACAAGGGCACCGTTTAAACAGATAAGGTCACATAATATACATTGTACTCACGTTTGGATGACAATTCTAGCGTGCAAGTCTGTGACATACAAAGCAGGATGATATGGAACAGCAAGAAATGTATGATGGCTGCAAGTTTCTCTTTCACATTTCTGCTTCATGGTGGTGGCAAGTGAATGAATTTTGACCTCAGCGATGACTAGACTGATTACTTCACACCTTTTCTTTCCTTCTGTAACTTCCAACATTCAAATTCAGCGACTCTTATTCTATGCTTTACAAACTACATTGTGCCACGTAATTGTTCTAATCTATCGGCTCCGTGCACAAGTGCCCCCAAGGGAGGGTTGAAGGAGACAACTTGGAGAGATATTCGAACGCAATGCCGACGACGCTGGACGCTCACGCGAAGATGCTCTGGCATTGTGTACATTCAGAATAACATAAGTCGTGCGTACTTCTCGCGAACCAGTACGCGCATGCGATGTGTCCTGTCCACGTTGCTTTCTAAGGACAAGTTCGTGCAAGAACTATTGTTGACCGTTGGTTAACCATAGTTCGACTAAAGTTAGCCTGAAATCTGTCTAGTCGACGGTGGTTGACTACGCTCGTCGACTATTTGGAACCAACCTGGTTGCATCGCTGGTAACCAATAGTCACGCCCATTCATAGCGTACAGCAGGGAGCCAGGATCCACGAGTTTTGCGATGACATTTTGACCAGCGCTTGACTAGAGACGTTCGCACGTTGCTATCAGTGCGTAGGCGTAAGGTACGTCACAAATCAACCACTAGTCGACTAATGGTCCTTGCCCGAACTTGGCCTTAAGTGGTAGAAAAGCGCTCTCTCTTGTTGGCACACAAAGCCCATATAAAGTGCCCTTAAACACGTTGATACAAAATTAGTGGCAAAGCTAGGAAAAGAAAAAAAAATCATTTTCTTTAACAATCCAATCCAATTTGTTCCACTGATAATTTACAGCTGTTAAATCAGTCAAAACCATGGCAATATTTTAATTTGACTAGAAATAAAATTATGAGGATACATGTATATTACATGCAGACTACCAGTCAAGACGATATGATGTACATGTACACACACACACACACACACACAAAAGCTGGTAACACTGTGGTACATTGTGTAAATACTAAGAATACCAGTCAAGTCACAATGACAATACAATACATGGCTACAACCACCATGACAAAACAATGATGCACTACTGACTACCAATTATTGTCAAAAAGGGACAGATTTTTCAAACAGCTAATTCACACAATTACAATTCACAATGAAAAATGAAGAATCAAATGGGTAAAAACAGGAAAATGACATTAGTATCGGTAATGTATCAACCTAGAAATATATATGAATTCTTGAAAATTGTGTCTTTGTACTGCAAAGCAAGGGTATACAATCATTGGTTAGCGTTGAGCATGTTATGGAATGATAGGTTAAATTAAAGTTCCTTTCAAAAAAGTTAAGTTACACTTTTTCTTTTCAATGGTTTCTCAATTTCGCCTGATCATGAGTACGCAAAAAACCCACTTCTGATAAATATGTCAGTCAATATTTGGAGGATGCACTGTGTCAAGGTCTTAGGCTGTACCTTGTGTTGTTTATGCTTAGCAATTCACAAATTTAGGTCTAGATAAACTTAATATCACCCGCACTACTTCTGGATATCATGATCGCCAATTCCTTATGATTGTGTTACAATGACTGTTGGAGGATTTTGAAGGATTGAGGCAGTGGTCACTCCTCCACTGAACAAATGCAAGCGGTTTTATTGAAGCTGTATTCAATTTTACAAGCAGGCAGTTGGAGGATTCTGAAGGTTTGAGGGGATGCTTCCTAGCAAAAAAAACCCTGGGGGTTGGGATTAATGTGATCCTTTCCTACAATGAACAATCTCTCGGACTTCAAGCCCTAATAATTCCAAAGCACTGTGCGCTTTGCAACCTTTTCTTGTCCACTTTACAATGGACGCAAGACAAAAGTACGATGCAAAAGCGGAAGCTGGGAGTCTCATGGAATCCTGAAAATGAAACGACGGAATGTGATGAACAACGAGAATAGAATTTGCCAAACAGAACCTCTGTCGTCAACTCCTCTGCATCAGTTTTTTCCTCCCAAGGAATGGATTCAAAGTTCTTCTTGCACTTGTGCTTAACTACGTCACATACATATCCATGTTGGCAGCAGTGTACATTGTCGCTGCAACACGTAGCCTGAAAGTTATAGAATTATCACTAGTTAGCGCCGCTACCAACTGAAAATATAATTTGAGGAAGTTGTTAAGGTTATTTTTTTTAGACGATAAATCATATATCTTAATGACAAGAACTTTCATTTTTATAAAGACTTTCCCCTTTTATATTGAAGAGAAAAAGAAATTTTGAATTTGGAGGCTGTTCGTCTGTTAAACGATCAAACTACCAATCGTTAGCAAACCACAACTTAAAGAAAAATTGACCCCCACTTCCAAAAGGGTACATCAAGTACATTATTTTGAAGATATTCAAACTGTTGAAATAAATACATGTACAGGTAGCAAGATTTTCTATTATTTTCTAACTATTAAAGATATTTTCACTTGCAGAAATTAATATCTACAAGTATTTCATTGATCCCTGGGGAAAAAAATGTGAGGCAATCTGGCAAAATGAGACAAAACTTGGCAGAGGTCGAAACGAGGGTTTGATACTGTTGGTTGCACTTCAATTGGACATTTCGTTGACAAGTTATGGCTGTTAATAGTTAGCATGCATTTATCTTCAATAAGGTAAAAAACCGGGGAAAAGGCCTTAAAACTTTCGAGAAAATATATTTGTGAAAATGAACGATGCCAATTGTTTTTTTCTTAAAAGCACTTTTATTCCACAATAAACACACTTTTCCTTTAAATCCTGTGCAGTAGACATTTTAAAGACAACAAACATCAACTTGAGTTTGTACGAACAAACACACCCGTGTTGGGCTATCATGTTCGGGTTGATGGCAAGAAATTAAAACAGTTTCACAGGCACATCAAGATTGTAGCGCTGAGGGTTGAGTTTTCCAGTAATTCTCAAAGAAAAAGAGGTGTTTTCATTCTAACTTTCGGTCTAATGAGGTCATCAATCCTTCTCCCCCTCAACTTGTTTTTAGCATGAAGCGGGGTGCTGTGGTGCAATGGTTACGGTGATGTGCCGTGGTACTAGTATGGGTTTGAATCCTGACCGTGGGAACATGGTGCTTGTGCTCTTGAGCAAGGCGCTTTACCATTATTGCTTCGTCCTTCGGATGGGACGTAAAGCCGTAGGTCCCGTGTGCTGTGTAATGCACGTTAAAGAACCCAGTAACTATTAGAGAACGGGTTTGCCCTCGGTGTTTTCTAGCAGTGGCTGCAATATGCGCCGCAGCACCTTGTAAACCCTTACAAGGTGCTACATAACAGGTCTCATATTTTTCATAAACTTTATTTACCTGTCTTGAATAATAGACATAATTTCCAGCACCTTGAGTACCTACTGGTTGGTAGATATGTGCGCTATAACACTCCAGTATTAGGCCAAAAAAAATAATAAATTCGGTCTCTGGTCAGACCAAAGTTCCGGAATTGACGCGGGGACGCGGCTTTTTTTTTTTTTTTGGCTTTTTTTTTTTTCTTCAAGCTTGGATTGTACAGACAAGGTGGGGTACTATTTTTCTATTTGGTGTCCTCATGTACATTGGTGTCCTCCATAATTTGCCTTGGTGCTTTTGATCATTTGCCTTGGTGCAATTTCCCATTCCTTGGTGCTCTTTGGTAAAAAAAAAATTTAGGAGGTGCGGCAATAGAGGGCGCTGTTGGAGCTACCGCGGAACATTTTGGAAAAAAAAAAAGATTGACGCGCATGATTAAAATCGACGCGCGCGCTGACCAGAGACCGACTTATTTTTTTTTTTGGCCTTATGTACATCAATAATAAAGTGATTTCAGCAGATTTACAAAAATCTGAAAATCTAAGAAGAAAAAATCACCCCCAATTTTGTTTTTGTATTTTTTCCCCACTTCGACCTATGCAAATGTCAGTCTCATTTTGCCAAGCAGTCCCACAAACAGATTCAAGTGGTAGAAACCTCTTTAAAATGGCAGCAACCGTAAACGTCGGGCGTTTTGGACATACAGCAGGTGTAGTTCACCTTACACAAGTACCGACCCCCTGGACATACCGTTACGTTCGTCTTTTCTGGATCCTGCAATGGAACCAGTTTCAGATTTTCATGCGCTAACGATTACGAAACAGAGCAAAATCTCAATACAAATTTCAAAATGATATTTTTTCCACAACCTAATGCACGAGTATAAAGTGAAACCAAGAGATATAAAGAATTAATGCTAGACTGGTACAAGTCTAACTTGTATACATATACACCAAGACATTAAAATAGGAGAAAATAAGGCTAGACTGATACAAGTCTAACTCGTATAAAAATACACCAAGACATTAAAATAAGAGAAAATAAGGCTAGACTGATACAAGTCTAACTCGTATACAAATACACCAAGACATTAAAATAGGAAGAATAAAGGCTGGACTAATACAAATCTAACCCGTTTACGAATGGACCAATTAATAGTCGGATGGTATGGCTTGTAGGAGGAATATAAAGAAAAGGAGACTGGGCACCAGACCTTTCCGTTGACACGCTCCTGTAAACAAAACTTCACATTAAGGTGAAAAAAAGAAATGTGTATTTCACTTAAAGAAACTGTTTTCCTCTGCCAGCTGTGATTTTGGTGTTGTGGAAGAAAACAGACAATGATCTTAAATAAAGACCAAAATTAAGATGACAATGAATTAAAAACATTAGTCAAATAATTCTTAAAAAAAAAAAATTCAACAAAAACACGTGCAGTACAACCAGAAGTTTGCTTTAGCAGCAATTCAACAAATAGAGTACAACAAATTTTAAAGACAAGCAAATCTTTTAGGCCTCGCGCAGGTCGGCATCGCGATCAGTCATCCGACGCGTCGATAGCTGCTCTGGATCACGTTTTAACGGATCCTGCGCGGGAGGTAGCTTCACAAGATCAAAGATGGTGACGTGCGCGACTGACCCAGAAAAAAAATGAGCTTTTGTGACAATATTTCTTCATAATTCTTTTAAAATGTATTTTCATGAGATTGATTTAGTTTTCCTGGAAATTATAGATAGCTGTCGTAAAAGTTGCGCTTCTGCCTATAAAATCTGAAGCAGATGACATTCGTGTGCACCTAAAGGATGTGGCGCACCAGACCAGTTCTGTTTGTTTTTCGCACAGCGCTGGATTCACACCACCTCCATCAGGATCTGGAAGGAAACAAACCGGCCCTGTGATGTCAAACGTTAGATTAAAAGGGGCAGAAGCAACCATTTCTATGAACACGTGTGACAGTCCTGTCAAAAGGTCAACATTGACAGACGTGCTCAACGAAACAAAGAGATACACATGATGTGCAATTACAATCATTTCGTCAGCTTTAATACCTCGACTGGCTTAGCGACGTTCTTCTCTGCCCATGGGACAGTCAGCCCTCCCTGTGAACAACTTCCAGCGCTGACGTCGCACTTGTAGCCATTCGGGCAACAGTGTTGATGGTCGCTACAGCAAACCGCCTTCGAAAGAAATAAAAAAAATAATAATAATCAATAATAATTTGGGAGGCTAATCATCCTTAATCGCAGCTGGTACAAGTATGCTGAATTGCGAAGGATGCGGCTACAACGTGGTCCAGCCGCTGGCATGTAAAGGCGCCTATGGCTGCCGGCCACATCGACCCATATATGACCACGGAGCACAGCCTGAGATCGAAAGTGTTTGATTTTTCCGGAGGGAGGAAAACCGGAGGGCCCCGAGAAAAATCCTTGTGGCACATGCGATCCGAGGCCAGGATTCGAACCGTGGTCACCTTGGTGCGAGGCGAGTGCTTTACTTAAGGTTTTTCGTCCTTGCAATAATTCAGCGAATGTATAGAACTATATTTTCCCGATGTCACAAGAAATGTCCAAATTCTTCGTGTCCACTTAATTCACCAAAGGCCTTTAGGAAAGTCTGTCAGCGGTGTTGTTTCAAACTGTACATGTTTCTTTGTAATAGTTGTTCAATATTTATAATAGTTGCTTTACAATCATGCAGTAATCCCATATGCTTTTATTTTATTTCATTGTGTTGTATTGTATTTGTAATGTATTGTACTAGTTCATGAGTGTAGTCATTTATAAGTGTATGCAGGGCCCCAATAGAAACCAGTTTTAAACTGTTTGGGCATACCCTGGGTTAAAAAAAACCCAACTTCTAATTTATTTTTTTTGACCAAAAGGGGCTTTAGCTTAATATTTCCTGGACTTTCAAAAATGAACAAGTGGAATTGAACATAAATTTAAACACACAAAATGAGTGGATGTAAGTTTGGCAAAGGGACATGTTGCAATGCGAAGAAAAGTCATTTACCCAGGACTGAAATGTATTAATGCTTTAAATCACTATCTTTTGAATGCACTAACTAAAGATACCTACATTTGGTAGTGGGCAGCAGCCGTATTGTCCAGAGCTCAGCTTACAGCAGGTGTTACCATCTGGACATTCGGACTGACCGCCTGGACAGACGACGTTTTCAACCTGTGATATGAAATCGTCTCGACAATTAGTACAGACACACATAAGGACTGAAGCTTATGTTGATATCGTAAAAAGTAATAATAATACAGATTAATCCCAAGAAATTAAAATGGAAGGTCATCATTAAGAAAAGGCCACTTCCGATAAAGTCTCCAAAAACTTTTCAGCACTGTAAAACACTGGGCCCTGAAACGTTTTTCATGCCTTTTTTTTATTTCATTTTTGTTTTGCCTTACCTTAACTGGCTTAGCGACGTTCTTCTCTGTCCATGGGACAGTAAGATCTCCCCGTGAACAACTTCCAGAACTGCAAGTGTAGCCGCTCGGGCAACAATGTACATGGTCACTACAGCACACGGCCTTCACAACAAATAAAAAACAAAATATTCAAATTTTTCAGACTATACAGGGGGAGTCAAAAATAACGAAACCCAAATGTTGGGACCATTGTTTAAGTGAAGTTCTTGCATGTAGCAATCTCAAAATCTAGTATATGTAAGCCCGATTGAAAATCTGTTAGTTCAACAATCATTCAAATCTCTCACGTACTTTTCAAGTTACAGAATTTTAAAGACAACCACCATTTTATAGTTCTGTCCATGGATCACAAAAAGGTCTTTCAGCAAAACAAAAACAATTCACATAGGAATGTGTGTGAATTGTTTTCTTTCTTTTTTTCTGAAAGAACGCACACGTTTTTTTTGTGATCCGTGGACAGAACTTTCAAACGGTGGTTGTGTTAAAAATTTTGTAACTTGAAAAGTACATGCATTGTATCTTGGACGAAAAAGGCTTCATCTTAACATTTCCTGTAATTTCAAAAAACAAACAAGTGGAATTAAACATAAATTTGAACACACAAAAAGAGTGGATGTAAGCCTGGAAAATGCCCATGTTGCAATTAAATGAAGAGAAAATGTCATTTACCCAGGACTGAAATGTATTAATGCTTTCAATCACTATCTTTTGAATGCACTAACTAAAGATACCTACATTTGGTAGTGGGCAGCAGCCCCATTGTCCAGAGGCCAGCTTGCAGCAGGTGTTGCCATCTGGACATTCGGACTGACCATCTGGACAGACGACGCTTTCAACCTGTGATATGAAATCGTCTCGACAATTAGCACAGACACACATAAGGACTGAAGCTTATGTTGAAATCATAAAAAGTAATAATAATACAGATTAATCCCAAGAAATTAAAATGGAAGGTCATTATTAAGAAAAGGCCACTTCCGATAAAGTCTCCACAAACTTTTCAGCACCGTAAAACACTGGGCCCTGAAACGTTTTTCATGCCTTTTTTTTTATTTCATTTTTGTTTTGCCTTACCTTAACTGGCTTAGCGACGTTCTTCTCTGCCCATGGGACAGTCAGCCCTCCCTTTGAACAACTTCCAGTGCTGACGTCGCACTTGTAGCCATTCGGGCAACAGTGTTGATGGTCGCTACAGCAAACCGCCTTCGAAAGAATTTAAAAAAATGAACTGTTGAGAACCATGAATTCTCTAACCAGGCCCGGTTTATCAACAGGCACAGTAGGCACTGTGCCTGGGGCCTACGACAAATTTGGGGGCCTACGACAAATTGGAGGGCCTACGAAAAATTAGAGGGCCAATAGGCTTTTAGAGCTATCAGTTTGGCCTGTCTTGCTTAGTACATCAACATGAAATCGGTGCCGGTGCCTGGTGCGGAGTTGGGCCTACGAAACACTGGTGCCTCGGGCCTACGGAAGACTTAATCCCGCCCCGTCTTCAACCTCCTTCAAATCTGAACTACGTAAAACATTCAGTCACTAATATTTCTGCATTTATGCGAGTATTTTTGTTTTGCCGATGCCTTCACTGATTTTCCAAAAAAATGTGCTGACTTCCAGAGTTAACAAACTTGGCTGCCATGATAATAAGGAGCCAGATGGGAATTTTCCTGTTTTTCTCCAAAAAAGGGTTTTTCACGGGTTTTTCGTCCTTGCAATAATTCAGCGAATGTATAGAACTATATTTTCCCGATGTCACAAGAAATGTCCAAATTCTTCGTGTCCACTTAATTCACCAAAGGCCTTTAGGAAAGTCTGTCAGCGGTGTTGTTTCAAACTGTACATGTTTCTTTGTAATAGTTGCTTTAATACAATCATGCAGTAATCCAATAGGCTTTTATTTTATTTCATTGTGTTGTATTGTATTTGTAATGTATTGTACTTGTACATGTGTGCAGTCATTTATAAGTGTATGCAGGGCCCCAATAGAAACCAGTTTTAAACTGTTTGGGCATACCCTGGGTTAAAAAAAACCCAACTTCTAATTCAATTTTTTTGACCCAAAAGGGGCTTTAGCTTAATATTTCCTGGACTTTCAAAAATGAACAAGTGGAATTGAACATAAATTTGAGCACACAAAATGAGTGGATGTAAGTTTGGCAAAGGGACATGTTGAAATGCGAAGAAAAGTCATTTACCCAGGACTGAAATGTATTAATGCTTTAAATCACTATCTTTTGAATGCACTAACTAAAGATACCTACATTTGGTAGTGGGCAGCAGCCCCATTGTCCAGAGGCCAGCTTGCAGCAGGTGTTACCATCTGGACATTCGGACTGACCGTCTGGGCAGACGACGCTTTCAACCTGTGATATGAAATCGTCTCGACAATTAGCACAGATTAATCCCAAGAAATTAAAATGGAAGGTCATTATTAAGAAAAGGCCACTTCCGATAAAATCTCCAAAAACTTTTCAGCACTGTAAAACACTGGGCCCTGAAACGTTTTTCATGCCTTTTTTTTATTTCATTTTTGTTTTGCCTTACCTTAACTGGCTTAGCGACGTTCTTCTCTGTCCATGGGACAGTAAGATCTCCCTTTGAACAACTTCCAGAACTGCAAGTGTAGCCGTTCGGGCAACAATGTACATGGTCACTACAGCACACGGCCTTCACAACAAATAAAAGACAAAATATTCAAATTTTTCAGACTATACAGGGGGAGTCAAAAATAACGAAACCCAAATGTTGGGACCATTGTTTAAGTGAAGTTCTTGCATGTAGCAATCTCAAAATCTAGTATATGTAAGCTCGATTGAAAATCTGTTAGTTCAACAATCATTCAAATCTCTCACGTACTTTTCAAGTTACAGAATTTTAAAGACAACCACCATATTATAGTTCTGTCCATGGATCACAAAAAAGGTCTTTCAGCAAAACAAAAACAATTCACATAGGAATGTGTGTGAATTGTTTTCTTTCTTTTTTTCTGAAAGAACGCACACGTTTTTTTTGTGATCCGTGGACAGAACTTTCAAACGGTGGTTGTGTTTAAAATTTTGTAACTTGAAAAGTACATGCATTGTATCTTGGACGAAAAAGGCTTCATCTTAACATTTCCTGTAATTTCAAAAAACAAACAAGTGGAATTAAACATACATTTGAACACACAACAAGAGTGGATGTCAGCCTGGAAAATGTACATGTTGCAATTAAATGAAAAGAAAATGTCATTTACCCAGGACTGAAATGTATTAATGCTTTAAATCACTATCTTTTGAATGCACTAACTAAAGATACCTACATTTGGTAGTGGGCAGCAGCCCCATTGTCCAGAGCTCAGCTTGCAGCAGGTGTTACCATCTGGACATTCGGCTTGACTGCCTGGACAGACAACGCTTTCAACCTGTGATATGAAATCGTCTCGACAATTAGCACAGACAAACATGGACCGATGCTTATATGTGACCCGCTCTGCAAAAATGAGTCACATGTCTCCAAAGCCACATTTGAGCTAAAGGTCTTTGGAAGAATGTTGCACAGTGTTTAAGCAATTGGAATCCTTAACATTTTAAATTTTACACAATGTCCATTTCCATCAAACCAAACTGTTGAGGATTCCAATTGCTTAAACACTGTGCAACATTCTGTCAAAGACCTATAGCTCAAAAGTGGCTTTGGAGACATGTGACTCATTTTTGCAGAGCGGATCACATATGTTCATATTGATATACGATGGAGATATTTTTTTTTTTTTTTAAAGTAAAAAACAATTTAAATACTTTTTTCTCTCTTTTTTTCATCTACATGTAGTCAACCTCACTGGTACAAGAGTACATAATACTGATGACACTTTTAAGGTGCATGGATTGATTGATACATCCATTTTTGGACACGGTGTACCAAAAACTGAGTAGAGTTCTCCCTGGGCATGTGTATTTTGTAAAAATGCTTCTCATCTCAAAACGACATCACTGATTTTTGTGGAGCTTACAGAAAGAATGTTTGAATGGTGATCCTTTATTCAAGGTGCAGAACATTATATGATGAAATCAGGCCTTGCAACTTTAAAGGTATTACACGATTCTAAATCTAAATTTTTATGATCTATCATTTGGGATTTTAATACACCTTTGGAGGGTTTGGGATAGCCTACACCCGCAACGTTGATTCATATTATTATTGTAAACAGTACAACACTATGTCCTAGAATTAATTTCTGAGTTTTTCTTTAATTTGCTTTTATACCTTAACTGGCTTAGCCATGTTCTTCTCTGCCCATGGGACAGTCAGCCCTCCCTTTGAACAACTTCCAGCACCGACGTCGCAAGTGTAGCCATTCGGGCAACAGTGTAGATGGTCACTACAGCAAACCGCCTTCACAACAAATAAAGACGAAATGATCAATTCTTTTCAGACTATACAGGGGGAGTCAAAAATAACAAAACCCAAATGTTGGGACCATTGTTAAAGTGAAGTTCTGCATGTAGCAATCTCAAAATCTAGTATATGTAAGCCCGATTCAAAATCTTTTAGTACAACAATCATTCAAATCTCTCACGTACTTTTCAAGTTACAGAATTTTAAAGACAACCCCCATTTTATAGTTCTGTCCATGGATCACAAAAAGGACTTTCCGCAAAACAAAAACATTTCACATAGGGATGTGTGTGAATTGTTTTCTTTTTTTCTGAAAGGACGCACACTTTTTTTTGGTGATCCGTGGACAGAACTTTAAAATGGTGGTTGTATTTAAAATGTTGTTACTTGAAAAGTACATGAGTGATTTGAATGATTCTTATACTAAAAGAAAGCTTATGAATTGGGCTTTCATATCCTGGATTTTGAAATTGCTACAAATAGAACTTTACTAAAACAATAGTCCAGACATTTGGGTTTCATATATTTTTTTACTCACCCTGTATAAAACCCCTTTAAGTCAAAACAGTGACAAAATCAACTTTTAATAACTCTTTAAAGTTTGACCTACTCCTGTAGGTTGACAGACATTTAAACAGTCCTTTGTTGTTGCTATTTCAATACAAAATGCAAAATCAATAATCAATTAATAAATCACTAATCAGTCAAATCAATCACCTAATCAATTAAATAATACCTTAGGTAGAGGGCAGCATCCCCATTGTCCAGAGGCTAGCTGGCAGCAGGTGTTACCGTCAGGACATTGAGACTGACCGCCTGGACAGACGACTCCAACCTGTGATATGAACAGATAATATTTCATGTGATATATATAACAGATACACAAAAAGACTGATGCTTATTTTGATTCCGTAAAAAAAAAAAAAAACATTCACAGGTAGTTTACCCATTCCTAATAGTCGCAACTTGACGTTATTTTCAAAGATAATACTCATTCTTTGTATCCACATGTGATTTTCAGCAGGTCCAAGAGGATTGTCCATTCTTTGAAGAAAGCAAACCGCCGTATGTTTTCATTTCTACCCAGTACAATTCATGCTTTTAACAAACACTTTGCTAGATAATTCATTAGGTTACTCTTACTGGCAGCATGATAATTGTCTGTTGGAGTCCGTGCAAACTCCCACTCAAAGTCAGTTTAATAATTTCCCAAATAAGTAACCCCGAGACGCAAAAAAAACCCCCAAAACAAAAGAAGTACCTCGTCACTGTACGCGGCGTGAGCCAACGCCAGCAGGAATCCCACAAGCACAGCGTGTCGCATCCTGAAAATCTGACGGAAAAAAAAAAAAACCACAAGAAACAGATTACAAGAAAATCATCAAAACAATTATAAATTGTGATAGGTTGTGAAATATGCTCAGCGATAAATGAAATTACCGGGGAATTTTGGTTTAGAAAATAAACAAATTTCAGCTTTGACTGAACCGTGACATTCACAGAATGTAAGTCGCCAGTCGGCCATTTTTTAAAAATAAATTACCAGATATTACAAAAGAACATTTGCATTTGATGCGAAATTGTTTAATTGTTGGTGGCACACAGTCGTTCACACTTTTGCAAATGGTAAAAACATTTACAAACTTTAGCGTTGTTCATAACACAAAAGGGGTCAATAATAATAATAACGCCATTCATAACACGCCTTTTCACAAGACACAATGCCCGACTTCAAAAGTGAAAAAGTGAAAAAAGAATTCAAAAGTGAAAAAGCCCCGTCCCCTGCCTTACTACATGTAGGTTGTTGCTGGAGCAAAGGCCACCACAGCTGGGTACGTTAAGGTTGAGTGACTGCACTATGTACTAACTGGATTATCACTTGGTTTTGCATGATTTAATTCTTATCCTCGAAAATCCTCTTTGCAAAATGGAGGCTCATCACCTGGTTTCGCATGATTTAATTCTAACCTTCCCAAATCCTCCAAACTCCTCTTAGCAAAATGGAGGATTTTGCAGGACTGATTTGGTTTCGAGGCCGCTGAACCTTCCTCCTTGCGTGCGAGGTAAGAGCAACCGAAAGTACCAAGGATGTTGAAGGAGCAGTATTTACACAAAATAACGAAGGATAAATAGATCCGTGAGAAAACCGATATTCAAAACTAAAGAAAGTTTGTACAACAGGCTTCAAAACTTTCAGTTTATATAAGGTTCTCAAGATGCAAATAAAATTGTTATAATTTTTTAATCAAAAACAAAAGTCCTCTCAACCTTTTTTTTGGGCAGGGGGGGGGGGTGGGGGGAGTTGGAAGCAAAATTGTCACGAGTTGCAACAAGGAAACAATCCAGGAAATAAGTTTTGCTGCTTTGTGATGATTGCGGTCGAAACTGGTTTCTGTTTTACATACTGCTATTGTTGCTGGATGATTTAATTTTGTCACAAGGTACAAAGGATGTGGTCCCATTATCGAACGATACTGCTTGTTTTAACACAAATTTTAATCAATTGCAGTCTGGTTGAACTTTGTTTTCTCTTTGTTTCTCAAACCAAGGCCGACTACTGGCACAAAATAAAATCCCCAACAGGAAGGGTTGGCTTAAAGCTACAGTCCATCATTTGCAGCTATCCGAAAAGTAACTGGCATAATTATTGTTGAAAAACAAACTTGGTTGAAAGATAGTAAGTGGACTAAACTCCCTGTGAAATTATTCTTTCTGGCAAGCTGTCATTTTGAAGTAATCAACGAAAGAAGGCCTTTCCAACGGTGCTTCTTAAGACACACCGTAGGAAATTTAAATTAATAGTTTGTTTTATTTGCCGAAGCGTGCAAGCATTGGCACGACGCACACATGGTTGCTATAATTCGTCGGATCAGTGCACAACATCGCGTAGCTGCAATCGGCTCATTGAGAATGTGTCTCGGACGCTGAATTCAGGCCCAATGTCAGGCCCAATTCAAAACATGATTCAGCAACTTTTGATTTGAAATTGAGATCCTAGAATGCTGTTTTTCTCGGAATATACAGCTAAAGCTGAGCTGAAACTTCATCAGTTTAGTTGTTCAGTACCCTTCTTGAGATTGTTAGCACTTTTGTTGCTTCAAACGAACAAAATGCACAAATTACAAATGATGGACTATATCTTTAAAAAAACAAAGCTGTCATTTTCTGCCTTGACAGAAAAATAAGAAATGCTGAATTCAGTTTGTTCCGTTCGTTGAAAGAGAATATGAAATAAAATTTCTGAAATGAATACTGGAAATCGTAGACAAAGTAGGAAGGTCATTCCGTGTCAAATCACCCAAATCTTTTTAAAATTTAAGCCCCCTTTAAATTGGTTCATATGGTATAATGTAATTTAGGTTGAATGAGCTGAAGTTTTAAGTTTTAGAGCCGACGGACACATGGTTTTCGCGCTACCGCCCGCCATTGTTTGGCAATTTCGGTCAAAATGGGCGTGGCTGTCAATTTTCGAATGGCCAAACAATGGCGGGTGGTAGCACGAAAATGGTTTGTCCGATTGCGCTAAAACTTAAAATATCAGCTTTTTTTCAGCTTATTACCAGACATACTAAATATGAGCAAATTTGAAGGGGGTGGGGCTTAACCCATTGGGTGATTTGGCACAGAATGACCCAGGAGACCAAGATATATTGTCCTTTAGTTTCAGACTTTTTTAATATATTTCTTTGGAAGGGGGGGGGGGGCTATAGGGCCATTGCTGACATTAAAATGAAACTACCATACATGCATGTGACGCTACATATGAACTTCCTCAAATGTGAGCAGCTTTAGATAAGGCCACTTACGGCAGTCAGTAAACATGTGATAATAATATCAGTTATTGACACAAAATATCAATCCCAATTTTTTTTTGGACGAGGGGGGCAGGGATCCAGTTCAGGCTGGCATTGGGTTCAAGGTCCAACCTGTATGTACTTCCTCCACTCGGCTTTTTTTTTTTTTTTTTTTTAGTCACGTTTGTATGGCAAACCACAAAACTCTATTGTCCATTAATCTTTTCATGCCCCTGGGTTTAGCTTACTGGCAAAGGTAGCATCAGGAGGTCTCGTGGATTCTAGGCAATTTGATAATACAGATCCCATGACAAGCGGTCATGGGACAGGGGTATAGAAATCAGTCGATAGTTTGTATATTGACTAGTTGTTGTCTAAGCACTTTTGGCTCTTAAAAACTATTAGGGGCCTAACAGAATAAACACACAACACATTAGATTAGTGTAGATTTATTAGAAAACATTTGCAGGAAAGTTCTGCTGTTGTGTCATTTTTTTAAATTTATTTACGAATTCTACTCATTTGCGTATATTTTACAGTTTCTGTGATGGGATCGAGGCTAAGTATTGCAGTGGAAAATCATGTCTGTAGAAGATCCCCAAAATGGGGGCCTGATTTTTCATCAATACATTGTCCTTTGAAAAAACTTCGTAAAGGGCCCATGTAATGCAATTTCTTAATGCATTCCTTGGAAATGCACCTTTGTGTCCCATTTAAGCTTACTTTCATTTTCGTTTTGCCATTTTCAAAGGAATTATTTTTTGGTGCCTTTTTGTTTTCATGCTAATGAAAATTTCCATATTCATACGCAACAGAGTGATGTCATTTCAGGCAGAAACCTCAATGTTTCAGCTATTTCAGCACCAAAAGTTGCCAGAATTGTGTGGTTTTGTTTTGTTTTTGCTGTATTTTCTTTCTTTGGTAATCCGTTGTTGTGTCAGTACACGGCAGTAAAACCTGAGCAAACTTTTCTCACAATGTTTTCAATGAGCAAAGTTTTGGGTTCACAATTTGAACACATAACTCCTAAACTGAACAGTGTCTTCCTGAAATGACATCGCAGCAACAGCGTCCTCAGTTGTCCGTAAAAGCATGGATTTTTTTTACGTTTAAAGAAGTGCACTTTTCAATCAACTTAACCAAAAAGGATTGCAAATATTGTTAACACATTGAGGAGCAGAAAGTTGCACAAATTGTGTTCCTAAGAAAAATCCAACACACTGACCCTTTAATATAGCAGGGGAATTTATGAACTATTACCGAAAGTCTTGAAAACTTGAAAAAGAAACCAAAAGTGGAATGGTCTCGTGACTGTAAAGTAACAAACCTCTTTAGAAACAAAGGGAATGTTAGTTTTATAATACAAAGATTGAAACACAAAGTATTATCTTAATAATTGGATACTGCAAACGAGTCTTCAACAATACTTTGTTTATCTTTCCTTCTTGGGGAGATAATTCAATAAAACTAAGTACAATAATTACAAGGCAATTAGGCAAAACCAGGAAACCGGTTTGGAAGCTGACTTGGTGATCAAATAACATGTACATTTCTGTTTTTTACGCAAGTGCTCTCCGGAAGAGTGCAGTTCCTCTTTCTGTTTCAGTTTTACAAGGCCCATGAAATGTAATTTGTATAGTATTATTCTTGAAAATGCACCTTTGTGTCCCATTTAACCTTATTTAAAATTTTCATTTTGCCGTTTTCAAGGGTATTTTGGTGCCTTTTTGGTTTTTATGCTAATGCAAATTTCCATATTCATGAGCAAAAGCAGGATGTCATATCACTCAGGCAGAAACCTCAATGTTGTAATTGGTTTGTGCACAAAAAGTTGCCAGAATTTTGGATATTTGGCTGTTGTAAAATTTTCTTTTCTTCGGTGATTCGTTGTTGTGTTAACATGGCAGTAAGCCAATGAGCAAACCTTTCTCATAAATGTTATCAATGAGCAGATTTTTGGGTTCACATTTGTACAAAACCCTTACACTGAACAGTGTCTCCCTGAAATGACTTCAAGGCAACAGTGCCCTCAGTTGTAAAAAAAAAAAAAAAAAAAAAAAAAAACCACTTAAATAAATTCAAAGAATTCTTCAAAAGTACCCGTTCTTTTTACGGTGTCCAAAGTGAAACTGCTTGGCAAATAGAAACTGGCATGATCGGCATGTATTTTATCAAAATATATTGCTGATTTAGCAGAATTTGTTTAGAAACGTATCGAAAAAAAACCCAATGTGCACACGAAGTCCACCCTGCTCTTACGTCAATGAAACCAAATATTGCTTTTGCTTACAATTTTTTTGTTTGACCGATACAAAATTCAGAGGAAAAAGATAACAAATATGAAAGTTTATATTTCAATTCTGTTATCTTAAGATCAACAAAGTGCCTTTTAAGTCACAAGACAATTTGGGTTATGAGGGAAGAGTAGTGGAAAATTTTGATTAAAAAAAAATTGCAAGGCAGCCACTTTAAAACTTTCCGTCAACATCACGCGACTGACTGCTTACAAAAACTTGTTTTTGGATATTCACTGACCTCGGCTCGACCCATGACAAAGATGCTTTTTTCAACATAATGCGTTCAGTGGGGCATGCAGGAACCACCAGCTACACTGACCCTGCAGAGAGCCATTGATTGAGGTTTAGCAGGAAATACAAGGGAGCCATATTTCTAAAGGGAAAGAGTTCCGTACATGTACATGGACATCACTAATTTTTGTACAAAATTTTTAGGTCTCCATAGGTTTGTGCACAAACATGGATGCGCCCTGCAGGCATTACTTTGTACATTGAGTAAGCGCTCTCCTGATGGACTCACTGGCCACCAAAATGTTTCTGAATGGCAAAAATTGATGGATTTTGGCGGATTCAGCATACCGGTACTTTCTGATACCCAAGGAGTTAGGTTTAATATGCTTTCTCCAAAGGGCCAGCAATCTATCTTCAGCATTCTAGTGTCACTGAGAATACATGTAAATAAAAAAATTCTTTCATATGGTACAAACAGGCATGGGTAAAGGGGTGTGGTTGTTTGTGCTCCTCAAATCAGTTGTTACATTAAATTGAACAGCGGGCCCCAGGTATAGGCAAAAAAAAAAATTAAGTCGGTCTCTGGTCAGCGCGTGCGTCGATTTTAAGCATGCGTGTCGATCTTTTTTTTTTTCCAAAATGTTCCGCGGTAGCTCCAACAGCGCCCTCTATTTCCGCACCTCCTCAATTTTATTTACATAAGAGCACCAAGGAATGGGAAATTGCACGAAGGCAAATGATCGAAAGCACCAAGGCAACTTATGGAGGACACCAATGTACATGAGGACACCAAAAAAGGAAAATAGTACCCCACCTTGTAGGTACAATCCAAGCTTGAAGAAAAAAAAAAAAAAGCAAAAAAAAAAAAAAAAAGCCGCGTGGCCGCGTCAATTCCGGAACTGTGGTCTGGCCAGAGACCGAATATTTTTTTTGGGGGCCTTATCAACAGGGTCCACGTGGCAACTCAAGGTAGCGTTTGGCCTACAACCGGTCTCGTCTGAAATAAAACCTGGAAATCACGAGACTTTTATCTCTACAAGTTTGTGTCTGACGTCAAAGTGAGCAAAATATAGGTCTATGTGAGGTCATAATTCTATGTCAGATGTAAGCCTATCACGGTTTATTTTGGACTAATCGGTACTTGTTACAAGCCAGCGGGCGCACATGACTGGATGTCCATAGGTCAAGTGTGTGGCTTATTAGGGGGAGGCACCGCGCAACGCTACTTGACTGGAAAATCTAGGTCTCAATAACTGCGGTTGTCCCAACCCTAATTTTTAACCCATGTCTGACCAATGCCTCTTTGGTGGACGTGTACAAGGTCTATTTAAGGGGAGTCATGAACATTTTGTAACGACAGAATTGAAAAAGGTTTCTCATCCCAAATTCGTGTTCCTTCAAAAAAGAAATTACTTGCAATGACTGACCATCAGGCAATTTATTAGGTATGGTGTAAAAGTGGCATCAGGATAAAAAATACATTCTAAACAATCAACGATGAACTTTTCAATTAAACAATTTATTACAACAAACTCAAATGTTCATTTTCAATTCTTCATTTTCCCATGAAAACTTCTTTTCAATTAATACTACAAACTTGCGTTCTATATATTTTGGCAAGAATCCAGTAAAATAAAATACACACAGGAGGCCTACTAGTTCTAATTTCACTAGCTTCAGTCTTGTAAAATAGTTTTATGAAAAGGCTAGCCCTCTAACCTAACCTTCCCAATCCTCCATAATCCTCATTGCAAAATGGAGGATTTTGCAGGATCGAGGCTATATAGCAACAATGTGTGGCTATTTTGAAGCCTAGATTATACTTGAAATCCTCCGCACTGCACTAGGATGTCACTGGCTCTGCCTCATCAAATTCACAGTGATTGCTGGAGGATTTTGCAGGATTGAGGCAGTGGCCACACCTCCAAGGACCACATTCAAGAAATGATGGAGGATTTTGCAGGATTGAGGCTGTACGCAATTTTTACATGAAGACAGTTGGAGGATTGAGGTTGCATCCTAGCAAAAAATGCCTGTGGAAAAAGAATGTACTACCGATTGCCACTTCAGCGGTTGTGTACAAAGTCTCTAGAGTCTATAGAGATAATTTGAAAACTATTTCCTAACAAAATTGGAAATGTTTTTACTTTTTCAGTCCCAGATTCATGTATTTTAAACATTTTTGCAATGACTGAACTTTATTGAGATGATAATAAGATTGCAACATTCTTTCCACCTTAAAAAAAAGGATTTAGGGTTAATCATGTTAATAATTAGGTTATTTCTAACCAAAAATTTGAGCCCTGAGCAGAATTTTTTGAGCTGGTATTCGACTGATGATGTATAATTTTTTTCTTCCTAAAATAAAAATGGAAACTACAAAAATATTAAATCAGCATTTGTAAAATCGTTAACCACCACCCCCACCCCCTAGTCTTGGAAACTGTAGGGAAACCCCAGGGAAACCCCAACTCTAATATTCGTTCAAAATTCGACATTTTTGAGCTAGAGACGGGGTTTCCTGATGGCCCGATCTGTCAATTCGCTACAAGAAAATTCACAAGCAGTATCATTTCGTGCCCCCTAGTTTGGCCTAAATTTTGGACCTCAACATGCTCAACAAACAACCCAACATTTATAGGCTATAGCAAATACAGGTAATTAAAACTTACCTTTCGTCAAGCGTTGAACGAAAGACGAAGCAGGCCTGACTGAGTGAGTTTTTTTAGAAAGCAACTGGGGCCAGAAACTTCAGAAGTTGTGAGGAAAATGGGGAAAGCCAAGTTTGCCCTACCGCCGCGAACGCTGTTCAAAGGCAAGGTAGACTGCACAATAAACGACCTCGGTTATTTACGGTGAATTTGCCGGATACCAGCGAGCGTAAATTCGATGAGGTAGCGACAGGAACCAGCTATTTTCCCAGGCACACGTGACTACCCAGCAAAGGTGTCTGTCTTTTAGGGGTCACATGTCTGGTAATGAAATCACATGACTCTGAGCAAAAAGTGGATCGATAATGATTCCCGCCGCCCCGGACTGCTTTGTTCATGATCTTTGCATATCGCGCTGCATGCTTTGCTTTGTCTGTCCAAAGTTAAAGGTATCATGTTTGACTGTTAATTATTTTATAACCCTGACCAGGCCAACCTGAGTTCGAGATTTAATCCACCAGGTGCATGGTAAATGTACGTATAGGGGGCCGGCCTTCCGTTGCGCTGTTGTTCATGGGGGCCGAACATGGGCCGGGTGTCAAACTCATTTGAAAATCCGACTCATTTACCCTTTAAACTTAATTTTTTTTAACCCACTCTACGTGACCGGTCACTGTCCTTATACTTCGCTTTGGCATGCGCAATACTACAAATGAGTCCGGTTCCCGTCCGCTTCCTTTTTGAAGCCGCCTCCTCTTTAAAAAAAAAAAAAAAAAAATCCCGAAAAAAATGATAAACTTTAAACAGTGACATCATTTTGGCCTCTTTGTCTGAAGCATCTGGCCCATATAAAGCTGATGTGTAATTTCCAGGGAGTCCAAGTGGCCGCAATTAAAAAAAAAAGAAAGCTGGCGGCCATCGTGAAAATAGCCCGGCCGGTCGTTTTGGGAAAACAAAAAAGGGCCTCCTCCTTCCTTTTTTTTTTCAAAAAGGCAGGACGCTAAACATATTTTTTATTATTTGACCTCACTGAGAGAGAAACGATTGTTCCATTGTTTGGAAAAAAATCCCAGGGTTTTTTCCATGATGGAAAAAAAATCCGAGGCCACAATAAGAAAATCCTTTAGAAAAAACATCTTGCTGATTTGAAAAGATGAAAAGCCACGCGCCTTTCCTTCTTGTATTGTAATCGGGGCAGGCCTACGTTTTACGAGACTTTGTTTGAAAGTACTGGTGTATTCTGTATGCTTGAAAGTGCATGGGGTGACGCCTTGTGTAGGCCTATTCCTATGGCAACCCGCAATGAACAAATATTTCTTCGCCAGGGAAAAAAATAAAAACGGTTGGTTAGGCCAAAAAAAAAATAAGTCGGTCTCTGGTCAGCGCGCGCGTCGATTTTAAGCATGCGCGTCGATCTTTTTTTTTCAAAATGTTCCGCGGTAGCTCCAACAGCGCCCTCTATTTCCGCACCTCCTCAATCTTTTTTTTACCAAAGAGCACCAAGGAATGGGAAATTGCACCAAGGCAAATGATCGAAAGCACCAAGGCAAATTATGGAGGACACCAATGTACAGGACACCAAAAAAGCAAAATAGTACCCACCTTGTCTGTACAATCCAAGCTTGAAGAAAAAAAGAAAAAAAAAAAAAAAAAAAAAAAAAAACCCGCGTGGCTGCGTCAATTCCGGAACTTTGGTCTGACCAGAGACCGAATATTTTTTTTTTTTGGCCTTATCATTCTTGCAGCTACTTCATAGGGTCAAACATAACAAACATATATCACCACGCAAAACTGCGATGTTCTCATGTTTCAAACTTATTTCAATTCTTTTCTTCCTGGTCAAAGAACTTTGCAGTACTTTACACAAGGCCCACTGGCCTACTATTCCCTATTCCCAACCAAAGACTGGGCGCCCTCTAGCTCTGTGAAAATCGTTATAGAGGGCGCTATTTAACAAAAAGTCTACGTCTAGTCTTAAAGACTCTTTAAATTTCATACATCAAGAATTTACTTGTTAAACGGTAGTTCAACCATGCATTGGTTTGCAATGCTGATAATGATTTAGTATTATTGGCAACCCATCTGTTTCCCAGACTCAAATGACTCAGTCCAATCAGTTATTGTTATTATAATTTATTGGAACATCAAAATTAACACATCAACTTGTGACCGACTATAGCAAATCAAACTGACCTGCAGCCTGCTTCTGACGAGCTTTTATCACGTGAAGGTATTGCCCAATGCAATGGAAACTGCACAACTGTCAAAAGCTTGCGTAAAAGAATCAAAGTTAAAAACCCACAGGCATCTAGGCTACCTCGCCCTGTTTTGGGTGTAGAAAGTCAGGTATTTGAGATCATAGTGAATTTCTGGTGTGATCAATTACACTTTGTCAAGTATTAGAGACGAACCAATAAGCCATTTATGTATTCCAAAATAGTCTGGTGCATAGCAAGACTCGACAATTTTCGGGATAACCGCGGCAGATAAAGGCACACAAGGCTATTGGGGACGTGGTAACCAAATCTGCATGCTGCGCAATTTTCGTGCAATCGAAAAGAGATGGAAACTTTTGTTCGCAAAAAAGTTTTGACTCACACAAGACGCCTAAAACACTTTGCTTTGTAAAAAAAAGTTTTGTTTGCAAAATGCTGTACCTCAGAATACGATGATCTCTTCCATTTTGCTGGTACCCGCTATGCTTTTGCACGCATAGGATGAAATTGTTATCCCAAAAGAAAAATCGGCAAATACCGAAGTGTACATGCGCAGTTGGAAATACCGAACTGGCTTATTGTGAATCATAGACCAATGGGGTGTCAAGTATCCGCTTCGTTCACAAGTACCCCCTCACCGGTAAAGAAAGTATAGTTGGGGGTGACCGACCGACGCCATCTTGGCTGACTGCAATTTTGACGCGACGCACGGCCGTACCACTACACTGCGTGTACATAGTACAAATCCCCTGGTGTACGTGCGTCACACACAAGGAACGGTGTGCGTCAACCAGCTAAATATCCCACCCATGGGACGTCGTTGCTAGGTAAAAAGGGCGCCCTCTTCGTTGGCGCACAGAGCCCATAGCTAAAAAGTTTGATATATGGTGTTAATTATGGTAGTGTTCTGCAGTAGTGCTAGGGCTCCAGGTTCATTGGCATCATGCAGACATCTCTTCAGAAAAAAGCCTTAGCAGGCGTGATCAAGGGGGGGGGGGGGGAGGTCCACCCCCCAGCTTTGTCAAATTTTTTTCTTCATAGAAATTCATTAAAAGAATACGAACCCCCCCCCCCCCCCCCCTGCTCTGACACCCCAAAAAATGATACTGCTAATAATGTCCGCCCAAGCACAAAATAGCCAGCTTGGTTAGGGGGTATTTTCACACTATTCGGTAATAGTGTTAATAATCGTCGGATTTGAACAACGCCCCCAGTAAAAGTATGGTACGAGCCCCCCCCCCCCCCCCCCCACCCCCACCTATTGATTTTCGGAGGCCAAGTATCCGGAGGAAAAATAACCTGTCTACATTTCAGACTGTTTTGCTCATAACACCCCCCCCCCCTGCGAAAATTACTGGATGCAAGAGTCGGTATGCTCTTTCAAGCTTGGATTTGTATTGCTTTTGGCACATCAGCTTCTACTAACGAGAGTTTTCCTTTTCTTCAAGCATCTCCTGAAGGCATTGCTTCGAGGTTTGATAACACTGCGCACACTTGCAACACAGAGTCCAGATACTGCAGTAGATTCAGCGACACCTTAGATCTCAGGATGCTGAATGTCCGCAGCTGCTGTTGCAACTTGTCAAAATGACGGTTCAGGGAATCCGCATCATCCCGGAATCTGCTGCTGTGCTTGGAGAACTGTGGCCAGATGGGTTGGTTGTGGACCCTGATTCCGTGGATGCTAGAGAGGTGCCTGTCAGGCTTCAAGGAGAGAACCTCATCGCCGGAGTCAAGTAAGTTCTTCAAGGAGTTCTCTTCGGACAGTTGGGGGTAGGAGATGCTTCCCCCAAAGAGTTGTGAGATGAAGCAGATGTAACCATTTGGAGTCAGGCCAATCAATGCCTTTGCCTTGAAGGAGCTGTCGGACCTACTGATCATCCGTAGTTGGGTGAAGAGATGCGACGGGGCATCTGTCTCGATTTCCAGACAGTCTAGGATGAGACGGCAGTTTGGGAAGCTCCGTTTGATAAAGGAAGGCATGGTGCTCTGGATGACCGACTTCTGGGGCCACTGGATCAGGTCGGACGTCAAATCTGAGATGGTTGTCAGGATGAGAAGGAACACTTGTTCCAACGTGGAAGGAGCAACACTGAACTGAGCGGCAAGATGCTTGAACGGAGTATTCAACTTCAGTTTCATGAGGAACACCAAGAGGCTATTCTCTGCAGACAAGCCACTCCCGCGCACTGGGTGAGTCTCCAGAGAGAGATGCTCTAGAAGAAGGTAGAAGGTAGCCATGGAAACTCCGGTGATCTCTTTGACAAGTGGCTCCATGTAGCACACGTCCTTCCAGCCGTGGAACCCAAGGCATTTCCGCAGGGTTTTGGAATTCTCAGCATGTCTGTAGTAAAGAGAAGGTAACAATTGAACTTTAAAATTAGAAACCATGAAGACGGTCAGAGCATACTGACCGGAACGTCGAGTTTATACCTCTGGTTCTTTTCAGAACCATTCTCTTAGTTGAGAAATTATTCGCACATGGTGTTTCCGCAAACCTTTCATTATTTAGAAACCATCTATTGGGTCACATTAATTTTGCCGTTAAGTGCATGCAGCCAAGGCCATTCTGTTGAATGTGTGCCCCAACATGTACCAACTACACGACTCCCTAAGAGCTCTTGTCAATAAAAGTATCAAACTCCTCAAACGAAAAATATTCCACTTAGCCCAAAAGAAAAGTCTTGGAAATGTTTTGGAGCAAACTAGAGACAACATTGGATGGATTGTAAATTTCTAAAGCCCGGCCCCTCAGAACGAAACTAATTTTAAGGCACTGGGGCCCTTTTCTTTTTCAATCCCTCCCACAAACAAGAACAGTCAAGACCGACAGTATTGAAATGAAGTTGGGTTTTTAGTGCGTGGAGTTTTTTAATCGTAGGAGCGATTTTTCTCAGTCACAGAATTGTCCGATCCAAATACATCTGTCTAGCGCCCTCTGCCCCATAGAATAGTGGGCGTGAAGGAGGTGTGTCAATTTCACGGTCACTGATTGGCTCACACAATCACCACGCTAGACCTCGGCATGCAAACGCGCGCTGAGATCAATCCTTCTCGCTGACTGCTTGAACGCGATCCGATTGGCTGCGAGCCTGACGTAGCTGTAAATAAATTAGGCAGGACACGTGATCGAGTTCCGCAAACCGTGCGAACCAGATCAGAGACGCTTGTCATTATTTGTTTGTTGGTGGAGCGCGCGCCACCGCAGAATTGATAGACAACCAGTTTTATAAGCAGTCGTGAAAGCGACCTGTTGGCAGAACATAATTTCAGACGGACGGTGACTTTGTGGCAATTTATTTTTTGGAAAATACACGAACTTGGTCAAGATGCGCCGACAGAGATCTATGATGGCTTTGAACGATACGGCGAGATGTAAAATTGTCGTCGTTGGAGATTCTTTGAGCGGGAAAACAACAGTACTTCACACATTTCTGGGTCGTCAATTTGATGAGGTAAGTACAAAAGTCGCGTTTCTTGAAATATACTGTATTGATGAACAGATTTTGGTGCTAAAATTTTCATATATGATTAAAAAAAAACATAATTGAAAGATAACACCACGGGTTTTACGAATGAAATGTTAACACCAATACTGATTTTGAAGCTGAAAAAAAAAATGATTAAAAATCTGTTACAGAACCGGAGTCTTCATGGTCGATAATATTATTGCATGACAAAAATGGAACCTTGGATAATTTCTGCAACCTTTCTTTCCGCTACAAACGGTTAAAGATTAACGTTTCATGCTGGAATTGTTTAAGTGAAGCGTGTTATTGTTGGTATGTTCAGATTTTACTTTATTCCAGTACCAAGGTAACCCGAAGTTAGTGCCTAAATACGTCATGTAAGTTAGTTGGCTTCGCTTTGTGAAACCACAGAGAAAAAGAAACACACTGAAACCATACGGGAAAGACAAGCGACAATCCTGTAAATATTCGAAGGTTATCCCATGGTCGCAGGAAACGGCACTGAGAGTGGGCGCACACTCTTAAGGAAATGAGTAAAACGATTGTTCATGCCAGTGGTGAGACACAATGCTTTGTCATGAGGAACGAAGAAGAAAAATCAAGGCTGTGAAAATATCCAATTTGGTGCCAAGTTGATGACCAGATAAACCAAAGTGGACTAAGTACAATGCGGTTATGATGGATATTTTGGTAATTAGGGTTTTTTACTGCTGTCTGCGTTTTTAAGTGAGTAATCATGTTTTCCCACGACAGGTTCCTGTTGAATGCTTCGCCCTCCTTCTGTTTAGAGGAAATAATAATTTTGGGTACCTCTTTAACAATTTGCCGCCAAACTGACAGACTGAAATACCAGACAGACCAGTTAATGCGGTCATTACATTTACTTATATAAAATTATAACTACTTCCTATGAAAATTCTATAAGCTCTATATTTTCGTTCGACGCAAAACCATCTATTTGACAAAAGATGGGGTGAATGAATTTGAAAAAGGATTAAACCCATTGTTTTGTCAATGTTAATTTTTTTTTTTAATTCATATTGATTATAATTGTGTGTCTTGTGAATTTCCCATGTATGCTTTTTATTTTTTATTCGATTGTAAACCATTTGATTTTTTTTTTTAGGATTAAAGGAGTATCAGAAAGGATAAAACAGTTATTTTTTTCAATTTTGAAACAAAAAATATATATAGTTTAAGAAACTGCTATTTCAGAACTTGTGAAACCGAAACTCGAGTGTGAAAGTAAGCAACCTAGGTTCTCGGGCGTGGACCTAGAGAAAGGCTCAAGACATTTCCGCTAACTTCCGGGTAGCTGTCAGCAACTCTCTCCGGCCCAAGACAGCCCCGCTGCCCAAATTCATCCTAATCCATCCATTTCCTATTAACAGACGCAGACAACTCTACAAAGCGAATAATCAAATTCTTAAGATCTCCCCTGCCCTCACCCAATTAGGATTATCTTTTAAGTCAATTTCACGCCTGACGTCATCAAGTTTGGTGTTTCCCTTCGGATTGAAAGTTCATTTGAACATTTGAGATTGTCACTTCAAGAAAAGAAGTAAACACCGTCTGCGTAGCACATCATAAATGGGTTCCCTATGACGTTACTAACCTTATGGCATAAAACACAATGCAATTGCTTTCTTTTAGGGTCATATTTGTCAAGTTTACATGCAAGCATTCAGTTTGTATTCCACTTAAAAATGTGGAAAATTTCTCAAAATAGATTTAACAAACATGTATGTGTACCTTATTTACCTTCAGAATGCTGTGCATACCATGGCATACTGTGCAGAGAAAGCATATACGAACAGCTTTTTCTGGAACCTGAAATATTGAACTGTTCAAACCTTTTACGCCCCTCAAACTCTTTTCTTGTGGACTGTATACAAAACTGTATTATTTTCAATATCTGCATTGTTGCCTTTATTTTCTCCAACACAGGTGTACACACCGACCACGTTTGAAAACTACTCGTCAACAATGGAAATTAACAAATACCGGATGGAACTCACAATTTGGGATACCTCAGGTAAGTTCCTGCTCTGAACTCGTTGAAATATTTGGGCAGTAGTTTTGGAATTTTGCGATTGATGGGGATTTGGGCGATTCATCAAATCACGTCAACCACATCGGCATTATAATCTGAAAACAGCGTGGCAGGTGCAGATTATGTCTGGTATTTTGTTATTTCGGGTCGTTGTGGAGGGGGAAAAAAGGGCAATCCTAGGCTCTGCTGGGTATTTTAAAAATAGTTCAGTATGACCAAGCTAAAGCTTTTTTAGGAAACTAAAGTTTAGTCCAAAGACAGTGACTGACTCAATCAATATATAGATTTTAAGCAAAACAAAATCAAGAACTACAATTTTGTTTAGATGGTAAAAAACAGTTTCATTACAGAGAAGTGGAATACATATATTGGTATCTCTTCTCAATAATACATAGGGCCTACATGCATTAGACGAAATGTCAAAAATAAATAAATAAATTTAATGGCGAGTTAATTTAAATGTGATGCTAAGTTTAGCTATGCATAACGAAGTGGGTTGATTTTGGACAATTCGCATGGGTTACCATGGCATTACCATGGTAATGTGAAAACATAAAAAAAGGAAGACAGACGGTGAAGAGGTGTTTGCGGTAGACGACCGAATTAATCAACGGAAATGAGGATGTAATGATGCATAATATGAACGCGATTATAAAGGGCAATGATCTGAAGCGGAAGAATATCAAATCTATCGAGTCAATCAACTTATATAGTGTTGCATGAACGAGTCCATCACAAGTCCATCACAAGTCCTTACACAAGTCCTTACACAAGTCCTTACACAAGTCCTTACAGAAGCCAGGTCACAAGTCCGTACACAAGTCCTTACACAAGTCCTTACACAAGTCCTTTCACAAGTCCTTTCACAAGCCCAGTCACAAGCCCAGTCTCAAGTCCAGTCACAAGTCCAGTCACAAGTCCAGTCTCAAGTCCAGACTCAAGTCCAGTCACAAGTCCTTTCACAAGTCCAGTCACAAGTCCAGTCACAAGTCCAGTCTCAACTCCAGTCACAAGTCCAGTCTCAAGTCCAGACTCAAGTCCAGTCACAAGTCCTTTCACAAGTCCAGTCACAAGTCCAGTCACAAGTCCAGTCACAAGTCCAGTCACAAGTCCTTTCACAAGTCCAGTCACAAGTCCAGTCACAAGTCCAGTCACAAGTCCAGTCTCAAGTCCAGTCACAAGTCCAGTCACAAGTCCAGTCACAAGTCCAGTCACAAGTCCAGTCTCAAGTCCAGTCACAAGTCCAGTCACAAGTCCAGTCTCAAGTCCAGTCACAAGTCCAGTCACAAGTCCAGTCACAAGTCCTTTCACAAGTCCAGTCTCAAGTCCAGTCACAAGTCCAGTCACAAGTCCAGTCACAAGTCCAGTCACAAGTATTACACAAAATTATACTCAATTGTTGATTCAGAACGGATATTCACTTGAGTCTTCCATGCGTCTTATCTAATCCTTGGCTTTACGGGGTAATCCTATACGATAGCACTGCCCAGCTTACAAGTGGCAGTGGCTCAGCCAGTCAGTGACATAAGTACAGTGGTGGAAATAAACTGGCGATCCAGGTCCAGCAAAAAGTTATACCAAGTTGTTCATCCATTGTTTTTAACGCTCAAAACTCAACCCATGTTAAACGTCTAGGACTTCGTTATGTAAACTGCCGCGGGCGTATTATAGTGTAGGATGGCATCGTATACTGACATTTTGTTGACCAGCTGGGATTGTTAAAGGTGCACAAGTTTAACTTCCAGGGTGTCACTTAATCTGCAAATAGTAATACCACTGTAAAGATTGACAGCTCCAGATTTCGCCAAACTTTTTAAGTAATTCAAGATACGTAAATAATTTTGAGTGCTAAAAATTGAAACATTTACAACAAATCAAAGTTCCACACATTGGAAATTAACAATATTGGCCATTCATATATAACAAATTGTGACTTAAGAATGTATTAAAAATTATCCACGTTTTTCTCTTATAATTCCAGACAAATGGTGGCAATTTTTCATTTTGCGGTTTAATTAAAGTGATAGGATCCAGTCGACCTTTACCTTTACTCTAGGTTAAAGTTTAACTGACGAGTCATCAATCGAAGCTTGAAGAGCGTCATTTTACTCGAAACGCACCCCACCGACCGTTGACATAGTCAAAATCTTTAATTTCCTGGCGTTTGGCACAAAGGATTTTGAGTTCATGCATAGATTTCTGGAAGTCTGAACGCCAGAATGTTTGTGTTAATACCATGAAAGAAAAAAAAAACAATACTTCTTAACTTTCCCCGCGGTTTATACGGGAGGGGTCGATTCGAGGTCGAAGCCACAAACGAAATTTCGCTCGAAATGTCAGTCAAACATTGTAACCCCGGGTGTTTTTTTTTGTATAAAATGATTAAGGGGTTAAAAAAGCAGGTCGGGTGGAATGTCATGACAATAACAAAATTTATGGTCGGGTTGGAGGTTTATTTTTGAAGACTAAAACTGACAGTTTCTACTTGATTCAGTAGCACCATGCGGTACTGTGTACTCGTCACCTTGGGTGCTATTTCGAGAACCCCGATCTAATTTATGCCTAAAATGCTGCCAAAAGTAAGGGGAGAATTTGTGAAAGTATGTCGCGTGCACGACTTCGGCTCAGCATAACTTGGGCGCTGGTCTCCTCGTGGTGATTGATTTGTGGAAGGTTCAAGTCGGCTTCATTTCAAAACAAATATTCACACGGAATTAAGCTACACTTGGGTACACATTCCTCGACCCCGCAACATATTTTCCAAATGTGAACCATGTAACATCAGCATATCTCAACTAGTCGAACCGCTCTACGGTCAATCAATAGTGTTACCTTGAATATGTCTAATCTGCGAGTAGTAGCCATTTAAAATTTCTTAATTTTGGTCAGATGTTTTCTGGTTTTTGTTTTTTGTAGGCTCCCTGTATTTTTGAAAAATAATTGCCAACCAAATAAGTGAACCTGGTGAACTAATTGTATAAATAAATACACAACATATATTATGTAAGTAAACTAATATCTCAGCATTATACCATGAATAAATTGTAAAAAATAATAAAAAGCATTAAACTAATAGTTTATCTTTCAAGAAGTTTATATTTTTCAAGAAGACAAACAACAGAATCCCATAGTTTTACACTACTGTCCATAATAATTATTTCATAATATCGAGAATTATTCAGATAAAGCACATATTTTGAAGATTTGCAAGTGTCTTATAAAATGTTGGTTTTTAATTCACGATCTTGGCCAGTACATGATGTCATGTAGCTCCACGGTACCGGTGATGTCATGGCGATTTTCATCGCTGAGTCACGCACATCATCTCTCAGTGGGGGAACTCCCCGCTGTATTTCGCTGTTATTGTGAAACCGATATTTAGACCCCAAGGAAGTGGGCTTTTCCCCCAAGGAACCACAGTGAAACTTTCCACAGTCACCAAAATAGCTCCAAGAAAACAAAAATAGACGAATATAGATACCCCCGTGGGAAAACAGCAGCTTTCTTTTTGGGCAGTATCGTAAGCCTACAGTATGTTTTTGACTGGATGTCTTTGGTGTCGATAATGAAAACAAAACTACTAATTTGCTACAACGGATTTGATGATGTTCTTCTCTTTTTCCCCGAACCTATCATTAAATTAAAAACAAAAGGATTATGATTTTAGAATCAATGTATTTGGCAGAAATGAGTTCAGTCCTTCATTATGTAGTACATGACTAACGCAATTAATCCATTAAAACATTAAGACAAGTCACGTGTCAGAGTGGTATACTCATACAATTGTCATGGCAACTCCCGCCACTAATACATCAGTGAATACCTTTTCCTATAATCAGCAAATTAATATCGCTTAATTGCACGAGTACCCTCCTAAATGGATGACACGAGCAATTTCTGTGACATCTTTGTTTTGTCACGTAATGAAATCTGTCGCTTATTCATTATTCATCAGTGGCTGTGAATCATGGTGAATCACGCGTGGCAGTCTCCGTTAACCATGCATCAAGTTGTGTTCATTACATTATACATGGCATAGCAGCATCGGCCTTGCGAAATTGCATCGTTTGTAAAGCCTACTCCAGAACTTGAAGGAGCATGTTAGATTAAAATGTCACCCCCAACTATTTTTTTTCAGCGGAGCTTTTGACATTCTCTTGAAATCTTGGTGCCGTAAGATAGTTAGATGTAATTTTCCCAACATAACCTTATATATGAAACAGTTAACAAAACACCAAATTCCCACCAAAGCGAACATGAAAATGCGGATCCAAGTTAATTTTTCAGCGATGCTTGCGCATGGTGTTCTCTGGCAAATCTACACTGTATATGGCACTAAACAGACACTATAACATTTGCCCAATTTAACGTTTATAAAGAACACCAAATACCAGTGTCAGATAACAATGTAATGATTGCATCAGCTAGACACATGCATCGTTTACCAATTTCCGTAACATTATTTTCTTCGAGGCCATGGTACGAAAACGAAAACGCCCACCTTATTGTTTTCTGCGAAAATTTTGGAATTTCCTCTGCAATTCTTCTATTTCACAAGACCAAGCCAGACATTAGATCATAAAACTAATTCCTCTACTGGTTGACAAGTTTCAAGTTAGTTGGAAATTTCCATATAGTATTTCCTCAATGTTTATTAGAAGGAAAAACATATGAGCCCAATTGTCCGATCTCATTATGTGGGCAGATCTCAATCGGTAACCGGATAAGGAATTGCGTTTCAAAGCGGAACACATAAAGGTCACTTCGAGAGATGATATATTTGTAGCTGACACGCATATCTGATAGAGATAAAGTGATAATCACGTTAGGCATGATGCGACAATTGCGAAATTGGTTCGTGTCAAAAGAGTGTTCGCGAAATGACAGTCACCTCTGCATACGTGTAGCGTCTGAATATAGCGTCTGAATCACACTACATACAGTACACAGTGCCAAAAAAACCGCAACATTCAGAAAACAAATAACTGTTTTATGGTTTTCTTCAATGAAAGTATATATTACATTAAAGCCAGACTATTTCTCAATCCACTCCTTTTTACCCCATTCCATTTAGGTCCTTCGATCCAGAAATGCAGTTAATTAAGTCAAAGGGAGTAAACTTTACTTGGGCCACTCTCACCTGCGATGTCACCAACTTCAATGCCTATTCAGATTGTACTGTATTGTATATTGTGTGATTGTATTTCTGTATCTAGGAACCCAAATGGAACGGGATAAAAGGAGTGCCTTGAGAAATGGTCAGGCTTTTAATGTATTTCGTTGAGGAAAAAAAAATAAAGGTTTAATTATGTGTTTTCTGAATGTTACTCCTTTTTGGTGCACTCTGTATTTACGCAGTATTAAGGAGAAAACTAATGACAAAGTATTCAATAAATGCAACGTCATACATAATTAAATATTACAGCTTTTAACTGATGTTCATGCCTGTCATGATGTTCTTTCACAGTTCATATACATTGTAAATACATTATTTTCATGTAATCTTCTGGCTCTGCTGGTATATTTTCCCAATACCCCCCAAAAAATAGTATATCGGCTTTTTTTTGTTTCTTTCCTCAATCACTTCCATATTGCAATATTGTATTTGATCAAACTACAACAAATAGTGACTAATATTTTGAGCATGAGATAATACAAAAGGTTTAATGAGCAGTGTAAACCAACCAACCACCACTAGATGTGACCACGAGTTGATGATATTGATATATATGGGAACCATATGGTTTTATACGTCAGCTGTAACGACCATTTTCATTAGTACATTCCTTCCTAGTTCCCACCGTCCATGTTTCTGATGTACACCAGGCCTCGAATTTCAACATTATTGCGACCCATCTGTTAGAAATTTAGCACCATATAAAAATGAAGAAACAAATCGTAATATGGTGATCATAAATTTTACTGACCCATGCTGTTTGCTAGTCGATGTGGTATGTGAGGAATGACTGGCGTGCGCTGACCCAGACACGCGTCTCGCGTCGTGTCGGCAGGGTGTGGACTTGGAATGATCCGTTCTGAAATTAATAAAAAGAAAAGAAACGGACAATGAAATTTGATGTGAGTCATAACATTTTATGGAGTTTGATGGATTCTCAATGGGGTTTCCAACTTTGATTCTATTAAAAAAAAAAAATTATACAAGAGGTCTTTGCTTTGCAATCATTTTTGAACTGTGTGCTTTTGTTCTACACGGTGGTGCAAAAAGAAGGAAAACCACTTTGACAGGAATTCCAGCATACTTAATTTTAATATTTGAACTTGGTGGGTTTTTTTTACAATGTAGTGAAGTGTAGAACTTCAAATATACAGGGTGAAAAAAATATTTTAAAACATCGAAAGAATAGTTATTACGCTAATTTAAATAAAAGTCACCAAAATTACAGTTGTACACGCGTAAGTCCAGTGAAGTGTTTTTTGTTGTCTTCAAATCAAGCTCCGGAGCTCGGTCAAGCGGATGGAATAAAGCCGTCCGTGGACAAACAGGTTTGGCACATGACATTTTTAAACTACCATATCTCAGAGACAAAATATGCATAATGCAATGAGTTTTCGTCACTTATGTTTAAATATCAATATTTTAATACCATTAAATTGAAGTTTTGAAATATGCTCAACAAGTTGGTGAAAATTGCTGTGGGTTTCCTTCTTTTTGCACCACCCTTACAGAGCTAGGGATATACATGCTATAAAACCTCTTGAGCGTTCGTTCGTGTGCATTCAAGGATGGGGGAGTAACAGAAACTGTGATTTTCTATTTGTAAAAGAAGCAAAGACAGAACAACGTACAGACTAGAGGCCAAAGAGCCCTTTGGAGTGAGATTTCAAAACCGCCTGAACTGTCATGCGCTTTGTACTTTGTAAAGAGATGGTCTTAAGTAAATTAGGCCTTAACTTATGCAAGTCTTTTGAAAAGGGCGGGGCAATCAATGGTAAAGAAGTAAATCTACATTCCATGATCCATCATCGAAATTACAAATAATTCCCATCCTGACCACCTGTTCCACAGGAAAACACACTCACTACACAGGGATTTCATATTTCCTTTTCGCCTGGATTTGCCTCCAACCCAACGACACGCTTTCCGACACCTGTAAAACACACACTCATTTTCATGGCCAAGCCATGCATGAAACCTAAATCCGATTGCAACAGGCTGTTTCCATTCTAGCCATATTTTCCCCTCTTTTACTGATATCAAATCGATTTTTTTTTTATTTGTCCCGAATTGTCCGGGTTCAGTACACCCTGGTAGTTTTTTTTGTGAGTGGTCTTTGTGTTTTGAGACACGTGTTGAGCTCATATCGCCGGAATTTTGGGTCACTGCGCGGGGATCATAAGCGTGAATTCGTTTGCCCTTGCTCCAAGCCCCAAAGCCCCACAAGTGCACGACGTAAGGTGAGCTTTAGCCTAAAACGACACGAGAACACAATCTTTTCTGGGTATTTTGAGGGTTACAATAGAAAGTCCACGTGGGAAACTGCGCTCGTAGTGAAATACAGTACGGGGCTATACAAAAATGACAATGGTATGGCGCGGGTATATGTTGATATACGGTGTACAATGGGTCACTAAGGCCAAATGGGTGGTTTTTGTTGTCCATTTTCAGTCAATTAACAACCATTAACCACAAACCAACAACTTGACAATCTACATGGCTTATTGCACTTGCGTTCAATGGTAGAAATACGAAAGGTCATCTTTATTCGGCAATTATCTATAAGTGATAAAAAGAGTGAAGGTATATGACAGGAATGACCACAAATGTGCAAGTGAATTAAACAGCAGTAAATCAACCACTTTTTAAGTAGTAATTCTGAACGATACAATTAGTTAAACCAGGCACTAAAAAGTATGGTCGGTGCATGGGCAACCAAAAGGTCTGTTAAAAATGCGACCTATATCTATCAGCGAACCGTCAGTACGTGACGAGTGCATTGCGTGTATACTCAACTACGGATATCCCTTTTTTATTAAACTAACAGAAATTTATTCAAAAGAACTACAGTCAATTACAGTTTTGGTTGTGTCAACTTGATTCAATTTACTTGTTGTCGATTTTTTTTCTCCCAATAATACTTGTCCTCAAAAATTAAGCACCGATGGAAACCACTGACCCGTAAAAGATTTTGAACTGAAATTTAATTCCAAAGCCCTATTTGCGTCGATTCTTCTCCAGCTATAGGACACGGTTTGGATACCTTTTGGAACAGGAATATTCTACTGTCGCTGGTCGGTCGCACCAAACCGACTCTCACGGTCATGCACTTTATTTCTGGCCGTGACCTCGCGCCTAACAATGGGCGGTGAGGATTGCACATTTTACTGCAGGTTCCCATTATAATACCAGCACCTTTTTCGGATCTGACAGCTGTTACAATTACTGTTAGTAATCCTAGAGATTAGATAGTGATGAAATGTAGCCGACAGTAGCGGTAATAATGATGGCATGATGAGCACTAATAAGTGGGCATCGCTGGATGAGTCAAGAGTTGACATCAATTGAATTTTCCCATGGGCGTTTCCAATTCTTGTTTAACATCGAATCCTTCTTTATGTTAATTCGAGGTCGCTGCCTAAATGTAGTGCTTATTTTCGTGTATTATATTTTCAAAGGGATGACATCGCACTAAAACATGATTTCAATAACACTTGATTTTGTGCGTTCCAATACAGACAAATTAACAGCGAAAACTTGGACGTTTTATAGCCGTTGTCTAAAATGAAACATTTCATATACATGTAATAGAAATTATTGTGTGTGATTTCATGACCGATTTTATAGTTTCACGTCATGAATATCGAAATGCTGAGACTCAACAGAAATTCCTTCAAAGTCAAAAGTTCATGATTTAACATCTACAAAAACATTGCAAGCCTGGACAAATGTAGAATACATTAATCAAACTCGAAACTAAGACAGGTTTTATATAGCCAATGCACTAGAGACAGAGCTGTAAAACTTCAGTTTGCAAATTCGTTGTTCAGTTCGTGGAGCTTGCTCCATGTTCAGTTTTGGTCATTGGAAAACTGCAGCTGAATTGACGTAAAAGGGTGACCACATGGCATGAGAGAATTTACGACCGCGAGGATAAAAAATACCAGCAAGAATATGGAACAGTAAAGGAAACCTTCATCTTTCAAAGCTACGTACAATATAATAATATATTTCAAGCAGTATTTCATGAGCACAAAAAAAAAAATCCCTAGCCACCCTCAAAGGCATATCAATCACATTTTTATATTAAAACTCGCTCTTTCTATTTACATAATTTTTTTTATTCAGCAATTCTTATTCGTGTGGTGTTTATTTTTCGCCATCGCGGTACCACTACCAGGGTTGTTTGTTATTGCTGTGGGGATGTGTTAAGGAATTTCCATGGATAATCCTCCAAGGAATTTTATATGCAAACAGGGCAGTCAACTGGTCGTGCGTAAACACGCAATAATAAGACAAATTTGTTCTGAATTCTTGCTAGGGGCCTCTCGCCCTTCACACAATATAGATTTGGTCTGTCCTCCTGAGAGTTTCACCTTACATTCTTAACACTGGGAAACCGTGTGAACTAAGACATGGGAACTATAAGTCAGACACAAAATGTACAGCATTGTATGACTAGATTAATTATCGAAAGTTCTTATTATTTAGTTCAGAAGCAAACAATAAAAGGAAACAAAATAATAACATTTGGGGGAACAAAGTTTCAATAATCCTTCTTTGAAAAATAATTAAGCTGCTGCAAACTGCTCACTGACCGGATTGACCTGATATATACAAATCAAAAGGTTAGAGAGGCCTGATATATTTCGTCTTTAGCAAAGACTTCTTCAGAGGCAAATCATATGGAGATGAACCAACATGCAGGGGACATGCACACAGGCAGGGTTGGAAGGATAAACACAAAGGATGGATGGGGGGAGGTGGACAGTGGATGAAAGGAGATTATGGAGCAAAGGAGTGTGGTGGGAGTGGGGAAGGGGAGGGGGTCGGGGGAAGAGGAAGGGAAAGATGCAGGGGAACAAAGGACAGTGGTGATGAAAGTGACAGGGTTAATAATCCTACTTTGTTTGAAATAGTTTTCCTCTTTAAATAACTAGTTATAAAGAGAGTAAGTGACTGAAACCATGATTCCAGACAAAACAAAGAAAAGTGAAAAAAGCAAAACTAATTTGTAGAATTTTGTTCCGTGTTCATAGCGACATTTCATTTAAAATCGAAAATAAACGGTGTACGAATAGTAAATGCATATAAACAGAAGCAAATGTTATAACAACAAAGAAAATCTCACACAAGGACCTGCCAAAATGCTTTCAGGAAAACCAAACCCTAGCGAAACCTGTACAGTAATTGAAATGAAGACGTTGTTTCGATATGTCTTTCGTGTTTGTTTTTTTGATGTGTTATGACCAGGGTAACCACAAGCGTATTGTTATGGTAATGAGCTTCCACTGAGTGACCAGCGTGAATGGTCAAGCTGCTGTGGCGACCTTGATGGCCACTTTGGTGGTCAAGGGGAACAGCTGAAACCTTGCAGTTGTACAAATACACACAACGATGCACGATTTGAAATGTTCGTTGTTTTGAAGTATAGGGGTTGCCAGTGCGTGTTAAAATTGTAAGGGAATGATATTTTCAATTTTCAAAAAAGTCTGAACGCTTGATGAAATAAGTGTGAAGGGTGCTTCTTTCTACTGCTGTCAGATTCAAAATGTCTGTACTTATTTGCTCAAGTCAAGGGTAAAAAAAGTTGTACGGGACAAGAATTTTATACAATGTATGACATTTTCCCCTCTTCCACAGGTAAACCCGAGTACGACAGCGTTCGACCTCTTTCGTATAACGAGATCACAATTGCGTTAATTTGTTTCGACATCAGCCGGCCGTTCACGCTGCACAACATCATACGAAAGGTGGGTCAAGATTTATTTTTGTTAAAAAAAAAGATTTTTTTTCTCCCAATAAAATAATACCCTTTATTAATTTCTTTCATTTAATCATAAAGTCTGAAAAGTTCTCAAGCTCAAACCAAATTTGGTTTGGTTTGACCATGGTACGACCGTAGAGCAAGGATATGGACAGACCCCAGTCTCAATTTGTGAACCTAAACATGTGCTTATTGAAAACATTTGTGAGGAAAGTTTGCTAACTGCCATAGACACAACGAATCACCAACGAGAATTTAGGACAGCAAAATATCCAAAACTCTGGCAACTTTTGCTGCTGAAATAACTGTAACATTGAGGTTTCCGCCTGAAATGACATCACGCTTTTGCTCACGAATATGGAAATTTGCATTAGCATAAAACCCAAAATGCACCACAATACCCTTGAAAATGGCAAATTTAACTTGAAAATAAGGTTAAATGGGACCCAAATGTGCATTTTCAAGGATTTCGTTAAAAAAATAACATTGCATGGGGCCTTTAAAGCAACATCATGCAAGCTGCTCATACAATGATTTAGCTTTGAGTGCCTGTAAGTTAATCATTCCGGTCGTCCACTTTACTTTTTATATTTCCTCATCATAATTGTGACTGACATCCATGCCATATTGCACACGTCTACTGCAGCCGTCTGCCAGGAATTGATATCATTATTGTCATGCGTGCTATTCCAAGCACTTGAGTAGCCATCCAGGGTCCATTTTAGGTTTGATCTACATGTACTTGGCGAAACCCTTCTTGCAAGTCACAAGAGGAATTTGGTTCTTCTGTATAAAGTTATTGCCATATTTTTTTTTGTTAGAGCAGATCCACATGTATATTATGTCTTCACAAATTCTGTTTGAGGCATGGTCTTGCTTAGGGCATTTTTGCTAAGGTCTTTTTTAGTTTCGGGTCAACTCGGTCCCAAACCAACTCGGTCCGAGTCAACTCGGTCCCTTGCTCCCAGGTCAACTCGGTCCCAGGTTAATTGCGAAGTTTAAGGGAAAAATGCTCTAGCAAGACACTAGGGTGGAGATCAAATTGTGCCACATTAGGGTACATCAACAATACAAGAGACCTTAACATTATCCAACCTTTGCTTGCGTACATTTGTGCGTTTGTGTTTTTTTTAGGGACCGGGTTGACTTTGGATCGGGACCGAGTTGATTTGGGACCGAGTTGATTTGGGAGCGAGTTGGTTTGGGACCAAGTTGACCTGCACCCTCTTTTTTAGCCGGCAAATGGCGGGATGAGCACTCACAACTGAAAATGCACTAAAAGAAACTTTGATTGCAACATGAACTGATGTGATATGTAAAATGTGTCTTATCCCTTCTTGTTTTGCAGTGGCACCCAGAGGTTAAGAAGCACTGTCCAAATTGCCCGATCATTCTTGTGGGCTGTAAGATGGACCTAAGAAACAACATCCAAGTCATGTCAGAGCTGTCAAAAGACAGAGGGCTACCAGTGTCTCATGACAGGGTGAGAACAAATATTCAAAAACCCTCCCCCCCCAAAAAAAATTGAGAAATAAATTAAGAAAAAATTTTAAATGGAGGATCCGAAACGGAAAATTTATCGTATCTCTCAAAATATGAACATACATAAGTCGTCAAAACTTTAGTTTTGACGCAAGCAGATATCATTTGTGAAAATACATATTTAGGGCCTATGCAACAAAATACAGACTTAGAAGTTAGAAACTTGGAATTTAAATTACATGTATTTCAACAATTTTGAAGATGATCTTCTCGCTGTAGAATGTATACATATGGCACTAGTTTGGTCAAGGCAACATGAGCTAACATGCATATTTGTTGGTCGGATTAGGTCGACAGATAGCTGGCCACTCCCTTTCAAAACATCAAATTGATACTAAAAAGGTAAACGGTAATTGGCAACATTTGCTGTGGGGCAGGACGGCAGGTTATAGCAGACCCAGACTGGGACCTCGCGTGTAGAAAAACATGCAAAACAAGATCAGGCCACCTTTACTCACTCTTTAGCTAACAACATTCTCCACAATTACTTTAATGAAGCAAAGACAAGGTCCTCAGTATTTCACCAGCCAAGTTTGAGGTCTCAATTCAATTTTTAAAGGAGACTTTTCTTTAATATTTTGCACCCAAGAGTGAAGCCAGGTGATTTCAATTTGAAGCTTAAGACTAGACTGGTACATGTCCAACTTTTGTAAGATTAAACCTTCAGTAGTCTGGTGGCATGACTATGGAAATGTGTAGAAATAGAGACTGGGTACCAGATGTTTCTTTTGACACAGTTGATTGCTGTAGTACTAAAAAGGGTGTTGGACTGGCTGTTTCATGTGCCAGTCTATTTTCTTGTGTTTGCATGTTAAGTTTTGGTACTCTCAGTCTCAGTCTGATAAACAGTTTGAGAGTCCCAAATTCATGTTGTAAGTAGACTTGTATACAAACTTAAGTTTAAAAACCGATACCAAAACAAACCCGAACACAATTGGTAAATATTAATATTATTAATGAGATTGAGAACTTTTTCAAGTTCAAATGGTCACAGGCCGTGGCCGAGTGCTAGTCCGAGTAACTAGGACCCAACTTATCGCCTTTTTTAACATTTGGACATGGTCTGGCGATAGTGGGGTCCAAGCTAATACCGCGACCTGGACAACACCGTCCCAAAAACCAACATTTTCCAACAAAAAACATCAGATTTCACCTTCAAAACGGCCTCCAAATTACTAGATATGCCACCTGAGGTACAAGTAGACATCGATAATTAAGATGGTTGTACTGAAGTTTACTTACGATCCGGAAAAAAAGTGAAATTTTCCGTTCATTTCGGAGAGCTCCCCTCGCAATCTTGAACACGTTAAATTTCCGATCGTGTTTAATTTTTGAACGACGCGATTTCTTCTACATGCCCAGCGTACATTCGATGGTCCCCGTATCCCGAGTGCGATTCCATTACCGAGCGCCACGATGCATCGATTATGATAATGAGTAGACTGGATCACGTTTGTTAACACATGTGCATTTCAAACGATAATCGGGGGTCTGGAACTAGCACAGCTTTTATGGCGGATACCAGTTCAAGCTGATTCCCTATTCCCTTTTACAGTTCGAAATGCACATGTATGTGTTTACAAACGTGACTCATTATCCTAATCGATGCATCGCACGCGCTCGGTACGGGGACCATCGAATGTACGCTGGGCATGTAGAAGAAATCGCGTCGTTCAAAAATTAAACACGATCGGAAATTTAACGTGTTCAAGATTGCGAGGGGAGCTCTCCGAAATGAACGGAAAATTTCACTTTTTTTCCGGATCGTAAGTAAACTTCAGTACAACCATCTTAATTATCGATGTCTACTTGTACCTCAGGTGGCATATCTAGTAATTTGGAGGCCGTTTTGAAGGTGAAATCTGATGTTTTTTGTTGGAAAATGTTGGTTTTTGGGACGGTGTTGTCCAGGTCGCGGTATTAGCTTGGACCCCACTATCGCCAGACCATGTCCAAATGTTAAAAAAGGCGATAAGTTGGGTCCTAGTTACTCGGACTAGCCGAGTGCATAATATTAACTAAGTTATCGAGCTCATATCATCTTGGGTGTCCAGTACAATTTACAAATTCTGCTCTACATCTGTCTACCCACTTGCATTTCTCGTGGTCTTCCCAGAGGTCCATAAGAATGTTAGCCATGTCATTCTTGTCAGGGCACCCCTGTCGGTCCTGAAGCGCCCTCCATCGGCGACTGACCGGCGCAGACAGCTTCACGGTCGTGTCCGGTCCGCGCTGGCGGCGATGTGTGGCGCGATATTTCGCCTGAGCTGCAAGAACAGATTTCCTCTTCGCCTCCGGAGAAAGTGGCCTCCGTCCCGCTGAACCAACGCGTTTTCTCTGCCCTGCCGTGGTGTTTGCACTCATTTTGTCGTTCCTTTTTACTTGTTATTTCCCGCTACATACACGCGAGTGTGCGATGTCAATATCGCTTGCAATTGCCTGGTTCCCAGACTAAAGGACCCCGCGCTTAGACTGTCGTCAGGTCAGGAAACCAGACTAATGCAGTGGCCTAGCTCAGCCAATTGAGGGCGGCATTCACTTTCGCCCTTGTTTTACTACGATCGAGTGTGGTCCTGAAAATGAATGGCGTTTTGATTTCTCAGGACGCTTGATACTGTTATTTATTTTTTTCACAATGTGCCATAATTTATTATCATCAATAAAAATTGAAAATTAGATGTTGATGCTGTCAATTTGTTACAGAAAAATGAATTTGTTTTCGGTATGGATTTGTCACGATCTGCTCGTGAAACACAACAGAAATGTCACGGATGAGAAATAATTTTTTTTGGGAAGTTATAATGACGAAAAGTGGAAAGGGTGATGTAAACCGTGGTAAAAAGTCTTACCTTCCTACTAAAATCTAAAATTAGTGGAAAGGACTAAACTACGCTATTAACAATGTGTCATGTACAATATTTGCACATTTCCGAGACTGGGACCTTAAGTGCTCAAAACGATGCAAAAGAAGATCAGACCAACTTTACTCACGGTGTAGCCAGTACTGAAATTTCTCCAAAACTTTCAGTGGGCAAAGAAAAGGTCCTCGGTCTTTCACCAACCAAGTTTGAAGACTCATTTCAATTTTTAAAGACTTTTCTTCAATATGTGACATATGAGAGGGAAGTCAAGTGATTTCAAAATGAGGCTTAAGACTACACTTTTACAAATTAAATGTTCATACATGGTCTTACTATTTGGAAAAGCAACTGTTTGACAAGACTGACTTTTTCAGTCATTGTCATTAGTCTGGTGCCTGACTATGAAGAAATGTGTAGAAATAGTGACCTTGTACCCGACATCCTAGATACATTTCTTGTGGTACAGTCAGCTGACAGTTGATTGATGCAGTACTGAAGAGTTGTTGGACTGGTTGTTTCAGGTGTCATTTGATTTACATGTTTTCAGTACCTTAAGTTTTGGTACTTGGTTGGTTTCCTCCTGAAACATCCTCTAGGGATCTTGACTTTTTGGGACTCTAGGCTCATAATACACAGTATTGAGTCCGGACTACACATTTCCTTGCTATAAATCATGTACACATGCTGGGCCAATGTCAGTGTTAACTTACTGTTCTGAAGAGTGGCGTGGCTTTGTGGCACATCTTTCCACTGCTTTGCCACGCGATCCAGTTTTCAAACAAGCGTGGCAGGATGGCAAGCGAGGATACTCGACAGGCGAATGCATGTACAGCAAGTGACGCAATGCATCATCGTTTGTTTTCAGGCCGCTCTGCTGCTTGTACCGTAGCCAATCTTTGAAGACCTTCCCGTAACTGATCTGGTGTTTTCCAATTTTGTATTCCTTATTCTGGTCAGCCCTTCTTTTCTTGACAGCCGTTGGCGATATGCCAAGGCAACTGCCGAGACCACTTTTACTTTTGGTGAGACTTTGGCGACCAGAAGTTGAAGGTATCGAGTCGTCAGCCATTGCTATAAAGCGTTTCCTATCTTATGGATGTACGGATCCACAAGTGCTACAACTACATGTACAATGTACAGTACATGTACATGAAAACTATTGTGTCTAGTACATGTATAAAACTACGTACGAAGCTGTGGCCACCACAACTTACAAGGAGGGGTTGAACACGGAGAAAGACGGGGACTGGACTATGCTGTAGTAAGACTAACGAGGACAGCCTCCAGGCCCTTCATATGGGAACCATTAATTTTACGACCAGTGGCTGTCAGCAGCCAGGCTGACCGCTGGGGACTTTGTGGTCAAGTATCTGATCTGAATGTTGATTGATAGAACAGTACGTGTTTCATGGGGTCTACTGTGTGTCCTTATACGGCTAATGCCTCCGACTGCATTATGAGAAACTAAACCGAGCTCCACGACTCGGAGAGACCTCCTTTAAACGTACAATTACAAAGGATGAACAACCAAAAGTCGTACGACAGTAGAGCAAGGATATATGGACAGACCCCAGTCTCATTTCCTGCAAGGTTCCGAGACAAAATCTGGCAAAGCCAATCTATTCCAGAACTAGTCATACCATACCACACAGGTCATACAAACCCGCGGTATAGCAGCCTGGGTGTCGATGCTATTACCGATATAGGTATCACATTTTCCAGCCTTGTGAATATTTACGCAGAAATGTGAGCCGAAACGAAAATGAGATTTTTACACTGAGAACTGAACTGTGTTATGCGTACAAACATGGACTTGTGTTAGTTGTATACCATAGAACATGTAACTAACATTTTTGCCTTTCAGGATATAGGAAGGTCCTGCAATCGACACGTTATAGGCCCTCTAATTTTGTTGATAAATAAGGTGTGCATTCCATTAAGCCACACTAACGAAAGCTCCAAACTAGCTCCGCCTAAAATATAATTACATGTATCGACAAGGTTCCATGACGACGAACACAACATACTACCCGAAACGTTGAATAATGTGAAATTCTCGTCAGCACCACGCATAACTCGTACGAGATGTGTTGTCTTGAATACCTCCAAGTTTAGTTCGGTCAGTAAATGCATATGTAAACCATTAAATCTAAACCCGTGTTTTCTTTCATCATTTCCCCATCTACAGGGAGCAAAGATAGCCTCACAGATCGGCGCAGCAGCTTACGTGGAATGCTCGGCCCGGACCAGTCCCACCAGCATCCAGGAACTCTTCGAAGTCACCTCCCTAGCCGCCATGGGCAAGCTCAAACTACAGAAGTCGTACATCGACTTGCCATCAGCGTGCAACGGGGGCACGCTGCCCCTGTTCAACGCCAACTCGCTCCGCCGGCTCAGCATTCGGAAGAAGAGCGAGCCGAAACTGCCGGCGCCTGTCAGGGTGAAAGCAGTCGTGGTTGAGAGAGAATCGCGAGGATGTATCGTCATGTGAATCAAAGTTTTGATACTTCTTGAGACAATATCTTCTTGTACTTTTTATTAGTTCTGCCAAGAGCTATGCACTATGCCTATACGTCAACAACTCGTATAGTTCTGATGTTACAGTAATATCTTAATTTGTGAACTCATATGCATGGAATATTATATACAAAAGGGACGAACAAAACACTTCAGCGGGTCTGACTTTTCGATCATTATAGCAGAAGCTTTTTCAAAAGCTTTGAGAAAGAGTTTGCTAGAGTCGGAATTGTCAAGCGCTCAACTTTGTTGATTTGTATATTTCAGGTTTAATACAGTCAGTTTCATTTTTCACGAGGAAAATATTTGTTTTTTTCCCTTCAATTTTCCTGTACATAAACAGATCTTTAAACAGTTTTGCTTGAAACAATACTCTGTCTTATACCGAAACATTGATGAACAGCCAAGCTTGTCTCGGATTATTTAAACTCTATAAAAATGGTGCTTTATATTAATCTTGCGGGAAAGTTTAGTTTCCCGTCCGTTTCGTCATGATTGTTACATGAAGAGTGAATTTGTACAGATAATTTAATAACGTGCTCGGCTGGACGTGTTTGCAGCAAATATTAACAATAGGAATCACTGAAATGTTTCCAAATTGTACATACTGTAAACTTTTGTATAAAAAGTGCAATATTTAGTGGAGTTATTAATCATACATTGTCCAACTAAAAGACCAATGTCTTGAATTGCTCTTATGCCTGACAAGTTGTGCTTTAAGTGAGCGCTGGATGTTGTAATATATTTAATTTAAAACAAGCTTAAAAACCGTGAGTGCGAGTTTGAGTGAGTTTCAATTTTTGTTGGCGAAAAAGGAAGAGAGAACGTATGCGAGGAAGAAGAAATAAACTTTCGACACTAGACTTTGTTTGAAGAATATCTGTACAAAACTACATGTGTAATTTCGTTGGTAAAAGTTGCGTAAATAAAGAACAACTCATGTAGATAGTGGATATGAATGAATAGTGAATATTGTAAACGACACTGATGGAAAATGTGATGACATCGTAAGAAAAAATGAACCTTTGTAGTGATTTTTATATTATGCCATAATGGAAAGCTACCGTATTTTCAATTGAATTGAAATTATAGACTATTCATATTATCAAATATTCCTTAAGTATGGCAGTGCGGACTAGTCTGAGTATCACCCGCATCAATGGAGCCCTCTCTGATAACCAACGTCTGATTCGAGCATGCAAATTTGATGCGACCGCCGCGCGCGCCAGCTAATCGGAATCGACCTTACAAATTGTGACGTAGCTTCGATCAGAAATGTGGACTAAGCTGTGGATTGGTCAATTTGGATGCCGCGTTTTTGTAATACAACAACGGGTTGCCGAAGACCCGATAGAAGGCGCACGCTGACTGGTCAGAATCTGGAGGTCATGGCGCAGTCTTGTTTTGCATAATTAAATGCCGAATGTTCTTATACATGTATCATAGTGTACCCTTGCTAATGCAAGGGATATTGCATACACCATGCATACACCAAGCGCGGACTGAAACAAATTCTCAAGTACAATCGAGAAAAGGGATGAGCGGACATCTTGAATTAATTCGTATTTAAATGTATATTTGATACACCCAGAAATGTAATTAAAATGTTATTACCAGCTTCCGCTACGGTCCGGCAATTTTCCACAACTCAAGAGAATTACCCAATCACAGATTTAAAAACAAATATGAAACTGATGTGAATTCTGTAATTGCCATGGAAACCGTTGCCGTAATCTGACACTATTTTGCTCTGCTTTTGATGTAATCATGCAACTCATGAAGCCTACTTTTTTTATATAAAATGTGTATAATGTATATAGTGCTATCATAGATTCAAATGATTTGATGAATTCAAATTAAAGACAAACGCTATTTGAGTTTCTTTTCCGAAGACTTGTTGATTCATTTGATATCTTTTTACTTCTTATAACATTGGTCGCTGCAGAGTGAAGATGAGATGATGAAATATAGTGGTGGGAGAAATCAGAGATTTCAAAATCCAGTTATCCTAATTCATTTCAAACCGAATAACGGTTATCTGATTTCACTGATGAAAGTTTCCATCCAGCTCACAGTCATGCCAACAAAAAGTGACGAGTGAGGTGCCACATGAAATGCCTGCCCAATGACTGGGTATAGTTTGCAGATTCAATTACCACTAGGCCTTTACAATAACACTCCAGAGCTGTAATGTTGAACAAACAGGTGGGAACTCTCTGATGAGTCGAACCAGCAGGCTATTCATATACCAAGAAGACCACTAGCAAGTGAATGCAGTTACAATCAGAGACCATCGAGCAAATTTGGGGACAGTTTAATTATTAGCCCGTGTCGCAAAACAAAATGGAAGGCCTCAAACATTTTTAAAGTTAGTCTCGAATATCCGTTTTTCCAAAATCGAAACCGAATACTTGCAGTGGAATTCAAGCTGGATTTTAAACAAAATCTGGATTTAAATCCCACCATTATGACATCGACAGAGCTTTGATTGCTTATTCACTTATATAAAAACAGTTATAAGTTGTTTCATTTGGAAGCTGTACCAGTGGTTGTGGGATAGATTTCACAATGAATCATTTTTAGGGGAAATCTCGCAGTGGGCAAATCACAGTCACGAAACAAATGGGAATAGAGGAAATAAAAAGATTTCACAATGATTAAATTTCGAAAGGACAACTCTCTCTGAGATAGGCATAGACAACGGGCAGGTCACAGTCATGAGACAAAGCAAATGCAGGAAACAAGATTTGTACAATGATTAATGTTTCAGGGAATACTGTGAGATCATTAATATCTTTATAAAATTACTGACGATATCACTGAAATAGGCATCGAGTACGGTGTTAAAATCACACTCACGGGACAAAGAAACTACAGGAAACAGCAACAGGATACATCGCCACTATCTCTGATGATGGTCATGGGTCTATATCCCCATTTCCCTAGGGTTATGACCTCTCCAGGGTCGCTACTATCGCACGACCGGGGAGGTGGAAAGTGCATTGGGAGAAAGTTCACGAATAAAAGTCCACAGCACTTCTCTGCACAGATAAGAAGAGTTTTTTCCGTTTATATTTGGGACTGAGAACCTGTGAGGCATTCTCGATGTTGTGAACTATTTAGGCAGAGTTACAAAAAAGGTTTCCGAATCCGGCTTTTTGGAAAAAAAATTAGGCCCCCCCCCCTTCTTCCCAAGATGGCGGATTTTCGAAGATGGCGGATATATTCTTCCATTTTCTTGACTCTTTTGCTGGTACAACGGTGTCAAAACGAGCCGCCACCCTTTCTACATAGCTACATTACACTTTGGTTTTAAACAAATAACCGTCCATATAATTGACAAAATTTGCAAAACATATTGCAAATGTATATGAATGTTTTAAATAATAATAATAAAATAATAAAAACAGGCTGAACGTTCAAGCCAGAATTATGTCATAGCCTACCTCCTCCTTTTCTTTGCCTTTTCAGGCTTGAGTAGTTTCGCCTCATTTAAGTTGAAGAGGGACGGTCCATTTTCTTTGAGTCCATCTTTGAAATGACAACTACAGAGTCTATTGTTGGTAGTTGGCCACGTCACATCTGTCCGCCTTGAAAAAATAAAAGATAAACAAAATCTAAGCAATTTTTTTCATCTTGCTTTAGCTTAGGGTCGATAGAGAGCCTGCACAGAGCGCCCTCAATGTTGTCAGGTCATTGTTCCTCTGCGATACGATTGAGTGGACAAACAATTATTATTGTAGCGCCCACTTCCATCGTCACTGAATATGAAAACCTGTACAGTGAGGGCGCTCTCTATAAACTCTCCGGAAAAAAATATTCTGCCGCCTAATATAAATGAAAGAACATATATGATTGGTCAGCAAATCACTGTTTACATCGCACGGCCCAATCATACGCACCCTTAAGACACAGTCAACAATGTGCACCAGCCTATAGAAAACAACGATTTTCATGCACTTTCCGCAGAACGAATTTGTAAAAATACGAAGTATATGAGAACTCCAAAACCTACTGATCTGGGAAATGTAACATACAATATAGCTTTCAATTGATTTTCGGTATAAAAAATGAACATCAACGATTATGTCGTGTCATATCGGATTGGCCTACGGGACTAGGCGCAGGCCAGCTGCGGCCGAGTCACTAATTAATGAATAGTATCGATATTAATCATTCTATAAAATGTCTTTTTCTACCAAAAGCAGACTTCTCTCTTAATTGTATTGGCATAATTGTAATAATTAAATTCTAGTTTTGAATGTTTTTTTTGCGGGAAAAATGCGATTTCATACGCCGGAATTTATGATTGGTGCCATATGAGAATCAACGGTGTTTTGCGAGATCACTGGATCGGATGGGCGCGTCGCGGTGATTCTACCCCAACATTTCCCTAAAAAAAAAAAAAAAAACCCTGCCCCCCTCCCTCTATCTACGGCATACATGTTGGTTTGTTGTGTCGCTAGTTTGGTAAGTCCAATGGTCCAATTACGTAAAACTGGAAAGGGAACTAGGGCCCCTACACATGTACAATTCTACCTCCATCGACTACAATTGCGTACATACCTGCTCACCAAAACCCACGCTTTATACTCCGGTTTGTCTCGATTGGGAAAGCGAAAATACCTGCAACTATGGCTCTCACTAGTGTGCAGGCAATTTGTGGCAAAGCACCCTACCATGTTCTGTCCTTATTTTGAGTCCGAAGGGTGAAATTTTACCGTGAAGATTGAGCCTTTAATTCCGCGTGCACCGTACTCGTATGGTTTTATACTAATTATAGCTCCGTGGTTCAACCCTGTTGCGACGGGCCGTTGTGTCAATGGCGCGGCGCGCGCGTGAACCACTGCAAATGACCCCGATTCCCGGAAGTGTTACTATGACGTCACGGCGAGTGTGGACCGGATGTTCTCCAAGCTAGGCGGCGGAGGTAACGCTTTCCCAGCGTAACGGTTTAGATTTCCCATCAAAGTCCAACATGTCTTCCAAATACATGTCATTAAGGTGTCTTCGACCAACCAGCCAAAGAGGGGGGTTTATCCTGCCCTCCTGTGGCTGTTAATTCCTTTCCCATAGTTTGTCCCTTCTTGCCAGCCAGACATCTCCCCCCCCCCCTTTACCAAAACCGGGAAGAAAAAAATAATACAGTGATATTCAAGACCCAACACGGTATAGTACATCTTATGAACAATATGTGGAAATTATGTTTCTTACAAGTCGTCTTGAACTGCTCTGAGTTTGCAAATTCTTTTTGTTGCAAAGTGATGAATGACATTAAAGGTTTTCAATCTCCAATAAGTTGCCAGAAGCGTTTGCAATTGGCATAACTCCTGTAACAGCTTAAGAGTTTCGTCAACTAGCCTTTTTTTTTCAAAACAGGTTGAAGGGAGCGAAAAGGTACCCCGAGGCCAACAGTGAACCTCTCACCCGAGACACTTTTTGCCTTTCTCTCTCTGGTAAAGTAATTTAAATTTAGTTCCCACGGAAACAGGGTTTAAAATGGTTTATATTTAGTGTTATTCAAATCTGCCATTAGCTAAGAATTATCCTTGTTGATGTATTTCCGATACAGAATCAGAAATGAAATTAACAGGTGTATTTCATGATAGACAGATTTTCATGAAGACAGAAATTTGGCAGTTTCACACAGGATTGAATTCCCAGATTGCAAATTGAATTCGATTCTTTTTTCTTTATTCAAAGAAATCATATATCAATTTGAAGTATACAATGTATAAAAGTTGTTTCTGAAAATTAACAAAGACATCTGAGCAAGGATTTCAAATGTTAATTGCTGTAAAATGAGTACAGATGAGATCGTTTTAAATCAAAATATTTACAATGAAAATTTTTCTCCTAAAACAATGCATGTACACTGCCAATAAATGGTGTATTCAAATATTTCGATTGAGGCTCAGAAATTTACCTCTAAACTCATTTCTAGCCTTTTGTTGAAGAACGCAAATAAGGGATACTTTCTAGCAAATTGTTTGAACTAACTATTTAAAGGGTTTTTTTTCAGTTTTGGAATTTAAATTTACATCATCTATAATATTATAGTGAAAAAAAGAAGATAAGCGCATTTGTACAAGTGAAGCAAAAGTAAACGTTTATGCTCAATAGTTTTATTACATTTCTTATTCCCAGTCAAATTAAAACTACAAAACAGTGTGAATAGTTTGTCCTTCCAATCTTTAAGTTCTTCCCATCTTATTACTGTCTGATTGGCTGATGGCTCTCGTTTCAATAGAGAAGAGAGTCTGCTACTGGCTAGTTTCATAATGTTGTTGAGCATTGTTAATGTCAAGATCTCTGATTGGCTGACAGCCCCAATTAAAAAATTGAACAAACTTAGCCATTGGCTAGATTTTATTGGTTGCTAAGCAACATCTATGCTCTCAGTTTTCATCACTATCGAGATCTATGATTGGCTGAGAGCTCCCACTTAAAGATAGAAGATAGTCTGTCATTGGTTGAATCTTGTAGGTTGCTATGATGTCGAGGACCCACTCTCTGGAGATGACAGGCACTCGGTACTTTTTGTAAAGTGCTAGGAAAGAAAATACCAAAAATATATCAAACCACAATTCCATCTCAAGTCAAATCACAAGTAAATCACAAGTCAATCACAAGTGCCATCACAAGTCCTCCACAAGTCAATCATAAGCAGGTTCACAAGAAACATGGGGATGAAATTTATTAATGCTGAAGGAATGCCCGTGTCACAGTTTAGTTGAATACATGAAGCTTGTTGCAATGTACTTGACTTCAGACTGAAGAACTTTATTGGTTTATTGGTAGGGTTGTCCCGAAAATACCGAATACTCGATCATCAACCGAATATTCGAATACCTTTTTGCCGGTTTGAAAATTCGAAAACAAAATAACTACGCACATACACACACGATTGTGATGTTATTTTATCGGAAAGTTGCAGCGCTTTATTGTCAGGTGCAACTTTTTCGTCGACGGTAAGTTTTTGTCGAAGGCGGTTCATCGTTCACACCCTTTTAGAAGGTTAAAGCACTTTACAGATATAAAATTCTTGCTGCAAAACACACCAGTGCCCCATATCGATTGCTGCACGCAAATTTAAACTGACGCGCTCTTCGTGCCATTTGTTACCGGTGCAGCACACATTTGCAGCTGGCAGTTTCGAATATCCAAATCTGCGGTCAAACGCAGTTTCGAGTAACTGAATACTAAATTATTTGAAAATGGACAACCCTATGTAATGGTTTATTTTATTTGTAATATCATCAAACACAATTAACAAATATCTATATCAAAAAATAGCAGAACTGATATGAGGGATCTAGGTAAAAAGCGTAAGCTTGTACATGCGTGTCCCGGTGATTTGAAATTAATATCTACAAGGACTTGCGATCAACTTGTCATGATTTTATGAAACGTCTGATACAATCCGACTTACTGTCTTTGCGAATACAATCGGGGTCTTACCATCGTAATCGTGCTCGGAGTCAGTAGCCTCAGCCTGCGCGATGATGACCGTCTTGCGTCCTGCACTGTACGGGAACAGAGACGGATGCTGGACCGTGCCGGCTCCCATCAACTCTAGCAAGGAAACCAGTTGCTCTGTAGAAAAATTTATATATTTTTTTATCAAACTTGCCAGCTTACAAATAAGTATGATTACATTGGAACACCTTTATAACAATGCCCTTGGGATTTTACAAATTACCTTGTTATAACACTACAGGTAGTTACAATCCTGGCCAAATCTCGCTGGGCCCCCAACCCCCCGTTCGATGTTGTCTCTCATTGCGCGGTGTGTGCTCCATCAGCTGGAGAGAACAACATTGAGCGGGGGAGTGGGTGAACGTGGCAGGCTCAGGAAGTGTCCCAACCATTTTGGCCGGGATTGTAGCTTGTATCGTCGTGTCTGTGCAACAAGGTCGTATCTCCTAAACTGGGCCGTACGTGGAACACGAGTTTCAGAAAGTCAAAAGGGCGTATCTCACTTAAAATAACCCGGATATCCACACAAAGTCAATGGACGTCGAGATACGACCTTGTTGTACGGAGCGTATTCGCGCGAGGCACGTCTTTGTAGCAGAATGAATGACGACCTTGTTGCACTGACGCAACAGTATTATCAGTAATGGAAAGCAAAGAAAAACAAAGACTCAGGACCAAAATATTTCCTTGTTATAAGCAGGATGTTGTATCAACAGTGTTCTTCTCAGGATTCGACTGTATATACACCTGTAGTGAATGGGGTTGACCGATAATGGACATTCTATGATTTGAATTGAAAATTGATAACTTTAAAGGGAATATACATCATTGGCTTTTGCTGCAATTTTCAGAAATGAACTATTTGAGGGGTTAGTATAATAGATCAAATATTGTTTAACTGACATGTTTGAAGTTGTGTGTCCGAAAAATGCTTGAAAAACCAAGAAAAACAAAAATGTTTAAGTAGTCTGGTTCCCTGACTCCACTAAAGATAAAATGGATCAATTTATAGATGTCAGAAAATTGTATGGTAAGGGAACCAGTCTAGCTGGCCTGCACCCGTTCATGAACATGTAACCGATAGCAAACAAAATTTGGACTGAAAAAAATGTAAATTTGGAGCAGTAGTTGAAAAATAGTTAAGTTTTTCCAACGGTGGTCGGCCGACCACCGTTGGAAATGTATACAAAAATACAATTTTCTTGAAAATGACTTGACACCAGGTGCCATAATTTTAAAGGATGCTTTAGGCTGGCATTTACCAACATCCTAGTAAGGTATTTCGTAAAAACTTGGTAGTTTTATTTTTCGATGTTTGCAAATGTTGTATATTCCCTTTAAGTGATTTGAAATATAGAAAGGTGGTGTTGGTGGTGCAAACAAAGGAATGCCTTTCTCACAGGTCATCTGAATGTCTTGGGAGTTGACATGGGACTCGATGACTTGTGACTATCACAAGTACCATGACAACATCACTACAAATAAGCTCTGCATTTCCAATCAATCTTTATGATCAACGTATTGAAATCCTACCTTTGTTGAGGCCTGTAAACGGTCCCACGCAGCAGACGTCGTGCCTATGCAGAGGGTAAGGCCCACCGCACAGCCTGGCTCTCTGTGGTCCGTTGTGAGAGGAACCATTGACTACGTCGCCTTGTATCTCAAACGGTTCTTCGGGTAGGAGTTGTTCTGTCTTCAGGCAGGCTGTCACCCCTTGGAAAGGACATTAAAAAAAGAAATAACACCTTTGAATAAACTCATTTCTCATGAAGATTTTTGAATGAGGAATGCTCTGCCCTCATTAACAATGAAGAAAGCTGTATTTCAAGACCTTAAAGATGAAACATAGAGTAAAAGAATACACAGAAAGAATTGCCCTTTTACAATACAGCAAAGTAGTAAAGTCTCTCACAAACCAATGTGGCCCATCAGGTCGGTGTTTATCTCCAGTTTCAGGAGCATGAAACGACTGAAAATATTTGTATTTCCCTGGATGGGATGCTAGTCCATCACAGGTTACTCCCCAGCTAATGCCGGTACTCGTTAATACTCCTGGGTGGAGAGAGGCAAGTGGGGATGAAGTAGCTTGCCCAAGGACACAGTATATGACCAGCAGCTGGATTCGAACTGCTGACCCTCTGATCATGAGTCACAAACCCTAACCACTAGGCCACACTCCCCGACAGTACAGTATTGATAAGATTGTTTTTAATAGTTTACCCATTACTTGAACTCTGCATGTCACACAACAGACCACATGTACATCAACTACACAATATAAACCAAAACATTTCCATAGGTTGCAACAGAGGGAGGAATATTTTTATTTAAAAATAGAGAAACATTGAGTTTATTAATACTTACATTTAAAGCTGACAACCCAAACTCTGGCAGCGATACCTTGGAAGTATTTCAGTGTCCTCTCACACACAAAATCATCATCTAGAACAGCGGCAAAGAACGTAAAAACATGTAACAGATTCCTAATGTAAAGAGTGGTTCAACAATTTGGATGACAAGGAAAAGGATGCGTTGTTAACGAAACATGGTAATTGACACAAGTAGAAAAGTAAATGTTGATGGCGAAGATATCAGTCTGAAAATGTATAGGCCTATCAAACAGATTTACCGGTGTTGACGATAACATGAGTTGTGCAGGCATTGAAGGTGCTTGCAAAGCGACATCCGAAACGCTTCGTGAGTTGTTCTACATCCCTCTGAAAAAAAAAATTAACATCGGAAAGACAATTGAAATATATTACACTGTTTCAGGAGCAAAATTAGATTCAGACAGAGGACGGCATAACCAAGTGAGACTCTTCAACTTGTAGAGTGCTCTAATAAAAATGAGTGTAGGTACTTGGGAACATGCACCCAGCACTAAAACATTGTTGATTAGAGGGAATAGGCCTTTCTCATGCTGCCACCATTTCAGTCATGTTCCCTGTATCCAATAACAGTACTGATATAATATTTTTTGTGCAAAAAGGAACCAGACTATTTTTCCTTCCAGCACGCTTTGGTTACATTGATGTTGATTTGAATGGAAAAAAATCAAGATGGCCGCAACATGATCATGGTCTATGGCACAAAGACAGAATACCATTCAAGAGTTGGAGTTTGCACGTGTCAAACACATAAAACAGCAATGGTGTATTTAGTAAGGGGATGTAAACGTCACCGACAGTGCAGAAACAAATCTCTGTATAATAGACAATCTAACTGGAAATGGCTACAGCGTTGTGAAACTCACCATGTCTGTCCTATTCAGGCCTGTTGTGACAAACGACATGGGTTTGGTCTTCTTCTTGGCAGCAGGTGTGGTCAGCAAACTCCGTCCAATGACAGGGCTCGGAGATCTCTCATCTGGGCTCTTGTCTTGATGCTGATCACCCCTTTGCTTTGACTGGTATGAACGCTTCTCACTGCCCAGTACTGTTTTGGTAGGCTGTCTGGGTTTTCGGGCAGGGGTGGTGTGTTTATTTCCTCCCGAGTTTGGAGTGGCATTCCTGGGTTTGTTCTTCAAGCGACTATCCGACAGCATCTCAAGTGTTTTGCTCTTCCAGCCTGAGGTGCTCTGTCTAGGAGTCGTCTGTCTTGTTACGGATCTTTGCACGTGTCTTGAGCGTGGCTTTGGTGAAGAGGCTCTGTACTCTTCATCGTCGGACTCCGAATCACTTGCAATCTGCAACCGAAGATGCTTGCTTGACCCACCAACACTATTCCTTGACTTCAAAGTGTTCCCCACTTCCTTGATAGATGATGATCTGTGATTGGAACCCCCCTGCGATCTGATCTTCTCCACTAAGCGACTCACAGCTTGGACACTCTCTGGCAGGTTCGCGAGTAAAGATGCTCTTCTTGCTGCCGACTGAGACAGCTCTGGAGGAGGGGAAGGCGAGCGAGGAGGCGAGGGAGATCGAGGACTTCCTGAGGATATGTCTGGCTCCTCCTGTTCGCTCAGATCTGAATCACTTCCGTACGTTGTGACACCAGGAATCTCTAACTCAGATTTTGATAAGTTACCAATTAAAGTAGCATCTTCAATGGCAAAGGGTGATGACCTCTTGGTGGTCGACTTACTCACACAGAGAGGGGACAGGTTGCCAGGATTTCCTCTCTGCGTTTGCAGCTTCTTTCGCATGCTCCTTTCTGAGTCACTGATGCAGGTTATTTCTCCTGGTACCTCTGAGTGAGTCCTTGATAAACCACTGACTGAGTGAACATCATCATGCATTTCAATGCTACGTCTAGACTTGTTGACATCAATGAATTCATCACAAGCATCTTCTTCAGATTCTGATTCGTCGTCTGAAATCACTGGCCTTGACCTCTTAGAGGTCAAAAATGTTGACCTCTGATTGTTACTTGACCTTTTGGATGGGTGGCTAATACCATCTGGAGTATCCATGTGGGATTCCGATGTACAAACATCTTTGGGTACATTGTCATTGGTATCATGCGGACAGGGGTCAGATGAGTCAAAAAGGTCGCCTGGGGTACAAAGGTCGTCTGATACAGGGCAAGGGTCAACCTGGGAAATGGGGTCATCCTGGGAGATGGGGTCATCCTGAGAGATGGGGTCATCATGTAGATCCAAATCATCATGATCGGAATGAGACTTGGAACCAAGTTTATCATGATTCCCGTCTTGATGAGAGAGGTGAGTGTGGTCTTCATCATTTTCAGGGTGTTTGGCAGGGGTCGTGTCAGGGTGTTTGGCAGGGGTCGTGTCAGGGTGTTTGCCGGTACTTGCGTCGTCCTCTAGCGCTGCCTCAATCTGTGCTATCTCAAGAGCCATCTTCTGCAGCGATTCCTTAGCCTTTTGTCGTTGCTGGAAACGAAGTCAGAAATAGATTGGGAAAGTGAAAGTCTGATTGGTAATGCAAAATATTGGGAAAATAGACAGACCGATAGACAAAACCTGAGACAGAATAATGACCTTGGATCTGCATCAGCAATTCCGATCCTGTGCTTACACAGTACATGCAAGTACAAGTGCTGTAAGCATAGAATGGTGATTACAAATGCAAAACTGTGTCACATGAATAGCCATGAAACAGGGCCTTGTTTAAAATTGTTCTCGAAGTATTGTACACTACCTGTGTGTTCATGAGTTCACTCTGACTGGATAGAACGGAGGAGGCACTAGTCAGATTCAGATGATGGCTACTGCTGCTCTCAGAACAGGTGGATCCCTCAGCTGTCAAATGCAAAAGGACAGTTGAAAATTTATATGATACAGGACTCTGATTGTTTTTTTTTAATGAACCCTTGCAACACTATGGGCAATAAGCGTTGATATAATTATTGAGAAGATGGAAGAACCAAAGGTGAAACCAGTTAAGAATTAAAAAAAAAAAACTTGAGGACTTACTGTCATAATGCCTGTAAGTGAGTATGTCCTCATCTCTTTGGTCATCTTCCTCCTCTTGGCTGACACTTGCTGCATCTTTCCCCGCTTCCCTGATGTTATTGGCTTTATCTGACATATCTCCTCCTGCAAGCTCCTTTGGTGTATTTCTCCTACTTCCTCTCAAGGTTTCCTCATGAGCATCTGCAGCCTTGTTATTCGGCTGCCTTTTCTGTTTGCTCCCGTTTGAAGAACTCTTATCAGGGACATTTGAAAAGACTCCTCCCTTATCTTCCCTTCCTCTAGTATCTCTATGAACTTCTAGATCATCCTCTCTATCTTGTTCCATGTGCTGCCTCTTCCTGTTGCTTCTGGAGGAAGACCTCCTCCTGGGACTTTTCTTGCAGTTATCTTTTAAGAAGTCATCTTGGACAAAGCCTTGAAGGATGCTGAGACTCTGGCTATTTTCTGCAGCATCTTCACTTGCATTTTTCTCCACAGGGCTACTACTCAAGGGAAAGGCTCTTCTCTCAAAGGAATTGTCAGCCATGTCATCATTCTCCGAGTGATAGCCACCCCTGCTGTTTCCTGCATCAATTTTAGTTTTTGCTTTTCCACTGCCATGGCTACTTTTCTCGAAGACACTCTCCTTGATGTTAGGATTTGTCTTCAGGCTGTCTCCTGATCTTTGACTTGAATGAAATGCACTGATCTGGACGGAGCTGGATTTGGCTGGATCTTTAGGATGTCTTGATGTCATGTTCCTGGTTGAATGGATGCTGAGGTTGCTTGATGCGGAAGAGGCCGAGTGGATGAGGTAGGCAGGTCGCTTACAAGTTTGGAAGTTGGTTGTGGGCTGGCAGGGTGGAGTTGGTGGAATAATGACATCATCATCGTCATCCTCGTCATCATCATCATCTTCCTGATCATCGTCAGCAACATCTTCACAATCATTCTCATCCTCATCTTGTCCATCCTCGTTTCCTTCTTCACCGACATCACCCTCACTAACATCATCGTCCTCGTCTGCTTTCCCATCTTCCCCATTGTCGTGATGAGGTTGATCATCCTCAGCACTGACCATCTCAACATCACCACTTGAGTCCAACTGCTGATCTACTTCTCCAGGAGCCTCGACACTGGTTTGACTCCGATTATTTTCTTGTAGAGTTTCGTCTTGTCTGGACTGCTTTGCTTTGCCTGCTGTAAGTGTTGAGCTCTTTCTCTTTCTTGTCTTAGAATTTGGACTCAGTGATGACGTTGGCTCAGGACCAAGACCATCAGAGCTGCTCACCTGTTGCACTTGCTGTCTCCTTGGGCTTGGATGTTTGTCTGTCGGAGCAGAGGATGGCGTGTTGCTGAAACTTGAATAAATGACCTCTTGGATTCCTTCTGTCACCGCCTCGGCATTTGATTCCCTTTGGCTTGAGAAGCTGACATCTGTGTCCTGGCTCCTCATACTTTTTCTCTTGAAGCTGAATCTCTTCTTGCTCAAACTTCCAGATGCTGGTTGTTCACCTTGCCCAGCAGCATGATTCTTGGAAGCTGACTTAATATCTTTTGCATTTTCAGGAGTTTCAAGAAGACTTGAGTTAACATCTTCTTCCCGACCATGAAGGTGTCTGCGAGCCATGACGATAGGATCAGAGAGGTTCTCAGGACTGACTGAGGCCCCTTCACTTGCTGGTACACATTCTTCGAAGGGTGGTTTGAAAGCATAAACAGATCTATTGCCAGGAGTTTCTGAAATTCTCTTGGATCTTGCATCTTGTGGTTTTCCTTGGAAGGGAATCGACAGTGATGCCCTTGATGTATCAGATGACCTTAATGAGCTTGACGCTTTGCTGGACAATGTACTTTGCTTCTTGGAGTAGTCAGAGCTGCTATCTGCAAACAAGGACTTACTTGAGTCTTCAATATTTTCTTCAGACGTCAACTTCTTCTGTAGTGAGTCACTTCGGTGATTGTGTGATTCTTCCACTCCTTTATTTTCAGGTTTATTTGTGACGCACTTGTTGCTCTTTTGTTTGAAGATAATCTTTTTGTTTCTTTGTTCACCAGAAGATTTTTCAGAGCACAAAGGACTAATTTTTGAATTTGAGAACAATGAAGAACTTCCTGCAGTTGCTGTGTGAAAAGTATCACAGGTTTCAATACCACAGGCTGAAATGTCTTGAGGTGCAGAATCTTGGCTCCTTGTAAGCTGCTGGGATGGACATGATCTAGGACTGTCTTCCTCAAAGAGTGGACAGGAGCCAAGAGTTTGGCTTAAGTTGTTGTTCTGTTGTGGTGAACCTGCTGGTACAGCTTGTTGGGAAGTTGTATCTTTACTTCCTGATAAAGACTTTTGGCTCCTAGACTGGTTCCTGCTTTTGCGCCTTGTCTGAATATTAGCAGCCGAATCATTTTCTGCCTTGGTGGTAACACAGCCACCAGAAATGGGTCCAGCACTTTCAAGAGAGGCAGGAATGTCTTCCGATTCTTTTGAAGATCTGCAAGGACTGCCGTCTCTGTGCACCGAGGCTGCTGGCCGGCTTAGACGCTCGCTCCTCCTTCTGCTTCCCATATCCCAATGTTGGATTTCCAAGCCCGTAGCACCTGCACTTCTGTGCCTCTTGTTGGAGGGTTTCATGTCATTGGAGCTCCTTTCTTCGGGACAGGACTTTCTCTTTGATGACAACCTGCTCCTCAATGAGGAAGGATGACTTTCTTGGATCGGCTCTTGGCTGGTTGAAGAACTTGTATTGTTGGCTTTCTCAAAGTTTTTCTGATAGTGATCAGGAGGTGGGATGAGCACTCTCTCACTCTCTTGGTTGGAAGAGGAATCTCCAAAGGATTTCGCAGAGGCAGCTCCAGGTGAAGCCTTCAGTCCTCGCTTTGAACTGAGACGTGACAGATTTTTCCCAGATGTCTTGAGGTTTCCTGATACCACAGGACTCTCTATTGTGGGGCCCCTCGTTTCCTTTTTGGCACTCTTTACTGATAGAGTCGTACTCTGGGAAGATTCCTGGGTGGCCTGTGATGGAATAGACTCAGTTACAGTGTTCCTTGATATTTCTGTTGGCTCACGTTTAATTACCCCCATCTTGGTTATATTTCCTTCAGGACTCATCTCGGGAGTTACCATTTTCTGGCTGGGGATCCTTGGAGAACAAACTGCTGGTTTTACCTCCTTCTCTGCAATACCTTCCTTTGAGCTCTGGTTAGGATCCTTACTTACCGATGTTCTTGCAGTTGTAGAAGTCTGACTCCTCCTAGGCCTCTCTAGAGAAGGAATCGGCTGAACGAATCTGGTGTCTTCAGAGTCAGCATCAAGCTCGATGGAATCTGTATCTGAGCCTGACAGATGAGTAGCAGCAACTAGAGGGCTGTGAGTCATTCCTGCAGAGTAAGACAAAATAGAGAAGTGGTCTTGTAGGCAAATTTAGCATGGACGCCACATCTGATGCAAACAAATGTTCCAAATCACTTTTCAAAGGAAAAATGACATTTTAAGCCTTCTCTGAAAACCATCTTAATTGTGGTGCCATTTTCAGGTCAGAGTCACTTTTACTTAATCATCAACCTTTGACGATTATCTTATGTTTCAAACTATATCCACCATAGCTAAGAGAGAAAATAGACAACTAACCTTTATCATTTGCTTCTACACCAAGGTCAATGGACTCCGTTGTGTCTCCATCAGTATCTCCTTCACATCCATCGCCTTCACTTGGCACCCCTACGAAATGACCCTGGGTTTGGCTCCGTGTGCGTCTGGGCGTGTGTTCTGGGAGCTGTTCGGCCACAGGTTGTCTGAAATCTTCAGTGAACAAGCTTGCAGATTCGGTGGCATGCTTGCTTGCCATCTCTGGAGTCAGGGAAGATTCCTTGGTGATGGAAGATGTTTCAGAAGAATTCTCATCGGTAACTTTATTTGGAGAGACGAGGGACTTTAGATGTATTTTCTCTGAGGTGGATCTTGTCTTCCTCATTCTAGAGCCAGAACCTGCCACTTCAGCTGCCACCTTTTCGGGTTGATTTAAAGGGGTTGTACTTCCTGCGATGTTATTTGAGTTTCCACTGCTCTGTCTGGTATTTCTCTTTGAAATAGTTTTCCCTTCTGCATCATTATTTGAGCCATCTTTAGTTTGACTGCTCGAGAGATTCATCCTTGGTTGCGAGTTTTCTCGGACTTTGTGAATAGATCGTTTGTCTTGATTCCTGTTTGGAAGGATTCTTGCATCTTTTACGGTCAATTTGGAAAGTTGCAAATCTGGATCGGCCAGTACTTGTAATTCACTGTCAGCGGCTGGTTCAACTAACGAAGGGACTGGCTTTTCTTTCTCTAATTTTGATTGGCCACATTCCGGATTAGAATCATAAGATTCAATCTTCCCACCCTCCAAACCATCCACTCCATGACGAGTCAGTGACAGACCTGATGAGTGCCTCTTACGTCTCTTCCCCTTGCCTTTTGTACTTGGATCCTTGTCTTGCCTGACGTCGCTTCTCTCTGAGCGCTGGGTTTGTCTCAGTGTTTTCTTGCCAGCTGTTATAGTGCGATCCTCCTTCTGAGGCTCAGAGGTTTCACCAACATCTCCTGGATTTTTGCACTCCTTGACACCTGCTCCTATCGACCCACTCGTCTCATGACTTCTCTTGCTTTGGACGGACACATCCAGCTCTGGTTTGGTTCTACTCAGATGGGCTGACTCATCTATAGCCTCAGGATCCTTCCTACCTCTCCTTGAAGATCTAAGACTGAACTGACGGGGCTCGGTGTCAAACTCTTTTGCCAGTTCCAGGGCCAGCTCCCAGTCACTTTTGATTGCTGCCACATCATTTGGAAGTTTTTCTGCTAGATGCTTCCCTGCTACATCAGCTCTAGAAGGGGGCCGTCTCACTTCTTGGAGGTCACAGATCAGTTCTTCCCCTGAGCCCTCTATATCTGATTCTTCTGTGAGGTCAATAGGTTTATCATCTGCTTGGTTGTCTTTATCGAACAGGTCTGGCTGTGAGACAACAGGCTGAGAAGTGTTCCCATGAGGAGTGACACATCCTGCATCATTAGATTTTGTACGATCGTCGATGCCTCGTTCAGTGACGCCATCATCTTCAACATTCTCTGTAATACAAGACACCAAATGCTCGTCTTTGAAACTGTGATTCATGTCTTCATTGTTTGGGTACATCCTCTGAACTTTGTCATCAAGACTTTTGTCTCCAAGTTCAGCAAGATCCACTTCTCCAGGGCTCTTTTGAATTCTTCGACTCCCTCTCTTGTACACCTGTCCAAAAGCACCCAACGTAGACAGGGGACTGTGCTTTTTAACAACAGGCTGGGAGCACTCCATCACCCCTGGTCCATCATCTTTATCGTCTTGTGCTTCTTTAGCAGGATGGTGAGATGTTTTTACAAGTTGCAACTCTGTGCATCTCGCGTGCCTTCTCTGCAGTTCGTCATCTTGGAATACCAGAGGGTTAGCTCCTGTCTCCTCAGTGGATTGCTCATAGGACGGGCCAGTGATACTCACTGGGGTGCAGTCTTCATCACTATCCTCATGAAAGCTGACATCCTCAAACCCGTAATCCCCATCTTCATCACTACTCATACCTGACAAGTGTGAATCCACAAGTTCTTGCCTTGCTTCATTGTCCTTCCAAGAGACCTCAGGCTCTGCAGCTGCTGAGCTTCTGCTTTCGTTTGCATCGTCAGCCTTTCTGTCTTTCAGTGATGAGCCGCTCTGTTTGATTTGCACCTTCAACTCTTCTTGAGGATTGCACTGATGAGCCTGTGCAATTTCATCGCTGGTGTCTTGAGTTTTAGCTCTGCTCCTCAATCTCCTGGCGGGTGGTTCTTCAAGTGGCTCCTGTTGTTTCCTGTTTTTGATATTCTGTTGTTTTCCTCTTGTGTTTGGCTTTGTCATCTCTTCAGTTGTTGCCTCATCATGTTGGTCTGTGGAGCTGTTTGATGTTTTTACAGTAGGGTCTGATGTTTCTGCCTTGTTTGCGACAGCTTCTTCAGAATGATGAGCCTTCTTAGTAGCAAAGACTTGTTTCTGTTGTCTACTATGCATCCTTCCTTGGAGGCTTCCTGTCCCTTCATCATCACATCTTGCTGGTACCACAGGCTCTATGATTTCCACCTGATTGCTTTGAGAAACTGCCCACTTATCAACTTTTGAACTTCTTGCCTTATCAGATGGTATTTTGAATAAACCCTCCTTATGGGCTTGGGGAGATTCATCCGCACTTTGTGAGACTTCGTTCTGAGTTGCAGGTTGACTAAAAACTGCCTGACTCCCCAAGGGATTTTTCTTCTCAGCACTCCCTCCCTTCTTCCACTTCATGTAGTCAAACTCCTTGGCAGCCTTGCCGCTTGGATTCTTCTGCCTCCGGCCACGTTTCGGTTTTGGCTTCCTTGGAGTGCGCTGACTTGGAACAAACTCGTATGGATCGTCTCCAGGGTCCTCATCAGCCGATGAAGAAAAGCTGCCTTTGATTGCAGGTTGTTTCATCAACTTGTTGCCGATGCTTACCGGATGTAAAGCATCTACATCTGAGCTAAGAGAAGATTCATTTAAATCAGGGCAATCCACTTCCGAAAAAACCTGGTTGGTAGTTTTTTCATCTCTGTTCTCCTCTTGCGATGTACTTTCTCCCACTTGGCCTGCACGCACTCCAAGGGATTCCTGATCAAATGCTTGCAAGAGACCCTCATCTGGTTGATGGCTTACTCCTGGCAACATCTCCAATTCTCCTGCTTGTCTTTCTTCATGAGGTTTATCATTTTTCAAGATTCCTAGAGAGCCTTCGTCAGGGATTATCAAGACATGAGGCCCATCTTCCAGTTCCCCATCCTGATGACTGTGATTGTTGCTTGGAAGGACAGGTTTGGAGAAGGAGCCTCCTATCTTCTTGGTCTTGGCGTCGTGATTGGCTGGTTGTAAGGGTCTCCGATTGCCTGTTTTCTTGCTACTTTTCCTTGTGGACCTCCTCTGAACCTGACTGCTGTAATATCAAAGCAGATTGGTTGTTTACAATCCCAAGTATTTGTATTGTTAATTCTGGCTCAGATAGAGTGATATTAACCATAATGATTCAAAATCATCAGGATGTTTTGTAAACGTTTGAAATATTCAAAGATATCAATTCTTTTATCATTTACACACAAGCATTGTTAATTGTTTGGAAGGACGTTTGGAAGCACAAAGACAAAGAAAAATTGTGCATAGGAATATTTTGAAGTAATGTGACTTAAGGAACAATGCCTTAATCAATACAATTCTACAATCAATCCAACTGTTTAAGAATCCAGAGTAAGAAAGCATTCAATAAGTACCTGTCAAAATCAGTTATAAGTACGACGCCTTGAGTGCTGGCCTCAGAATCATCGCTGTCGGCACTGTCGATGTAGACAGGAATAGAACCAGTGCCTCTTGTCTTGGCTTGACGCAGGTTGCCTCTCTTGCTGGATCGAGTGGTCTTGGATTTCTGCAACAGATTATAATATAATTATAAGAATTTGGGAGGATAATCATCCCTACTCGCAGCTAAGAAGCTGAATTGCAAAGGACGCGGCTACAACGGGGTCAAGCCTAAGGCATGTAAAGGCGCCTTAGGCAGCCAGCCACATCAACCCATATATGACCACCGAGCACAGCCTGAGATTGAAAGTGTTTGATTTTTCAGGAGGGGGGAAAACCGGAGGGCCCTGACAAAAACCCTCGTGGCACAGGAGAGAACCAACGCACAACTCTAGCTGGGAATCAAACCTGGCCACAGTGGTGAGAGACGAGGGCCTTATGCACTAGCCACCCAGATTATGATTGAGTTTTAAGCTAAGTAATTGGTAAAATTCATATTTCGAACATGAACAATGGAATGCCAAATTTGGTGAAAAACAACTCAGTATCACATAGCAGAAAGAGTTTACCATCTCAAGGCAAGATTCCACGCATGACAAGTACCTTGTTTGTTGCACCACCCGTTGTTCTGTTGGGTTCATTCTGATCAGATTTTTGGGCTGATTGAGGGGATGGCTTTGACTGCTGTGAGAGAACTCTTGGACCTCTGGGTGGGGTACCTGAAGAGCAAATCCAAATTATACAATTGATCACCAATCTCTTGACTGAATTGGTTTTTAATTACAATTATTCACAATAATTTGCCAACCAATATCAAGTCCTCACCAACATTTAAATACTGTATACTCAGTGTGTTACTGTTAGCGCAGGCATCTTTCCATTCCACCACCAAGCTTGCCGGGATCGGCTGGCTGGTTTGAATCTGATGTAGCTGAAAAAATTCATAAGATGGAATTTCCATCTTATTCCATCTTATGAATATTAAGTCTCGTCTTGTCAATAGTAGGCGTAAACACCGAGTAAATTTTGACACTTTGCAACGAGCTTGCTAGTAGAGACCTCAATACACTTTCTACATACAAATATATTTTAAACAGGGTTCAAAACGTTACACACAAAGGTATGAAAAAGAGTTAAGACTGAAAAAAAAAGAAACAGAAAACTATGTACACTTAAAGCCAGTGTCTTCTTCAACAGCCTGGACGACACTTCTAACTGCTCGGACAATCTCATTGAGGCGGTCGTTGCTAGTCAAGCTCCTGCAGAGAAAGAACAAGTGTCTATTACATTCCCAGCCACAAATACCAATCCAACATACATGTTGCTGAAGTACGTTAGGCCAAAAAAAAAGTCTCCGGTTTCTGGTATGGAGCTTGCCCAAAAAGTGGTGCGGCGACGCAGATTTTTTTTTTTTACCTGTTTTTTTTTTGCTTCAAATGTCGGCGGATGACTGCAAAATGGTGCCCGACTAAAGTTAGTGCAAATATATGGGAGTCCAGAGAGGCCACATAAAGCTTATTCTCGATCATAACCCCATCTAAAAACACGTTAAAATTGTGCAGCAGCAGGATTCCAGTCAAACCAGTGAGTTTGATGGTTTTGAGACATCATCTTTCATTGAAAAAAAAAACTTTTTCATTTTGCCAACGCGCATGGCTACGGCAACGCGCGCGCATACCAGAAACCGGAGACTTATTTTTTTTTGGTCTTAATGCACTTCAAGTTATTACAGAACAGTTTTATCTTTGATGAAGTTTTGAAATTGTTTAGAAATGCCCACAAGTCACTGGCCAAGACATCTGAATTTGAAAATAGCTGCAGATGAGGGAAAAGCCCAGAGGCATATCGTGCACCCCAGAATGCACACTACAAAGGCAGGTGTTGGATTTTGAAAGATTTGCCTAGGTCAGGGTTACCTTAACATAGTGGCTGTCGTTATGACAGCCGTAACGCAAGTTTCAAATACTAGTACGGCATTGTAAAACACAATGCAAACGTTTATCAGATTTACAACTCGATCCATCCAACCAGAACGCTTTCGATTCCGAAAAGTTTAAAACCGCTTCTGCTCTACTCAATTTAAAAAAAAAAATTCTTGAATAGATTTCTTAAGTTTTAGGTTTTTAATCAAATTTTTCTTTTTATTAAAGTAGGTTTCATTTTCTTCCCTTTGAAATCAGTGGTTTTGGAGGTTTCTTTAAAAAAAGGGAAATAAAGTCAGAGAACCATTTGGTTGATAGTCCGGTTCCAATGGCCAAAGATCATGACATTGAATACTATTACGTCAGGGAACCAGACAGTTCCGTAACGATAGTAGTTGAAAGTCGCGTAACGTAGCAACGGCGTACTTTTAATAATACCTTTTAGTGACTGGTTCTTTGCACAATGGACAGGGAGCAGTTGAACGACGGCTGTTATCCAGCAGAGCCAAGATGCAAAAGCTGCAGCAATCATGGTAACAAAATATTATCATAATTAGAGGTTGAATTGCAAGACAGACTGATTATTCATTGACTTCAATGTGTAAGTAGTAGATTTTACTAAATTTTAATATATTTTGTTTGCACACCATGTTAATAAGAAAGAGAAAAAAGAAGAAGTTAACATTGGTATGTTATGAATGACGTGACCAATTTGCATTGTCTGGTCACCTTAATGAGAATCTGAGATTGTGCTTACTTGCAAAACTGGTGGTCACATTTTGTGGACACGGGATCTTTCAACAAATCTAGACTGTGGGGAAAAAAATAAGTGTAAGAGCACAACTTAAAAAGAGAACAAATGTGGACATGACAGATTAAGGAAAGAAGTATGCTGCCACGAAAATAGACCACGCAAGTGCAGTGGCAGCGCACGGAGCCAACGACATGAACGAGCTCCGCCACTCGCGTGATCTTTTTTCGTGTCCGGGTTACCACATGCGCCTTGACTCAAGTCTATGTGACTGACAGCAGAAATGATCCAGCACGCGCATGATCTTTTCGATGTTGGAATTTAGATGCGTGTACGTGTGTAAACGAACTTGGAAATTAAATGAAAAATAGACATCTGAGAAAGGCGGGACTTCTTTTCTATCGCTAAAAAAAAGAGGGTGAGCATTGTGAGTGTGGGAAAAAATTCCACACTGGGCCACCCCTCGGAGCTCCTGCACAAAGTCTATGGACAATGACAGAACATTTTAAAGTATTATCAAAGAATTGTTGCACTCCTTAAACAGTCATGACAGTGTTTCTTCATCAGATTTACAACTGTTGGTACTGTTCAGGTTATATTAAGGAATACGAGTGGTTGCCCAACCCAGTATGGAATTTTTTCCCAAAATATTAACTTTAATTAATGTGATCAGTGGTGATCATTGTGTGAATGTTTCATCAGGTCAGGTCATGTGTGACTGTCGTGAAACTAGTTCAACAAAACATGAAAATGTTTTTCCAACTCAACTCACTTTTCACATATGTTTCATGATCATGATTAACATGATTATTATTTTAACATGATGAAGCATTATTTAACGATGATTGTTACCATATAGAACACTCCAAATTCTTCTGTATTTCTCCAAGAGTGTGGTTCACTCTTCGGACGGCCGTATTCATCACACTGAATTCTGCGAACTACACTGCACACAACAAATCCTACACAACCTAGACCACTGATGAACCAGTGCTGTGCTAGCTGGCCGCCGGCTGCTCGCTGAGACAGTTTTTAACTTCGCTCAATTTGATCGATGATCGTGGATTCACGTGTACTTTACAGATTAAATGATCAAATTATTCTAATAATTTTACAAGAACCGACTTATAAAATAAGAAAAAGAAAACTGAACACGGAACGCAATGCCTGAATTTTACACAAATTTGGGCGGCGACGAAAACCCCGCGAACCAACTTTTTGGGTTTCCCGCAGAAAAATATAGGCTGGCGCCGTTCGAGACTGATACACTATTTTCTATAAAATGGAGAGGGTACCAGACATTACGAAACATAAATTTATTATGTTACTTGTAAACGATACGACAATTTTAAGGTGTTGTATTAAAGTTTGTTTCCGCTTCGTAGCAAATTAAATTTCTTCAAAGTGTAATTTATTTACACAAACTAACTACGTTATAACTAAAATATATTTGAAAACAGGTTGTCAAAATTCAATGTCATTGATCAAAATGAAATTAATATTTTCAACTCACAAACAAGTTTTATTTTTTAGATTGTATAGCCCCCTCTCGAGTTCTTAAAAATGACAAGGACAACATTGCAAACATTTTTCTGCTTGATCGATCATATCAACCGTAAACCGTACCAGATCAGACCGCAGCAACTTTTCATGGCTTCTCAAGTCAAGGACAGTGTTGTTGTCAAAAGAAATACACTGTCACTAATGACTATCGTGGAAGGAAATCCTTACTTTGGGACAATGAGTTGGTGTCAGTCTTTGAGTGATTTCCTGAGTTTTGCTGAAGCAGAGATTGTGTGTGTGTTGCATAAACATGAATGACATGAATGAGCAAGAATGTTAATCTTTTTTATGCGACCATAGTACATTGATATGATGTCATTGATGGGCACGGAGCCAAATTTAATAACAACGCCAAAAGTGATTTTGGCAAATGGCCAAGCAGCTAAAACTCCAAGAATATGGAAATTTTTATGCGAACTACATTTTGTGCATAAATTGTGTACGACCACGACCACAATTCTTCACTGCATTACCAATACCAGGTGGATTTTCGCTAGGGCAGTGTGTTTAGAGTTTTAAGAGATGGCCATTCGAAGAGTTTTCTGCAGGTTTCAGTCTCTCAAAATTGGCGTTTCGGCCACGGTAGCGGTGTACCTTGTTTTGACCCTCGTCAACTTTGGGTTCAAGAGGGTCGTACGGAGCCCTCGTGTGGTGCAGAACGGGGAATCCAACTTGGCCGACTATTTTGAGAAGTTTGTCGCCCCTCATCAGCAACATCTTCGAAAGGCCTCGGGCTTCCCTGCGAAAAATGAAAGTGTTTTTAAAGAACTTGGCGACAGCAAGTTCTCCTTTTCGAGGACTAACAACAACAGAAGTAATGTGCTGTTTGGAGCGGATGTTTTTGCAGATGATTCAAGCATCGTAAACCCTCCTGAGATGCCGCCAAGTCTAAATTTAGATGAAGTACCATTTATGAGGGATGCACGTTTTACACGATCAGTATGCATCATTCTTTGATCCATTCCAATAATGCCCTGGGATTTGGTTTGGGAAAAATTGAATGGGTGCTTGGGGGGGGGGGGGGGGGGCAGAGGACGGAAAAATTTGGGACTCTCAATACTGTGCATGAAAGTCCCAAAACTTAAGGAACTGAAAACATGCACTGATGCAATACAAGAAAATAGACTGGTACAAATTGATACAACCAGTCCAACACCACTTTACTACTGCATGACTCGACTGTGAAAAGTGATTTTAAAAAAAGAAACGACATTGGGTACTGGTCTTTATTTCTTCACATCTCTGCATAGTCTGCCACCAGACTAATGAAGTGAAGAAGTAGGTCTTTACAAACGGTTTATGACAGTTGGACTCGAACCAGTCTAGCCTAATAGGCCTCAGATTGAAATAACTTGGCTTCACTCTCCGGAGCAAAGTGTTGAAGAAAAGTCTCCCTTAAAAATTGAACTGAGACCTAAAATTCTTATTTTGGCCGTTCACAGTTGGGGAAATCCACTGCATCCTCCAGATGGAATTTTCAAGGATTTGGAAGGGTTTTAGTAAAGAAACATTGAAAAAAAAACTACAGGAATATTTAAATATGATGCAAATAAACCAGTGATTTTTAGTTGATAATTAATTGTCCTGGAGTAAAAAGAATTTTTTTATTTTTTTTTACCAAAGAATTCGAATTTTATTTGAATATGTTACCTACATACATGTAATAAGTTGGTAACCAAGTCACTGTAGCATGGAAACCACCCCAAGCACTCTGTGATTTTATTGATTTTTCAGTGAATAAATACAATGTAATACAATGTAATACAATGTAATACAATGTAATACAATGTAATACAATGTAGTACAGGTGCTAATGGGTTAATGCTATAACCGATTTGTTTTTTGTTTTGAACTGTTTTTTCTTTCAGGAAAAGTTTTGTTTTGTTTCTTTTAATTCAGAAATGTCCGAAGACGGTCTCTTCCCTGACCAAGTACTCACGGTGGTTCCGAGAGCGATTTCAGCCCGATATTAAGATATTTCTTGAGACCTCTGATGTTGGGGTTTATTCTAATTACTACAAACTGCTGCACTTCAGACAACCGTTTGGATTCAGAATGGCAAACAAAACTAGTAAGTGCAAAAAGTTCGAAGGGCTGATTTTTTTTTTTATCTTTCAACAAAAAAAATCAAATGAATGCTGATAAATTGACTTCAAAAGTGCTTTCAATTTTTACAAATGGAAATATTAATGAAAGTTTAAACAAAGAAATTGAGTGGAGTGGAATTTTGAAACCTATGGCCTCAGAAAACATGCAGTCAAATCCTATCTAGTATATTTTGTTTTCAATCTTATTGATTTGAAGTAAACCTTTTCCGTTTTGCAGTGTGGTCTAATCGGTAAAAAAAAAAATTAAAGTAACATTCAACATGCTAAAGAAATCAAATTTTCAGACTCATAATGTATAAAAAAACAGAAACCAGTGCCTGTTATTAAAAAAAAAATACAAAATACATTGTACAGAAGCTAAATTTCCTCTTAAATTATTCTCTTCTAGAACTGACCACTATTGTCAATCACCCAAATTTCACCGATGCACCCCTAAATGCTGATGGCAGACCCAACAGATGTCTCCGCTGTGCTGTGGTCGGGTGTGGTGGGATCCTGAACGGCTCTGGGGCAGGCGTTGAAATTGACAGCCACGATTATGTCTTTAGGTAAATGAACCGAGAAATTTCTTATGATTATGATACTGTACAAGGCAGTGTTGGAGCAAAGGCTTTGACCCTCAAGGCCAAGGCCAAGGCCAAGGCTTTGACCCTCAAGGCCAAGGCCAAGGCCCTGTTTTATAAAATGACCACTAATATAGAACTAATTAATGTCACATGACACGTCATCACGAATCGCTCATTAAGAAGAACAACTTGTCTTTAATTGCAATCAACATGCTCGCATACACTGTTTTATGACTGCATTGTATCTATTAAAGTATAAGTTCAGGTCTTAATGAATATGGTTTAACTAAAACAAAATAACGATATATTGACGCACAATTCTCCCGAGTGTAACAAAAGGGGGATCCAAGAAACTGATTTGGGAAATTTTTATTTGCTGGGCCAACATGGTCAGAAATATTAGCATTATCTAAAACAGATACATGCAAATCTTTAGCACTTATCAGGGAGACATATACAACCAATCAGATCTATTCCATAATTGTATACAAATTAAGTGATCATCTCATTAGCCCCACAAGTGTACAGAGTATTGTTGCAGCAAATCTACTACAATGGTAACAAAATATGATGCTATAAAAGTGGAAGTGTGCCCAACACACAAATCTATAGGGTGTTTCCCTCCTCCATGGTAACACGATTAAAATGGTAACAGCAAAATTTCAAACAGATTTATCTGGAAAATGCAAAAATCTATGGGCCTTGAAGAGCCTTGACTCAAAATTGCAAGGCACTGATCCCTCAAGGCCAAGGCTTTTGCCCTCAAGCCTCGAGGCCAAGGCCAAGGCCCTAAAGTCCAGCCTTAAGGCAGCCTTAAGGCCAAGGCCCAGCATCAAGGCACTACATCACTGGTACAAGGTTTGCCTAGTTAAGCAGGAATCAAATATCTCTGTTTAGGACAGTTGGGGAATCAGTCAGAAGGGGAGTCAGTTTGTCAGTCAGTCTATCTGTCTGTCAGTCTGTCTGTCAGTCATTCTAATCTTATGGTATTACTCCTTTACGGCCTGTATGGAAGTTCATACATACAAAGGACAGGTTTTGTAATTTCTAAAGTAATTTTTAAACTTTAAAACCATCAAAGAATTTAGTTAATCTGACAATGACGCACTTGCCATTTTACTGTTTTAGTCTTATTTCACCCCTGTCATTCCCCTGTTTATTTTTTCTGTCAGACTGAACCGTGCAATATCCACTGGTCACTATGCAGAGGACGTTGGGAACAAGACCAGCTTCTACACCTTCTTCCCAGAGTCTATGCACGCACAGGATGTGCAGGATAAAGTAATTATAACAAGGGGCCGAAGGAAATAGGGGCTTTGGTTTTAACACACGTGTCTATTGGATATGGCTTCTGCGGCGTACCATGGTCACTGCTGGGCTGAGGGAAATGGAGGCTTAAAGCTACAGTCCATCATTCGCAGCTATCCAAAAAGTAACTGACGTAATTATTGTTGAAAAACATACTTGGTTGAAAGATAGTAAGGGAACTAAACTCCCTGTGAAATTATTCTTTCTGGCATGCTGTCATTTTGAAGAAATCAACGAAAGAAGGCCCTTCAACGATGCGTCTAAAGACGCATCGTTGGAAATTTCCGTTAGAAGTTTGTCTTTATGCTTCAGAAATTATACTTAACAAGTAATAATCTATTCTGATATTTGTTTTCAATATTTTTTCGTTGACAGAATGCAACGTTCTTCTATGCAATGTTCAAATCCTACGACCTGGACTATGCGATCAACATGCTGAATGACGACACGCCTCCGAGATACATCAGCAGAGGAAAACTGTTGTAAGTCCCAAAAATTGATAACATTTTGAATATTTTATAAAGAAATTGCTAATGCCGGAATTTACCAATTGATGGATTTCCAAAGTAAATGTTACTTGCTAAACTTGCAAAAAAACAAGTCACAGTACACATTCGTTCGTGATATTTATTTTAAGTAGCTCCCAAAACCTGTGTCCCTAAACTTCTCTTGTTTGTTCTTTTGTCAATGCAGTCGTTTAAAGAAGGCGAAGTTTGATAAAAGAAAGCTGAAAATAATCCACCCGGACTTCTTCCGATACGTCTTCACAAGGTACTTGGACACAAAAGCCAACAGGCCAACAACAGGTAGATTGTTCAATTCACTTCGTTGTAAATGATCGAGTGTTCTTCAATACTTGGCTTGTTTCATTTTCACCATTGAGGGTGGTTCTTTATATAACAGGTCGTCACTTTTATCCTCAGGAGCTGTGGTAGTTTTCCTAGCCCTGCATCTCTGCGACGAAGTCGGCATCTACGGGTTCGGTTACGACCCCCGCTTCACCCTGCACTATTACGACAAGACGTTCCGGTCGCACACGGACAAGGCGACTGCACTGCACGACGTGGACAACGAGCGGGAACTGTGGCACAAACTGCACGAGGAGGGCGTCCTCAGACTATTCAAGAGAGATTTATGAGAGAAAATGGGATTTGTCTCGCAATTACGCATATGTGTGTTGGTTTGCTTGAATAAGAGTTCTGAAAGAGTGGCCAAAGCACCCCCAGAACAAAGACCGTAAGCTTACAGATGGGAAGTTCAGTTGGTAGATTACTGGTATGGAATTCCAGACGTCGCAGGCTTGAATGCTACCTCAATGTTCTGAAAGTAACTAAAACAAAGTAGAAGTTAGTAAATCTTTCCACCTTCTGTTAAAGAAAAATTTGAGAAATAAATGCACATACTCAATTTGTTTTATATATTTGTTACAAGTTTGTATATTTTGACCATCCATTTATGTATGACATATTTTGTACTTTTTTACAATTGCATTATCAGGTCTATTTGTTCTTATTTGTGTGCTGATATTTTATGTAATATAAGAGGTCTAAAGTATAGATTTTATTTGTTTTCTATTGGTTTTTTTTCTAAAAGAAGTAAGAGAATTATGAAAGAAGATGTACGAAACCATGTTAATGTATGTACCTCTGTCATTTCTGTTTTAGCCTCTGAAGAAGAACTTGCTATTAAAGTTCGCAACGTCGGGCCACATTAATTTTAAGATTTATATATTTCAGGTCCATCCAGTCAGTAAGCAGTTTGCAGCAGTTTTACTTTTTTTCTTTTTTTCATGAAACCAAGATTTATTAGAATTAATCATGAGAAAGAAAAAGTAGGTGAAAGCATTAAGCTTTAATTAAGGCTAATTTAACACCGAGGGCTATACAAAGTTGTGCAGGCAGATATCGATAATTTTCTCAAAAAGTACCTAACATGAGTATTTCATTTTGATGGCGCATATTAATTATACTCTTTGTGTATAATCAATGAAAATGTCATGGAAACCCACTCTGAAAACCAAAGCCGTAACAGATTATAAAAGGATATGTTTTTCTACTTTTTCAACCATTCCATTGGAAATCGCTCAACCGCCACTCTGCAATGGGTCTTTTCAGTAACTGTAAATCACATTGGAACGAATGAAAAGTACACTGCCACTTATCATGTTTATAATCTGTTGTATCTCTGGTTTGCATGAATGGATTTTCATCAAGTTTTCGCTGTGATTATACACAAGAGTACAGACAATATACTCCGTCAACATGAAAGGCTGATGTTGGATAGTTTTTGAGAAATTTAAAGATGTCTGCTTGCACACCTTTTTGGAACAGCCCACACTGTTATATTGTACAAGAGTTTTCTCGAACATATTGAAGCTTGAGTCATAACCTAAACGTATTAAAAAAGATACTAGGTCATAAGCTATATTTTTCATTACACCAGAAACTCACAGGCTTATCTCTGGGAGAACTTGACACTATAATCTTATCTTGACAATATTATCTTTACAGTGTTTGCTTATATACTTGATACATTGTCACTCTTTATACTATTGAGGGCTACTTCAAAACTATTGCGCACAATGCAGTACTGCCGTTTTATACATTTTGTTGCCATTCAAAGGCATTGTAAAGAGCAGATAACAATTTCATGCCAAACTATGGACTAACTGATCAGCAAGTATTAAGATTGTTCCTGAAAACAGGTGTCGTGAAACTTTAGAAATTGTCATTATTTAAGTGCTGTTAATCATGAACGAAGTCTATATAAAACATTTGACATCAATAGTTTTTCTATGAAAAATAAAAATGCCTTTAAAATGAAATTCTACAGGGATATCTAAAAACTGATATATTGAAATATTAATATGTTTATACTCATTTACCTCAGCAGTATATTACTGTGTTCTTGAACTTGCAGGCATGATGTCTCCTGTGACAGGACCTGTAGGAATTTATTGGACATTATCTGTACATTTTCATGTGGTTGACTACAATTTGAAAGGATTTTAGACAGCCCGGAATACGTTTGGGTGAATAGTTTATGGTATTGATGTCATGTGAAAAAAATTGGATAATGGGCCGATCCAGTAAGCCCCGCCCACTGCGCACTGGGCAAAATTAACACGTGCTCCTCTCCAATGCCACACTGCATTTTCCTGCCGCGCGCATCATACGCGCGTGCACGCATGTGCACGCATGTCGGACATAAATCACGGCTGTGATTGGTCAGAATACCATGGGGCGGTGCTTACTGGATCGGTCCATTGAATATGCTGATTTAATCATGTCTCTCTTGCTCTGTTGTGTGAGTTGTAATTCTGAATCTTTGGGGATAGTAATTTTGTATTTGGCGTCAAGTTTTAAAAGATATGTAAATTTGTGATTAAGACATATACCTTGATGAAATTGTATGCAGTAACTGATACAAGGTCCAATCAACTGATTTTGACTGTGGGTTGGTATGTTGGTTGGTTGGTTTGCTGGTTTGTTTGTTTGTTTGTTTGTTGGTGTGGGTGGGGTGTTGGGGTGTTTGTTTGTTTGTTTGTTTGAAGGAGAATTTTGTTGTGCATTCACTTAGTTTGTGAAAAAAATAGTTTTGTTTGTATAGATGCTGCTGTGAAGTGAATCACCTTTTTGTAGTTGTTCTTTGGTGGTAGTCGACTGTTAAAGAAGCAACAATGAGGAAGTTTTATAATTATCACAAAGAAAAAGTAATTTGTTACATTTTTGAAGTTTCAGCTTTTATTATGATTATCACCACAAATTTATGCTGGACACACAAGACGAAAAGGTTGCAATGCAAATGCTTCTCCAACTTTTCAGGAGTCTTGAAATAAGAACTCAAGTTCATGGTGTGTTTTATATACCATTCTTTGCCCCAAATTTTACTTTGTTAAAACGGGTACGACTATTGTAATTGACGTAATGAAAAGGACATAATCTTGTTGATTCCTATGACATGAGTGTTATATCATGATATTAAAAGCAGACTGGACAAAGAGCCGTATTAACCATTCATTCATAAATACCTCAGACAGTTTAGCTATTCCTATTGGTCGAGAGCCCGTCACGTGGCCGGTCTTAAACGGATGATAAAGACATGGCTAGCTGGTCTTAAACACTTTTCCAGTGTCACAATAAAATGTGGACTCCTAAAAATCCAGTGCCTCTTACCGTTTCATTGGTTGAACGTTCACAATCCTCACGTAGGCATGCGCAACACTACCAGCTAGTCAGAATTTTACAGTTCAAAATTCAAAACGCAACGCCCCAGGTGCGTTCTGCGCGACATCGCGCAGAACATGCCACGCGGGCGTCAATCGCCATAAAAGGGTTGTTTACATCTTACTCGCCAGCTGAACACTCCATTGTTTTGCCAGAGGGATGTTTCAAAAAGCATGAAGTGAACTTGTTGAACAAAATTGGGATTTTTTGAACGAATTATTTGATATTTTTTAACCGAAAAGGTATTTATGAATGGGAATAAATATGTGCTCGATCGGTATTTATCACTCTGTTTAAGACCACTTAGAGTCTGGGTGCTGATAATTACCCTCGCCTCCGGCTCGGGTAATTATCAGCACCCAGACTCTAAGTGGTCTTAAACAGAGTGATAAAAACCTCTCGAGCACACATTTATTCCCTTAGTATGATTTGTGTCTATTTTTAAGGCCAGACTTTAATGCCCGCCCCCCCCCCCTCCGCCTGACCACCCTCGATCGCCCCGCCCCTGACCCCACCCTGTCAAACAAAAATAATGTTAAGGTACTTCAGTGAGGCTTTATCTTAAGGTTAATGTTAACCAAATATTTTATTAAACCAAAAAAACCAAAAACAGCTACGAAAAAAAAAAAAAGGTTTGAATGAAATTTCCTGCAAACTCCGGAAAAGGGGGGGGGGGGGGGGGGGGGGGGGGTGTCAGTTCAACGCTGCTATACATGTACTTGCAGTATAAATGTTGTCAACAGATGGCGCTATTCGCAGTCGACGTGCCGTGTCACGCGTCTTTCTGCAATAAAAATGAAAACGAAACAGGTTAGACCAGACTGTCCAGCTGAACCTTTACTTTTGCTTTCTGTGGATTACAAAAAGAATGCTTTCTTTCACGGTTCTTAAAAAAGAAGTAAGTCGTCTTCCTGTGTTAAACTAAATGTAGAACGTTGAATAGTGCAGTGTGAGAGTTACTGCAGTTGGTTGTTATATTTCTCCGTGGTTGTAATGACTCATTCTTTATCATGTCGTCATGGTCGTAATCAAGTTTAATGATCTTTATAAATTATAATATAAGGGTGGGGGATGAAATAAGTGAATTAAGTGATTGACATTGCCTTCATTTCTGAGAATTTTCACAATTTTCTGAGAACAAAAGAACCAATTGTAAATAGTGGATCAAATTGTGGAAAACTTACATGGCTTCGCTATCAGAAATTTGAAATTCATGGGGGGTGGGGGGCCTAGGCCATATGTTTAAAAAATCTCTTTTTAATTGAGTTGGTCATGTCATGAGTTGATCTCTGCATTGCCATTACGTTACAATGTAGATCTTCCCTTTCCTTGCCTAAATTAATCACTATTAATACACAGAAAGGAACAGATAATTATTAAAGTTTGGAGCAGTTGTTTAATTGTCTTTGAATTTTGGCATTTTCAGGTCCTGGCTGAGAATTTGGTACATCGACAAGACGGCTAGTTTTTGGAATTAATAATAAACATGAGGTTGACTCGGTGTCTTCCGTGCAGACTTTTGCACTCGCTGTTCTCTTCTTTGCACAACTGGAAAAACACACTAATCGTGGTGTTACTCGTGAGTTTTACTGTCGTCGTCATTATGCAAAAATACTGGATGGAAGCTCGTCTTCAGCTTCTTCTAGCGTACGACTTGTCCGAATCGCCCACACGACAGCAGAGTGATTCCGTCCGAACTCAAATGTCACTGTACGTGGGAAACGAAAGCACCAACAGTGATGTCGGCAGTAGGATTGAATTTTACGAACCGTCGGTGAGAAACAGACTTCATTAATTGGAACTTTGAAGAGAATGATCAGTTTATTTAGGGTTCCAGATAAAACTTAAAAGGCAATATACAACATTTGCAAACATCAAAAACTAAACTACCAAATTATTATGAAATACCTTACTTGACAGTAAGTGAATAATAGTCTCAAGCATCCTGTGAAATCATGGCACCTGGTGTGCTGTCATTTTCAAGAAAAGTGGTATTACTGTTCAATTTCCAACGATGGTCGGCTGACCATCAATGGAAAAATACTGACTTTTTCAAACACTGCCCCCAATTTACCAAATTTAGTTGGTCCAGATTTTGTTTGCAATCGGTTAATCATCCTTGAACGGGTGCAAGCCGGCTAGTCTGGTTCCCTGACCTGACAATTCCCTGATATCTATAAACTGCTCCGTTTTGTCCAAGGTAGGGTCTGGGAACCAGAATACAAGAAAACAAATATTTTCCTTGGTTTTTCCAGTATCTACTGAACACAAAACTTTAAAAAGATTTTTGCTATAAAATACTTGCCCCCAATCCATCCATTTCTGAAAATTACTGCAAACGCAAACTGTGCATATCGCCTTTAAGGCATGGTTTTGGGAGCTAAGGACCTGATATCAAAACAAAACAAGTAAAAACCAATTGGTGAAATAAGAAAAATTCAAAAATTCACAAAAAATGTGAAGGCATTCTGTGCAAGGGGTCTGAAATTTGTTTGAATTTTTTATTTTTTTGTTTAACGGTACATGTAATATACAACTTTTGCTTTTGTGGTAATTTTCAGAAATGGATGGATTTGGGGGTTAGTATTTTATAGCCAATATTGTTACATTGACCTGTTTTGAGTTTTGTGTTCATAGATGCTGAGAAAACCAAGAAAAAAAGGCTGTTCTTGTAGTCTGGGTCCCTGACCTACTTTAGACGAAATGGATTAATTTCTAGACGGGGAATTGTCAGGTCAGGGAACCAGACTAGCTGGCTGGCACCCATTCACGGATGTGTAATTGATTGCAAACAAAATGTGGACTAACTAATTTGGGGGGAGTATTTGAAAAAATTCAGTTTCCAAAGATGGTTGGCCGACAATCGTTTGAAATAGATACAAAAATTCCACTTTTCTTGAAAATGACAACACACCAGGTGCCATGATTTCACAGGATGCTTGAGACTATCATTCACTTACAGTCAAGTGAGGTATTTCATAATAATTTGGCAGTTTTGTTTTTTGATGTTCGCAAATGTTTCATATTATTTTTAAATAGCTCTATTTATGCATCTCCTCAGGCACAATCTTTGATAACAACGTCTTTGCTTTTTGTCTTCCTAGAATTGCCCAAAGAGTATTTCTTCTTTGCCCAACTACTCGCAGTGGTTCCGGGAGAGATTTAAACCGAACATCAAGTTGTTTTTGGACAAGCTCGACGCCGACAACATCAGGAATTTGTCATTTTATGAACTGCCTTTTGGATTCAAGAACGAAAAACACGACTGTGAGTTTCCTGTGCCGTTATTCTACTGGGGGCAGTTTTCGAGAAAAAGTCAGTTTCCAAGGATGGTCGGCCGACCATCGTTGGAAATTGGTACAAAAATTCCACTTTTCTTGAAAATGACAGCACACCAGATGCCATGATTTCACATGGCATCTGGCATTGGAGAATCAGGTTGGCGTAGTGGTTCTTTCCTCGCCTTCAACCGCTGCGACTCGGGTTCGATTCCCGCCTGGGCCAATATGTGGATTGGGTTTTCAGTCCCTGCCTGATTCTGTGGGTTTTCCATAGAATATTCTTCTGGGGTTTCCCTCCCACCTCTAAAACTGTAACTTCTTCTCATTGTCTTCTCTCTACAGGTTTCTTCAGGCTTGCGAGCTACAGTGCCTTGGGCACTTTTGTTGAATCCTTGGTTTCATTACCAAAAATAAATAATATTCTCTTTTTTTTAAGAGGGGAAGGATTTTTTTTTTGGGGGGGGGGCGTCGTTTCATGTCAACTTATCACAAAATGATAAAGATTGCAAATGTCGACGAAACAGTGTGCATTGGCCAATTAGACAACAATTTTAAGTCATGTGACCACAGTGGCTCAGTCAAACTCGGTCACATTCACTGTGAGATATGTACACAAACCAAAAGTGGGCGGGGCCCATTAATAGTTGAGGAGCCCACAGTGTGCGCTGCAGGAAAATATGATAAGATTTTTTTTAGACTTTAAGATCTTTGCTAATTGCCTTTTTTTCCTCTGTTTCAGTTATGAAAAGCTTATTACTTCACAATAACTTCAAGAATCCGTCGTTGAGTTTGAGACGGGAGAAGCAGTGCATCAGCTGCGCGGTGGTGGGCTCCGGTGGGATCTTGAACGGGTCTCGCGCTGGCAGGGAAATCGATGCCCATGATTTGGTGTTCAGGTAGGTCTTAAGATGAGGGAAGTCTCTCGTGTGCCCGTTCACTGATTCTTCTTTACAGGTTGCTGAATCCTCCAAAATTCCTCCACTGAGCAATAAACCAAATTGTACGTAGGAGGGTTTTGGAGGTTCTCGGGAGTTAGGATTTAATAGGGTTGGGTTTTTAGGATGGCTTTAGTTCCCACTTCCTCCACCTTCCAACCAATCCTTGCCTGCCCCCTCCCCCTACCCTGAAAAAAAAAACCACTGGTGCAGTGGTACATCCATACACCTTGCACCATAGGACCCATGACATGAATTTTACTTGGAAACATATTTTGTGCAACGTTCTGTTCCTGTGAAATGTATGAAAACTATTTGGGATACCTTTTTGGTTACGTTCATTAAAAAGTGCACTTCGTTAAACATTTTCAAATTCCCATGCTTTACTTGACAACTCAGGGTGCTGTAATGTGTGATGTCCTTCCAGGAAGACACTGTTCAGTTTGGGGGTTTTCTGTTCAAATCGTGAACCCAGAATTTGCTCATTGAAAACACTTGTGAGAAAGGCTTGCTCACTGGCTTATACTGCCATGTACTTGCACAACAAGAATCACTAAGGGAAAGAACATTAACGACAGAAAGATCCAAAATTCCAGCAACTTTATGTGCTGAAATAGCTGTAACATTAAGGTTTCTGGCCGGAATGACATCAAAGCTTATTAGCACATGAATATGGAAATTCAGCCTTAGCATAAAAACCTAAAAAGCACCAAAATACCCTAAAAAATGGCGAAACAAAAATTGTAAATGACGTTATATGGGACACAAAGGTTCATTTTGTAAGGATAGCATTTAAAGAAATTACTGCATGGCCCTTTAAAAGGGTTGGGTTTTTAGGATGGTTTTAGTGAAAGCTTCCTCCCCCTTCCAACCAATCCTTACCTGCCCCGCCCACCCCCGAAAAAAAAAAACCACTGGTGCAGTGGTACTTTCATACACCTTACCACTGGCTCCAGTGTGCATTCAATAGCAATGAACATATGCCTCCTTCAAAATGGAAATTCTTTGAATAATTATCAGTTAGTATTCAAACGACGCAACCCAGGATGAATTGTGTTTACCGCGACTGGAAATGTTTATTTTGCCTCAGGTTGAATGCAGCAGTAACCTATGGCAAGCATGCTGAGGATGTCGGACGACGGACTGATTTCTACATGTTCTTTCCGGAGTCTGCCCATCTGTACGGCTTCATGGACAAAGTAAGGGTTTTTGTGTCGCCTAAACGAAGTTTTGGGAGACCCCAATTAGCCTTAAATTCTGTATGACCGTAGCCCCGTATGTATGTTAAAGTTTTGATTCAGTATTGAAAAAAAAAAATGCAAAACCTCTACATGCTTTCGTGGATTTTGACGAAACTTGGATGTAGTGACCCTTGGGTGGGAAGACACAATTCTTCATCAGATTACCGAGGTCAAAGGTCATGTAAGGGTCATTAGAGGTCACTGTTCAAGTATGCTTCAAATGTGCAGAATTTGATGGATTTTAATGTTACTTGGATGTGATCCTTGGGTTGGGGTTCATCACACTTCTTCTGAAATTGGAGGTCAAAGGTCCTGTAGGGGTAATTTGAGGTCATTTAAAAGGCACAAGATTTGACTTTTTTAGAAAATCAAAACATAGGGATCGACCGCAGAAAAACGAACAATTAAAACATTTAAAATTTTGTCCACCGATCACATTTAAGGTACGTTATATTTCAGTAAAATGAAACCATGTCGTATCTTGAAATCGATATCAGAATAATCCCATAAGTCTCCAGAGCAGCCAAGTAGAAGGCAGGGCAAGACTATAAACTCTTGACATTATAAAGCATTTCGTTTTAACATTGGAAGCAAAAGGTCTTTAAATAAAGGTTATGATAATTGCCTGTTATCATGGTTATGAGAGTATTCTGATGTGTTTTTTAGATATGTGAATTGTTTTCTTCTTGCTGAAATATCAATTACATTCATGTGATCCACAGACAATATTATAAAACTGTTTGTGTTTTAAAAGTCCATAACTTGAAAAGTACATGAGCGATATGAGTTATTCTTTTACTTAAATATAGCTCATTAATTGGGCTTTTACATCCTAGATCTTGAACACGCTACATGCGCAACTTCTTTAAAAAAACGGGGGCGCTATTTGGGTTTTTTTTTTTTTTTTCTCACCCTGTATTTGTTGAGTGCTACAACTTTGTTTCTTTCTTTTCCCACAGAATGTGACACTTTTATACACCATGTACAAGACATTTGATGTGGAGTATGCAGCTGAAATCCTCAACATTAACAGGTTTGTTGTGATGGCTTAAAGAAAGTTGAAGGCACCATTTTTCATTGAGGTATAAACATAAAACTGTGCTTAGCATGAAAATAGTTTTTAACCCTTTGAGCAGGGGCGCCGTGAAAAAAATCTCATTGTTTTCCAAATATGGTCATAATTTTTTTTCTCAATGGGCCAATAAGGCCAAGCTTCCATGTAATACTCACCCCTACTATACACCACAAGCCTGTAGACTCCCATTGGCCAGACCCTAGCCACTCCGGAGTAAGGGGTGTTGAAAGACAGAAGCCAAGATGGCGCCCAATGCCTTTGTGCAGTAATGGGAGATCTTAGTGGCCAACCCCTAAGTGCCGCCGATCCCTTGGTGTCAACCCCTCATGCCGCCAGGAGCCCAGACAGGTTGTAAACAATCCCTGGCCATGTGAATGAACTATATCTTGTGCATGTACAGGCATGCCAGGGTTATTGACCTAGAAACACGTAATGTGATAAAATTCTCATGGTGGTTCCACCGCGTAAATTTTTTGGGCTTGAAGCTTAAAGGATTAAGCAAAAACAGCAGTTAATCAGCAGAGCCTACTGCTGAGCAACATTTTGGTCAAGTCCTTACAGATGCCCATCATAAGTCATCAATACCAAAGGCAACCCATATAAATGAACCATCACAAAGACATTCCGCTGTTATTTATTATTCATCCACTCTCATATTGTGTCCAGACGTGTGAATTGACGAGAGATGTACTAACGATGGGGATGAGACGTGTGTTCTAGTGGTTACGGTTCGTGACTCATGATCAGAGGGTCAGGAGTTCGAATCCAGCTGCTGGTCATATGTTGTGTCCTTGGGCAAGCCACTTCACCCCACTTGCCTCTCTCCACCCAGGAGTTTAAACAGGCACCAGTGTTAGCAGGGGAGTAACCTGCGATGGACTGGCATCCCATCCGGGGGGAATAGAAATATTCTCAGCCGTTTCATGCCAAGGAAACCGGAGATAAATTGGCTTAATTAGCCACATTGGCTCGTGACAGACTTTACCACCATTTACTTGCTTGTGATGGGCTTGTTATGTAGACTTGTGATGGAGTCGACTACAACAGTGTAACTCAATAACCAAATTTCTACATGATTCCTGAATTTCGTTTGAGTAGGGCCGTCATATTCTCCTCTATTTATGTATCTCCTCAGGCAAAGGAAAAGCCAAAAGGCCGACCCCGAACGCCTGAAAATCATCCATCCAGATTTCTTCCGTTACGTCTTTGCCAAGTTTTTAGATGCAAAATCCATGAAGCCAACAACAGGTGAGCCAAAAAACTTTGATTTAAAGTTTAAAAAAAATAACCCAAATGAACAGAGGGTGTGTTTTAATTCATGTTCCAACATGTTTCCCTGGCTGTATTAGGTCTAATGTCTTCATTTTTTGTAAAACTGGGTAGCCAATTCAGTGGAATCCAGTGGTCTCCCATGGGGCCCAGTAAAGAGAAGATATGGTGAAGAAATTACAGTTTTAGATGTGGGGGAAAACCCCAGAAGGATATAATGAGGAAAACGCACAGAATCAAGTGGGGCTAGAAAACCCAATCCGCATATCGGCCCAGGCAGGAATCGAACCCAGGAACAGGAATTGGCAACCTCTTGGTGGGGCACAGCATTAGGAATTGCCCCTATTGGGTAGAATTTTGTGCACTCTGAGACTTGCTTTATTAGACTTGGGTGTTTTGTTTTGTTTTTTCTTGAAATTAATACAATGTATCACCTTTTCAGGCGCTGTAGTGGTGATGCTCGCCGTCCACCTTTGTGATTCTGTGACCATCTATGGGTTCGGGTACGATCCCAAATTCTCTATGCATTACTACGACAGCGCGTTTATAAAGCGCACCTACCGGTCCACGTGGACGCACGACGTGGAAAACGAAAAGAAGCTGTGGGATACTCTTCACAACGAGGGGGTCATCCGGTTTTTCAAACGGGATGTTGTGTGAGAGATGGTGAAGGGAAAGGGGACAGGGTCATCGCACTTTACAGTATAAAAATATTATACAAAAAAATGTAGTATTAAAAATAAAGTCACAATCTTGGGCCCAATTTCTTGGCTCTGCTTACCGTTACTGAAAAATCCCTGTACTTTTTCAGAAAATTCCGTGCGTATGGTAAGCGTATTTCAGACGTTTCGTTCGTACCCCCGCCCTGCAAACAGGGCACTGGTATTAAGTGCTGATGAGCTTCACAGAATCTTGTGAAGGAAGTACAGATTGACCTTCGCATGCAGCTAGCGCGCGCTACGCATGATGGGCACCGGAAGCTAGTTCGTGGGACGCGTTCTACGTCACAGGTCACGCAAATCTATCCAATGAGAGCTCAAATGACGTCAGCCCTGACCAGCGTCCTGTTTGCAGGGCGGGGGTATGAGTGAATTCACGCGTAAGCAAGGAAATTTTTGCTTCTGCGCATGCGTATATCTTGTAACTAAGGATCCTGTGTTTATGGCAAATTAAGGGTTAGCACAATATTTTTCCACTTGCCCGGTAAGCAGAAACTTTGTGGTCGTAAGCACAGAATTCTGTGTTTAGCAGAGCCAAGAAAGTGGGCCCTGGACTGAAGTATTTGAACGGGGATCAAAATAACTGAATTCTAACCAATTTTTGAATTCAAAATGTGCTAAGATTTGAAGACTTTTTTTGTGGGGGATTAAAGGGTATTCTGTAGAAAAGAATAAATATTTAGATATTTTTAATCAAAATAATGAAATTGTGTGCTAATTTACTAAACGGAACAGTTTATTTCAAAATGTACAATTTTGGTCACTTTCAATTTGGAAAATGTCTGCACGCCTGCATGAATTCTGTCGGTATTGCCTGTTTATACTTTTCTTATGTATTTCTCCTTGACTGCAAAATACTGATTTCTATAATGTGACATGGCAAATGTATGCATCAATTTTAAAAGGACTATATAAGAGTATTTATATTGTTGTGACGTTTTCTCAAGGGGAAATTCTTTCATTGTATAGTTTTGAACGAATAGAAAACAGGGTATGATAGTGCCTTTGCATGTTACACTTGAAAAGTACCTGCACAATTTACCAGACAGGTTTTATGTCTTTCTTTCTTTTTTAAGAGATGTCTGCATGCAATTCTCAAATGCTAGCTAAATCCAACGTACATATATTTTGTTACTCAATTAACCCAGCTATGCACGCATACATTATGTGCCAAGTTGTCCTTTCAGTCAAATATATCAAGTGACTGTTTTCATCTGTTAAGAATTCCCAGCCTACATAAAGCAGGATTGACTGGTTTGGACTGTTTTTAAAAGGAACTTGATACAGCTTTGGAAAAAACATGTTGCAACCTGACGCCATTTCAGTGGTTGTGTATAAAAATCTATGGAGAGTCAAGAACATTTTTTAAGTATTTCCTAACAAAATTGGAAATGCTTCTCATTCCCAGATTCGGGTCTTATCATTTTTGCAATGACTGACTTTCATTGAGATGAAGAAAAAAGTGGCGTCAGGTTGCAACATTTCCCCCAGCTTTGCTTTGACTATGGGTGATTGATAAGCCAGCTGTGCCCACAACTTGCCTCGTTTGTCTGTTCATGGTCTGTTGACTGAATTTGATTAGTCACACTGCTTGCTTGACATATGATCTGACTGCTGGTGACTAGCCTGTGTTAAAAGTATTGCAGGGGAAGTGGATGGCAATTTTTACTGTCTGTGACTGTTTAAATAGCAGGAGGGTTAAAGCAAAAAGGCAACATGTGTCCCAAAACGTAGAAAAATATGTGCCCTTAAAAAAGATCAACTTCTTGTTTTAGAAACTACACAAAGTCCTTCCAAAAAGTCCATCCACTTAACAGAGTAGAAAACACACTGTATGGCATTTCAAAGGTTGGAGGTTCGAATCTCGCTTCTGTTAAATTTTATTTGTTCACTCTTAAAAACAGTATTATTATATAATTATGAATAAATTTACTATCTGCCCTCCATAGTTCAACTTTCATTATTTTGACACCCATTCTCTCCACTTGTAAACTATTATTGTTATATGTGAATAATGCTACTGTCTGCCCTCCATGGTTTACTTCAACATCCGACCAAGAAAGTATTGTAATTTATCCTACGAATAATGTTACTATCCGGCCTTCCGGTCCATCGTTCTTTTCTTTTTTTTAAAGGTAATATAATATGAAAAAGTTGTTCACGAAACGGTTCGGCGATCAATCATTGATGTGTCAATTGTATACTACGTTGGGGATGGTTTACTAATAAATTTAATTATTTCTGGACGACGTTCGGAATTGTGAAGGTCATGGCATTGTTGTTTTGTGGAGTGTTTCCATCTGAAAAGCTTTTAATTAAACAAAAATCATAACAAATGCTGGCTAATGTAATGCAGAATTTAGAACAAGAATGAAATTTATTTTGCTATTTTTTTTTTTAAAGGAAACATGTTTTCGTACGCGAGATCTGGTGTATACTAACGACTTCGTATTGCCAATTTAATGAACGAGCACTGAAAAAGAAAACCGCCTAAAAAAAGGAAGAAACAGGCGGAGCTAAAATCCGTACAATAACAAGAGGTGTTTGTGCAAGAAGTACAAACCACTCCATACCCTCTTAACTTCCAAGTCGACGTCATGGAGCCTTGGCCCTACGTGACTTGGATGCATTGTTGCATGCAAGTTTGTCCATGATGTACGGGTACGGTATGTGACTTGTTTACGGGTACATGTACATGTAGTTGTTTTGATTCAGATAGTCGCTGGTTCCTGGTACGGCAGCCCAGGAACCTGGTTCCTGGTAGCGGCGTATTCAGAAGGGGGGGGGGACACTGGCGGATTTTTGTGAAAGAATTTTTCCTGTAACTATTTCCATAAATGGTTAGAGAGCTCTGACATGAAAAAAAAAACAAGTTCCACAATCATTACAATGCGCCGTGAAAATCGGCTTATTTGAAGTATGCATAATAATAATGGTTAAGTTTTGAAGAGCGCCCCCCCCCCCCCCCCCCCCCCCCCCCCCCCATTTGGGAAGATGGTCCCCCATTTTTACAGAGGCCAAGTGTTCGGAGAAAAAACATGTCTACATTTCGGCGCGGATGTGCGAGTGCGGTTGCCCCCCCCCCCCCCCCCCCCCCCCGGTCATCAAAAGCTGGACACGCCACTGTCACCCTTCGCCATATAGTGGGGCAGATAGGGGAAATATTTGCGGGGAATTGTGCCTTTGATGATACAAGCATGGCATTTGGCGCACAGTCAATGTTTTGAGAAAGATATTTGGCTGTAGGGCCATCGCAGATTTGTCCTTTGACAAAATATAGGTAGAATAACAAGCAATTTTCAAAATGGTTGTCATTGTTTGTTATTCTACCTATATTTTTTTCCAAATGACATATCTGCAATGGCCATAGGCCTATAGCTAAATATCTTTCTCATGACATTCTCTGACTGTGTACCAAATTGCACGCTTGTACAGTGTACATGTGTCATCAAAAGCACATTCCTATCACATATCTGCCCTATCTATCTCACTCGCGTGAGACGGTATACCCGGACGAACGGAGTTCGTACTCGATACTGAGATGAGGTTTTCATGAACAATTTCTGATAATAGGCTGACATGATTTCTGACCAATCAGATTGCTCTTTACAAAAGCTGACCCAAACTTTTGACCTCTCAGCAAATAAAATGGCAGCGTAGGGCCTACTGTGCTACTCTCCTATTGGCCAGATCTCCTATTGGCCAGATCTGAATATAGGAAATCTGATTGGCTAACGGTGATTGTCAAAAAAGATTCAGATGAGGTCTGCCAGGGCATCTTACTATGTAACACTGTCTTGGCTAGCAAGGATGCTGATAACCTAATCAAGATATGTTATAAAAAAGTTTCTGTGGCACTGTAGTTCTCAAAACAAAAAAAATTAAATGTGTGAAGATTAATGCTGTTTCAGGGAAGAAGGAACATTAAAATCATAATGTTCACAGATACAAAACTAGGGCCTATGGAAAGTAAAAATGAATTAACGAGCTGAATAAATGAACTGAAAGCATTTTCTTATCATTTCCTTTTTCTCATTTCCTGCTCGTCACGTGACCTGACTTTTTTCCTTCGCTTTGCTGAAAAATCTGTTCGGTAACCAATAATATAACTTCGAGTTTTAATATTCATAAGGAAATAGCAGCATGACCCCAAACCGTCCTTTCGCATTCAAAGCTGCGCGCCTGCAAAACAACTTAACTCCAGGATAGCAACGCAGCGCCTGTTTATCTACCGGTTCTCGATTGGGCCAAAGAGACTCCCCAACACAAATTCGATCTGTCGTCTTCCACTTGAAGCTACGTACCCTGAATACGGATCTGACCGCATTGCCCGTGTAGGAACACGCTGAAACTACATACACACCCAGTAATATAATAGCTGCCTAGATTTTATCACCATAATTATTATTTATATTATCAGCGACATGATTCCAAAGTCCGCCCAATAGGAGAAGCTGGTTTCATCATTTCGACATTGCAGTGCAGTTCATGTGTGAGCAATTGGCCGTTATACCACGCACCGCCACTGTAATACTATGTTTCCGTACTAGATCGCGTGTGGAGACAGGTGTAAATAGTTGCAGTATTGAACGATCAAATATAATACCAGTCGCGGCCGACCTTATTTCATATGGTTCTATTCACCACAATGGAAGGAAATCCCTGAATATTGCACGGGTCGTTGAGCGAACCGACTTGGTATTTATACCACACCAGAATAATATTCCTTGTCTTCTCAAGTGTGGTTAGGCCAACGTGGAAGAGGAGCTACATTTTCCTGGAGAAATTCAGGTAAATATTGTTTTGTTAGTCACAGATACATGCGTATGTTGCTGGGACCATGTTTCTTTTCTGTTGGCAAATAATAGGTGGACGCTCTTTCTTTTTCTACAAAATATAGGTTTTCCCGGCTGTTTTAAAAGATTTCTCATTCAAATTCACCAACTCTATATAAATCAATTTCGTCCACGAAAAATTTCACAGGCTTTTAACAACACCAATTTAATCATTTACCACTCAATTTTAATGTCATCTAATAGTCACCGGGTCGAGAACATTCGTCTGAGCTGTTAGTGACGAATGGCAGGATTTAGAGATCAAAGCCGTCTTATATAAATCAATTAAACGAATTTGATTTCTGAATGACAAGGTTTGGCGTAGACGAGACGATATCGAATACTCGGGGACGAAAACGTATGCTCATCGGTCTGAACTTGCTTGAACTGAATTTAAAATTGTCTGACAAAAGATTGTCTGACGAAAATAAACATTGGAAGTGCACTCAATCGATGTCGATGGCCGAAATTGAATTTAGAAACGGCGAATTCGAATGATAAATGTTTTAAAAATAGCCGGGAAACTCAATATTCGAGTGTAGATAGGCCTTTATACACTCGACGACGAAAACTATAGGGACCAAACGATTTAGTGTGAAATTCATTCAATCGAATATAGATCGAGAAATTCCACTCCAGTTTCCACTGGAATTTTTCCGTCTAAAATTAATTCTTTTCACTCTAAATTGTCTACATAGTCCCTACTCTCTAAATGTAAAAACTGAAGAAAAAACACTCGAAAAGAGTTGTCCGCCATTATGGCTCTTTAAAAGAGCCTAAATTTCACCTTTTAGAGTTTTTTTTTCACTATGGGCCATAGTAAAAAACCAAAAATGGAAACTTCAATCTGAAAGAGTATGAAACTTCCACTCTTTCAAAGAACCATATGGCGGACAACTCTTATCGAGTGGGTTTTTTTTTACTCTTTCACTTTTTAATACAGAGTAGTTTCACTGAAAATTATAACAAGACTTTTGATAACCCTTTGGATATGCATTATTTTCACCCAGATATCATGTGCTTCAAAGTAAGTATTTGAATGTTTGCCATTACCACGAATTATACCAGTGATTATGATATAAGCCGTTCAGGCGTGCAAATGCAGTGTATTTTGGCAACAATCGCTGTGTACATGTATACATTGAACACAACGAGTTAACTATAATTGTATATAATCCAACGCGGGTTTCTGCTATATGTACAAAAGGAATAGTTGAACTTTAGCTTACACCTGTTTACATTAATAACAGTGTTGTATTTGTTTCGATATCGTTTCCTATTCTAGGAAAGTATTTCACAAGTTGATACGCTGATGAACAAGGAAATACACTAATAGCACACGTTTGCCAGTGCTATTGTTGGAAAAGCCACAGGCCAAGACCATTTTAGGTCAAATGGAAATACTGGTATTGTTTGAAATCACAAACATGACCGATATTTTGGCGAAATTTGTCAGCTAAGTTCACATAACACGAGATTTTCGCAAAAGAGAATGCAGTTTATGGATAAATATCTCGATTTTGCACTGAGCAGGTCATTTCTGAGAAACGGGCTTTCTCCACTAAGTTGTCATGAATAATCCAAAGAATGAAACAAATATATTGTAAAAGAAGGTTTGGTTGCTGAAAAAAAAAGACAAAGAGAGGACTTTTTCCACACCAGCTCATGAAGATATTTTTCTACTAGAGCTGATTGCTACAGATAAAACTTGCACAAAAATAGGCTAAAACCATAGTGATCAACTTCCAACCAGTTAGGCCTATATTACTTGTTTTTCAAAATATCATAATCTTTTTTTGTCAGTATTTAAGGGGTTGGCGAATACATTTCACACCTGATGAGCCGGAAATTAAAGTTGAAATCTACATTTGGAACGAAGAGACTAGAAGCACCCTTTAGCAAAGCAACTCGAACTGAGTCTGGTGTGGTTATGAACATGGCCACGGGGCAGGGAAAACCCCCACACGAAAACAGTTTAGTAAGCCCGGGTTATCATGTTCAAGTATATTATGTATATACCACATGCTATCTAGAGGTTATATGTCAGTGATGGTCTCAGTATGTGGTGGTATTATGCATGATGGCATGTGACTATAATGTATTGGACAACATTACAGGGTTGTTGGAAATTTCACAAGAAAGGGATAGCCTATACATATTATATGCGGCTCGCAAAAAAAAAAACTAGCTGGTTATACAGGGTGAGTAAAAAAGAAGAAGAAACCCAAATGTCGGCACCATTGTTTAAGTGAAGTTCTGCTTGAGCACTTTCAAAATCAAGGATATGAAAGCCCAATTCATAAGCTTTCTTTTAGTACAAGAACCATTCAAATCACTTATGTACTTTTCAAGTTACAGAATTTTAAATACAACCACCGTTTTAAAGTTCTGTCCACGGATCACAAGAAGGCAAGTGTTCTTTCAGCAAAACGAAAACAAGTCACGTAGGGATGTGCGTTAATTGTTTTGGTTGAAAATGAATCATTTATTAAATGATTCCTTTCCATTCCTTCTCGCGGGTAGCAATTTGAGGAAATTACAGCCATACTTATAAAGGCTTCATTGGAACTTTTGTTTTAAATTTGTTTTAAGGTTTAAAATTCTGTCTTTTCTCAAAGGAGCTCTTAGTTTTAACCGTGCGTATTATACGCAATGAATTCTTAAACCGATTTTGCGAAAGCTATGTGGCAAATAGTCCGTGTTCTTCAAAATAAAAAATTAAATCCATGCATGAAATGCATTTTAATTCGCTTAGAATTAATTACATCGATTTGCCGGTGGGCATCCTATAACTATCGTAGCCTGTTCATAATTGGCAATTCATACTTGCCCTGCTTGTTATAGACAAACAAAGCCCAACATAGAACCCTTTTGTCATGTGAATGATGCTCATGTTCACGGTAGTATATATTTACATATGCATACTGGGCATGTCGAAGGTGTAGGAGGCGGCCATATTGGTTTCAGTCTCTGATAACCGCGCTTATTCCCTTGTTCCAACGGGCATTTCAAAAGACGGGAAATCTGTAAATACAGCACCTTATGTCTGAAAGGAAAAAGAACACACACAAAGCAAGGTCAGATGTAATTGCTTAGGGAGACGGATCGTTTAGACGTTGCGAGTCTCCTCACAATGCATTAACCCTTGATGGCGTTGCCATGGGCACCACCATCAGCACGAGCATCGCTGTAGCTCATAGTCCATCCTCTGTGCATCGTGATCAGTACATGTATTATAGTCACGTTATGTCTTATGCGTTGATGTATCTTACTATTTTGATTTTTACTTTTGAACAGATACCCTAAACAGTTTAAACGGAGTGGACACTGAAGCGAAAGGATCTCGCGACGGACGACGTTTCATTTACAACCAAATCGAGGCGACCAATTCACACTTCGCAGCTTCGAATTTACGGGAGATATCAGGTTGTGAGATGTTGTAGCAAATGTGGAAATATAAGTCTGAGAAACGTAACACAGTGTTGATTCAGCAGGAAAGAAAATTGACAGCTTGCTGTGATGGAAGCGGAATAATATTACCATTTTATTAGCATCTTCTTTCTCCTGGACACGAAACGGAATCGACATGATGCACTTTGCATAATCGATCTACCATACTGGAGCCGAGATAACAAAAACAAAGAGTTACTCGCGAAACGCTGGCTTCGGAATAAGCCCACTAGTACGCTCCGAGCGGCTTCTGAGTTGAGTACCAACTCGACGCCAGGGACGTATTACAAGCCATTGCAAAAATACAAAATGGCGTTTAGGTTCAAAGTGACCAGGTCTGTAAAGGCAGTAATGGGAGTAGCGTTACTCGTCTACATCGGAACTTTTTTAGTCGGCATGATGGCAAGAATGCATAAACCCACATTCCCTTGGACTTCAGATAAAGACGATTATGCTGCTTGGAGAGAAACTGTTGCCAGCCACGACGCAATATTGGATTCGAAAAATAAGGAAAACAGCCTGGCGGGAAGAAGGCCGCAGGCGCCCAACCGGACGCTAGTGGAAAAGTTGGGGATAAGGACGGGGTACCAGACAGAGAAAGTGAAGAAGGAGGAACGTAAAACTGTGGTACGTTGACATGAACAATTTGATCAAACGCGCGTTTGGCACTTCAAAATGGACAAAACGTGCGCGCCAAATTTTGTACACCAACAAATGTACGGTCATCATTAGGTAACCGAAAATGGTTATTTAATTCCTTGTATACGACCCTTTATATTCATTGTTTTGTACAAAAATGTACTCATTGAAAGTCTTTTCGGTTAGTATACTATATCCTGACAGTGAGCGGGATTTAACATCACATGTTCTGAAAAAAACACATTTTTTTTCAGTATTTTGTCACTAATTCACATAATTATTATAGTCACTTCAGCATCCTTTGTTTAATTTTGTTTGACATCTCTGCACTATATATAGCCATGCCCAAAGACAGTCGCATCCCTCGCCAAATATTCCAAATGGTTCAAGGAAAGATATCGGCAGGACGTCAAGTTATTCCTAGACAAAGATGACATTAATAACTACGACAATCTCTCGGCCAGTGGGCTCCCCTTTGGATTCAGAAGACAAAACAAGACAGGTAGGGCACAGTGCAATCTTCTGCTAGTTTATATTAACTTGGTTGATCTGGCGACCACGATTGGAAGACATTTTTGCGGTGGCTTTGCGCTTGGCTCGATCGCAGCTGGTCGCACGCGCGCGCTCAATGCTAGACCAATGATATCTCATCTTACCAAAACGCTTGACACAATATACGTGTTCTACATTCCTCCGATGACCGACACACAAAGGGAGAACAACAGATCCTTTCAGTCCTCGGGAGTTGGGTCTTTTGTTGGAAATGGTCCTCTGTAGTAAGTTTGTGGCCTTAGTCTAAGGAAGAGTGTTATATTAAAGGGACAAACGGAAACACAAAGCATTGTCCTCGAGATTATAGTAAAACAAGACTGGGTGCGCACGAGTGTGCATCCCAGTCATGACTTTTAATTGTAATTGTGGTTTTTTTTATGAGAGTTACTGCTGTTTGTCACTAGTTTTCGTCCGAGAATTTATTTATTATGAGATGTATACCATTTCTGTTTTTGTTTCAGTTATCAGCCAAATTTTACAGCATAAAGACTTTTCCAATCCTCCCGTGCACGGAGCTAGCGGTAAGCAAGGCTGCATCCGGTGTGCTGTGGTGGGATGTGGTGGCATCCTGAACGGCTCAGAGGCCGGTGAAGAAATAGACGGCCATGATTACATCTTTAGGTACGGTGTGACTAGAACAGAATCCCAATCACAATTCGTTTTGCTCCCTCCATATTATTGATTCTGATCCTGAAATCAAAAGGTCCGTCCAAAATTGCATCGGCACTGCTAGTTCGAAGGCCTTATGAAACCATCTGAGAGAAGACAGTGAATTTATTCAGTTTCAAAAGGTGGGAGGAAAACACAGAAAAACTCGCAATTCACAAGTTGGCCTGGACGGGATTCGAACCCGGGTCACAGTGGTGTGAGACCTAAAACGTACCACTACCTGCTTCCTCATCTTGGTTTTGGTTCTTAAGCGTGTAAACATTGTTTAATTGTGGTGTTTTTTTTAGAATTTGTAGGGCTCAATTTGTTTCCTTTCTTAGTCTCATCACTTTACGTATAAAGTCCTGAAATCTCGATTTCGACAGGGCCGGGTCTCAAGCCTAAAATTAAGTTTTAGTTTTGCATCAAATAAAAACGAATTGAGTCTTCGTCTTGTCAGCGTTGTTTCTTCGAAATTCAACTTTTCTTCGTCTACTTCCATGATGATGAAAGTTTATGATGGGCCTATAGAGAAAGTGCAGTGTTCAGAGTTGGTCTTATTTAAGACTGAAACCGCCTTGACATTTTCTTCTTGTTTTGTCTTGTAGACTCAACAGGGCGTTGTCAGCAGGAAAATTTGCCAAAGATGTCGGTAAACGCACGACGTTCTACACTTTCTTCCCTGAGTCACAGCATCTGACTGACGTGGAAGACAAGGTGACCTTTAGCTATGCTGTTTTTTTTTTCTTATTTACAAATGAAATTACAGAAAGGCCATGCAATATTTCAAGCACTGCGTATTACCAGTATGTACACCAAATGAGAAAATTACATTGTGTAGGTCGATACATAGCCTTACCAAATCAATGATATCTCTGGTTTGCAAATTTGGATTTTCTTGATTTTTTCACCAATTATAAACCAGACCATAGGCTTGAAAATGCTATAAAAGAATGGTTAGCTAGTCTAACCAACTTTTGAGAAAATCAGCGATTTATTCATGCACAATGTGTATTGGGACACCCTGTATTTCTCTCATGTAATGCCGTAGACAATGAATTAAGATTGCTTCTTCACAGTTTGGCCTACACGCAAAAATATTATATTAAAACTTTGAAGAGAACTCCGGCAGTAAATTCTCGCATTTTCAACTCGAACAAAAAATGACGAGAAATTGTTGACTTTAATTTGGAATTCGCCAACGGTTGGCTTTCGTGGGATATTGTATAGGAATGAAAGACATCTGTTGCAGTCAATATCTAAATGACGAAAACAATTTGTAAAACCTTTCACATTACGTTCATTTTAACCAGATGTTAGATATTGATTACTAAAGCGAGTTAGCTTTTTTTCTGTCTGCGGCAAAATGCTCTTTTTTTTTTAAGTCGATACAGAAAATGTTTTGCCGTAGGTGTTGTATGGGAGATGATAGCACGTGTCATGCCTTTATACCTAATCACATTTTTAATCAAAAATTTTGCGCCAAGGACAACACGCAGAATAAACAAGAAAAAAAGTAGGTCACGAATGCCTCTGAATAGATCAATAGATATTAGTGAATAAAAAAGATTAAATTACTTAAACAATCTTATAACTTAGGACTTTGCATTAATTAATTTTTAAAAGTGACATAAGTAGGCCTAATTGTGTCTCAATAAAAAGTTTCGCTAAGACAGTTCTATCCTTCGGCAGCTTTTGCGAGAATTATTCAAAATGCATTGTAACCACTACTTTCATAATACCAAGGTCAAGTGCATCCACCACCTGAAAAACCGTTCCCAGTCGTTAAGGCTGTTTCATTTCTCTAAATTAATTTCAAGTGGAATTTTCAAGTGGAATTTTCCACTTGATGGTTGATACAGCAGCTATTTTCATGCACTAGACATGACACGATCTGTTTGCAACGCGTGATGGGCGATCGATTTTTTTACATGGAATTTCCTGCGTTGCAGTGAATATTAGCCATGTGTTTTGCGCTATATATAGCTGCTGATAGCCAACTGATAGCAAAACTGATAGCAAACCTGAGGAACAGTATTCCTATACATTGGTAAAACGAACGACGACACACTGCTGTTTTTTTTGTACAATTTTAATGCTTGTCTTGGTTTCTCATGATTGTTTTTGTTTTGCTCTATTGGATAAATTCCTCCACAATTCTCCTTTCCCCAGCCCTCTCCTGCACAGTTGGTTTTGTTGCTTCTCTTTCCATGTTCTATCTTACCCTTCCCCTTCCCATTGGCCCTGTTTAACCCTCCCCTTCCTGTTTTGTTTATTTGTTTGTTTGTTTTTCAACCCCCCCCCCCCCCTCTGCGGCCTCCTACCCTTGTCTCACTCCCTCTGTGGTACTGCCCGGTTCTTCAATCCACTTCCTTTTCTTGCCTCCTCTGCCATGCCCATTTCTTGAATCCCATTATACTCCCTTGGACCTTTCCTCCCTTGTGCAATGTTGGTATTTTTAATTGTTTTGTGTTTGGTCTGTGTTATGCGTCTGTCATTGTCCAGGGTTGGAGAGACACGCCCTATTGGCGACAGTGTTTCGTTTCATTTTTGTTCTTCTCCTTGGCAGCCCTGCACTGTCCACGCTCGTCTTTCGTGTGTAGTGTTTACTTGGTTTCTTATTGTTTGTATTCTTTTGTTTTAATATAGAATTTTATGTATGTATTGTAATTGTGATTTTGCCGAATGAAATATTATTATTATTATTATGAACGATGAATTGATTTTTTGTCTATTTCTAGAATGCTCTGTTTTTCTTCACGCTATTCAAAGCTTACGATGCCGACTACGCACTAAACATGATGAACGGCGACGATCCACCAAAGTACGTGAGCAGAGGGAAAACCTAGTGAGTAGGCCCCCTCCCCCCCCAAAAAAAATGGCTTCACCCGAAAAGGGCCGGGGCGAAATCCCTACTCCCCCCCCCCTCAATTTTTTTTTCCGCGATGGCCTTTTTTCGCGACCCGAGCTGTTCTGACTTTTTAGCCTCGATTCTTGCGCATCTTTTGATACCAAAGACATAAAATTCGGACTATGGGTTGTCGCGCAGCGAAATATTTTCCGGCGCTACGCGGCCGTAAAAACTGAATTTCCCCATATTCGTCATGTACACAAAGCAGAATTACCATTCGTGCATATGAATAATTAATTAGCCATAATTCCAAAACCCTTTGACCTAGCTATAGTCTTGAAATGTCTTGGGTATGTTCATGATAAGTGGTTATATGCATGTACTAAGTTTGATAATTTTCCGTCACTCGATGGCTGAGATCTTAGGGAAGGGGGCGGAATCCGCCCCCGGCTGAGAGATGGTCAAAATAACCCGGCCCTTTTAGGGTTCCAAGAGGCCATGAAATATACATCCAATTTTTTTGTCTGTAGGCCCTATATGAACTAGAAAGCACTTAGAGAGCGCACACCTCCGCCATGGCTAACAATTTCCCCGCCAGTGTACACAGCACCAATGCACAAAATGTGGTTTATAAAAAGTCAAAATCCTTCAACTCAAACATTTGTATCTGTGTTGGTCTATCTTTTCACTCCCCTATGTTATAAAATGGTGTAGTCCATTGAGCTGTGTGGTTAGATTATAGGTGGGTGAAAAGGCATACAGGGTCACCGGCACACGAACTGGTCACACAGAGCGATCTGGTGAAAGTATTTCATATGATATGGTGAAAATCCTTTTAAAAAAAATCCTGCATCCAGACGCAGATCCGGATCTCTTCCATGAACCTCAAATGTAGGTCATAATTATAATAGATTTTCTATTATTTTAATTAAAAATGGGCTCCCTTCTGATTTCTCTTAAATGTTTTGCTCTCCTTTTGTTGCAGTAAAGTGAGGAAACCCATCTTGGATCCCAAGAAGGTGAAGTTTGTTCACCCGGCTTTCTTCACCTACGTCTTCAAGACTTTCTTAGACAGCAAAGCCTACAGACCGACCACAGGTAAATTGTTTGGTTTTTTTTTAGCTACGGGATGGCAGCTTAACAAATCATCATGTCTCTCCATTAGTTAGTAAGTTAGTTAGTTTGTTAGTTTATGGTTGGTTATAGTTAGTAACAAACGTTGACTTTGTCTACTGCTCCTACAGATTTTCCAGATTTTGCCCAAACTTTGTCAAGGGTATCAGTGGCTCAGCCCCAACATGTCACATGATGACCAAACCGGGGTCAAAGGTCATCATGGGGTCACTGGGGTCAAAACCCTGATTTATTCAATCAAAAAGGCCTGACAAGTGAGGGCGCCCTGTTGAACAATGAGCAGATTAATGCACTGTCCCTCGTTCTTAATTACTTTCAGGTGCACTTGTGGTATTCCTAGCCCTTCACATCTGCGACGAGATTACCATCTATGGCTTTGGCTACGACCCCCGTTTTACCATGCACTACTATGACACCAAATTCGTCGTTCACACAAACGCTTCCACTGGTTCGCACGATGTTGACAACGAGAGGAAACTGTGGCATAAACTACACGAGGAAGGCGTGATCAGACTATTCAAAAGAGACGTGTGACACCGAAGGGGGGAGGCTTGGTACTAGACACGAAAATCTCTAACCGGCCGGCCCCCAATCTTGCCTTTAATAGGCCGGCCAAAGAGATTTTGATGAAATTATTTTTCGGATTCCTCTGACGATTTCGAAATTTTGACACCTTGAATGCTACCGTGATCTTCCAATAATTTATTTTAAGAGAATTTACTCAACAAATTGTGCCTTGAGGAATAGACCTTTATGTCGCCGACGCGTGGTTGCACATTGCCAACCACGGGTTGCAAAACTATGGAAGGTCCAACGGTGCAAAAATGAAGGATAGTTATTAGTGATTACAAAAATAGTATTTGATTGTTTACAGTACAAAATTATCAACAAACGCAACAAAATACTTCCTAAACATGCCTTTTTCTCATGTAATGAAGTGTTATGAAGACTTTTTTGGAAAAATATGTAGCCAACCACGGCTTCAATATTTGCGCTTGCGGCAGCCACACAAAATGGCGCTCAATGTTTATAATAGAAAGGTCTATGTGTTTGAATGTGAACAATTTAAATGTATACGGCAATAGACTGGAGACATGCCGCTGCAGTCCTGTATAGAAAATGGGAACTGACACCAGGTACACGATTGCATTGGCAGCTGGCATGGCGACGACCTTAATAACTGGTTCCATGCGCTGTTCTTCAGTGCTTCACAACGGAATAGAACAGGTTACCAGCTGATGGGGTGGTCGTCAAGGTACCAACCTACCTTTTTTGAATGAAAAAGCCAGTCGGCGGCAAAATTCACCATGATGACGTCATAACCTTTGAACTTGTCTGGCGCCCTCACTATAGAAAACCACCGGAGCATCGGAGCTGCACCGTCACAATTATTTGAAAAGTCAGGATAACTTAAAATGATTTTAGCTATCAAATGTTCTTGGACATTTTTAATAACCAATGTATGTGTATATATTAGCCATGAAAACTACGGTGTCCTAGTGAGGGCCCTCAAGCATGCACCTGCTCCATGTGTGCTAAGAAATAAATCAATTTTGATGGTATCAAGCTTGTGAATGTATGGTCTAATTAGTTAATGAAGTGAAATCGCCAGAAACTAGAAAATTCCTTTCATTTCAGTCCAATAATTGGTGGCCTCGCCCTTTTGGCATAATTGAAATGGCAATGAATCATGCCACGCCCTTTAAATAAAATCGTTTCTCTTCATGAACGAACAAACGTGTCTTTTTAGATAAAAAGCCCCACCCTAATACATGTTATTAATATTTTCCTCACTATTTCTCGGACAGTATACCAAATATACACCCGATATAGTCGAAATCCCAATAAGAAATTTACACTCTTAACACAAAATTCCATCTAAAAGTATAGCCTATAGCGCATAAATTATCCTTCATTGTTGACTTTGACTTTAAAAAGGAAACACCTTGAAAATCAACTATCGCTCTCCCACCCTATACACGTCACCAATGTGAAGGGTCGTGTATATACGACAACAATGCACCGCGACAAAATACCCTATTCATAAATTGCTGGTCCCACTTTCCGCGCCAATGACTTTGAGTAAAGGACACGGATTTTTGGTTTTCTTTACCGTAAAGTTGAACTTTGGGGTCAATCGTAAATGGTGTAAGCACTTCTGTAGTGTTGCCATAATAGGTTTCAGTCTTTCGTTGTTTGGTACGTGATCACACCCAGTCAAATAATACACGTTATTCAGACCATGTTACATGAACTTGGTAAACATTGTACTTTGTTCGAGGAACCATTGCGCAGTATTCCAGCACTAGTAAGGATGGATTTTTATTAGATGGACTTAGCCCCGACTGACTGCACCATGAAGATTCTAAACTCATCTGTAAAAAGGTAAATTTTGGTCTGTTAATTGTGTGGTTTAGCGGGTGAACGTTGTGTGAAACGGCGAGAGAATTTTGTGCGTATAGGCTAGGAAACGGTGCTTAGTTTTCCTGGGGAATGGAACTTTATTTTCACAAACAATAAATTATACTATCTAGACAAGTACAAGTCAATCGCAAGTCACAAGTACGAACAGTGGCAAAGGAAGGCAATGGTTGTTGTTTATTTGAGTAGCTTGTTTGGTTGATTTGAGACTTGTGAAGCCTAGGGGTCCAACCCAGTAAATAGGCCCAAACATCCGTCTGCCTAGCGCATGAGTAAAAGGTATACACTCAAATTATTCTATATTAGGGAGTTCTGAGAGCCATGGAATTGGGGAATTGAAGACATAATGGCACTGCACCTTTGGCCTGGACTTGGGGCTTCCAATTCTGAGTATTTTGGATGCAATTGGGTCCGAAAGTGGCGCTATATAGCCATGCTGTAGAGGGACCTTTTTTTTTTTTTAAATGGTTGCCTTTCCAGCTTTAGAAGCATCATTGGTTTTAGGGGTGGTCTTCTTCGGGTAAGAATTTCTCCAAAAAGTCAATCAATTGACCATTGTGTGTTGGAGGAAACATGTAAGTGTCGTGCAACATTAATGGCTAAACAACTGACCCTGAAACAGGTCTATTCTGAGATATTCTCCCGTTTTACAAACTGAACAGAATAATCACCAAAAACCAAACAATGTAAGGGCAAACAATGACATTGTTAGTTTTGAAAGCTTACAAACGTTAATTTTCCCGAACATTTTAGACAAAGGACAACCGTTTCATGTCAATTTCTGCTGTCATTCATTTAAAAGAATCTTCATTCTTTATAAGTTGAGATTTCAAAGTGGTTGGATGAGTTTGTGTGTGATTCACCTCAATTTTGTTTGATGAGTTTTTCCTATAATTCCTCAAAAACGGCAAATATTTGGAAAGCAAACACGTTTTAAAAGTCGAATTGTAGATAATGATCAGGCTGTTACAAAGCACATTGAACAACAAGCATTCATTTTGGGGCGTTAAGTAATACGAAGTTTGATGTATGTTAATTTGTGCATAGTCGCACTGGCTCTGCGAAGAACGCCATTACAAAGTCGCTCCACTGTACCGAGAAATGATGAAGCAATGCATTACTTATTCGCCACTGTAGCCATGACGTCACTCAGAGGTCATGATCAGCAATTTGCCATGGCGACCGGTTCACGCCTATTGTTTCACGGTGAATTGTGTAAAATGGCCGCGTACATCTGTTGATAAAAACCCATGTTTGTATCATTTTTTGTCGTCTGGTTTCGGGGGGGGGGGGGAGCTAGTCTGCCTGTGATTATAGCCCTTGGAGAAAATGTGCATGGGTCAAGTTTATGATATGCATGCCTGATCTAAGTTGATGTCTCGTTTTCGCCTTGTCTGATTGTCATGTAACGATGGCATTTTGGTACTGCTTTTTCAGCCTAAAGCTAGCATCGTATTTAGCCGAGGCCTGAGTCCGTTGTAGATCTTGGAACCTTATCGCGTAGGCGGAGAGTGAGGCGTGGAACTAGATCTGTAGCTGTTGAGATACAGTGAATCATTTTGGACATCATGGCAGTGAATAAATCAAGAGCCAGGCTCCAGTCCACAATGGTCAACGTATTGTTCTGCTACGCAGCATTCACGGTGACTGGTGTGGTCACTTGGGTACACCTTCACACACAAACCGTCAGACAGCAGGTGCCCCAGCATTCCCTATTGCCCAAACTGTCAGATTTCAAACCCGACCCTGGCATTCTGGACCAGGATCTGCCCCTTGAGAATTCGTTGGAGAAGGCAGGGAACCAGACTGAGAATTCATTGGAGAAGGCAGGGAACCAGACTGAGATTCTGAAACCAGCCAATCGTCAGGAACATCAGCAGAAGCAGCAAGTCATTGAGCAGCAACAGAAACAAGAGAACAGACATGAAACGGAGCAAACGAACAAGGCGGTACGTACGACATGTTTAGCTTAAGCATATAAACGACTTTCGAATAATGTCTGTTGTTCGGTTTCCAGAAAGTAACTGTATATATAAAGAATCATTTATAAAAGTTGGAACCAGGCGTCAATGGAAACCAATATAGGGCCATCACAGATTTGCCCTTTGATAAAAATATAGGTAGAATAACAAGCAATGGCAGCCATTTTGACAATTTTGGAAATTGCTTGTTATTCAACCTGTATTTTTTTCAAAGTACAAATCTGCAATGGCCCTATAGCTAAAACGTTTCTCTGGGGTATGTGCTTACTGTGTGCCAACTTTCATGCTTTGAGCAATTCTACCATATTTTGCACCAATCTGCTGCCATCTAGTGTTTCAGTTTTTAAAATCCATGAAATTGTCCCACGAACGATACCTCATGGATTTTTATCGAAGACTGCATGATGATCATACATATCACTCTAAAAACTGAAGTGTTTAATCCATCACTAATATAGATTCGGTCAGTGACCACCCTTTGAAAGTGTCGGTTGAATCCTGCATTTTAAATGTTGATTCCAGCATTTTAAATGTTAAATCCAATTGAAGTGTTAATTTAACATTTTTTCAAAGTGTTTACTGAAGTGTTATATCCAACACTTACACATCAGGTTCGGTCAGTGACCGCACTTTGAAAGTGTTGAATCAACATTTAAAATGTTGAATTATCAGTTTAAGTGTTGGATTTAACATTTCAAATGATGAATTCAACACTTTTAAAGTGTGGTCATTGACCGAATCTATGCAACAGTTTGATTCAACTTACTTCAGTTTTATGAATAGTTTAAGTGCGGTACCCGTTGCTACATCAGATTCGAACCAGCCAACCGATCCTGCAACCTCGGTGGTCGAGTGGTAAGACGTCTGCACTAGAAAGCAGGAGGTCGTGGATTCGAGTCCCACCCGAGTGATTTTTTCCAACCTTCACTCGGGACGCAACACGCTGAATATACAATGTTTATACGTCGGAAAAGCGCTAAACCAAATATTGATTTACATCACCCGACGCAAATTCCATCTTATGAATACTTCAGTGTTAGCTATTATTTGTAATCAGTTGGCAATTCTGTTTGCAGAAATGCACCAAAACGATAGCTTCTTTGGCCAAATACTCCAAGTGGTTCCGCGACAGGTTCAAGCCCAAAACCAAGCTGTTTATGGACAAGAATGACCTCAAAGACCTCCGAAGATTGTCGACTCGAATACTGCCGAATGGGCTGAGAGGTCAAAAGCAGATAAGTAAGAACGAAATTCAGTATTTGTTTTCGTAATCGCTCTTGGCTCGTCGGCTCTGTCGCCATCTTGCTGAATTTTGTTTCTCATATTTTTGTTCTTTTCAACATTGTCACTGTATTTTCACATTCACTGCTCAATTAGGATAGGGCATGCAATAAGGGCCTTGTCTTTTATGCAAATAAGTCTTACATATTCATGAGTAAATTCGGATTTCCCAGCCATCATAAGCTAAACCCTCTTTTATAAGTGTGTAAGTTATTCTTTTATGACCAACATCTTCCTCTTGTCACCTTTTACCTTCCAAGCGATGAATGATATTTTGCTTCATAAAAACTTCACCAACCCTCCAGTCCACGGTCCGAGCAAGAAGCCGGGCTGTGTCAGCTGTGCCGTGGTCGGCTCGGGAGGGATCCTGAACGGTTCTCTGGCCGGCCAGGAAATCGACAGTCACGACTACGTTTTCAGGTATCGAAAGCGGTTTTTTTGATCGGTTTTTTTTATTTATGCTCGGACAGGAGCTTCTAAATGTCACTTGGTGGTCGGTCTGTCTGTCTGTCTGTCTGTCGGTCGGTCGGTCGGGCTGTCTGTCAATTGAAACACATCCCTGTGATTCGTTTTCGCTTTGCTGAAAGAACGCACACCTTTTATTGTGATCCGTGGACAGAACTTTAAAACGGTGGTTGTGTTTAAAATTCCGTAACTTAAAAAGTACATAAGTGACTTGAATGATTTTATACTAAAAGAAAGCTTATGAATTGGGCTTTCATAATATCCTAGATGTTGAAAGTGCTACATGCAGAACTGCACTAAGAAAATGGTCCCGACATTTGGGTTTCGTTTTCTTTTACTCGCCCTGTACTCACACAATTTTACAGAGTCAACCAAGCGCACTCATCAGGGAGGTTCGCCGAGGATGTCGGCCACCGGACTACGTTCTACACCTTCTACCCAGAGTCACAGAACATCAGCAAACAGGGAGATGTAGGCAATTGAGTTTTCTGTCTTAAAACGAATTGGAATTTTTTTAATTTTTAAACACACACACACAAGGGGAGGAGCAACTGTCGGTTTTTATTGAGTCCCCAAAAAGTGCAGCATTCAGAAAACAAATAATTAAAACGGTTTGATTTTTTTGTATTCAATGAAATTATATATTACACAGAAGCCTGACTATTTTTTCAATCCACTCCTTTTTTTTTACTCCTTTCCATTTGGGTCCCTAGATCCAGAAAATACAATCAATGAAGTGAAAGGGTGTAAATTTTTTCCTGGGCCACTCTTACCTGTGACATCACAAACTTCAATGCATATTCAATGCTTAACCTAGATTCAGCGTGTCAAGGTGAGAGTGGCCCAAATAAAATTTACACCTTTTGACTTAATCGATTGTATTTCTGGATCTAGGGACCCAGATGGAATTGGGTAAAAAGGAATGTATTGAGAAATAGTCAGGCTTTAATGTAATATGTAATCTCATTGAAGAAAAAAATCATTAAACAGTTGTAATTATTTGTTTTCTGAATGTTGCACTTTCTTGGCACACTCCGTATGAGCAAAACCACAAAGGGAAAATGCATCTTTAAGCGACAGTACAAAAATAGGACATTAAAATGCTCCCTGAAAATTATCCTATTGCTCTAACATCCAGGGTTCGACCTCAACTTTTGTTCACTAGCCAGCCGGGCTACTGAAACGGACTCTTAACTAGCCCGCGGGCATTTTCACTATAGCCCGCATGTTTTTCTTATATAGAGAGTCTCATCAACAACAATGTGCATACATGAAAACTTGTATCCTGATGCAATGTTGTCTGTGGTTTTAAATAGATCCAATAATTTTACCCTGAACAGTTACTAAAAATTAGACACAAATTGATACAGGTTTGCTTTCTGAATTTAATGATTTATTTCTTCCTGTCCTTTCATCTTTGCCGCAGCCCAATAATTTTTGACTCGCCAGCCGGGCTACTTAAGGAATAGTTTGACTATCCCGCCGCTGTTTTGACTGGCATTTGGCTAGCGGGCTAGCGCTAAAGTCAAACCCTGCACATCCTGTCTGCATTTCTATGCTATCATTTCATTTTTGTTGTATCTTGCCAGGATGTAATTGCTTTCTACGCCATGTTCAAATCTTACGATGTGCAGTACGCCTTGCGAATTTTAAATGGAGAAAACTACACAAATGGTGTGAGCAAAATCCTGAAAAAGTAAGTGCACCATAAAGAAATATAATTGTCTAATCTAAGAATAATTAAAGATTACATTTATTTGGCTTTGATATGCTTCTATTTTTGTATTCAAACAACACGCATGCGCACACAAAGATTTGCCGATTTTTGGCGTCGGGTTCAAAGTTCACCCTAATTGCAGAACCATAAGGAGTACTAATACAATTGAAGAAACATTTCTTTCTTGAGAAGTCCAAGTGAGTTCGTTTTCCAAAAACTATTTGACTTCATCCTTTTTGCAGACTTGTTATACTCCAAATTATATAAGAACTGTTCTGTTTTCATCTTTTTAGCTGCGGGATAGCAGCTCAACAAATCATCATGTCTCTCTGTTGGTTAGTTAGTTAGTAACAAACGTTGACATTGTCTATTGCACCTACATTATTTGACCGGTTTCAAACAAACTTTGTCAAACGTGTCAGTAGCCCAGCCTCAAGATGTCACATGACCAACGGGGTCACTGCGGTCATAAATCTGATTTTTTTCTTTATTCAAAACACTACTCCTTCCAGAAATTACATGGCACAATCACGTGACTCATGCATGAACACAAATTCGTTGGCCCGCAGCTTCAAAGGTATTTCCGATCCAGCTCGTTTTACTACAGTGATTGCAGATTTGGTTAAAATAGCTGCCATAGACTTGTATTCACGTATCCACCTTCTTTATTTACTCCATGTTCAATAGAACCTTAATGCGCATGCATTTGCAGCTGAAAAAGCGAATTGCCCGTGCAAGGCTACAATAAAATTGTATAGCCATTTCTATTCCTTGATCGAGGGCGAATCAGGCTCGTTCATGCGTGATGTTTGTTGACAACCAGCTGAAGTTGAGGTCGGGTCATACAGGCTATTTGGATTATTGTGCTAGACTCTCGCGGCTTGGGTTTGAATGGATATTTGTTAAACCAATGAAGAATATGCACGAACCCAATAACAGGGTCAGGGTAGATTTAGAATTTAGAAAATGAAACCATTGTGTAGTAGCGGTAGTAGGGGGCAGACAGGGGAAATATTTGGGGGAATTGTGCCTTTGATGATACAAGTATGGCATTTGGCGCACAGTCAGAGTATGTCATGAGAAAGACATTTGGCTATAGGGCCATCACAGATTTGTCTTGAAAGAAAATATTGGTAGAATAACAAGCATTTTTCAAAATGTTAAGAATTTTCAAAATGGCTGCCATTGCTTGTTATTCTACCTATATTTTTTTTTCAAAGGACATCTGCGATGGCCCTATAGCAAAATATCTTTCTCATGAAATACTCTGACTGTGCGCCAAATGCCATGCTTGTATTATCAAAGGCACAATCTCATCACATATGTGCCGTTCTAAGCAACAGAAACTACAGAAGCAGCGAGAAAGCAAGTAAGGTGGGCAATATCACTGGGAAATAAAACATACCTAATCTATCTATACTGCATCATGCGTTTATACTGGAAATAGGTTCGTTACACTAGAAATAGCTTGGTTTATATGATGTTAGTTTGTAAAAAGGGGAGAGTGTGGCCGAGTGGTTTGGTTTGTGACTCGTGATCAGAAAGTCCGGGGTTCGAGTCCTCCTGCTGGCCATAAGTTGTTCCCTCGGGCAAGCCACTTTACCTCCACTATACACTCTCTCCACACATGGGTATAAATGGGTACCAGCATTAGCTGGGGGAGTATAACCTGCGATGGTTGTTTTGCCTGTTGACACGCATACATGACGTCACACATTGCATGCCTCTGCACAAATCAATCGTTCAACAAAAGTCTTTGTTGTCTGAAAAACAAATTCAGTGGAGAATTGAATGTGACATTGCCGGTTATGCCCAACCTATTCAGGGCTAGGCTTGGAATCTATTTACGGGTTTTGTGTATGAATGCGGATTAACCAGTTTCTCTACTATCAACTCTGTCCATTTTTATTTCTTGACAGTGGAACAAAATCCAGTGACATAGATCCGAAGAGGTTAAAGCTAATTCATCCGGGATTTTTCTTATACATCACCAACGAGTTTTTGGCCAAAAAATTCCGGCCGACAACAGGTACTTAACTCATCCTTGTGATCTTTCCTGTGTTATACAAAAATATTTGTTATTGAACTTGTTCAAATACGCCACAAAGGGCAACTGACTATAGGTGCATTATAATATTATCTTTTTGGTAAGAGTTGCACAAAGAAATTGACTTGAACCTGCGACCTCCGTATTACCGTTGTGGTGCTCTACCAACTGAGCTATCCATAAATTCATCAATATCCTTGTTCAAAGGGGGATGTATAGTCAGAAGCCGTAAACCCGCACTGTGCTATGTAGCCAGGGATCACGCCCAAGTCACGATGCTATCATAAGCAATGTTGCAAACCCGGGAAATAACAAACGGGGATCACTCATAAAGGATGCGGATTGTTATTACAATGTTCAAAACACGCCACAAAAAGGAAACTGACTGTGTACATTATAACACTTAACTTGTTTGACACAAGTATTGCACACATGCATATCAGCCTCGACTCCATGGGCGCATGCGCGTATAAGATCGCGCAAGGCATGATGGGAACCAACATGGCGCAGCAAGATCGTACCCATGGAAACGAGGTTGCATGCGTATCACAGCCAGAGGAGCAAAGACCTGTCCTCAGCGTGAGGGTGCCCTGTGCTTGGCGTTTATTGTCAAACAAACTAACCCTTTCCTCGTTCCCAACAGGGGCCCTAAACGTCTTCATAGCCCTTCACATCTGTGACGATGTTAGGGTCTACGGCTTCGGCTACGACCTGAGATACAGCCTTCACTACTACGACAAAGAGTTCATCAAGCATCGAGACGCTCTGACTGTGCCTCACAATATAGAGATGGAGAAGAAACTCTGGCTCAAACTCCACGATGAGGGCGCTATTAAATTATTCAAGAGAGATTTATGATTCTCAGACAAATACTGTATAACACCATGTGTAGTCAGAACTACTACTTTTGCAAACGTCTGCTGTAAAGAAACCTTCATTGTTTTGAGCATGTAAATGGTCGTTCAAATTACGGACGCAGAGAAAATCTGGCAGCATATTTGTGACAGATGAATATTTAAAGAATCTTGTTTTACATTATGACAGCTTAGGCATTTTTTTGTGTTTCCCTATAAGGGACGTTGTTTTGATTTATTATCATTTTTTACCTGAATGTCGTAACTTTGAACCGCTGAATGATGAAAAATGATTGTGAAATTGCCATTGTGTATATATTTAAAGGGCCCATGCAATGTAACTTTTTTTAATGCAGTGCTCGAAAATGCACCTTTCTGTCCCATTTAACCTTATTTACAATTTTCATTTCAGCGCCTTCTGTGGTTTTATGCTTAAAAGCGAATTTCGATATTTGAGCAAAGTTTGAAGTCATTTCAGGCAGAAACCTCGATGTTACAGCCATTTCGGCATAAAAAGTTGCCAGAATTTTTGATATTTTGCTGTCATAAATTTTCTTTTGTTTGGCGATTCGTTGTTGTTTCAGTACATGGCAGAAAAGTCAATCGGCAAACTTTTCTCACAAATGTTTTCAATGAGTACAAATTTTGGGGTTCGCAATTTGAACAGAGAACCCTTAAACTAAACAGTGTCTTCCTGAAATGACATCACAGCAACAGCGCCCTCATTAGCCAGGAAAGCATGGAACATTTTAAATGTTTAGAGAAGACTTCTTTAGTACACTTTTTAATAAGATAAACCAAAAAGGGATGTTAAATCATGTTAATACATTTTAAGAGGAGTAGAAAGTTGCATAAAATGTGTTCCTAGAAAGAATTCATCACGTGGACCCTTTAAGTATAATGTCTTAGTCTGACCTATTAAGCCTTGCCATAACCAACAGTTAGCCCATTGGCAGAACTGTGAGCCTTTATACCGCCCCAAATCGCCCTGCCTGTTATTACATACCGCGGCCCTAAACCGCCCCAGCACTTCGAGGTATTTATTGCTTTATGGAGGAGTATACAATGTAAGTACAATTTAATAAAAGTGCTAAAGGGTCGCTTGAGTTGTGATTGTAGTTTCCTTGTGTGTTTTGAAGGGGAAAAATTTGAATTACATTCATGGCCAGGCTATTGCCGCCATTTTGCAATAGGCTGGCTGCGGGCAAACATTACCATTGTGATTTTGAATTAAAGAGTTGGAATTCAGACCTATGACGTCATGCATATAATTTGCATACATTACACAGATTTCGGTGTAGGCCTAATGTATGGAAGAATCACCGCCGCTAGTTACCGGACCCCATTTTTGAAGTCCGAAGGACAATGGGGTCAGGGAACCAGACTACTTTGCATAGAGCCCTTCACTGGAGAGGGCGCCCTGGTCTGTTCACCAAACGTTATTTGCAAACGAACATTTTAGTGTTGCTTGTATTTGTTAATTAAAACAACATACTCTTTATTAAAAAAATCGAGGTATAATGCTTAATTGATTAAGATATTGCAACTTGTTTTTTATTTTTCTTAAATAAATAATTCAACAATTTTAAGACAAAGGTTTTTTTCAAATACAATATTATTAAATAGCTTCAATTTTTGATTTAAGTCCGGATAATTGTTAAAAAAACAAAACCTCTGGTGGCCCCTCTCCCCTTTCAACATTATCCTAAAGGTATCATATTGTTATTTTTTGTATTTTGGCATTGCAATATTTACTGTTGTCTGAATTCGCATTTACATCATTGTCAAGATAATAATAGCACGTGACATACTTATAAGAGTGGAATTATCTACAAAAAGGACGTCATCTGGAACAGCGCCCTCTTGTGTCGGTGGAATACCAAAAAGCTCACATGGAGCTTGGACGGGTCATGGTAAAACTTGAAGTTTAAAAGTACAAACTTTCTCAGATAAGAATTCCTTCATTTTCACATTCAGGATGGGACATGTCCGTTTAAGGCCCTCTTACCGTTATATATTGTTGCAAACGACAATATTAAAAGGAGAACGTTTTCATTGTGATGATGGTTGACTGGTTGCCGCCATTTTGACTGTGGTTAATCCTCGTGCACAGGGCTCATTCCATGCCGGAAAACAGCATAACCCGTCGCGGATCATTCACGGTGGCTGGATATTCTCAGGTAAGCTTGGGTGCGATCGTGAACTGGTCGCGACCAAATCTGGGCACCTGTGTACGTTCGACCAAAACGTACCAGGAAGAAATGTGTGCTTTAGGTATTTGCATGTTTTCGATTGTGCTTGAATAACGCGTTAGAACTTGGATAAACTGCGTCAAAAAATGTTTCTGGGTCACATGATTTCATATCAATAAAATGTCTTGGGTTATGACCGCATTAAAAACACGCCCCCTATGGGTCTCTCTTGAACAGTCGAATCACGCCCTCATCGTGCAGTTTCTGCCATAGCTGACGCTCGTTGTCGACGTCATGAGAACCAGTTGATACGTCTGTGTGTTTGACGAAGTTGTTGTCGTAGTAATGCATAGTGAAGCGGGGGTCGTAGCCAAATCCATAGATCGTAACCTCGTCGCAGATGTGAAGGGCTAGGAACACAACCATGGCTCCTGCAAGTGAGCAAACGAGAATCAAAGATTGAGAGTGAAACAATCACATCTTGGAGAGGGCAGTAATAGGCCATCAGCCTGGGGGTTGGTCGGTATTAAATGCGGGGGGAAATGCTCATTGTGATTTTTGGCAAGGTATGCACTCCTGTAGTTGGATAATTACAGTATGTGACAGCATTGCAGCGGTGGCAGCTTTTCAGGTGCTATCACTTTTTTTTAATACGGTCGGCCAAAACATACTTGTTACCATTATAAATAAACCGGGATTCAAGCATATTGGTGGCCATTTTGAGAAAAAAAATTCAAAGTGATAACACCCTCAAAAAATTGCCACCACTCACACTGCAAACCTATCACGCTCTAGATGTGCATACCTTGCCAACATCGCTATTAGCATTGTTCCTTTTTGGTCATTTGATACCGGTGGCCCAAGTTTTGGACCGACGCTTGATAGGTCTCAAGTCAAATTTCGACGGGAAAGTGTTATGCACCGCCTCATGGGGGCGCTCTGGTGGTAACTTTAAAAATCAAAATGCCGTATAAGGCAGACATTTTATTTGTCAACAAAATTGTCTTAGTACCTGTCGTAGGTCTGTAGGCGACTGCATCAAGATAACCAGCGAAGGTGTAACGGAAGAAATCGGGATGGACGATTTTTAATTTGGCGGGGTCCACGTTGGGCTGTCGAAGAGCTCTAAATTGAAGGAAAAGAAATTGGAAACTTGCAATAAAAAAGTGATATCACCATGGCAGTATTTGGTCGAGAGGGCGCCCTACATCTTCAGCCCTTGCACTGACTACGGCAAAACACATGACGCAGATGTAAGCAACCATAATAGTAATCACACATCCAGACTGTACATAACAGCAGTCTTGAGATTAGCTTAATTTTTATCAGACATTTATGTTAAAAGTTGAGCCAAAAGACCATAGATATTGTGTAATTTTTATAATTATGTAAATTTACTCACATTTTTTGTCCGCCAGAAGCGTATTCTGGTGGTTTTTCTCTATTGAGCATATTTACCGCGTAGTTCATGTCATACGTTTTGAACATCGTGTAGATGTATGTTGCATCCTGAGAGAAAAATCGAAAAAAGAAATTAAACAATCAAAAATAATTAAGAAAGCAATGATAAAGTACAGGGGCAGAATATTTTGTATTCATAAATACCTAAGACAGTGCTGCTTTAAACGGTTGATATAGACCGGCTTGCTGGTCTTAAACACTTTTTCAGCGTCACATGAAATTTGGACTCCTACCGGTGCAGTGCCGTTTTGTTGGTTGAACGTTCACAATCCTCACGTAGGCATGCGCAATACTACCAGTGAGTCAGTATTTTATAGACCTAAATTCACAATACACCGGAACAGCTGGGTTCTGCGCCACATCACGCAGTATACGCACGACGCACGCGCCAATCTCCATTATAAGAATTAGTTGTTTACGATTTCTCGCGAGAGGGCCATACCATACCATATAACATGAAGTAAACTTGTTGAACAAAATCGTTGGAAATATATAATTCGTTACTTCAATACTTGTTTTGACTTTTGGACCGAAAAGTTTGGATTGTGTTTTCGGCTCGGGTAATTTATCAGCATCCAGACTCCAACCGGTCTTAAACATAGTGTTTGAAACCGGCCAAGCACATATTTATTTCCTTAGTGAAGAAGTGGAAGACCCACCTTGTCTACAAGGCTCGTAACACTCATGGATTCCGGAAAGAAAATATAAAAGCTGGTTTTTATTCCGACATCCTTTTCTAATCTTCCTGTCGACACAGCATGGTTTAATCTGGAGGAATGGTAAAAAAACAATACTTGAGTGTGGAACTCATAAAAAAGGCATTAATACATAAATGACTTAGTAATCTCTGTGGTAATTAAGAGGGAATATGGATGTATAATGCTCTACACTAAAAACAATATCGCACCAAGATAAGTCACAACAACAAAATGCGGAAAGTCAGTATATAAATCCACCAGTAAAACCACCGGTTTGTTTCCAATATATTCTTTTGTAAGTTTTGTTTCACCTGAAAACGTAATCGTGACTGTCGATCTCCGGTCCGGCACCAGACCCTTTGAGGATCCCGCCGCACCCGATCACTGCACACCGTATGCATTGCTTCCTTGTACCCGCCGTGTGGATGGGGGCGTTCGTGAAACTTGGATGAGTCAAGATCTTCGCTAGAACTGATGCCGAAAGAAAGAAAAAAATGGGGTAATTTCAAATATGGAGAGTTTGTGGTCTTGCATGGAAGCAAGTTAGATTTAGAACTGTGGCTAATTATGGTTCGACTAAGTGTACCTAGACCCAGGCTAGTCGACTACAGCTGGACCAGTTTAGTCGACTTATTACGACTAGCCTACTAAAAGTTGGTCGTATCGCTGATAACCATAGCCGCTTGTTTCATTGCGTACAAAAAGAGATCCAGAACCATCGTTTGATCATCGCAGCTCTTAGTGCGCAGGCGCGAATTACGTCACAAGTCAACCACTATAGCCCTCCAAAGGTCCTCTGATTCAACTTGCTCTGGTTTGAAAGAGAGACTGAACTGCCAAGCTCTGGCTGTTGAAATGGGTTCTTACATCATTACTTATCATATCACGAGCACGGTGGCCTCGTTTTCGTTCCAGTAATGGCGATTGCAAACAGATAGCCATGACCTAAAAGGTTCTAGAAGCACTTACGATCTTTGCTCTCTCGTTTGTATCCAAATGGAAGACCATGATTGGAGATGTCAGAAAAGTTACCGACGTCGTCTTTATCCAGGAAGACTTTGACCTTGGGCCTGTAGCGATCCTTGAACCACTTGGAGTACTGAGCTATGGAGGCGACTGTCTTAGGGCAAGTCTTTGGAGATCGAGATGTAAAAACCAACACACACAAAATTACGCACGATCTCTTGTATTTACAAGGCAGAATTAGGAAAAGATGGTAATGGACAGGGTGAGTCAAAAAAAAGCGAAACCCAAATGTCGGGACTATTGTTTTAGTGAAGTGCTGCATGTAGCACTTTCGAAATCTAGGATATGAAAGCCCAATTCCTAAGCTTTCTTTTAGTACAAGAATCAATCAAATCACTTTTCAAGTTAGGTTCTTTCAGCAAAGGGATGTGTGTGAATTGTTTTCGTTTTGCTGAAAGAACGCACACCTTTCTTTTGTGTGATCCGTGGACAGAACTTTAAAACGGCGGTAGTGTTTAAACTTCCGAAACTTGAAAAGTACAGAATTGATTTGAATGATTCTTGTACTAAAAGATGGCTTATGAATTAGGCTTTTATATCCTAGATTTCAAAAGTGCTACATGCGGAACTTCACTAAAACAATAGTCCCGACATTTGGTTTGTTTGTTTTTTACTCACCCTGTATCATATATAGGCCAAGTGAATTATTATAACGATTGTTACTTCCTTGACATAATTGTTCATTGTGGGGGGGGGGGGGGTATTTGGATATAGCATGTTATGTTGCAAGGAAGACATAAAGTTGCCTCATATTTTTAAATAATCACTGTTAGGTTGTTTTGAAAACTTTAAAAATGGCCTTCGGATCATTTTTGACGTGGTTATTCGGTGATGGTGATAATTTTGATGACAGTGATAGAGGGATGGAAGTGATGGTGATGATGAAGAAAACGTCCGTAACGGTGTATGGCTATTGTGCGATGGCACGTGGATTCGAACCCATGTGTTTGTGTTCTTGGGCAAGACACTTTACTACAATTGCACCACATAATATCCCGATAAACTCACCGACTCATGATAGTGCGGATCCTCCCTGAACGGATAGGCCGTGAGGTCCTTGTAAACCTGCGGTCTGCGTTTGTCACTCGGTCGGCCTTTGGCAGCCGATTCACGGTCCGTTTGCCGCCTCGCCTCGGCGTCCAGTCTCGCCTCCAGTGCCTTGATCGTGTCTCGCAACTTCTCCACGTCAGCTGAGGAGGAATTAGCGGGGCCACCGCCGGTAATGTGGGCGGGGAGGCGGTGGATATCAGGGGTGTTCCGCAGAAACGGGACTCTCGATACCTGGTTTAGAGCGAGCAGCGCGTACACACCACCAGCAACAATCAGTCCCAGAAACAGAGCTTTTCCGCACCGGGCTCCTGTGAAGCGCGTCGCCATTATTCAAGCATTGTTAACACTATTCACACTGTTCACCTTCAAAATATCATTTCAAAGTGGTGGTTGATTCTGCTATTTCCCTTTTCACGGCAGTGCAGTTTTTTTTTATAGGCCAATGCTGTGCCATGCCACGTCAACTGTACGTTACGCATATTTTGTCGATGAGCGGGCGTTGATGTGGCAAATATAGCTCCATCTGGACTTTGACATCCAACGTCAACATGAACTCTGTTAAAACAAGGATTTTTACAGCACACCGTTCATGATTGTGGACTTTGGTAGATGGAATTAGCGAGTAACCCAGTCGTAACAGCGCAGGCCTCGCTCTATAACTGAATACTGTTATGAATAAACGTGAACTGTTATAAGCAATGCCGGAATTATGAATGGGGCTTTACAATGTGGCTTTATACATGTATACACTGAGACGACCTTGTGTGACGGATGTCAATATCTTGGTATTAATCGCATGTATATTCATGCCTTGAATAAACTTGGGACGTGGATATAAGTGATTAAATTCTACGTGTATATACTTTTGTTTGGAAAATTTAAGTGTTTGTTATTTCTGTGCAATAAATCGAAAGCCCAAACAGCTGGCAATAAGGAAACAGCTTTGAAAGAAAAACTGAAATTAAACTTTACTACCTGTTGTAGATACAACTTCAAATAAATATGACTTTTGTTTGTAATATTACGAACTCAACAGTGAACTAAATGATTAAAAACTATTTTGAAACATACAAAAGCATTCGTAGAACACAACCATATCCTCTTTCCTATTTACACAGAATTTTAAACGAGCAGGGCCTACATTAATTACTGTTAGTTGGTTCCTGTTTTAGTTGCATTTCGATATTGTATGAGAAATTGTATGTGTCAGACTTTTTGGACTTTTTATCAGCAGATGGTAGTTTATTACGACAGCAAGATTATTCCATTATTACGCAGGGGTAACTCACGCATACAATGGAACAAACTATTTGTGCAAACATTAAGAACCGCTTTGTAAACAAAAAGATAGATTGTGTTTTTTGTCCAGTGGAAAATTTAGTTTGGACTTATCTCGATGTAATTTTAAAAGTGAAATTAATTGCGAACTGGCTTGTGGTTAGTTAATTGTGGCGAAAAAAAAAATAATCAGAGATTTTTTTCAAGCGAAGCAAATGCGATGCCAAAGCGAAATGAAAATGTGTGCAGGCGTATATGGTCAAAATGATTAATAACAAAATCAGCATAAAAAATACAACATATTGTCTGATTAATGGTCCGTGTACTGCAAGCAATGATTATGTTGAAACATGGGGGTTTTTTTTACCACTCGTTTTTTTTCGGGGCTCCTATAGAATCATGTTCCAACATGTTTTATTTTGTTGGGAACAAAGTGTGTATAGTAACGACGTTCTGTCAAACTATCGATTAATGTTAAAAATATATAAATATACAAACAACCAAAACATATTATTTATCTACCGTGGAAACACCACCTTGGCAACAAGAAGCATTCGGTGACCAAAATTATTCTTCTCTACACAATTTTCATCACAGTGGATATCTTCGTTCTTTGGAGTATGTTAGAATCATTTTTTTTTAAATGTAGGGTTTACAATATCAAATTAATGTTCATAAAGTAATTTTTCTTCCGAAATAAATTACTCGTAAAAACACCGTATTGGTACATATCCACTCCACTAGAAATGTGTAGGAATTACAACTTGATGGTGGTTTAACCTTGTACAGACGTTTTTGGCATATTTGGGTGCCTTTTAACAATGGCACAGTCATCACAATGTATCCTGGCGTCAAAATAACCCAAAAAAATCTGGCAGAGAATGCACAATCACAGAGAACCTTTGCTGTGCCTGTTATGCATTGTGTGGTCAATCAACCAGGACCAGACTCCATTTTCATTCAGGGCACGAAGCCACCATAGTGTAGATATCGCTCAGAATTTTCCCGCAGGAAATAGTGAAGGACAAAAACCAGCGATTGACAATTCAGCCATGGTGAGTCCAAATGTTACAATCGGTTGTGATTTACATGAATTAAAGATAGCCTTGTCTTTATAGCTTACGGTTCTTGCCTTTTTAAAAATCCAGTTTCGTCCGTGTGCAAATGCACGCCCGAGGCAAACTCGCCAGACAAAACTGGTTTTCTCAATGGGCCTATAGAAAACACCGTGTGAACTTGCTTGTACAGTGCATAGGAAGTGAATTTGAAATTCACCGATTACTTTTAAAGTTCATCGCACCACACAACTTGTGTTTTTGCATCCAATATTTTCCTTGAGCACCATGTTATTTATTCGTTTTGGAGATTATTCCTTCAGTGGATTTTCAAACTTGAGCTTGACTCAGCACTTGTGCATTCCGATGTGTGTATCAGAGTTAATACATTACATCCTTCTCTTTAGGGAGAATTTTAGTTTTAAGACTTCATGTGCTGTTCGTGGCAATCCATGCTCGTTTTACCAAAGTTCATACAAAACATGTGCAGACTGTTTACACAATAATTATGCGCATCTAAAATACATGATGAAGAAAACACATTACTCGTATGCGCAGCTGGGTTGGCCAGTTTGGCATGCATCGATTCACAGTCAATATCGACCTCTGTGCATGGTTTTGTCCCCCCAAAATTCAACATCTGTTTTGCCCTACGCCGCCGGAGTACTTCACTTTACGCTTACAAGCACCGCAGCCGTGCGAAAGTCGTTGAAGCACATGCGCAGTCCAAACAAAATTCATCTGCCACGTTTGCAAACATTTTGTTTTAACTTAGTAACTTGTTTATGAACCCAATTTTCGGTGTGTGTTTTTAACTCAGGACCTGTCTGGAAGTCTTTAGACTGAATCGGACGTTTTGTTTCTAGAAAGCAAAGGGAAGAGAACCATCTATATGAACGGATTTATTTGAATTTTGGCTCAAGAAATACTCGTAGAGTTGTAATTTTTTGTTGCAGTAACCACTAGCAATGGACGTGAGTCTAAAAATCAACGTACAGGCTTGCTTTTCTAAACTATGGTTCCATTGGATGCTTTTACTGTTTGAACCACACACGGACAGTATTCAACCAATCTTCGCTTGAGTTTGGAAGTCTTCGTTTTGATCAACTCGCCAATGAAGAGTGAGGTACTTTTCTGTAGAACGTATAAGTTTAACAGGACATCTTCAAGAGGCCTTTTCTGAGCTGCGCTGCCATTGGATGCATATTCAGATGTTTTCCTCAGGATGCGACTCTCAACCAATCACATTTAAAGTTTGATACTGAGACTTACACCGCAAGATGGCCACCCTTCGACTGTTGTGCCGCGCGTTCTTCGGTCTAGCCATATACGGCATGTTTGTGATTGTAGTCATAATAGCGTACAACAGGACATTCGTGAGACGCGGTGATGGTGTTAAGGTGGATGTACAGGGGCGGGGCCAACTTCAGCCTGCCCCCGAGGAGAAGAAGGAGGTCGAGACGGAGGCAGAGAGAAGGAAGAAAGAGCAGCATGAAAAGAGCAAGAGGAATCTTGAGATGTTGCCGTTTATCAAAGACCACTCTTATAAACCATCGGTAAGTGATATCATTCAATGGAATTTTGGGTTGGGTGATGTGAATCTCAGTGACATGCTCCAACGTTGGATCATGGAATAATCAATTAAGGATGTTTTTATAAGTCAGTTTTAGCCGTCTGTTTTACCTTAACTTTCTTTAAATTTGTCGGTATTTTCCACGCTTTCAACAACAAACAACCGGAGCCGAAAATACCATTTAACTTTCTGTTCTTTTATTAAGTGTTTTCAGAACATATCGTTTTTCTAAAATAAATGGATTTTTAGATATAAATTAGTTCGCCTTAAAGATGCCAAGAGTAAGTTTTTTTCAATGTATTCTTTATTTTCCAGAAATGTCCAAAAACCATCTCCACAGTGAGCAGGTTCTCCAAGTGGTTCAGTGAGAGATATAAGCCGGGAATTAAGGTGTTTTTGGACAAGGATGATGCACGTGACTACGATGTGCTGAAACATTATGTGCTTCCTTTTGGGGTTCGAGGAATGAACAGCTCGCGTAAGTATTGGGAAACAATGGCTGGCTGGCTGTTTGGCTGGTTAGGTGGCTGGCTAGCTGAGTTACTCTTTGGCTGGCTATTGGCTGGCTGGTTGGCTGGTTGGTTGGCTGGCTGGCTGACTTGATTGGTTGACTGACAGGCTGGTAACAGGCTGGCTGGCTTGCTGGTTGAGTGGCTGGTTGGTTGGCTGGCTGGTTGAGTGTCTGGTTGGCTGGCTGGTTGTTGGCTGGCTCTTTGACTGGCTGTCTGGCTAGCTCCCCGGTTGGCTGGCTGTTTGGTTGGCTGGCTGGATGGTTGGTTGACTGGCTGTTTGACTGACTCCCCAGCTGGCTGACCCCCCGACTGGCTGGTTGACTGGCTGGCTCCCCTAGTAGCTGGCCGGCTGGTTGGCTGGCTATAGTTGACTGGCTGTCTGGCTTTCTCGCTGGCCTAGCCGCATATACGTATAACAGATCTCCTTTAGAGGCTATTAGTTGACATGATTGTTAGTCCGTGAGTCCCTGTGTCTGTCCACGTTTTCTTGAATCATGAAAAACAGGATTAACATTTCATCCCACGTCACTCCACCTATAACACAAACATGTTTATCTCCCTTGACTGCAGTTTTTACCGGCATCGTCAGCCATCCCAACTTCACCAACCCCGCCCTTCCCCTTCAGAATTCCGGTCAGGCGTGCATCAAATGTGCCGTGGTGGGCTGCGGAGGTATCCTGAACGGCTCTGGTGCCGGCGGAGAAATCGACAGTCACGACTACGTTTTCCGGTCAGATAATTTTCTTGTTTTTTGGTCAACTTTTTAAAATCAATGTGGAACCATGATTTTCCAAAAGGGTTGCCTTTGGCTTTGGCAGGAAGGGGCATGGGTAAAGTGTGTTTCAGCTGTTAACACGGACGAAAGGCCTTAAATATAGGTTTTCCCGGCTATTTAAAAACATTTTTCATTCCTATTCACCAACTCTAACATTCAATTCCGTGCGAAAAAAATTTCACGTGCTTTTAACAACACCAAGTTAGGCATTTACCATTCAGTTTCAAAGTTTGGTCACCCTTTTTAGTCACCGGGTCGAGAATATTCGTCATTACAGATCAAATTCGTCTAAGCTGTTGCCGAATGGCAGCATTCAGAGATCAAATTCGTCTTCTATAAATCAATGAGACGGATTTTGATTTCTGAATAACACGATTCGGCGTAGACGAGACGAAATCAAATACACCGGATCAAAAACGTGTGCTCATTGTTTAAATTTGTTTGGACTATATTTTAAATTGTCTGACGAAAGACGAAACTAAACATTGAAAGTGCACTAAATCGATGTTGCTGGACGAAATTGAATATAAGAATCGGTCAATTCGAAGGAAAAATGTTTTAATATAACTGGGAAAACCTATAGTAAACGGTTACTTTGTATTATTGTGTAGTACTAAACAAAATTATTACAGAAAAGGACATTTTGGATTATTTCCAGTATTGTGTAACACATACCATTTTTGTACGTTTGAAGGGGTTCATTAATGTACATGTACACTCCCCTTATATCAGCATTCTTTGTGGGTTTTTTGCTCCTATAGTTTAAACCGCGCCATTTCCGTGGGATCGTACGCCAAGGATGTGGGTACGAAGACCACTTTCTATAACTTCTTCCCAGAGTCAGAGCACGTACCTGATGTTGTCGATAAGGTATGTATTATGACATCTGTAGAAACATATTTAAGAAGTGATGCGAGTGAGGCATTAAAAGAAGATTTTAAAATGAAACAGTTACAAAGCAAGCTCTTAAAATGGACCGAATTCCTTGTCATAATATTGTTGCATTTCTAGTCCAGTATCGCAAGCGCGATACTGGACCAGAAGGCATTCGGGTGAAAAAATGTAATAGGAATAATTTTGTTCTGGAACCGAATTAATTGTTGAATTTGGAGGGGGGTATAATATTACTTTTCAAAGATGGAAATCTTGTCAATTTAGGAAATATTGGAAATATATCAATCGGGAATCGATTGAGTTAGAACTTGGAAAGACCATAGTCTTTAACACCTTAGGTTTTCCTTTGCGAAAGAGGAATCGATTTGAAGTACACAATTTGTTGATTGATTGGGACAAATATATTTATTTGCAGGACGTAATATTCTTCTACACCATGTTCAAATCTTACGATACCCTCTACGCGCTCAATATGATACGTGATGTGAAACCACCGCATGCTCATGGAGTCAACGGACGGACGTAAGTTGGGTTGTTTGTCCGTTTGTTTGTTTATATTTTGTTAATTAAAAAAATCCTATAATTTGACGCTTAACAGTCATTTCGTGTAAATACTTCACAATTATAAGTGTCCACGGTCCAAAATTCGAAGTTTTAAAAAATCCTTTGTGAGATGAAATTACTTGGCGTTTGTGTGGTTTTTTTTGGCTATTTTGGGCCATTTTTGGGGACTCCAAAAACTGATTTTGAGTGATTGGTTTTAAAGGCCATCCAGCCAAAATGCAAAATAATTTCACTTAACTACTTAAATCACTGCAAAGCACCGCCCTTACCCTTCCTGGAAAAAAAATACAAAACACGTTTTGGAACACCTCGTTTGTATTGATTTTAAACACTTCAAAACAGCTGGAATTTTTAACTTTCAAAATTGATTTTTTTTAACCACATGTTTACCCCTGAATAAAATCAACTTGCCAGGGCACTCAGAATAATTTGCCCTTTGGTTACAAGTAGGACTAACATTGGTCTTTTCATATCAGGTGAGAAAACTATGGGATATTGTGTACTTTTGGTGCAGTAGTGTTCCAAAAATGATCTTTTTTTTTTTAAAGGCAAAAATGTGTATTTTCAATTTTTTTTTCCATTATTAAGTGTTTATAATGCCCACAAATGAAGCCATCCTGAATCTCGCACATTTTTTTTTATAAATAAAAGTCTCAGTTGTAGAGTGCCCCTGCCCCAACTTAACTAACCCCCCTTCTCCCCCTCTAGGCCCCGCCCCTTCCACCGAGTTTATATTTTGTTTGCTGTTTCATGGCTTGTTTTTTTTTTCAATTCTCCTGTCATATCTGAAACAGAGCTGTGCTGTAAGGATTGCACACAATCGGTACTTTCCTTTTTACAGCCCAAATCTCGTTCACTAAATCATTTCCATTACAATCACCAAAAGTCAGTTTTTGCAACCCCCTAAAATGGCACAAAATAGCCAAAAAAACATACACCGCGCACAACGGGCAAAATGTTGATTTAAAAAAGTTTATTTTGGACCGTGGACACTTACACGAAATGACTTTTAAGATTTTTTGGAGGGATCACACTGTGACGAGAATTCTTTTTGAGGATACTGTTTCTTTTGAATTGGTTATCATCTTGCAGTTCATTGTGTAACAGAAAGATCGGAGTATCTTTAGTTTAAATTTCTTTGAAAGAAATGTTAATTTTACAATTGCAATTAGTTTTCTTTTTACGCAAAGCCATCTGGGGTAAGAAGCTGGATTTTTGTTTGGTTTGCTATCATCACTCATAATATGGTAATCGTCACTTATAAATGTAATTAAAAATAGAAAGTTTGGAAAAAAAATGCTTCTCAATTTGTAAGAATTTTGAGACATCATCCCACATGTTTCAATGTATCACTTGTTTAATCAGTGATTACAGCTTATAAACAAAATATCTAGAGTGAGCAACTAACTGAAAGTAGGAGCTGCTGGCATCAATAACGTTATATAACGCTACAAACACTTAGCGCTAACGCCTCTTCAGGTCTCTCTCTCACTAAAAAAAAACCCTACCTAGTAGCTCTATGCTAAAACGTAGTATCCTGTACCATACAAACGCTCATTTTGGTTCCGCTCCCTCGTACACAGCGATGAATGCACTGTATCAGTGTACAAATCAGCCCATTTCGGCGGTCCACGACCGCCGAGCATTCATTTTCACACACAGTGCTCTTTGAACTGTGAAACGCGTACGTTCAAAACGTGGGGCAAGTGGGACAGAAACGGTGTATCGTTCGATTTTCGGCATGTGTGTGTGCGTTCAGGAGTGTGCAACGTTTGGCGCAGAAATTGTTCCAAAGAGGCGTTTTCCGCCGGCGGATCATTTTGTGGCGGACGTAACGGGTGCAGCGTTGACAAAGCGTTGCGATTGAAACGGCTAGCAACAGATTCTCCCCGCAACGCTGAACCTCCCAAATGCTCATTTTGTTACACTGCTCTTCGTGCACAGTGTATGCAGAAGTCCTTCGTACAATATGTCCTCGTTTGTATGGTTCAACCGCACGTGTTACGCGTACCGGCTTGCAATACAAATCATACGGGGAACTTTGTGTGGCTCAAGATGAGCCAAATACCGCGTATTGCAGCATTTTCTACGCGGGTTGTGACCGTGCATGCGTGCGACAACCGTCGTTGTAAAAATACCCTCAAATCTCCGGTCCCAGAAGGCGGGTCATGTTCATGACCTGTCCGCCTATTTAGGTGATGGGCGTGACTCAAACCCAATTCAAACGTGCGGAAGTTTCGTGGCGCGATGAGAGTTTAGCGCCGTTGTGCGCCTATCGCTCGTGAACCGTGAAAATGAATGATTTTCTACGCGCGCCTAAAACTCTGCCGGGAACATGTTTAGCTTTGAATAACGTTAGAGGAGGAAGTTGTACACGGAGGCTCATGAACCGCTGAAATGGCGGATTTTTTGCCGTGTGGCACACCGTTATTATTATTTATACACATTATTTGCTGCAAGCAAAAATACTGTCATATACGAGGTTCAAAGGGACTTGTGAAGAATTGGGGTTCCTCGTTGAAATAACGCGTGCACGTTTGGCTTCTAGTTTTCTTAGAGGCAACGTAGAAATGACTGTTTTTGTGAGCCAATGTGTGTTTTAGTGAACTTGCTGTGTACTCCATAAAATGTAGTCTTGTCATAGAATAATAAATGCCCCCACTTCAGACATTCGGGGAAAACACTCAAAACTTTCCAAGGTGTTCGAGACACACATCAAATTAAAGCTTATTACATCATCTTTCATTTTCTTTTCAATTTTTTGGGGGTAATCTGATGACTTTCAGGGGAAATTTCCATCCGAAGAGGATCACCCCGAACTAGTCCAGAAGCCCATCGCCATTTTGAAAAACGATGCATATACTCCTTTGGAAAATAGAGCACTTTTAGGACCCCAATTTCTTCTAAATTTCAATGAAACTCAAGCCCGTATTTTTTACGAACCTCCAAGATCCACAATAATGCTCAAATATTGAAGAATTTGAGGGCATGCAAATCGTGATTTGGCCGGCGTAGGCAATTTCGGACCGATTTACTGGCCTGCAGCAATACGAGTAGTCATTGATACAGTACACGAATTGCCGCCTGTACATGGACTGTTAATGTTGGAATTAAGTGAATGCGGATTAGAGTTCGGTCTACCCAAATAAAAGAGGATTCGTTCGATTATATTTCAATTCTAATATGAATGTTATCTATTATGCTACCCATACAGTAAGAGGTATATGAACTCACACAATAATTGTTATAGACATGTTTTAATTATCATAATTATCCAAATTAGGTCAGTCTTTCCATCGATTTATTATGACATAAGCTCTCAATTTTGTGATTTTGCTACTGATAACTATTGCTCCAATTACAAGTTACTTTTTTTTTTTTCTTTTTTTAAGCGTTTATTTTAAGGGTATAAAATACACTACCACGTATACAGTTTATTAAAAACGACGAACATTGGGCATAACACACAGTACAGCAAATTCTAGCAAATAATTAGCATCAATGAAAAGCTTAGGCATGGGTAAAAATGTTGAAATTAAAATCTTGGTATTAAGAATCGTTCGGAATCCAACCTTTCGTGCTAATTTTATCACTAAATACATTTTGGTGGTTTTCTTTGGTCAAATGTACTGATGATATATATTCATACATGTACATTTTATAACATTTTGAATTTTGTTTTTTAATTTGGTTACCATGAGGTAAGAACTGCACGCGGTAAACAAGTCGTCTGCTTTCTCTTTCATAAAGTCATCACGCGTATTTCAAAGTTGCCAAATTTGATCATTTTAGTGCAGCATTCGTAGTTTTTCCTGTTCACAGGGGTCTATGACTCCATAAAAACTTACCAAAAAAAAATAAAATACGGGTGAACAAAATATTCTTTAGGATGTTTTCTTCCTTAAAAAACAAGTTTTAAAAACTGAATGAATATCGTTCAAATTACAGTGACTTTTTACGTTTACACATTTTTATATTAAAAGTATATACATGTATACAATACCATAAACAGTTCATTAAAAACGGCGAACATGCATGGGGCCTTTAAAACGCCTCTTACACGCAGTATAGCAAATTCTAGCACTTGAAGACAACTTGGCATCAGCGTAAAGTTTGGGCTTGGGTGAAAACGTTGAAATTGAAGTCTTGGCAGGAATCAGCATTTTGTTTATCATTCTGCTCTTGTTTTTGTCATCACCAGGATTCTACGGAAACCACTCGTTAAGCCCTCCAAGCTGAAGCTGATACATCCAAGTTTCATCCGTTACGTCTTTGCCAAGTATCTCGACGGTGTCTCCTACAGGCCAACCACAGGTGAGGAAAAAAAGGCCCGGAAAACTGCGGATAGTGCATCAGGCTACATTTACAACAACAACCTATACTAAGTCTCCATAATTTTGAAGAAAAAAAATAACATTAGAAATTGAAACAAATTAGGCTACCGCCCTACTCAACTTGTTAATGAAACGAAGGTGTGGCAAAGGATTGTGGGTAGGTCACTTGTCATATAAAGCAATGTACATTAACGTGTATTTGCAGATCAGTGAATAGACTCCCATAGACGTGATCATTCCGGGCACTTCCAAAAATAAATACTCACAACTCTCCAAGGTGTTTGAGACACCCATGAAATTGAAACTTTTTTCATCATCTTTCATTTTCTGTGCAATATTCGGGGGTAATCGGATGACTTTTGGGGAAAATTCCATCCAAAGATGGTTACCCCTAAAAGTAGTCCTGTGGCCCATCGCCATTTTGAAATATGATGCCTGCGCTCCATTGCAGGCTATATTTATAGAGCAATTTTAGAGCCCAATTTTATCCACAATTCACAGAAATACGAGCTCGCAGTCCTATATTCACGGCTTCCGCCTTCTTTTTTTCACAAACTCTCAAGTTCATTGCAAAATGCTCTAGTAGCAAACAGATTGAGGGCATACAAATCGTAATTTGACCTGCGTTGGCAGTTTTGGGCCTATTACGTTACGTATCAAGTACGTATCCATTCAACCGACCAAATCTTGCAGCCTCTCTTTTGATCTTACCCTGCACATAGCCCCAAACATAGCTAACTCCACTCAAAAACCCCTGGCCTTATACGATAGCCAAACTACCCTCTCAAATGTAATGTTGAGAACAAGTAAATAGAAATTATTATATTTACGGAATAAGATGTTTTAGACGAAGACTTAGATGAAGACTTAGATGAAGATGAAGATTTAGATGAAGATGAAGATGAAGACTTAGAGGAAGTTTTAGATGAAGACTTTTAGAAGATGAACATTTTCGTTCTTGTCTTGTCCTAGGTGCCATTGTCGTCCTGATGTCGATACACCTGTGCGACGAGGTGACAATCTATGGCTTTGGCTACGATCATCGCTTCACCCTGCACTACTACGACAAGCATTTCGTGACACACACCGACACGTTGACCGCGCTGCATGATGTCGACAACGAGCGCAAACTGTGGAAGAAGCTACACGATGAAGGAATTATAAGACTGTTCAAGAGGGACTTTTGAGACCAAGGCCAAGGGGGCATAAATCCCGGTTGATAGGCAGGCTAGCCTCTCCTAATTTTAGACTATAATGGGTGAAAGGGTTGATTGGTCGTACTAATAGCCTTCAATTATAATACGGAGAGTTTTTCAAGATTTGTAATCCAAATGGACTGACGTTTGCGAAGTTTTCAGACATTCTAGGTCATAAAATGTAGGAGTTGGTTTAGATTTCTCTACATTAATTTGTTGTTTTATTACAAAGGAAACGCACTGTAGGCCTAGACAGAAGTAACTTTGAAAGTCCGTTTGATGGTCATCCAGTGACGTTTCCGCGCTGTCTGGAACTGTTCTTGTTTCAGTGTCAAAGCGAAGGAGCCGTATATCATCTGGACCAACCCTGCTGCGTTCATGGCGCTACGGGCAGCTACGAACCAGACTACTGTATCGTTGTCCACGTCGCGTGCCACGCCGTAAAAGATGTCGTCAACGATGACCTGCGGCAGCCAGACCAGAACGAAGGACCTGCAGAGAAAAGCCATGAAGTGGCGAGTGCTTTTCTTGTCCAGTTGGGGTTCTTGTATAGGTTGCTGTTGCTGCTGTTGGTTTGTGGTGGCGTTATTATTAGTAGGGTCAGAGAGGTTTTGCTGTGGTGTCATATTTGCTATGGCGCGATGATCATGATGTCCATGAAGGAATCGTCGATACTGGGGTTGACGAACGTGGATGAGAAATTTGCCTCCTCGACCGAACCCAGCCAAGAATCGTCATCCTCGCGACCCTGGAATGCTGTCAAATCGACGTCGTGACTTTGAAACTGGGATTCGTCCTTAAAATTGTTCTGAAGTGGCGGCATCGTTTCTGTCCAGTGAAAACGGCGACTATATACTCGGACAGTGTCTGTATTCAAACTGATCGACATAATATAAAGAAGATGGAGATATAGCTCGTCGCGATGCAGCGCGATACAACAGCTGTCTCTGATGGTTGATGTGAGTCGAGCAAAGTACAGGTGTCAAATAGTTAATGTTTTCTAATCGAATAAGTCAGATATCTTTTAGGCTCAGTTACAATCCAACACAGACAAGCACATCAGAGAACGAAATGTTCTAATCTTATGCAGGTTTTATCAGCTAAGTTCAACTATAACAAAAGGGAACAATTAGCGGCCGGCTGATTTTTGACGAGCATATCTGCTACAAGTGGTTTCAGTGACAATGGCCCGTGTGCGGCTGCCGCAATTAGGTATGATACAGGACACTATCTGGATCGTATATATATATTTTAGATCGTCTGGAAAATGTATCCTTTAATGCGCACGTTCAGCTGTGACCAAAGCCAATTTTCCACGAGATAAGCCTCTATAGCAAATAAATCTTAGTTAAGTGTGCGCAACTGCATAATGCAATACATAAGACTTTATACTGTTAAATTACTCTACACGTAAGACTGCTGTTTCCGAATTCGAAATCCTCAGTTGTTAATTCTTACACCAATTGTCAAAATAAAACCTTCCTTTTATTTCCAAAATCAGAATACCCATACCTTTAAGTCATTATATCATAAAATCCGTATTGTACTGCCATTTTGTGATTTCTTTCACGCATGCGTGGATGGGCGTCATTGGGTTCACAATTTTCGCGCCGTTGCTCACGGGTTGACGAAAACTGATCATTGAGACGAACCATTATGAAACGAGTGAAAGACTTCACACATTTTCATAAACTAGTACACAACGTTTTGAAAACATATTGTAAAATAAATACTTCCTATAATTTCCGTAGGTTGATTGGATTGTTATTACCCTTTCCTTCACACAATACCGACTCGTCAGTTTAAATCTCCATTGTTAGCTCCGTGCGGATTGGCCAAAACAGGTCATGTGAACGAATGCACTGTGTGGAGGAAACAAATCACAATCCAAAAACGAGCTAGACTGGACACCAGACCTTAATTATAGAGATATATTTTGAGGCAGTGATCAGACTACGTATTAATTCTTACTTTGTACACAAAATGGCAATCATTGTTGATGGGCATATCTACACAATTTGCTATATGTTTTTCTTATATAGATAATGATAAACTGAATGATTCAGAATAATTAATACAAACTCGATATCTAGTGCTCAGCACAGTGTTTGTCTCAAAGATGTCTCCTTTCAATTTCGCGTCATATTAAACAAAATATTATTCATCTTGTATTCATTTTGTGCATACCAATCTTATAAAATACACCCGGAACCTCCCAAAATATACGCATCTTCAAGAAAACCAAAACTTCGAGTCCTCGTGCATAAGTTATACATTGATTTTTGCGCGCAGATATCGACTTTATTCCCATGATGCCCTGCGAAACATTGCCCTTCCATCACTCTTGGTGGCGCTAGTGCACTTAGACAGGTAATGTGTCGCGCCCCGGAGCCTCTGGCCAAGGCTCGACATCGATGGGTTCGGTCTCTGAAGGGTATCACATGCTGCTAGGTTCGGTCTGGGCAGCACAGATGGGATCTGAGGTATCGCCTCTACTTCCTGAGAGGGAAACGCCTCGACGTAATCTCTGTGAGTACGAAATTTGGAGAAAGAACAAGAGAACACTGTAATATTTTTGTTCAGTAAATTCCACGTACTACGGCGTGGGAAAAAAAGATTGGTGCAAGATTAGTAGGGGGCCTACAGATAATGCAACGAGCTTTTGCTTTCGTACTAAAAAGGACACTGTCCGGAAAATTATCTCATAATCAGAAAGGCATCAATTAAGAGTTGTAATGACTCGAGTCAATGACTCGACCCAAGTCCAACTTGAGTCACAATGGGTTTTTTGGGACTCGACTCGACTTCAGTCCTTAAGAATAAATGACTCGACTCGACTCGAGTCACTGCGAGAAAATAACTAGACTCGCCTCGAGTCCCTCATCAGAAGACTCGACTCGAGTGAAGGCTTATACGACTCATGTCCCAGTGGCTGCCTATGCAGTTGAAATGCTTGAAAATTGCCTAATTGGACACAATAGCGATTCTGCCTACTGGTTATTCACGAGGCAGCCATTTTGGTCGTGTTCCCTGAATTAATTTTATAAATTGTTCATTGTCGAATGGGATGTTGCCAGACCATTTATGCATTCTAGCCTCACTTTCAATTCTTTTTTAATGTGGCTTAAAACATTATTAGGGTATGTTTATCACAATTTTTTTTTTTTAATATTCATCAGTGCAGAATTTGTAATTAACTCTATGTCATTGCTTTCATTTCTCTTCACAACTTCCAAAAAATGAAGAATTTACCTCGCTTTCAAACTTTTATATGGCCGACTCGTGACTAAAAAGTCAGTTTTTGATGGCGTTGTGTTCAAATGTCATCCACGGACAAAGCTGCGCTAGCTGCGAAAATCGTTTAAATAAAATAAACAATAATGCTGCGCACGCGAGGTGAGCAAAGCAATGGCTTTAAATGGGAACTAGCTACCGGTCACAATATTTTATTGGGGAGGGGACCAGTCTAATCTAAGGGAGCATTGTACCATCTCATTGTTTAAGTGGATTCTTCCATTGTTTTAAGGGGGTGTTTGGTCCTTACCTCTGATGGGCTAAGTAGCTTCTTCAAAATGCTTCCCACTGTGTGTTTTCTACGGGACGCGAGGAAACGCTGCAAAGACACCAAATTCAAATCTAGTCATGTAGAAATTTCAAATTTTGTTTTTAAGGACTGAATGAAAATTAATAGTTTGATCCAATTGTACTTTTAGTATGTCTACTTTATTATAATTGTTGCTGAAGTGTATACCTCTAGGTTGCTTTGTTCATCGTGGGCTTTACCTCCGTCAGATGTAGCTGTGTTTAAAACAAATAAACAAACAAAAAAACCGTCATTTTATCATGATAGTTTTGTTTTCATTTCATTACTCAGACACTCTCGCGACTCGTCATTTTCATTGCAGTTTTTGTTCCATGCAATCTCCAAAAGATAAAAAGAAAATGCTGTTTAAATAATGCTACGTGTTTCGATTTCCAGGGTGAGTCAAAAAAAGAAAACCCAAATGTCAGGACCATTTTTTAAATGAAGTTCTGCATTTACCACTTGCAAAATCTAGGATATGTAAGCCCAATTAATAAGCTTTCTCTTAGTGTAAGAATCATTCAAATCACTCATGTACTTTTCAAATTAGGGAAACGGATGTATGTGAATTGTTTTCGTTTTGCTGAAAGAACCGTGTTTTTTTTGGTGATCCGTGGACGGAACTTTACAAAACGGTGATTGAGTTCAAAAATCCCTAACTTGAAAAGTACATGAGTGATTTGAATGATTCATGTACTAAAAGAAAGCTTTTTAAGGGAATAAAATAAACGTGTGCTTGGCAGATATAAAAAAAAACACCTCTGTTTAAGACCGGATGGAGTCTGGATAGGTGATAATTACCAAAGGCGAAGCGTTGTTGATTTTGAAAAAGACCGGTTCCGCGCTAACGTACATTATATCGATCAATAGCATCTTGGGTCAAGACCAATACCTCACAGAATAAAGAAACAACATTTACCTTGGGCTCCAGACAAGAAAATTACAGCACAGCCCAAGAGAACGATGGTGGCCAGGCTGGTCCCCATTTTGACTTTGGCACAGCTCCTGTTTTTGAGTCCGAAAAACTAAAATCCAGAGATCTTGAAACCCACTGTAAATTTATAGCTGCTGTAGCCGGATACTGCTCTGATATTACCAATTGATCATTGTGATTCCGCAGGTGTAAATAATGAAGCTAACTCGTTCGGCAAGCATAATGGAGTTCAAGGTCAAATAAATTGAGAACGTTGAAAACTTGGAGTTCCGGGATATATTCATAATTCCGTGAAAGTGACGTCAACAATCATTGTTCCCTTCGATAACAATAAAATGTAGCCATGACCCTTTTATTATTTGCTTCCAAATTCGCTCACGCATGAACCCGCATTGATGATACATGTCTGCGGTTTATTTTACCATAGAGGGCTTTTAACCCCAAAATGCGAATTATAAAGAAACGTTGACGTACGGCGGGCAACAAATGGAAAGTGACCTCGCTCTGAAATCTGTGACAATCAAAAGAATACTGAAAATCTGGGTGGAAGTTTCGTAAAGTACATTGGAAACACCCCTTTGAGGCGTCATAAAAAAAAACCACCAACAACAGGGTACAGTGCAGTTAATGTCCATGTGTTATGTACAAGTATGGTCGTTTGGTGGATTAATTTTTCGCTGCTAGTTCCCCGTCAGAGTTTGTGGCTGCTGGGTGATGTTACTCAGGCGCAGCTCTGTCAAAAAAAAAATTATCATTCAAATTCCTAAAAAATAAGTCGAACCCCCCCCCCCCCCGTAACACCCCCAAAAAACTATACTGGTATAAGATCCGCCTGTTCAAAATACGGTACACCATTTTGTAATGTAGGGTTAATAATCGTCGAATTTGAACAGCGCCCCTATTGAAATATGGTACCACCCCCCCCCCCCCCCCTATCTATTTACAGATCTGCAGCTTTTAAGATGTTAGAGCAAATTAAATGTGTGTGTATTTTACACGTTTAAATCGAGCTGCAACTCCAGGCGAAACTAAATGCGAAAGTATTGTAATTTTAGTCAACCCCTCGATAGAATAATACAAAATATTGACTAGAAAAACATCAAAACAAGTGTGCGATCACACAAGTAGATCTCAAGTGTTATTTTGCGTTGCATCAACATTTATCTAAATGTGTTATTTATTTTGAAACGATTTATTAAACCATGGAGGAAGAAAATATAATTCTTCCTCCATGATTAAACAGACCGCCAAACTCTCCCAATAGGACAGTGATAGAAAGTTTTCTCGGTGGGCCCACCGTTCACGTACTTTGTCGCCCTCTCTCGTCTCGGCCCGCGCAGCTTGGCTGTAAGTGACCAAAAGGGGGCGTTGCTGAATGTGAATAACAGTGTTTTGGAGTGCTGAAGACGATACGACTACATGTGCATAGCCGATATAATTATATCATTGAACTTGACGGGTTGCTCCGAGTCTTGGAAAAGCAAAAACACTTCACATTAAAACGTGTTAAACACGCATGTGATCGTGTCTTCATTACAAAAAGGGAAAAATATTCATATTAAACAGCATGATCAGTACCCAAATGACACTAAAGACTGGAGTCAATCAACACAATTTTTATTCAAAATCAAAAGTCAACGAAATCAAACAAAGGGGGAAAATACATGAAAAGAAAATTGACCAGTGGAAGTGTTCGTTCAGTTTTAAAAACAAATGACATAAAACAATAAATAATGAAGCCACACAGACGGACATAATTGGGGCTTTGCCATTTACATATTTAAAATAGTTACAACAGTTACACGCAAAAGAAAAAAAATCATCAAAATCACTGCAGAAAAAAATAAGTGAATTATGTATTGTGTGAAATCCATTCAACTTCTTTTCTTGCATTTAGGAATTGTTCGTTTATCCATTTGAAGTTGGATCGCTTCAAAACTATGGGTATACATGTAGCTCCATGGCATGAATATAAATGTACTATTAAACAAATTGATGAAAAGTCTGAACTTGCTTAAAATGTTGTGAAACTAAACTAACAAGAATTCACAGACAACTCTCCTTTCTTATGTACATCTACAACCCCACAACACACAATATGTAAATGTTTTTAGAAAAACCTATATTTTAGTATTAAAAACCACTCAACACTGTTGTCAATTAAGCGGCTAGATCCACTGCACCATATTGCTATCGGGAAATCTACAGTACAGGGAATTGAAACGTTATGGGCGGTTCATATTGTCAAAACTCCTCGGGAAATCGGTATAATCACTCGGGGGAAAAAATGCATTTTAATTTTTGTTGGTTTGACCTCTGATAATTTAAGACAAAAACATCTGCCCTAACGATTTGGAAAGAAACAAAAATCATCTGGCAAGTTTGAATCTAATAATATGTCTGTAATTTGGGACTCGACCTGTTCGCATGCAAATATGTGTATGTTGGCCCAAAACCATCCACGCTATCGAAAAGACACGTGACAACTCATCTCGTTAGCAGAATATGTTGTGAAGGAAATGCAAGGCATTCTGGGTAGTTTACTGACATGATCCCTGGACGTACACATCACCAACTGGACACAATCCATCAAGTAAGAAAGTAGCTTTCAAGGATCGTTGTGGATTGAGTGGTGGATACCAGCCAAGTTTATCCTTCACAAAACATCCGTGAATTTCACTGGTCACCAACGTACTTTACACTTTAACCCAACTATATAATAGCCAAAAGTTAAATTCACACGAGCTTCTTTAATGCACCGTTGAAATGATTACTTAGCGTGTATGGTAAGTCACTCAGCGAAATATTAATAAGAATATATACATGTATTTGGTTTGTGCCACAAATAATACTTGCAAATTTATGATATTGTACAATTCTCTGATATTTTACACACTTGCCATGTACGCAACTTTGCCTGCAAAATATGACGTTACAAAGAGCACACAAAGGAAAAAAAACCCATCACCTTTGCTTTGACAACATGCCAAAAAGCAAGTAAAAAACAATTAGCACATGAGCAGAAATGATATCATGGAAGTCCGGATCATTCAGTTCTTAAAATGGACATTTTAACAGTAAAATGCAAATGAACCTATAATCAGTGTTTTGTCCCTATATAAAAAAAAAATCAGATTACGAAACGTAGTTATTTGCAATACTGTGTTTGAAAACAAAAGGTATTTGTGATTTAACCATAATCCAGAATGTGTGATTAACAGAAAGATTTGTAAAAACAAACAAACATTGGCAGCATTTTTGTCTTACACTACCGAGGTCAAAGGTTAATGAGAGTGTGCATTGGAGCCTGCGTTACATCTTCCCCTGCGTGGCCGCCTCCAGGTAGGTTATCAGGTCCTCCCGTTCCTTCTTCTTCTTGAGTCCGGCAAACACCATCTTGGTGCCGGGGATGTATTTCTTGGGGTTCTCGAGGTACGTGAATAGCGTAGCTTTCTCCCAAGTCACACCTGTTTCAAGAAGGGAACCGGGGAACAATTTGTAAGTTGGTTAGCCTTAAACCTTCCCGCATCCTCCAAAAAGCTCCTAGCAAAATTGAGACATTTTGCAGGATTGAGGCTAAAGAGTACCGAAGTGAATCGGAAGTGTAGTGCACACGAATGGAGTACGCGGTGTGTTGGCTCGCGGGCTGAATTCACACGCTAATGTCTTAACACACATAATTGTGCCCGTGTCTGTATTCACTTGAATGTTCTATGGCAAACTTGTGTGGTTGATTTTGCAGGATGTAAATCAGCAACACAAGTTTGTCTTGGGCCGGACCTTGTGTTGTTTATGCTCAGCCGTGCATAAATGTAGGCACAGATTACACTTGAAATCCTCTGCACTGCTCCAGGATGTCACCGGCTCTGACTCGACATATTGACTGTGATTGCTGGAGGATTTTGCAGGATTGCGGCAGTGGTCACACCTCCAAGGACCGCATTCAAGAAATGATGGAGGATTTGGCTTCCACAGAACTAGCCCCATAAATGTGGCCAATTTACTGGACTACCTCCGTAAACATAGGCCACACATCCACATGTACAAAAACGTGCCGCACTTTGTCAAATTTTGATTTTCACATTTTAGGCTTAGTTTGTAGTTTTTTTTGCTCTAGAAGCATACTCACCCTCTTTATAGGCTAATCAGAAAGTGCTGCCTTTTTCAGATGTCTAATTTTTGTGAAATTTCATGTTGAAATTTTGATACGCAAACGTGTGCAAATGAATCTGGAAATGTCACAAAAAATAGACATCTGAAAAAGGCAGCACTTTCTGATAAGCCTATAAAAAGAGGGTGAGTATGCTTCTAAAGCAAAAAAAACACTACAAACTAAGCCTAAATGTGAAAATCAAAATTTGACAAACTGTGACACGTTTTTGTACATGTGGATGTGTGGCCTATGTTTACGGAGGTAGTCCAGTAAATTGGCCACATTTATGGGGCTACCACAGAACTAAAACTTCATCAGGTTAGTTGTTAAGCATCCTTCTTTAGATTTTGACACTTTTGTTGCCTCAAATGAACATAGTGCACAAATGACAAATGATCTCCCCTACCTCTAATTGCCAAATAAATGGCGCTCCAAATTACAAAACCGTGCTTAGTAAGAACAGGTAGCCACCTAGCACGTCATGTATGTTTACTGCTAGTGGGTGGTTCTCAGTTAATTTTTGCTTATCAAACAAATCCACCAAACAATGCTTTTAGCTTAGCGGAGCTAAGTCTCCCCATGTCCTCACCTTTGTTCTTATTTGCGTCTGTGTAGCTGAATCCTGGCGCCTGCCCCGTCCGTCGGCCCCACAGTCCCATTAGATTGGGCCCTTGCTTGTGCTTGCCTGTGCTGTCTATGACGTGGCATTGGGTGCACTTCTGCTTAAAGATGGCGGCGCCCTTCGTTGGGTCTCCAGCCTTGATTTCAACCTCCGGCATATTGAATTTTAGGATTTAGTTTATTCTGTGGTCAGCAAGAAAAAAAAAGATGGCATCTAAGTAAGTCATCAGGTTTATCTTTTACACTTTCAACCTTTATTAACCCTATAACCTTCTAAAATCCTCTCAGCAAAATGGAGGATTTTGCAGGATTGAGGCTATAAATATTAATAAAGAACGTTTGTAAAGCGCTGGTATTCGCCTAGAAGGCACTCGAGAAGAAAATCAAGCTAGGATTGTGTGTTGTGACAGTAAGCTTGTATTATGGGAAAATGTGTGGCTGACTTTGGAAAATGCACCGTGTCAAGGTCTTGGGCCTGGCCTTGTGCTGTGTATGCTCAGCCGTGCATAAATTCAGGCCTAGATTGTACTTTAAATCCTCCACACTGCTCCAGGATGTCACTGGCTCTGCCTCGACATATTGGCAGTGACTGCTAGAGGATTTTGCAGGATTGAGGCAGTGATCACCCCTCCAAGGACAACATTCAAGAAATTATGGAGGATTTTGCAGGATTGAGGCTGTATGCCATTTTTACATGGAGGCATTTGGAAGATTTTGCAGGATTGAGGATGCATCCTAGCAAAAATGCCTTATGGTTAATACTGAGGTTCCAAAGTCTACCATTGCATAACCACAGATTTATGTGACTTGGCTTAATCTTAACAGTTGAGAGTGTTAACTCATCTGTCATGCCTGCATTTGTATTTGTTCAAGTCAACAAAGAAAACCACAGTTATGCAATGAGAATAAAGCACATATGGCCCTTGAATCGTGCAAGGCTATCTGGTTCTGATGTAACCCCATTCATATAAAAGAATCTGGCAGTGTGCCAAGATTCATTTGCTAAGGAAATCACAATGCACATTATGCATCAGTGGCTGTGGTTAGGAAAGCATGGGGGGAATCACTCATATGCTCAAAATAGAAAATGATGTCATTTTTATCACCTTGGTGGTTTTGGGCAGGATGATGCCATATGACCGGCTGGTCCATGACACACAATATTAAGTGAAACTTTACAACTGTGAAAAAGAAGGGCCAAACTACAATCACCCCAACATCAAACTGCCAAGGCATTCTTACTATAGATCGATTCCGAATCCTCCCAAGTATACAACAGTGCAACAGATCTAGCTTTTGCTCAAGGGAGGGTTAGGGTTAAGTTAAGCAGGTGTGTGTTACTTTTTTTTTGAAATACTTTTCTTTTTTTTGTTTTCAGCCCGAGGGAAGGGGAGGTTTATGTGACTGAGTCAGTTGTGTAGCAATTACACGAAAAATAGACGTCTGAGAAAGTAGAAACTTCTTTTCCATTTCTAGTAACAGGGCGAGTGTGCTTCTAACTAAAGCGTAGATAAACTACAAATTAAGTCTGAACGTGCAAAAAACAAACAAATAACAAAGTCCATAATGTTTGGCCTATATTTACAGAGGTTGTCCAGTATTAATTGGTCATATTTATGGGGCTATCATCTTTCATGCCTGCATTTTTATTTGTTTCAACAAAGAAAGCTGACTAGAGGAACACTTGACCTTTGCAATGCCCAGACTTATATGTGGGATTTGATACCTTGCCTGATTTTGAGGGCTTATCCTTGTTCCAGACAGATAGACTGACAGAGCATAGAGCAAAGACCAGCCCAGTGGGGAAGATTTTCAATCAAAAGCCTTTCGACTCAACTGTTGCGACCTCAATGTGACCGAGATATGACCTCAATTCAATCCTTCGTTGGAGGAAATTAAATTAATTGACTTCAGGAAGACTGACTCGTGTTCACGCGCTTCACACAGTAGGGAATGCACCTTTGATTGAATCTGCTCCATTAAATGAGAATTTCTTTCACAACTTTGTCCTTATTTACATTTTGTTTCTACCACCAACTTCGTACAATTTTGAAATGTTGACGTCACCAGTCACGAACATGCCAACGCCAATGGAACACATACATGTACTTAAAATTATAATCAAGCCTTCTGTCCAGTTGGCAATATGCAAACGTTAAAAACACTTGAAAGGAAATAGGCCTAAGGCTAAACCTTAAAACATTTATCTCAAACTCTGGCTATATGGCCACACTGCAGACAAAAAGACAAGTTATATTAAAAACCTTTCGAAAATAACTACCACTGACTGCGATTTAATATAAATTTCCTTCTTCTTTTTTGTTTTTTTGGGGTTTTTTTGGTCCCCTCCGTATTTTTTCTACAATGGTAACTAAAACTGTCAATAGAGTATAAAAGACACATAAAATGATCAGCAACAATTAAGTCAAATTTTTATAACTGAACTGAAGTCTGATTTGTAAACAATTCAACTTCAAGTTCAAATGTTTTTTTTTAATCATTTTCGAATAACCACGTTCATGACCAGGGTGATGACGTTTACTTATGTACTAATATTCAAATCAAACATGATAAATAAGTGGACTCTTGTCAATAACTTGAATAAGCAAAATATTATTTCATAAATTTTGTTCCCAAATGGTTTGAGTGAAATTTATCTGGCTCAGCACGTATGCCATCACACGACAATTCTGTGAAGGGTGATTAAGTAGCCTACGTGATTACGTCCACGTTTGCGGTTACATCATGTACAATGCAACACATGCAGCATAGTGCATATGCAGCGTGCACAAAACTGAAAGAGTGATGACGTCCGTTCGTCTGCCAAGAGGAATTAAAACCCTCAGATCTTTGGAATACATACACCGATTATTGTCAAACTTTGCATAATAGTAACCACACACCCTCTTAACACATAGATTATATTTCACTCTATTTATTTTCGTACTTTATGTATAAAAACTTACCGAAATTATAGGATTCTGATCGCACTCGTCTTCACGCAACGTGACGCTTGTAAGGGAATTGCGTAAAAATGCGCACGCGTAATGTCCGCCTCCTGATACGTCATCATTTTTAGAGCCTTATTTGGAAAGCGCCGGTAATACGACCTTTTCATTGGCCAGTTTTTCTCAAATAAAAAGTGAAATTTTTGTCTCAAGAATATACTTTGACTGTTCATTTATTAATTCAAAGAAATACGACTTAAATAAAATCAAACAAATAGTTTAAAACTTTCAACACGGCAGATCTGATCTTACATAAATTTAACGACAATAATTAGGTCAATAGTTCAGGGGTCAAAAGTGCATTCATTGACCCGTGCGCTACGTGCAGATCGTTCTAGAACGTAGGGTAGTGGTGCTAATGGTAGGCGGAGCTTGAGTATTAGATGGGGGAAACATATTCGCTTATTTTGATTTTAAACACGTAAATTTTATCATTTTTCTATACTTTCTTTACTGATTTCTCTCAGTGACTCTTCTATCGCTGTTTTAAATATATTCTCAAAAACTAAGATGTTTGCCCCCACTTGAGGATGACCTGATGATTTTTTTGGAAACCCAAACATCCCGGCTATAGTCTCGTCCCCAGACTACCATATTAGTTTAGTCATGTTTATTGTGGATAGACTGGTGGTACGAGAACGGTATGGTTGCTGCCTCCCCAGCCCTTGTTGAAGTTAAGTTTGTATTTTGTTAGCCAGACTAACTTATTTCGTGCGGGGTCAGTGAGCTTCACACGAGTTGTTTACATTTTGCAAGACACAACGCGGTAAAAATGCTTCGTTTAGCGGCTGTTACAAAAGCCAAACATTTGAGCTACTTGAGTAAGGTAACAAGAAGCCTGTGGACGTGTTATAAAGGATGCTTTTTCGATATATGAATGACAATTGCAATCAGAAACGAATCGTAACCCGCACCGGACATGGGCCATTGGTTTTTGCCTTTCCCTCACTCGGCCTCAGCTCTACACTATTTTGGGGGGTGTGGGTGGTGGAATGGTGATTTTTTTTTTTTTTAATTTTTTTGGGGGGCGGTCTTAATTACTGATCAGAGGGATTAACCATCATGTCCAGCCTGTAAAGAATTGTGCAACCCAAAGATCGCCGGCTTGGTAATAATTAATATGTGACGCCAAACTAGCTTGAGTAACTCCAGCTGACAGTGACATGCTCCATAGTTACATGTGAATGAATATGGAGCATGTCAGCTGGAGTTACTCAAGCCAACGCCAAACAGGATTCACAAAATAACGTTACTCGTTAGGCCTAACGTTAACTTTGAAAATGAATTTTTTTTTAATAATTTGAAAAAAATGTTGCAATCGTACCTGAAGCCACTTCTGCGATTGCGTACAAAGTCTATGGAGAGTCAAGAAAATGTTCTAATTTTCTAAGTAGGCCCTATTTCCTAATAAAATTGGATTGTTTTCTCAAACCCAGATTCATGTCTTATCATCATTTTTGCAATGAATGACCTTCATGGAGATGATATCTGAAGACAAAAGTGGTGTCAGGTCGCAAATTTTTTTCCAATAATTTATTTTAAAACTAACAATATTGGACAAAAGTTGGAAAATGGAGAATATAATTTTGAAATGGTCTGTTGGAAGAAAATGAGGGCAGTATATGATTATGAGGGCACCTTTCCCTTCCTTACTACTTATGGCTATTAATCATTATTCATTGTGTAATTGTAAAATACCTACACTCAAAAGTTAAAACAACGGAAAGAATGTAGTATCCAGACGCCACTACAGCGGTTGTGTACAAAATCTATTGAGAGTCAAGAACATTTTCTTAGTATTTCCTAACAAATTGGAAATGTTTCTCAGTCCCAGATTCATGTCTTCTCAACATGTTCGCAATGACCGACCTTTATTGAGATGATATATGAAAAAAAATTGGCGTAAGGTTGCAACATTCTTTCCAAAACAACATATTTTGAAGACTAACAATGTCAATAAACATTTTCCCTTTTGTAGGCAGTATTGCCAGCATGCAGTCAGGCACCAGCCAGGTACATCAGTCGTGAGCCTCTGCATGAAGAATGGGCGGAGCTTGCCAAGAAACAACTGAAGGGGGCTGACCCCGAAGAAAAGCTGACCTGGAGAACGCCGGAGGTTTGTACAAACACAAAAAAATTCCACTTTGGGAAGAGTTTCGTACCCGGTCACCACTTATTCGCCACCAAACACAACAATTTTCAACTCACCTTGTGTTTTCATGGAAGACACGTCCATTAGGCTCGGGAAATCTGAAAAAAATCCTTTAAAAAATGTGCTCTTAGGGCACATTTTTGGTGAACACATCGTTCGGAATCGGACAGCCGATTGTGTAGTCGGCCGTATTGATTTTCTAAACTTTTGCTTGTCTGTATTTTTGTGGATCACCAACTTTGAAATATGAAATTGTTTGGGAATTTTCATATAGGGAATCAACATCAAACCACTGTACACAGAGCGAGACACGGCCAAACACGATGAGGAACTCCCTGGCAAATACCCATACACAAGAGGCCCCTACCCCACCATGTACACCCAGAGACCGTGGACAATCCGGCAGGTACGAAATTGCAAGTTTTTAGTCTGAGTTATCGCCTTTTGTAATAAGTTTGTTTAGCTCTTTGTCTACATACCTGCTCATTTGAAGAGCTCAGTAAACACTGCTTTGGACCATAAGATGGTCTAAATTCTAGACTTTTCGCTGACTCTGAATGTTTTTTAATCCCTAAAATCTGACATCTAGTTGGTAGTACTCTGGTGGATTCGGAACTTGAAACAGCCTAACCACATGGGGATTGAATTTTGTTACCAGTGGTCTTGACTGAAGACAGACGATTCATTGCGTAAAACTTCAAGGCATTAGCAGAGGCTGCTATTTAAGCTTAGGGAACTCTGTACCAGAATCGAATGGAATCATTTTCAGACTCGGAATTCAAATCTCAACTCTGCTTATTTTTGAGGGAATGTCAACCTGTACATGTAGAAGGTAACTTTAGTACCTCGAAAGGGAAAATTGTAAAACTTGGCATTTGCAGCATCACTTGACAAAAAATATGTATTTTTACTATCTCAGTACGCAGGTTTCAGCACTGTTGAGAAAAGCAACCAGTTTTACAAGGAGAACATTAAAGCTGGACAGCAGGGTCTCAGCGTGGCATTTGACCTTGCAACACATCGTGGGTGAGTTCTTCATAAATCCTGGAATCTAAGCCTAGTGAACTTGTGAATTATCACAAGTCATCGCAAGTCATCACAGGTCATCACAAGTCACCACAAGTCCATCACAAGTCATCAGAAGTCATCACAAGACATCTTAAATCATCACTAGTCATTACAAGTCGCCGCAAGTCCTCACAAGTCCTCACAAGTCATCAGAAGTCATCACAAGTCATTACAAACCGTCACAAGTCATCACAAGTCATCTCAAATCGTCACAAGTCATCACAAGTCATCTCAAATCGTCACAAGTTGTCACAAGTTATCACAAGTCATCTCAAATCACAAGTCATCTCAAATCATCACAAGTCATCACAAGTCATCTCAAATTGTCACAAGTCGTCACAAGTTATCACAAGTCATCACAAGTCATCACGAAGCATCACAAAACATCACAAGTCATCACAAGTCATCACAAACCATCACAAATCATCACAAGTCATCACAGGCCATCACAAATCATCACAAGTCATCACAAACCATCACAAAACATCACAAGTCATCACAAACCATCATAAATCATCACAAGTCATCACAAACCATCACAAATCATCACAAGTCATCACAAGTCACCACAAATCATCACAAGCCCTCTCAAACTGACATGTAACGAAGGCCTTTTTATTTTTTGTGATTGACAGATTGTTTGTCTTCTGTTACTTGAGACTGGCTTGTAATGCAATTGATTGCTTCAACTTTATTCAATTTTCATGTTCAATGTCACAAAACAGATTGATCTTTTGGATTTATTTTTTCCACAGGTATGACTCGGATAACCCCCGCGTCCACGGCGATGTCGGCATGGCAGGCGTTGCCATAGATACGATTGAAGATATGAAGAAGCTGTTTGACGGCATCCCATTGGATAAGATGTCGGTTTCCATGACGATGAACGGAGCGGTGCTGCCTGTCATGGCGATGTTCATCGCTGCCGCAGAGGAACAGGTTTGGAATTTGTCTTTACATTTTTTTTTTTTTTTTTTGGTTATTGAAGAAAAAATGTATCGCACGTCAATTAACATCAATGAAAGTACAATTATAGTTACACTCCCCTCAATTGCATTGTTACTGTACTTCTCTCAACAATATGATACATGTTTTAAATGAAGACATGGACTGTTCTATTTTATTTCAGGGGGTGAAGCAAGAGCAGCTGACGGGCACAATTCAGAATGACATCCTGAAGGAATTTATGGTGCGAAACACTTACATCTACCCTCCCGAACCGTCCATGCGTATCGTGGGTGATATCTTTGCGTACTCGTCTAAGGTAATTTAATCTTTTGTCTCAGATTTTGTCTCAGCATTAAGAGTACTTTTTCCTGTGCTGTAAATTTGTCTATTACACCATGCTTCGCTGTTAGACTGGTTACCAAACCTCAAATGAGGACAGGCTATGAACTTGCAGACTATTAACGTTGATCAAAGCCCAAAAAATTTACGCGGTGGAACCAAGTGGAGAATTTTATCACCACATTTGCTTATAGGTCATTAAATTAACTGCCATAGACACCAGTAATATATTTGCCCACTTCGAAAATTTCAAATTATTTGCGGTCTGGCAGTAATTTAGTACTTGCAGGCTTTACTGTTTCCCTCCGCCTCTGAACAAAATCAAACTTGTTGGTGATTTCAGACAATTTGTTTATTAAAAACTTATTCTGTTGTGTTTGATTGTCAACAGTATATGCCCAGGTTCAACTCCATCTCCATCTCTGGCTACCATCTGCAAGAGGCAGGCGCGGATAACATACTTGAGTTGGCATTCACACTGGGCAACGGACTCCAGTACTGTAGAACAGGTAGCGTGTCTGTTGGTCTGAGTGTTTGTTTGTCTGTTGTTCATTTCTCCACAGATGCACGGAATAACGCTCGTTTGTTGCAGTCCGACTAGAGTTGACTTGATGATGGATGGCTCAGCTAGTAGAGCATGCACTCTTGTTTTACTTTACTCTCGAGGACAATGCTTTGTGTTTCCCTTTTGTCCCTGCAATATAACACTCTCCTGTAGACTAAGCACACAAAGTTACTACAGAGGACCGTTTCCAACAAAAGACCCAACTCCCGAGGACTGAAAGGGTCTGTTTTCTCCCTTTGTGTGTCGGTCCTCGGGGGTTATGTAGATGTAGAATACGTACATCAGTACGGTTTTCCGGAGGTCAAAGGTTCAAACCCTGTTCATGTTTTTTTGGTCATGTTTTTCTTTGGCTGTTGGTGAGTAGGTTTGGCAGCAGGCATGGACATCGACCAGTTTGCTCCCCGTCTATCCTTCTTCTGGGCGATCGGAATGAACTTCTACATGGAGATAGCTAAGATGAGAGCAGCTCGACGTCTCTGGGCTCACATGATACGGGATCACTTCAACCCCAAGAAGCCCAAGTCTGCGGTGCTGAGATGCCACTCACAGACGTCAGGGTGGTCTCTCACTGAACAGGTATGGCATCAGAAGTTAGAGCTGTCAATTTTCGAATCATTTAGTATTTGATAATTCAAAACTGCACTTGACCGAATATTCAAATATTCATTTGATGATCAAATATTCGGTATTTTTGGGACATCCATATCAGAAGTCACCACAAGTCAGCATAAGGCATCACAAGTCATCACATGTCGTTACAAGTCATCACAAATTGTCACAAGTCAATCACAAGTTATCAAAAGTCATCACTAGTCATCACAAGTCAATGGCAAGTCATTGCCAGTCATCTTAAGTCAGTCACAAGTCAATCGTAAGTCTATCATAATTCAATCACAAGTCATCACAAGTCGTTATCAGTCATCACATTCTGGTCTCAAGTAGAGTCGTAATCTATTCCAATAAATTGTCACAAAGGCATTCTTTTGTCATTGTCCATCACAAGTGTGATTTGACAAGTAATTGACTTGTCTTAACTCTCACACATAATCTGCACGTCGGATTTGGGCAGTTTAAAAAAGTCTGTTTAATTTATTCGAATTTTAAACCTGATAGTCTGCTTTTCACAGATAGCTGATAGAATTGTGCCATTGGTGATACAAGCATGGCATTTGGCACACAGAGTATGTCATGAGAAACATATTTGGCTACAGGGCCATCGCAGATATGTCCTTTGAAAAAATATAGGTAGAATAACCAGCAATGGCAGCCATTTTGAAAATTTTGAAAAGTGCTTGTTATTCTACCTATATTTTTTCAAAGGACAAATCTGCGATGGCCCTACAGCCAAATCTCTTTGCCATGCCATGCTTGTATCATCAAAGGCACAATTCCCCCAAATATTTCCCCTATCTGCCCCACTGTATAGGATCCATACAACAACGTGATTCGTACCACGGTGGAAGCCATGGCTGCAGTATTTGGAGGTACCCAGTCTCTGCACACCAACTCCTTCGACGAGGCCCTGGGTCTGCCCACAGTCAAGAGCGCCAGGATTGCGCGGAACACGCAGATCATCATCCAAGAAGAGAGCGGCATTCCTAACGTAATTACAGAGATTCAAGGGCCTGCTCTAGTGGTCAATTAACCCTAACCTTCCCCAAATACTCCAAAATCCTCTTTGCAAAATGGAGGATTTTGCAGGATTGAGGCTATACGGCGAAAATGTGTGGCTGATTTTGGAGGATGCATTGTCTGTGTCAAGGTCTTGGGCCGGACCTTGTGTTGTTTATTCTCAGCCGTGCATAAATTTAGGCCTAGATTATACTTGAAATCCTCTGCTCTGCTCCAAGATGTCACTGACTCTGCCTCAACAGTGATTTCTTTAGGATTTTGCAGGATTGAGGTAGTGGTCACCCTCCAAGGACCACATTCAAGAAATAACGGAGGACTTTGCAGGATTCAGGTTGCATCCTAGCAAAAATGCTCCAAGCTATTTCATTACAATAAATACACCCATAATATCCAAGGGTAGTGTGGCCTAGTGGTTAGGGTTCGTGACTCATGATCAGAGGATCAGGGGTCTTAATCCAGCTGCTGGTCATATGTTGTGTCCTTGAGCAAGTCACTTCACCCCCACTTGCCTCTCTCCACCCAGGAGTATAAATGGGTACCGGCATTAGCTGGGGAGTAACCTGCGATGGACTTGCATCCCATCCAGGAAATATTCTCAGTCTTTTCATGCCATGGAAATCGGAGATAAACGCCGGCCTGATGGGCTATATTGGCTTGAGACAGACTTTACTCTTTCTAAATATCTTATCCAAGATAATTGTGGCATTTCAGATGTACGCACCTTGCAGTACAATAGTAGAATTTTGTCAAGGGCGCCCTCGTGTGATCAACTCCAACAATTAAGGAGTGGCATTTCTAAGTTACGTATTTTTTGTAAGTTTTACATATTTTTTTTACTCCAGGTTGCTGATCCGTGGGGCGGCTCATTCTTGATGGAGAGCCTGACAGATGAGTTGTATGAAGCGGCAAAGAAGATTATCGATGAGGTAAATGATGTCAAAGAACCTGTAGAGAGATCAACCCTACCAGACGCAATACTGTGCATCAGTTATTAAAGTCTGTGGGACTTGCTGCATTGAGCCATCAACACCAACTGTGCATAAACGGCCAATTCTGAAACAATTCAGAAACAATGAAAGCTAGTCCCATTGAACAATTCCTCAGTTGTATCCTGCGTCATTTGGTGGACCACGGACCGCAAACCCTGAGGCATCTTGGCCTTGAAACTTTTGACCTGATGCATCTTGCTTCACTCAACAAGCTTGTCATTTTTGGCTTGACAAGTGTTAGGTGTTGCTGTGTTCAGCAGAGTTTCTTGCCAAAATACCCTAGGGGTTAGCGTTAATCTCTGGGAGAAGACGTCTTCTCAGCCATCATGAATTCAGCTGTAGGGTCAACTCATTAAACTAGATTTTCACGAAGGCACTGCATCTCTTTTCTGTGTACACTTAAAAAATTAGTCAGTTAGACTACAGAAAATTAAGAATTGTTACAATGCAACCAAAGACCTGTGAAGCTGTGAGGCCGTTTTTCTCATGCATGAGGTTTAGGTTTTAAGGTGATTATTTCATTTTCTTTTCTTTCCCTCCATGAATAATTTGACGTGACAGATTGAGGAGATGGGTGGTATGGCCAAGGCAGTTGCCGAGGGTTACCCCAAACTCAAGATTGAGGAGTGCGCGGCCAAAAAACAGGCTAGGATTGACTCCAGTCAAGGTATGACATCAATAGAGGGCACCCTTTAAAGTATTGACATCAGAAACTGGTGACATCAATTCCGTGACATGATTGAATAGTGTTATAAATGGTGCACTTGTCTTTCAGACTTTTTCGTCGACTTTCTCAAGTAAGAAGTGAGCTTCTTTGTTGACAAGTCCGTTACTCTAACCGTAAATCAGGCTTTTTAATTTTATGAAAACACTGAACATTTTTCTCATCATAAAATTTTGTTGGAATCTAAAATAAGACACGAGTCGATGTACATACATGTACATGTGTACATTGTAACTGCAGTGTGGCCTAAATTTTGCACACAGATTTTAGTTTGGCCTATTTTCCGATTTTTTTTCACAAAGGCCAGTTTTATCTTTGGCTGCGAGCCAAGGAGCCATGGGCTCTTAAGAAGAATCCTTTTTTTCATTGCCTGAAAGAAATAATTATAAAACCTATCAATGCTTTTGATGGCTTTTTTTATTTATAATTTTCAGAGGTGATTGTCGGGGTCAATAAATACAAGTTGGCCGAAGAAGACCCAATTGAGGTACTTACCATCGACAACACCAGCGTGAGAGAGCAACAGATCAACAAACTGAAAAACATCAGAGAGACAAGGGATGAGGCAGCTGTAAGTATTTAGGGTTAGTGCTTGTGACTCGTGATCAGAGGGTCAGGGGTTCGAATCCAGCTGCTGGCCATGATGTTGTGCCCTTGGGCAATACACCTTACGCCAACTACGTGTACAAAAAAATGTCCTACTTTTGATCCTAAATAACTGGGTTGTTTTCCAATGGAATTAAACCAAAATTGCATATCATACAGACAAGGCATGACAAATTATATGGAGCGAGTTTCATCAGCTTTGTGCAAGAGGGTGAGATTTAAAACGCCATACGAAAACAAAACTCACTTTCAGAATCTGCCACTTTTGACTTGGCATCCTCCAATGTCGATACAGCGCTGGAGACGGTGGTGGGGGGGGGGGAGGAATGCCGGAAAACTCCTGAAGGAATGTACAATCACGTTTGATGTCATTGCACACTTGTAAGTCACACTTTGTGACTCACAAGCAGAGGGTTAGAATTTTGAATCCACTCGGTGCTCATGCTATGTCCCTAGGCAGTGTTCTTTACCCCAACTTGCCTCTCGTAGTGTAAAATATTGAAGGGTTAATGATAAATGTGTTGTACAATTCCTGTCTTTTGTATGCAGGCTAAGAAGGCATTGGACGATCTGACTAAATGTGCGCAGAATGGGACAGGGAACCTGCTGGAGTACAGTGTCACAGTAAGTCAGGAAAATAAAAAATAACGAACCGGTTCTGGTTCATGCAAATATTCAAAATGAAACCCACCCCAGGCCACAAAATGCACAATGAAGAACTTACTGAAAGCTTTATTTAAATGAAATACATGTATGAAATTATCACGTGGTGTCTAATTAGAACTTACGCTTTAGTTCTGAAATTTGATGTACAACTTTACCAGGGCTTTGGTTGTCAAAAACCACCACCAATGGCTCCATGCTTGATCAAGAGAGGGCGCCTTTCGATCGCTTTCTAGAGCCCCTTTGGACGGGATACCCTGCACCCATACTGAAATTTGTATCCTTGTGGAGACATTTCTTTGTCCTCGTGTAGTAAAGTTTTCGAGTTTGAAAGTGAAGTTTGAAAATGCTCTTATTTTAACCAGAATTAATTTCCGTGGCTGAAATTCAGACTTAATATCCCTTTTCTTAAACTCTTCCATTTGCCACGGATCAACCCACCTTGGAAATTCCTAGTTTTTGAGTAAAATCCATATATCTATTTCGTGAAAACCTTGTGGAGACGTATTCATCTATAGAAATTGCCCTGTGGAGACGTATACAATCTTTTGTTCCCTATTGTGTGCACGTCTCCAGAGGGCACGGTGTATCAGATCAGTGGTTCACACGCAGAGTACCCATGACGTATTCTATTCTGAAGGTGCAGCAAGCCATTGTGTCTTCGCGTGAGTGTCAAGCAGTGCATTCAGATGTCTCGCCAAGTGGTCTCCCAAACTCTCCCTTTCTTATCGTTGAGGGGGTACTTGTGCACAGAGCCCATACTGGGCTTCAGCTGCCAAAAATCACTTTAACAGACCACCACTATACCAAACAATCTTGAGTTGACCCCATTGTGTTCGTCATGGCGAGTTCCGTACTGTGCTGCAAGTTTGTCTTCTTTTTGTTGTGTTGCTCCTTAGGCAGCCCGGATGCGGTGCAGCGTGGGTGAAATCTCGGACGCCATGGAGAAGGTCTTCACGCGTCACGTCGCCGTGGATCGCATGGTGAGCGGCGCCTACAAATCAGAGTACGGGGAGGACAGGGAACTGGATGCATGCATCAAAAGGATCGAGGTGAGTAGATGAGAATCTTTATTCTTCAAGCAAAGTTGAATCCTCGATCCTGATTGGTTGATCCATGGCAACAAACTGTGTTGATACACATAACACAATGGTCCATATTGCACTCAGTGTCGCGCTATTCCAAGATGCGAGCCCTTTTCCAGCTGCACGTGCGGATAACCGCTAAAAGGTTCCTGTAAAGGGTGCTTGTTCCAAATTGACTGTGCTAATCCAAAATTCCGAGTGCCCATGAAGCACTCGGAATTTTGGCCCTTGTGATTTGGCAAAGCAGCGCCCACAACAGAGGTTGTGCAGATTCCGTCCATGGAATTTCCATATTTTCCCCTCGCAGGAGTTTCAAGACAAGGAAGGGCGCAGGCCTCGTATCCTCGTCGCTAAGATGGGACAGGACGGTCACGACAGAGGAGCTAAGGTGGTCGCTACTAGCTTCGCTGATCTGGGCTTCGACGTGGATATTGGACCCCTCTTCCAGGTAAGCAGACAATTTCTCCAAAAATCATATTTGACTCCTGTGGCTGGCAGTCTCCCAAACTTTTTTTCTTACTGTGTTTGACGTCATGGAACTGAGCTCTGCATCATTGATATTTCACCACTAGACTCCCGAGGAAGTCGCCCAGCAAGCCATCGATTCCGACGTCCATGTTGTCGGTGTCAGCACCCTGGCAGCCGGACACAAGACACTGGTTCCTGAGCTGATCAAAGCCCTCAGCAACATGGGTAGAGGGTAAGAGAAATTCAGCCTGTTGTCCCTATTCCGCCCCCTAACTGCCTTGCCTGTTACTCCCTGCAGTTCGGCAAATCGCCTGAGCACCCCCCTCCCCCCCCCCCCCCCAGAAATATCTGTTGGCGACCCACTCGCAGCGAGCGAGGCTGGAAATATCAGGGTGTGCTACCCGCAGATGACGGCCTGAACCCGTCTGGCATCGAGGTTTGTGAAAAACAATCCCGCACATGGGTCCGGTCGATGTCAAAGTAACCTCGGCGGGAACTGGTTAATGCTTATCAGAAAAGTTGTGCTGAATGTCACAACAACAAATAGAATAGAATAACAAATTTCATGATTTCTTTCCCTTCCCCAGTGACATCTGTGTGATTGTTGGTGGAGTCATTCCTCCACAAGACTACGACTTCCTCTTCCAGAAAGGAGTCAAGAGTATCTTTGGCCCAGGTCAGTCCATTTTTGTTGCATTTTGTACCCTTTTTAAAGCTTTTTATAATTCTTAAATAAAAATTTCTTGTGAATACTTTCCAAAGTATGTCAAATCTGTTACATGTAGTGAGAACCTTTTCAGAGATTTGGAGTGTCATGGCCTAGCGGTTAAGAGCACCGGACTCATGCTCTGGTGTTTCAGAGGCAACAGTGGCGTGGGTTCGAGCCCAGGTGGACACTTGTGCCCTTGAGCAAGGCACTTAACCATTATTGCTTCGTCCTTCGGATGGGACGTTAAGCCGTAGGTCCCGTGTGTTGTGTAATGCAGTGCACGTAAAAGAACCCAGTGACACTTATCGCTAAGAGAAGGGGTTTGCCCCGGTGTTTCTGGCCTCCTGTATAAACTCCCACGCGGAGTATTTAGGAGAAGAACCAACCAAGAAACCAAGAAGAACCAATTTCAAATATGATTTCTATTCTTTTAAAAACTTTCTTCATATGTCGCTTTTTGATATTTTTTTTCATACTCTATCTTTTCTTTTCCTTGCTTTTCCATTTGTATCCCTAGGGACGAGGATTCCCGTAGCGGCCATCAAAGTTATCGATGACGTCGCCGAGTCCCTCAACCACCGCATGAGTGGCAGCAACTGATCACATGACGCGGCTTGGACAATCCCATTGGATGACCTGCCAACTTTGCCAAGATTTGCATATATCTACAAGCATTTATTAACTGAGATAATTGCTTTAAGCTTATCTACTGCAGGGTAAGGTGCAGGGGTTATTTGTATTTCAAACGCGTAACCTGGTGATGGTACATGTATCAGTTTTTGCTCAGCTTTTGCCGAACGATTTGATGAAAGTGACCCCCCCCCAAAAATTATTGTTAGTCTTGTGATGACCTAATTGACCTTTGAGCACTACATGACCTAATTGACCTTTGCTCTTTGACCTTTGCACCTGTATATGTGTATTGGGTAACCTTGTCCCCAGGGTGTCGAGCAGTACGCGCCCAACAGTACCTGCTCTCTCACCCTGGTATTGGATCATTTGCAAGTGCAAGATTTTTTAACACGTATGCAAATGAGGAATAGTCTGGTGCCCGCCTTTGCGCTACATTAGCATTTGTTTTTGTATGTGGGGTCTGGGGTAAAAACAGAATCAATTTGTCGTGCCGTGAATTGTGAAAACAAAATGCTACAATCTTATCCTGCCAATATGCAGTGTCATGTTTCATATTAATATGAGCAAATCGGAAATGAAAGGAGTATTTCTGAAAAGGCGCGGACATTATACTTACAATGACCTTGAAAACACGTAATGCACGTTGGCAATAACAAGACCAAGTACACGATATCAAACCATTACTAGCCAATTACGGTATCGAATCAGGATACAGGAAGAAAGTTTCCTATCCAGGGCTTACTATTGGAAACGAGGTTGGAAATATAAGAAGCACTGGGGACGAGGTTGGTGTATTAATACAGGCTGTATATTCCTTGCATTGTATGTCTACGGCTAAAATAGTATTAAACATTAGCTTGTCAATGAAGACAATGCCTTAGTCATAAAATAACTGATTCTGATGTTGTCGACATTGATGCTTTCAAATTAGTTCAGAATGCCCTAATATGTGAAGGGCACGCAAAGTGGGCCTGAACGGTTTCTAGGTGAATGTGTACAGAAATCTAGCATAGTGTCAGACCCAACATTAACTGGTGCGGAAAGAAATTTCCCTTGATTTGCATAGCAAAATGCAAGACATTTAAAGTTTTTGGAAAAAAAATGTTGCAGCCTGACACCACTTCAGCGCTTGTGTACAAAGTCTATGGAGAGTATTTCCTAACAAAATTGGAAATTTTTCTCAGTCCCAGATTCATGTCTTATCATCATTTTTGCAATGACTGACCTTCACTGAGATGATATATGAAGAAAAAAGTGGCGTCAGGTTGCAACATTTTTCAAATGTTTTTGCTGTACAAAATTGCACAGATCAAAATACAAATATATATATTTTTGGGGTTTTTTTTTTGTTTGTTTTTTTTTTTTTTAACAAAACCGAATTTGTCTTTTGTTATTGTACTTTTTCAAAAAGGTCTGTTTATCAATTTAGTATGGATCTTTGAACCTGATAGTTTGCATCTGCTGTTATTTATTGTAAATAGATCTGTATAAATGAATTGTCTTCAAGGACAATTGAAAGGCAGTGGAAATATGACAGAAAAAAAGTGGAGTTTAACTTCAGAAGCAAATCCTCAAATGCGTTATAAGAAAATCATGAAAGGCTTAAATGCATTGTGTACAAGTCTTGCAAGGTTGATGCATTGTATGCTGATTTTTATGTTTTTGTTTTTGTCATGATACATTTTATGTTATGGCTGAAAATGGATTTTTTTCTGAAAGAAAAATAAATCTTTCTTCAACGGAAAGTGAATATTTTAAATATTATTTAGTACTACTAACAAATTTTTAGTATTATGCTAATCAGTGCACTGTGTTACAGAGACAAATAGAGGGATATATATTTGAATGATTGAAACACTAAAGTAAGTGTGAGGAAAAGTATAGCTGAGACATGTTCGCAATAAATAAGGCTTGGAAATATCGCCCATATAAAAAGTCACCCAATAGTTTCTCTTGTTTTCTTAAAAAAAATCTTTATTTTCACCCCAATCTTTGATATAATGGATTGACATATATTAAAATGCATCAAGAGGTATTTCTGAGCTGTTTGCAGAAAAGCAATGATTTGATACAAATGTAAGGTTAACCCCTTGCATTTTTTCCAATTTTGGCCATAAAATGAAATTGCTTGTTTTTGTGAGAAATAAATTAACATTTTTGAATGATTTCATCCTATATTTTCGTACATATTTTCTTTTGAAAAGCAAATCTTTCTACAAATGGAGTTGGAATGTGTTCTAGGGTCCCTCAGGCATCTTTCTAGCAAGTTTCAAGGAATTTCATTTTTTGGTCAAAATTGAAAAAAATGCAAGGGGTTAGCCTTACATTTTTATCCAAATTTGGCCAAAATTTGACTTTTCTCAAAACAATGCAGAAATTCCTTTGGAAGTCTGAGGAGCACGAATCAATACTCAAACACCCAATATTTGGAAGATTTGGGCAAAAACCATCAATTTTGTGAGGAATAAATTAACATTTTTGAATGATTTTATCCCATATTTTCGTCCATATTTTCTTTTGAAAAGCAAATCTTTCTACAAATGGAGTTGGAATGTGTTCTAAGGTCCCTCAGGCATCTTTCTAGCAAGTTTCAAGGAATTTCATTTTTTTGGTCAAAATTGAAGAAAAATGAAAAGAAAGTTTTTATTTCTCACAAAATCGGAGGTTTTTGCCCAAATCTTCCAAATATTGTGTGTTTGAGTATTGTTTCGTGCTCCTCAGACTTCCAAAGGAATTTCTGCATTGTTTTTAGAAAAGTCAATATTTGGCCAAATTTTGATAAAAATGTAAGGCTAACCCCTTGCATTTTTTTCAATTTTAACCAAAAAATAAAATTTGTTTAAACTTGCTAGAAAGATGCATTAGGGACCCTAGAACGCATTCGATTTCAATTTGTAGAAAGATCTGCTTTTCCAAAGAAAATTTGGACGAAAATATTAGGTACAATCATTCAAAAATGTGAATATATTTCTCACAAAATCGATGCTTTCTGCCCAAATCTTCAAAATATTGGGTGTTTGAGTATTGATTCGTGCTCCTCAGACTTCCAAAGGAAGTTCTGCATTATTTGGAGAAAAGTCAATTTTTGGCCAAATTTTGATAAAAATGTAAGGCTAACCCCTTACATTTTTTTCAATTTTGACCAAAAAATGAAATTCCTTGAAACTTGCTAGAAAGATGCCTGAGGGACCCTAGAACACATTCCAACTGCATTTGTAAAAAGATTTGCTTTTCAAAAGAAAATATGGACGAAAATATGGGATAAAATCGTTCAAAAATGTTAATTTATTTCTCACAAAATTGATGGTTTTTGCCCAAATCTTCCAAATATTGGGTGTTTGAGTATTGATTCGTGCTCCTCAGACTTCCAAAGGAAGTTCTGCATTGTTTGGAGAAAAGTCAAATTTTGGCCAAATTTGGATAAAATTGTAAGGCTAACCCCTTACATTTTTTTCAATTTTGACCAAAAAATGAAATTCCTTGAAACTTGCTAGAAAGATGCCTGAGGGACCCTAGAACACATTCCAACTCCATTTGTAGAAAGATTTGCTTTTCAAAAGAAAATATGGACGAAAATATGGGATAAAATCATTCAAAAATTTTAATTTATTTCTCACAAAATTGATGGTTTTTGCCCAAATCTTCCAAATATTGGGTGTTTGAGTATTGTTTCGTGCTCCTCTAACTTCTAATGGAATTTCTGCATTGTTTTTAGAAAAGTCAAATTTTGGCCAAATTTGGATAAAAATGTAAGGCTAACCCCTTACATTTTTTTCAATTTTGACCAAAAATGAAATTCCTTGAAACTTGCTAGAAAGATGCCTGAGGGACCCTAGAACACATTCCAACTCCATTTGTAGAAAGATTTGCTTTTCAAAAGAAAATATGGACGAAAATATGGGATAAAATCATTCAAAAATGTTAATTTATTTCTCACAAAATTGATGGTTTTTGCCCAAATCTTCCAAATATTGGGTGTTTGAGTATTGTTTCGTGCTCCTCTAACTTCTAAAGGAATTTCTGCATTGTTTTTAGAAAAGTCAAATTTTGGCCAAATTTGGATAAAAATGTAAGGCTAACCCCTTACATTTTTTTCAATTTTGACCAAAAAATGAAATTCCTTGAAACTTGCTAGAAAGATGCCTGAGGGACCCTAGAACACATTCCAACTCCATTTGTAGAAAGATTTGCTTTTCAAAAGAAAATATGGACGAAAATATGGGATAAAATCATTCAAAAATGTTAATTTATTTCTCACAAAATTGATGGTTTTTGCCCAAATCTTCCAAATATTGGGTGTTTGAGTATTGTTTCGTGCTCCTCTAACTTCTAATGGAATTTCTGCATTAATTTTAGAAAAGTCAAATTTTGGCCAAATTTGGATAAAAATGTAAGGCTAACCCCTTACATTTTTTTCAATTTTGACCAAAAATGAAATTCCTTGAAACTTGCTAGAAAGATGCCTGAGGGACCCTAGAACACATTCCAACTCCATTTGTAGAAAGATTTGCTTTTCAAAAGAAAATATGGACGAAAATATGGGATAAAATCATTCAAAAATGTTAATTTATTTCTCACAAAATTGATGGTTTTTGCCCAAATCTTCCAAATATTGGGTGTTTGAGTATTGTTTCGTGCTCCTCTAACTTCTAAAGGAATTTCTGCATTGTTTTTAGAAAAGTCAAATTTTGGCCAAATTTGGATAAAAATGTAAGGCTAACCCCTTACATTTTTTTCAATTTTGACCAAAAAATGAAATTCCTTGAAACTTGCTAGAAAGATGCCTGAGGGACCCTAGAACACATTCCAACTGCATTTGTAAAAAGATTTGCTTTTCAAAAGAAAATATGGACGAAAATATGGGATAAAATCGTTCAAAAATGTTAATTTATTTCTCACAAAATTGATGGTTTTTGCCCGAATCTTCCAAATATTGGGTGTTTGAGTATTGATTCGTGCTCCTCAGACTTCCAAAGGAAGTTCTGCATTGTTTGGAGAAAAGTCAATTTTTGGCCAAATTTTGATAAAATTGTAAGGCTAACCCCTTACATTTTTTTCAATTTTGACCAAAAAATGAAATTCCTTGAAACTTGCTAGAAAGATGCCTGAGGGACCCTAGAACACATTCCAACTCCATTTGTAGAAAGATTTGCTTTTCAAAAGAAAATATGGACGAAAATATGGGATA